CCGGATATATGAGAGTCTTATTTTCTTTTATTTTTCGGGCACCTTTCTTTTTCTATCGATATACATATGTGTTAGTATATGTCTACAATCTTCATCCGCAACCATTTGCATTACATTTGTGTTGGATCTCATTGATAATTACTCACTTTTGGGGAGTTGTCATATTGTAAGATTTTTTTTTTTTTAATTTAATTTTTGGTTAATTTTGAGGGGAAAAGGAGAAGAATAAAACTTGATATTACTTATTGCATCAATCGATTTGTAAGTGAAAAACTAATTCCAATTCCGTTTTGAAAAAAAAAATCAAAGAAGTCGAAAAATTGGAATAAATAAATGTGTTCCAAAATAGGAATTTTCGTATTTGAAACGGCGGAATTCCAAAATTCCAATTTTTTAGTCACCTAAAATATAAAATTCATAATAATATTGATATTATAAGTGTAATTTTTATAAGAAGACAAATCGAGATTTTTTAAATGATTTTCAGAAATTAAAATCGAATCGGGTACAAAATTCATTTATATTCCGATTTCGATAAAAAAAATTTGAATTTTCGGATTCGGAATGGAAAATAATGTTCTATAATCGATTTTTTTTTTGATCGATGTAGGCAAAAATAAATAAAAATTGTTCCAATTTTATTTTTAAGAGCATGCACATAGATAAAATAAAATACGCAACTAATTTTAAACAATATTAAGATCATTAATTCGAAGTCCATCTTAAATGTTTGAAAAAAAAATCAATTACTTTTAAACCAATAACATATGTAATATGTTTTGATTTAAAACAATGTCTATTATTTAAAAATATTAATATTGTTTACTTAATAAATTCAAATTGTGATAAAAATAGACAAAAAAAGTTTTAATTAAATTCCTGTGATTTTTAAATATATAAAAAAATTGAAAGCTTTTCACACGTCAGACTCTTCATCTAAAAAGGGCAACTGGGCAGGAATCTACTGTTTATGCGAGTCAACAAGAGTCAACAGATGGGTTAACAGATTTTAATCGACGGCTGACAAAGTCGCGTTAGAAGTACGCATAGGAGAGAAATTATCTGCTACATCAGGCACACCGTAGCGGACCCATTTGACAGGCTGGACACTTGTTTTGGAGGGAAATTTTATAATTCGAACAGTATATATATCAGACAGTGTGCATTCTCTGTTTGCGCGCATTCTGTGTCTAAACACACAGCTAGAGAGAGAGAGCTACAGAGAGAGAGCTACAGAGAGAGAAATTTAGGCTTGGAAGAGAGTAATTGAAAAGCGACAGTTGAAGACAGTTGGAAGCGAGCATCAATGGAGGTTGTGGTGTATATATAAATAATATATATATATACGCGCACACTGTACAATGCCGCTTCATTCGTCAATCGTCACGCTTTTGTTCACTGCTATCTCCTTTTTCTTCTTCATTTTTTTTCTGTTTGTAGCGCGAAATTGCTGAGCGTAGAGAATGGCAGGGTTTGATTCTGAAGAAATTGCAGGTAATTTCCGTTTTTTGTTTTTACTGCATAATTTTTTACACTGTGAGAAGAGAATTTCTGATATGTGATTTTGAAACGATAAATTGTGTAATTGACGTATGTATGATGTATCCGAACTGAAATGAAAAATTGATGAACGATATAATTGAAAATAAATGAAGCTGATCAGAAGCAAATTATCGTAACCGGAAGGTTTAACATATTCCGACCTCTCATATATCTATCTCTTAGTGCTGAGTTGGAGAATTAATGTATGAAAAATTGATGAATCAAATCCCTAATTGGAAAGTTTAAATTTTTGACCCGCTTTTTTACTGTTGTTTTGTAATATGAGCCTCGTTATTCCTTATTAAAAATATACTCGTTTTATGCATGCACGCACTTACACCGAGCTAAATCCCGTGTTTCATCATTATGATATACTTGTTTTAATTAACTAATTATTTTTGTAATTAAATTTCAGATTGGCATTACTTGTGCACTGCTTGTGTGTGAAATGATCCTACTATTGGTGGTAAACAACAAGTGGAGCTTCTTGGCTGCATGTTCAGCCCCTATTCTCTCATTGACCGTCTTCATCCTCAGTATTAAATCTTACTTGGATAGAGGATTTGATTTGAGATGGGGCTATTCTCGGGTGGCACTTACTTTTCTCTTATTGGTTGGCATATGCCAACCATGAAAGAGAAATTGGCCATATTTTACAGCTCTGTACACATGATTTCTGCAGTTATTGATTTTGCTAGGGTGGTGCTTGGCTATGGTAGCCACTCTGGATTCCCTATTGCAGTGGCCTACCTAGCTATATTTTGTAGCATTTCTGATCTAACGGTGGAAGTTCTTGATCACAGGGTCTCTTGAATACTTCATTGATTAAAGAGATGTGACTAGAAGAATTCACTATTGATGCTGCTGAAGAGAAGAGAAGAATTCACTGCTGATGTTCAAGAGAGGAATTGGTTACTTAACCAAGTTTTACAGTACCACTAGTATATAATAGCAATTCTTGTAATAATTCTCTCCTAGGAAATAAACACGCGTACATATCACACACGTGTCACTTAGGTTGAAAACATACATATTACATACTTGCCACTTGCCCCTCCCCTGTTTTGGGTTTTTTTGTTTGTTGAAAACATATTACATACACGTGGCAACATATTTTGGAATTTTGATTGAATGATTTTCTCTCTCTCCTGTCTTCAATTCACTTGATTGATTAGATGTAAAAGCAGGATATATATTTTACTAGTGCTATGCTGTTTGTAGAATGATTATCAGCTACTTTATATGTATGATGATATCTATGTTTAGGCAATCTGATTTACTTTTTATTCCTGCGTATTGAAATATAATAAACTATGGTCCTAACATCGATTAATTCAAAAGTTAACCGAATTTATCGTGTGATTTTTCTTTTTAATCGATTGTTATCTAGTGTTAACTGGATTTCGTATCGTTCGATTTTATGTTTTTATGCAAGTATTTTTCTTCCGGGGCAAGCTCAAATCTCCGAATCACAATGAGAATGCAAATGGCACCATCGCTCGTATGGGAAATTTTCACCAAGGCATCAGTGAATCGAGCTACTTGTACGATACATCACTTTTCGGAATGGATTCCTCATCGGAGAAAAAAACGAAATTGATGTGCCAAAATCAATTTTCTTCGAGTGACCGATGAATGCAATATACTTTATTTTATTTTTCTTTCGAAAAGTTGAACCCCGTTACACAAAAATAAGAAAATAAACCCAAGACCTCAGAGCAAATAACTAAAAACAAAAATCTTGGTACTTGTCTTGCAAATTTTACCTGAATTTGCGCACTGTACAATATAGGAGTTGCCGAAAATAAATAGAAAATTTATCGCAAAATATTATTACACAAGACGATTCTCCAGAAGGGAGTCACCTTGCACGAGCCAAGTCCAAGTAAAAAATTTCGAGACCAATTCAGTAGCCGACTTGACTCGACAACTCGTTCGTTCGAGGTCAATAGTTTAAACCGCAGAGATCATGGTCCCACCATGTTAGACTAGTAAGTTATATCCACCAATTCATTCATATTATTAGCTCCTCCTGCTAATTACGACAATTCATTGCTTCGGGGCCCGCCAAATGTCGGTCTCATGTAGGCATCATCAAATCTCCTCCAAAAGGAATGGATAGTGTAAACGGGCCTTTCCATTAGCATCGAAAACCCATCTTTTGCTCGGAGAAGATTTGTTGCAGCAGATTCTTCAAACGAAAGAAGAGGAAGCTTCAATGCCTCTTTGGAGATAGTCGGCTCACGTTCTAAATTGCTAGCACTCGAATGAGGAAGCAAATAACTTATCAACGGCTTTGTCAAGAATCCAAACACCTACACAATCAATCTCACATTGAACAACACAAAGAAAAGCAAAAATCATCTGCAATTTGAGTGCGATAAAAGCCACCACCATAATATTAACATTCGACTCACTAGTGTACTGAAGATTACGACAATAACAGTTGCTGTGACCATCGTGGCATTGACTGGATCCAGTGGCACACCGTAATGAGTGAACTACGATGGTCAATAAAAAATAGAGCAAATGAATAAATAAATAAATAAATAATAAAAAATAAAAAATCAATTAAAAAAACAACTACAACAATAACACGAAAGCGCATCTTACCTGTTTGAATGCTAAAGCAATGGAGACGGCTCCTCTCATTAGCCCGGCCCACCAAATTACAATCTAGTAGAACGGAAGAAAATTAGAAAGTATGATACCAGAAGGAATAGAAAGAATCACATTTATTGAGCATAATGTGGTAATAGGAATTCAAGTTAAAGAAAGTACGATAAGTTCTTTTTTTTTTTTTTTTTTTTCCTTTTTGGTGCGTGTGTGGAATTAAATTACATGAAAGCATGAGATGTGGTTTAGTAACTAACCTGGTGATTAAATGTTATTGAGGATGACCTTCTTGTACTTGTGTTCAAACAATTCGATAAAGCCGAGAGAGGAAAGACGAATGCAGCACGTCCAAGCAATATCAATAACATGATACCACTGTAAACGCCAATCGAGTCCCAACCGCTGCAAAAAGATATTGAAAAAATATTCATGACAAAAGATATTTTCCAGTTCATGAAGTACCACCCTTTTCTTTTTTTTTTACCTCAACTTGCTCATTTTCCATTTCTCAATGTCCAGAGCATCCATTCCCACGTATAAAAATATAAACGTCTCTGCGATAAATGACATCATTGCGAACACATGCCTACAAACAACATAAAAAACTGAATTAATGATGTGTCCATGTTACTGATAGTGTATGAAGATTTAAATGTCATTTCTGTAGGGGCAGAACACTATTCTGAACCTATTGTTTAATCAATGTACCTACTTGGTTGTGATTCTTGAACTGTCGGTCACATTATGCCAAGCATAATGCGACATGAAAATCCCGGCAAAAAACACCGTCAAGATCCCACTTAGTTCGAACAGCTGTGAAAGAAAATGAAACATGTTTCCAATATTCATATCTCTTCTACAACAATAGAATAAATGGCAATTTAAAATATTCCGATAAGAACGATTTCACATGGGAAAATAACATAACTCGAAACACCTCGATGATTTTGTTTTACGTGGAAAAGATAAAAGGAAAATCTTAACGGGAAGAGAAAATAAGTGATTAGTCCGATTACTAAACTCTCCATAATAATTTTATTGTTATTATTTATTTATTCTTTTGTAAAAATTAAGCCAACGTAGTCGGGTTACTATATTGATTCTATCATTACCTCAGCCAACATGTAGGAAAGGTACGCCATAAGAACCATAAGAGCAATTTCACGAACGGATGAATGTCTGCGTACAAAGATAAATGCGTTAGCCATATGCATCTCTTAATCCAAAATCATACATCAAATTTTTATCCTCAATTCGCTACTTAAAAAACAAAATATAGATTAAAACAATATTACCTCCCAAAGTACAAGCCCTTGAGAACAAATGCAGTCACGAGCCCAGCCTAAATGCATAAATAGAGAAAAAAAAGAGGTTAACGATCTCTCACTCTTTGAATGAAGAAAACAAAACCAAAAACAGTAATAATATATACGATTAACTACATCACTTCAAAAAAAAATAAAAAAAAAAATACGTCACATCGAAATTCAAACTTACAGCAACTCCTAGAGCAGTGCTTGTGGAGAACAAGTACAAGAAATCCACAAGAACTTTGACAGCTGTCCACCCGTCGATTCTATTAACATCGAGCTTTTGAACTGCATTGAATAGAACAACCGTTGTAGCATCGTTTACTACACCTTCACCGAAAACGAGGCTGTAGAGTAAGGGAGTCTCATCTTGATGGAGAACCTACATTAAGATCAAAATAAATACTCGATAGATCTTCGATTACTTAATCGAATTAAATCATGCAAAATGTACCAGTATTTGCCCAACCTGCAGAGTGCAGACAGTGTCCGTCGAGGAAAAAATCGCTCCAAGGGCTTTACGTACACCAGCAATACATACATGTAAGGTCAGTTTATGCGATAACATCATGAGAAAAAAAATCAGAAAAAAATAATGTTACGGTGAAGATAAATATAAACGAACCTAGATAGTCACGGGGGCTCAGATTAATACCAAACTTGCCAAACAACAACCAACAACCTGTTAATTAGTAACAATAATATGCTTAAAACCACGTAGAACTCTGGGGAAAAAAACCCCATAACCACGTCTCCAAGGTGTAATGAAGGACCTGTTGCGATGATGGGCGATGATATAAAAACTCCGATTACTCCAAACAGCATTATCGTAAAGAAGTTGTGGAAGAACTGTTTCTTCTTGACCTGGAATCTGGATGAATTGAAAAATTGAGTGACAATTAAAAGCTTCTGAATTAATAACCAAACAACATTGAAATACTTGGATATATAAGAGATAATTAATCACCCTGCATTGAAAATGATAGGGGGCAGGAGATAAATGAAGAACAGCTCCTCATCAAATCTGAGTATGTGTGAACTCTTCCCCTTGCTTATAAGCAGAATTATTGTCCCAGTCACACACCCCTTTCCACCAAAAAAAAAAAAAAAAAAAAATCAGTGTAAAATCAACTACTAATATAAACTAATTAAATAATTAATCAATCCAATTAATTAATTTATTAATGATCCATAAACCAAAACCAATCAATTAATTGATGAACTAACTAATGAGCCCTAAAAACCCAAAATTCAGTGGGGGAAAAAATGATGTATTACGATGATAAGAGCGGTAATTGATTCGTTAACCCAACGATTTTCTTCGAGCAGGTGGCCGACGACCAAACAGAAGCAGAGAACCGTCACAAACACCGTTATGGGGACAACTTGCTTGTGCGTCTCTCCCAGGTTGCCTGCAATTTCCCAAACCCTCTCCATATTTTAATTTACCACGAAAACAAAATAAATAAATAAACGAAATTGCATAAATGTATGATTTTTAGGTTGCAGAAAAAAGGAGAATTGGAGAAGGAAGAAGACGAAGTGGGAGTGACGAGAGACTGTTACCCACTGAGCCACCATTCCAGATGGCGCGAATTAGTGATACGTGTCTTTCGCGCGGAATTGTTCTGTAACTGCGCTCAGTCCCACCGACTAAAACTCCTTTCTTGTTAAATCTTTATTTGAAACATTCAAAGAACGGTAAATTACACCTACACCCCTTAGGTATGCTAAAATAACTTTAAGATCCCTATAGTATTAGTAATTACGGCCACACCCCTAAAACAACGACCGTAGCCGAGATTTCATGTTCTGGAGGCCGATATGCACCATACTTGTTTCTTGCGCGGCTGTTAATGTTGCTACCATTAACAAAAAATTATAAATCTTATATAAAATAATAAGAATTTAAGAAATGTTAGAAAAATAATGTCACCCTCTAAAAGCTCTATGTTATCTCCACCACTGCCTGAAACTAATTGTGCATTAAAACTCTAACGTAAAAACTTATCCAATGCATTATTCCGTTAGGATTTCTAACAATGTTTGAGGGGTGGCTATAGTTACCCATAATACAGGGACCTTAAAGTTATTTTAACATAATTCAGGGGTGTAGGTGTAATTTACCCTTCAAAGAATTTGCAATTTTTTTTTTTATTATTAATTTTAATTTCCATATTTTTATGATTAACTCAAACGTAAATTAGGGTCAATCCCGAGATAACCCCAAATTACGAAAAAAAATCCCTTAATAATTTTATAATTATTACTACTTTGAACTATGAATTTTCTTATACGTCCATTTTTTATGTGTCAATTTTAATGGAATCTTCTAGAGTATATGGAATATTCTCCAGTTTGTGGTCGTTTACCCCATTCAAGCTCCACATTTTGAAGTAAGATGATCATAAATGTGTTTTTTGGTTTGTATATATCAGATTGTGGTGCATAAAAAACTGGGTTTTTGTGCAAAACGAGTACAAATTAGAGGACATTTCACATAATCTAGAAGATTATGTTGAATTTGACACCATGAAGATGGATGTGTAAGAAGATTTATAATTGAGGGTGCTGATTGTAATTACCCATGTTTGAGAGATTTTTTCATAATTGAGAATAAATTATACGTGCGTTTAAAATTTCGATACGCGTAAATAAATAATATTTTTTAAGAAACAACGTTCAAACTAATTTAAATTAGCAATAGAGGTAAAATTGGAAATAATTAATATGCAACACGAAACTACTCTTTTTAAACAACTAATTAATTTGAAACAGATGGAGTAATAATTGATTTCCAGTTATTGATGGTAATTAAATTCATTAAGCTAATTTCTATGGGCATCCAGAAATAGTTAATAAAACAAATTTAATCCCAAAAGTAGAAATAAATCAATAAATAAGCAAAGCAGAAGGCCTACTCACTGAAGTCTGAACATGCAATGCAAGCTGAAATAAGCAAAATGAAAACTGCCCAACTCTCTCTTTCCCTCTCTCTGCGTGTATGTATATATGTATGTATCTTTTTTGCGCGTGGACCCTGCGCGTGTGTGTGTATATATGTGTCTGTGTGTGTATCCGCTTCTCAGTTCCTAAACAGAAGAGAGAAGAGGAGGTTTGCTGTAAGCCATTGTTTATTTATCAATTGATTGTAACTTCACTTCTCCAATCGGAATACCCTGGAAAAGAGCAATTAGGGTTACCGATATACTTATCTAATTCACCGGCGAAATGTGTAGACCATGGCATTTCTGCACCTTGATTTTGTTTTTCTGGCTTTGCTCATCGCCGCCTGTTGTCGCCGGCCGCCGAGGATCTAGCAGCGGAGGCGGCAAATGGCAAACGCTTACCGGTAAAAAAAAAATATTCCGAACTTCCTCTGTTTGTGCGTTGCATTTTTCAATCAATTTCTGAAATTTATGACTTCAATTTGGATGTAGTTAATTTAATTACTTTACAGTGAGTTTTTCGGAATTTCAAATATAAATGTTTTCCCCCTCTTTCCATTTCTTCACAAACAAAGCATATTCGGCAGAAATCAAATTATAGTTTTATTTATCTTTTTGCAGGAAATCCGCCTTTGGTTATAGCAAAAGGTGGATTTTCAGGGATTTTTCCCGATTCGAGTTTGAATGCCTATCGATTAGCTGTGGAGACTGGCTTGCGTAATTCACTTGCGTGGTGTGAGGTTTACCTCACGAAAGACGGAGCTGGAATCTGCTTCCCGGAACTGCGGCTGGAAAATGCTTCGAACATCGGTGAAGTTTACGGAGACAAGCACAACACCTACACCGTGAACGGCGTCTCAGTCGAAGGGTGGTTTGCTCTGGATTTCACCCTCGATGACCTGGCATATGTCCAACGTGCGTTTTCTTATTCATGGTCATCTCCTTCGAAAGTTGATTTAATGATATTGAGGAATATGAATAATATGAAGTCCGCTATACGAATATCCATTCTCACCGTCTTTATGTTGTGACAGTGAGACAAAGGATCTATGCACGTTCCGACAAGTTCGATAGTACTGCAAGTTCAGTTCAATCTGTCGACGATGTAGTTGACCAAGCAAATCCAGTTGGATTATGGTTAAATATTCCGGTATTTATATGAATCCAAATCCTCTTGATTGGCATGTCAGATTTTTTATCATCTATTATTTGACTGGTCTTGACAAATACTTGGTGCAGTACGACGAATTCTACAGCCAGCATAATCTGAGTGTGAGGAGCTTTGTTATTTCTGCAACCAGACGAATGAATGTTAGTTATATTTCATCACCCGAGGTGGGCTTTTTGAGAAGTACCGTATCACGATTCAGAACAGGCCCGACAAAGCTTATATTTCAGTTTCTTGGACCGAACGATATCGAGCTTTCGACCAACCAAACGTATAGCTCGCTGGCCAAGAATCTTACATTCATCAAAACCTTTGCGTCGGGAATTCTTGTTCCCAAGAGCTACATATGGGTAGTTGACAGCGGCTTGTATTTACAGAACTACACCTCTCTCGTACTGGATGCCCATGAAGCTAGTCTGCAAGTATTCGCATCCAATTTTGCGAATGACGCATTTATGGCATATAATTACAGCTACGATCCTGTGGCTGAGTATCTCTCCTTTATTGACAACGGCCTATTTTCTGTTGACGGCGTGTTGTCCGACTCCCCAATTACCGCATCTTCAACCATAGGTAAATGACGGTTTTATATCTTTTTTTTTTCTTATTTTTTTTTTAATTACATGTACGTGTCTAATATTTTCTGTTGATGCAGATTGTCACTCACATATCGCCAAAAATGAGACAGCGCAAGGTATGCATTAATAGTTCGAATTCACGGGTCGAGTTAAAATATTTTTCTCCTCAGTACAATGTGATGGAGCAGCCGTTAATGATTCTCATTTTGCTATCTTTATAATCAGTTGAACTTCTGATTATATCTTCTGAGGGAGCCAGTGGGGACTACCCTGGCTGTACCGACAAGGCATATGCTAAAGCTGTATCAGATGGCGTAGATATTCTCGACTGCCCCGTTCAAATCACAAACGATGGAATACCCTTCTGCTTGGGATCGATCAACCTCATGGATAAATCCAATGCTGTCGAATCAATTTTCAGCAACATGGCAACAACTAATCCAGACCTTAACATAAGAGATGGAATTTTTGCCTATAATCTCACGTGGAGCCAGATTCAGACGTTGAAGCGTAAGTGCAAATGAAAACTTTCATGAATCACGAGGAGCTAAGACTTCATTAACGATCGAGAGTATAAGAACCTCCTCAATTTGATTTACTTTTCTTGTTTCAGTTCTATTACATTTTCTTCCGTACAATGGTGTTCGTTTCAAGAATTTCAATTGCTTTATTTTGTACTCCGAGTAATTGTTAAAATTTGCGCTGATTTATTGTTTTATTCTACTTGCAGCTGCTATTTCTAATCCATATTCAAACTACTCTCTGTTTCGGAATCCAAGAGCCAGAAATGATGGGAAGTTTATGCAGTTAACTAACTTTTTAGCGTTCGGTAATAATTCATCGTCTGTCAAAGGAGTCTTGATCAGTATAGAGGTCACTCTACTTGATGCAAATTGCACTGGATATTTGATTACGACAATATCGAAATGTAGACTTATACGTATACAACGTTCTGTTTCGTGTCTTGCAGAACGCCGCATACTTAGCTGAAAAGCAAGGATTAGGTGTAACCGACGCTGTGCTGAATGCTTTACGAAAATCCGGTCATAATAATCAGACATCCAAGAAAATCATGATTAAATCCAGCGACAGTGCCGTGCTCGAAAAATTCAAGAGCAGCGGAAATTACGAGCTTGTTTACCTAGTCGGTGAGGACATAAGCGACATCTTGAACTCGACCATTGTTGAGATCAAAGAATTCGCTACTGCCGTGGTCATCTCTAAAAGATCCGTCTTCCCCACCGATGAGTCCTATATGACTGGTCAAACAAGTGTTGTTCCAAAGATACAGGCATTTAATCTCCCAGTCTACGTGCAGATCTTCCAGAACGAGTTTGTAGCTCAAGCATGGGACTTCTTTTCCGATGCGTATCTTGAGATGTTAAATTACGTGGATGCTATGAATATTAATGGCGTCGTAACAGATTACCCGGCAACAGCTGCAAAATTCAAAAGTAAGTAAATATCATGCAATATGTTGTTATTAGAAACATTTATTCTGACTCTGAATATATTTCACAGGAAATCGATGTCTCGGGTACAAAAATAGACCACCATACATGACTCCTGTACGGCCCGGTGGTCTTATCAGTCTTATGGCGCCCGGCTCTTTGACGCCAGCTGAGGCTCCATACCCGGTTTTGACGGGTGATGACGTGGCGGAGCCTCCTCTACCAGCTGTCATCGAGAGAACAGATGGCAACGGCTCAACGGCTCCAGCTCCAAGAAATGGTCAGGCTATACTTATTCCAAGCATCACCACCACCCTCAGTACTATTGCTGCTTCTGTTGCAATTTCCATCATTTTTTAATAATGTTATAATTAAATTTGATATCACTCTGTTTGTTTGGCAAAGGTGATGTACTCTTTATTGCATCTTCTAATACATGGGCTATTATATATATATATATATATATATATATATATATATATATTAAAGCAGTGTGCGTGCATGCAGCCAAATTGTTGATTGAGCAAAAAAACTGTATCATTGCCATTATCAGTGGCTACAGTGCAGAAAGACAGGTTGCACATTGTTATGATCGCCAATGTTTTTGAATCTTTCCCACTCTATTTTCCCTTTAAATACACACAATCTCCAATTTCCAACCCATAATTTAATTTCCTTGTGGTTTAATTAATTAATCAATATAATATGGCTTCATTTGCTTGCACTCTTTCATCTCCTCCTCCACCTGCCGCCGCCGCTTCCACCGTCCTCCGCCGCTCCACCGCCTCCGCGGTATTTTTCACCTCCCCAAGAGCCGCGGGGCCGAAAATCAGCCAATTCGCGGCAACTAAAGCGAGGCCTAGAATTTGTTGTGCAATTGCCGCCCAACCTGAAACTCTGCAGGTTGTGCAGAGCACGATCGCGAAACAGCTGTCAATCGAGGAGGGGGCGGTGGCGCCGGAGACGAAGTTCGTGGATTTGGGTGCGGATTCGTTGGACACGGTGGAGATCATGATGGCATTGGAAGAGAAATTCGGGGTTTCCATCGGAGAAGACGGAGCCCAGAGCATCGCCACCGTTCAGGACGCGGCGGATTTGATTGAGAAAGTGAAGACCGCCGCCGCCGCTTGAAGTTTAATTAAACCGCATAATTACTATATTCGCTTTATATGCTAGTTTTTAGGGTAAATTCCACTTTACCCCCTTGTACTCTGCCCAAGAACCACTTTACCCCCTCGTACTCTTAATTTCGTCGATTTACCCCCTTGTACTTGTACAATTTTCCAATACAACCCTCTTCGTCAACTTTTTTCGATTTTGACTCTGACGCCATTTGGTCAAGAGTCAAAATATTGACGTAAATATTGAATTTTTTCGATTTTGACTCTCGAGATTAGAAAAGAGAAAGTTTCACACATTCATATATTTTTTTCTTTGCACTGAGTGGAATCGATCAATTTTTGGGTCTTGATTTTTACTAAGTTAGGTGTTCAATTTGGGGATATCTTGGAAGGGGAAGTGGTGGAAGAAGAAGAAATGACAATATTGACGGAGGAGAAACGACGCGTCAGTGGCAATTTTGTAATTTACAGAGTTGACCAAACGGCGTCAAAGTCAAAATTGACAAAAGTTGAAGGAAAGGGCTGTATTGGGAAATTGTACAAGTACAAGGGGGTAAATCGGTGAAATTGAAAGTACGAGGGGGTAAAGTGGTTCTCAAGCAGAGTACGAGGGGGTAAAGTGGAATTTACCCTAGTTTTTATTCACTTTTGTTGTCAGCCCAATTACAGGAATTGGGATATTTATCCTATATACTAAATTACTAATAAAAATGACCAAAACTATTAAGGTGAATATTTTTCTAAAAATGATCATAAAAATCATATTTGGCCCAAAACTTGAACAATTCACATGTATTACTTGTGCGTAAATTAATTATAATGTGAAGAAATAAAATAATGAAAACGCAATAATACCGTACGGAATCTACAAGCGTGGCAAATGGGGATTGCATCAACATATCGCAATTCATAGATCATCACACACACACACACACACACACACACACTAAATAGTCAGTCACTTTTGTGGGTTTGACAAAGTCCACCACGTTTGTATAATCTTTTTTCTTCTTATCTTTAATGTAATCTGACGTGACGTACTATTGATCTCACTCCCCACATATGTACTCCCTAAATTAATACGTCTATCTACTATATACCACAACACATGTATTTATTCAAAATAATATTTTTCAATATGTTTTACATTTTTTTTTATTTTTTAATTGGTTTTGTTATTATATTATGAATTTATCCTCAAAACAAAAACAAGTTGTTGTAATATAGTATTTAATTTTCCAAGTCAAGAAATTGGTGAAATTCCATAGTCTAATTGCAAAGCTGTACAGCTAGTTGAGGTTGAAATTGTGGCTAAATTATTAATAATTTAATATAACATTAATTGCAGAAATTCCCGATCACTACACATAACACATCACACGCTTACATCATGCTTTGGTTCCAATGACGTCATCACCAACTCCTATTTTTTATTTTGTTTTTTCACACAAATAATAATAGTAATAAAAAAATGTGTTTTTATTTCATTCTTCTTCGTACTTATCTATCTAATAATTGGATAGTTGTTATTTCATTGTCCAAGTCTAAGTGAGACAAATGACTACTACTCTTCATAACTTGTTTAATCATCTAAACTACTTCTTAACATTTTAACTTATTACTTTCTTAGAAATCACAAACATCCAACAAATTTCAATTTAACTTTTTATTTTATTATAAATAGTGTTCACAACATCTAAAAGAGTGAACTAAATGACTTGAGTCGAGTCGAACTTGATTGTCAAACAGCTTGTTCGAACTCTTGTATAATGAAACCATATATGTTCAAGCTTGTATCGATCATATTATGTCAACAATCCGGCCGTAAACAAATTTTCAAGGATCAACCACAATTCATTGACGAAATTATTCGAGTAAAAATTATATCGTGCATTTTAAAAAATAAAAGAAATATATTTGAGATTTCGATATTACAAATTTGAAATTTTTAAATGGGTGGACTATTTAATGACTATATATCCGCCAAAGGATGTGGGCAATTATGCCATTTTGAGTTGATCCCCATTATAATAGCACTCGTGGAATTCAAAGTTTTCTAGACAATTTTCTCAAATCCAGACGCTTATTTGGCTAAATTTATTTTAAATATGTTACGTCTGATTTTTACAATTAATTTTGAAAGTGTTTGGATAACGAGTTTAATTATAATTTTCTTTTTACTAATTATAAGATGTTATATAAAAAAGGTGAGGTATATAATTTTAAAAAGTTGTATTGTTTTTAAAAAAATATTACAAGCTCTCATAACATCTTATTTTTCGAATTTTTAAAATCTTTTTGAAAAAAAATTCTAAACTCTTACGCAACTTCAAAGATATTTCGAGACGACAAGAAATATGAAAAGAAATATTTTCCGCATTAAATGTTGTAGACGAAATATTTCGCTACCGAATCCGTCTTATAATCAACAAGATCAAACAAACACATGATTATTGAGTAAAAGTTCGCCATCGCAAATAAAGGGTCTTTAGTCAATTCATTTAAGTCAACAATAAATTTTGATACAAGGAGCGGTGTGCTTTACAATATAATATAGGGGGTTTCTTGCTAATTTTTTTAACATGAAGACTTTTTCGACAATTCGAAAATTACAAAAGGGTGGTCCTTGCAATTATCTCTAAATGATAACATGATAGGATGACGTAAGGAGAGCATCATGCTGATGCAAAAAATGTGGGAAATAAAAACACAGTCCCCTCGATCTCAAGTAACCTCCTCCACTCGAGGGCCCCACCTTTGACCCTCCCAGAAATCAACTAACAGATTTTAATATGTTTTTTTTTCCCCTCATTTCTTTATTTATTTTTCTTCTTCTTCTCTCCCTATATAAACCAGATGCATGCAGCCTCTTCAAACATTCAGACATATTTACTACACGAACTTCATCAACAGTAAAATAAAAAAAAGTATTTAAATTAAAAAAAAATGTCAAACATTGTGAGTCAACCTCGTTCTGTAGTCAGGAAATTCTTAGCCAGGCCTCAAAGTGAAGGCTTGGGTGCTACTGTTAGAAGAAGCATTGGCAGGTCAGCAGTTGTTTTCATCAATTATTATTATTTCATTTTTAGGGTTAAAAAAAATCAAGATTACATTTTTATTTATTTATTTATTTTTATTTTTTTGTTTTTTCGCAGATTTGAGCTGAAATATTTTGACCCTTTTCTTGTTCTGGATGAATTCTCAGGTGGGTTGTCTCTGTTTTTTTTTTTTTTTTTTTTTTTTTATAAATTTTTTTATTGAATCTTGATTTTTAGTTATGGAAGTTTTTATGAAATACTTTACTTATGTTAAATTTTATGGTTTTACAGTTTCTGCTCCAGCTGGATTTCCTGATCACCCACATAGAGGTTAATTTGATTTCAAAACAATATTTATTTATTAAATATACAAGCAATATAATCTAATATATATAATATAAGTAATCTTCTAATTAACTAAATTCTCAAGATTTTGGATTCACATGCTAACTAATTACAGTTATTTCTGTTTATTTTCGTCGCCTTACAATAGGGTTCGAGACGGTCACCTACATGCTGCAGGTATTAAACCATAGCTACATTGCTACTATGCTTTTTTCAACATTTTTATTTCTTCGTTAACGTACTAATTCAATTCGATATTTTATTTTTTTTGGTTGGTATTTTCGGGCCGGATCATCATTAATTATTAAATCGGCCGGCCGGTAGCTAATCTTACTGTCTAAAAAATCATTATTTACTAAAGAAAGCAACATAAAATCATTTGTTTATTTAAGTTGACCAATAATTAATATATTCCAAATTATAACTTAAACATGCCGTAATCATGTTCGTTAGGGGCCGCCCGCCTCGCTGTATCCGCAGTAAAAAAAAATAATAAAATAAATAGTACTATAATTAAAAAAAAAATCGGATGAACGAAAATACTTTTTAATTTTTTTTTTGGCGAAGAAAATGTTATTATTACTAATATTAATAATAATATTTAAAAATATGAATTGGTCAGGGTGCAGTGACACATGAAGATTTTGAAGGGCACAAAGGCACAATAGAAGCAGGTGATTTACAATGGATGACTGCAGGCAGAGGCATTGTTCATTCTGAAATGCCTTCTTCTCATGGTACTCAAATTGGCCTACAATTATGGATTAATCTCTCCTCCAAATTTAAAATGTAACTCTCTCTCTCTCTCTCTCTCTCTCTCTCTCTCTCTCTCTCTCTCTCTCTCTCTCTCTCTCTCTCTCTCTCTCTCTCTCTCTCTCTCTCTCTCTCTCTCTCTCTCTCTCTCTCTCTATGTGTGTGTGTATATATATGTATGCCCTTTAAATTGAAACACTAATGAAAGAGACACATTTGAAAATGATATCCAAAAGTTTTGACTCTCTTTTTGCTAGTGGGATTTAATCATTTAATGAATTAAAAAGAAAAAAAAATTAATTATTAATTTTTATTTTTTATTTTGAAACAATTAGGATGGAGCCAAGGTATCAAGAAATGAGCAGCAAGGACATTCTAGAAGCATCAAAAGATGGGGTAAAAGTACGAGTAATTGCAGGCGAGGCGTTGGGGGTGACGTCACCAATATACACCACGACTCCGACAATGTATTTGGATTTTACGATTAAGCCCGGGTCCCACGTTCGACAACCTATACCCCTATCGTGGAATGCGTTTGTTTATGTGCTGGAGGGGGAGGGTAGATTTGGAAATTCACGTTCATCGGCCACCGTATCGGCCCATCACATTGTTCTTCTCGGGCCGGGCGACGGCCTTGAGGTGTGGAATAAATCGTCGAAATCGGTACGGTTTGTTCTGATTGGAGGGGAGCCGTTGGGCGAGCCCGTCGTGCAGTACGGCCCGTTTGTGATGAACAGTCAAGAAGAGATTGATCAAACTATTGAGGATTATGAGAATTGTGTTAATGGATTTGAGAAGGCTAGGCAATGGAAATCTGAGTCTAGTGCTTTTCTTGGTTATTAATTAGATTTTTTTTTTAATTAATAATATTGTTGTTATTGTTATTTTGTTTCTAACTTTTTTATTTGAATGTAATTCAGAATCAAGAATGCCGTTAGATATAAGTAACGAAGATTATGCATGTAGTTGGTCGAAGGGTATTTTAGGAAGTTTAGATATTATGGTTATCTATAAACCTTACAATTCATTCCGTTTTCATACATGTATAAAATCTCGTAACAAGGTCAAACCTCGTCGCATAATCATAGATGTTACGACCTACAAATTCTGATTTTGGAACAATCTCTTTTCATTTCAAATTTCGAAATTTCGATTTCTAATTTTTTTTCAAAATTCTAGGAAAATAATTAAACTTAAATTTTTTCACTTCCGAAATAAATTAGATTTTTTTTTTCTAGAAAATGTCGATTCTAATTTCGATCGATCCGATTTTAACCCGACGACGATAGTTTTTTCTTCAATAATAAAGATGGACTCTTAAGCCCGGAAGCCTTAAACGGGCCTAACTATTTAGTAGGATTAAAAAATTGGTCCATTAAATTAAGTGGTGATTTAGGCCCATATATAGAGAGAGACAAAAAAAGCTAAAAGCTAAAAGCTAAAAGCAATATGTGCATGGGAGTGATATGATACGCATGAAGCTCATCAACTAAAAGGTGACAACTATCAAAACTTTGTAATATAATGTACTTGTGATCACTTGTAATTTTCACCCATACTTCCATAATTACTTTTTATTTTATAAGAAATTTTACTATTAATACAAAATAACATTACTATATTTATTGGTTTTTCCAATACTACTTACACCGGTCGTACAATTCGCGGACTGCTGTGCAAGGACGAGTTTATCCAGTGTACATATATATTATTATCCAATATATTAATTTATTTATCTTAATAATTAAGTTGTGATACAAAACAATATATTAAATTTATAATGAGGAAAAAAAAATCAAGAAATAGAAAATAATCCATATTAATACAGATGACCAATGAACCAAAACTCTTGTGCCCTCCTATGAAATTGGAGTTTCCATTGATCTCTCTCCCTCTCTCCTCACTTTCTCTCTCTATATCCCAAAAAGGACTCCTCACGAGAGCGGAATTCCTCCTATATGGCATTTCTCCTTCTCCTCACAATCCCCTTTTCTTTCTCCGAGGACAGCTCTTCAATTCCATTACCAATCCACATTCGCTTTAATTGACGAGTTGTTTTTTTATTGGAAGGAGGAAGAAAAAAAAATTAGAAAAAAAAAATTTAATCTTGAAGGGTATTATTTAGGAATCCACAATTCCGGCGGTGGGGGATCTCATTCCTCCGGGCAAATTTGTGGGGAAAGAGATGCCGATCGCTGTGAAGAAGGAGGAGGATGCCTTTAGGAGATCCTCTAATTCGCTGAGCTTCAAAAAGCTTGTTCCCAAGGTTCTGCGCAGCACTTCCATGAAGAACCTCTTCAAATCGAAGAAACCTAGAACTCCTCTTGAGGTTGTCGCCGCCACCACGGAATTGCTCCTCTACATCGATTCCGCTGCTGATGATTCCTCCCAGAAACGCAATGACAAGGTTCAATTTTATGTTTTTTGAAATTATTTTTGCTTGAATTGCGACGTTGTTTTTTAGGGTTTGTTCTTGCATGTTTGATTTACATGTTTTGGATTCGAGCTTTGCCTGTTTTGTCCGCCTTATATGTGAATTGTGTATCTGGATTCTGGATTGATTCCTCTGGAGAAGAAACAAAATGATGCCATGAAATTAAAAAAAAAAAATAACATAAAAATTCCAAAGGGGTTTTACTGCCTTTAGAAACTTAGACGAAGCTTGAATTCATGAACTCTGTGCTAGTCTTTAGCATGTTGCTCGTTTGTTAATCGTAGTTTTACGGAAAGTAGCTCGATCTTTGTGCTGATAGAATGCATGGATTTCCATGGACTTGTTTTTCCTGATTCCTCTTTGTTTATGCTAGTTTCCGTGTTCGAATTACAATTGTCATTTCCCTCGTTATTTTCGGAATACAGAGTCTTTTTGTTTTTTCTCCAGTTGGAACAATTAGATGTCTGTATCAGAGAGCTGAAATCAATCCTATACGGCATTGACGAGTCCGAACCTGCTCCAGAAGCTTGTGCTCAACTGGCTCAGGAATTCTTCAAGAACGATACTATGCGCCTCCTCATTATCTGTCTCCCAAAGTTGAACTTTGAGGTGGGCCCTACTTGCTTTTTTTGGGACACATTTTCTCGTTCTTTTTTGCTTATCGTAGATATCATTTTCTTCTTTCTGTGTAGGCTCGTAAAGATGCCACTCGTGTCGTAGCAAATTTGCAAAGGCAATGTGGTGTGTCAAAATCGCTTGCTTCTGAGTACTTGGAAGCCAATCTTGATCTTATGGATTTGTTGGTTACTGGGTGAGTTATATTAGTTTTTTTTTTTTTAATCATATTCTGATGAATCTTATTGTTTGAAACCCGGGAGGGCTACTACATTTTAAATTTGCCGAACACTGAATTACAGTTAATTTAATCAGGTACGATGATCCTCTAAATGCTTTGCATTTTGGTGGAATGTTGAAGGAGTGCATACGACATCAGGTTGTTGCTGGGTAAGAACAATGGCTTATTTTCTGTTTGTTAATTTTTTTTATTCCTGTATGCTTCTTCTATATGGTAATATATATATACTGTGTTTAACATCTGAAGGTACGTCTTGAAGTCGGAGCATATGAAGAAGTTCTTTGATTACATCCAACTTCCAAATTTCGATGTTGCTTCGGATGCTGCTGCTACCTTTAAGGTTGTTTTTTCATTATACTCGTAATCTCTCACTCTGTCACTTAGTAACAGTTGTTTCTTCACTAATCGTGTTGATTTTTGCAAATATTAAATATCTACGGCATAGATTACTCATATGACCGAAGCTCTATGTTATCTTTGATTCTTGCAGGAGTTAATGACACGGCACAAGTCCACGGTTGCAAAGTTTCTGACAGAAAATTATAATTGGGTATGCTTTCAGTATTCTAGTGTAGTCGTGTTCTTTTACATATAAAGTGGAAACAAAAACTACTTTTTCTTTTCTTGTTTCGACATTTCACTTGATCACTCCTTTCATCTCTTGCTTCATACCCTACTTTATCTCTCAGTTCTTTACGGATTTCAACTCGAAGTTGCTCCAATCTGCAAATTACATGACCAGAAGACATGCTGTCAAGGTATTAAGGGCCTGAGATCAAACCCTTTTTCTATGTTATGATCGAACAAATGCCATTGAATTTAAAAAAAAAAGTTTAATAGTTATATTTGAATTGTAAATGCTAAACACTTTCTTCAATATTCAGCTCCTTGGAGATATTTTGCTCGATCGATCAAATTCTGGTATTATGGTACGATATGTCAGCTCAATGGACAACATGAGAGTTCTGATGAATCTTCTGAGGGTAATTAATATACGATTCCAAAATCTTCATTATTATTATTAATAATTTTTTGCCTAGAGCTGTTCCGATTTATATTATCCATGGCATCTTTATTTCAGGAATCACACAAGACCATCCAGATTGACGCGTTCCATGTGTTCAAGGTTTCAACTGAATCACTTCATATTTAGTTGGCAAAAATCTCGATAAATTTCGTCTACTTTAACCTTTTTTTTTTCTTTTTCGGTGCAAATTTGCAGCTTTTTGTGGCTAATGAGAACAAGCCTAATGATATCATCAACATACTGTGTGCCAATAGGAGCAAACTTCTTCGGTTTTTCGACGGCTTCAACGTCGATAAAGGTAGTAAAAAGTTCTTGTGTAGTTATCAGATATTTATACATATGTGTGTATATATATATATGGTGCAATTAATTCTGAATACTTTGTAATTATGAGCAGAAGATGAAATGTTTGAGGCAGACAAAGCGCAGATAATGAAAGAGATAGCTGAACTCGTACCGACAACTCCGATGAACTGCTCCGGAGAATTGTTCAAACCGATGATAGTTTAAGTTGCAGCTGTGTTCTATATATTCTCTGCAAATATGTTTTTTTTCTATTAATTATCCATAAAAAAATATATATATATGGAAGTGAGAATTGCTAGTTATCTGCCTTTCAATTCCTTTCAATATTTATAGTTAGTTGATTTGCTACTTTCTCAAAATTGCTTCCACAGTATTTCACAAATTATTATTTAACCTAAAGTTTTGTGTATTTTATTTTTCATTTTTGAATCTGTTGGATGTATTTTCATTATTCTTAATGTTGTTTTTATATACATTGGAATTCTATAATATAAAATACATAAATAACAATGATATCGGATTTTTTTTTCAAATGTTTGGAATTATTTTCAAATATTAAAATTGGATCGTAAATTAAAATCTCGTATGTAATTCTAATTTCAATCCGTTTTTTTTTAAATAACACATTTGATATTATAATGTTAAATTCGTAAATTTTCTTTCTAGTTTCTACATATTTAAAAGTTCGATTTCTTCTTAAAAGAAAAATAGTCGATTATCCATGAAAAAAGTGATTTTCCGGACCCGGATCCGGATCCGAATACCAATTATTTGTTTTAATAATTTTCCCCCTTTATTCCACATCTCAGACTTTCTCCGATCACCAGCCACAAGTTACCACCGTCCACCGCCGCCACTCGTCTCACTTCGCTGATTTCGCAGCTGCCTTAAAGCACCTTCGCGGCGTCGCCACTCGCCGCCACAGTCTCAAAATCTCCTATCGTGAAACCCTAGCCGCCCAATTTTCAGGTAATTGTTGTCGTCGATTTACTTCTTACGTTCAACTTCTTACCAATCATCAGTTTTAAGTTTTAGGTTTTAATCTAACCTGTGCAATATGTGTTATCGGCTTAATTACTTGTTAAAATTTTAATTAGCAGATGTAAAAGGAGAATGATTAGTTGAACTCTGCACTTTAATGGCTAAAATGTTTAATTAGCGATTATAATTTTTTTTTTGTTTGTTAAATTATCCCACCATTTGAACCCAGTCAATGAGCTGTGATTGTATATCTGTATTTTCATTCACCATGGCTGGGGTTAGATTAGCTCAAATAAGAGATCGGCAACCTAATTGAAAATATAAATAAATTTCGAAGAGAAAACGCAGTTTCACTCTTTTGTATAGTTAGGTAATAGGACAGTTATTAACAAGTCATTAGACGATGTAGTGAAGTGAAGTCGTACTCGGATAAACATTATGTATCGTAATTCTTGTATTCACAGTTCACAATAATGCTAGTGAATGATCGTTTTTCCTTCTTTTTTTTTTCCCTTCAGTGCAGTGCAGACGAATACATTCACTTTTATTGGGAGTCAATAACTATAGTTTGAGATGGTTTTGTGCTTCGACGGTACCCCTAAAAATTTGGCGCAATTGGGGGCGCTATTTATTGCCGGTGGCTCATTGTTTCTATTTGGCTTGCATCTTTCACATGTGAACGCTGCTCCTCAACAAGCTCGGATCCAAGCTCGGAATGACTTTGTCAGAGAACGATTAAGAAAGAAATATGGGAAATAATAATACTAATAATGTTGTGTTCCGGTGATTCAACACGGATACTAACAATTTGTTCTTATTTTAGTTCGATAATGGGAGGGCTTCGTGCAAAGAATATATGCAGCTTCAACACAACATTCATCGGTAACTTTCAAAAACCCGGCTTAAATTATGTAGTATTTGTTTAGTGATTAAGTAGGTGCTTCGTTCTTGACAGCATGTTTTGTTTTTACTCGTATCTCCTTGTGAAACCTTATGCATTTGCTTTGGTTCTTTCTAGTTGGTTCAAGATCGAACTTTGGAGTTAATAGCTCAAACTGTTCGGTAATTTGTCTTGTTTATTATTTCAGCGAATGTACATATCCGTTGATGATTCTAAATTTTTGATTTGTAAATAAAAAAAATCATTTCAATTTTCAAAATTTCGACTGATTTATACTATCACTTCGCACTTCTAATTACATATCCTCGCAAATTTTACTAGTAAGCATCAAGTGATAAGACACTAGGGATAGCTACCCCGGCGTACAACAGTAATTAAGCCAAAAGTCGAGCAATTAGCCAATGAAGAAAAATTAACATGTCTCGAGAAATCAGTAGTATGACAATCGAAAAGTTCAATATAACTTACGAAAGCTCATTTTGTTCCTTACATTGCAGAGAAAAGGAATACAAAGATCAAGAGCCGTCTACGAATTAAAATTCTATCGGCAAAATTTAAGCACCGGCACTCTTTCCTTTCTTCTTCTGGAGTTTCTTCATGTAGAACTCCAATTCCTTACCCTCCAAAATATACCTGTTTTCAAGAAACACGAACAGAATTAGCGCACACATACAGTGTCTAACTATAATTGAAACACAAAAATACAACACCCTAATATAGATGCATGCAACATGAGTTAAAACATAAAAGATTTTTAAGGGTTCGATCATAACTAATGCAACTTCGAAAATACATACCCGTCTGCACGGCCACACTGGCCAGGACGAGAGGAAATTGCAGCTAGCAAACGGCCACCCCCGAATTGCTCCTCAATATGTTGGTCAATTGTGCGCTCCTCTTGACGCTTTTCGAGTTTCCTCAACACATGTTTGCTCTTCTTCACTTCTTCGGCTGCAGCAGCCTCAGTCTCCTAAACAAGGTCAATAAAAAAAATAGCCGAGAATTAAGGAGCAATCTCAAATTTTACGAAGCTGAAATCACAAACATAGAATTGCATAAACAGTCTCAAATATTTTGGGACTTATCCAAATTAAGTACAGATACTGATAGATCAGTGAGCAACCAAGAAAAGCAAGAGAAAAAAGGTCGATTATACCTCTCCTTCCTTCTTAGCGGCAGCCTTCTTCTTGCGGCCGATTTCAACTCCGTAATGCTGAAGATACCACTGCTTGAAAGGTGCAGCATCCACTTGAATAATAGCCCCTTTCACCAAAGTCTGGGTCCTAACCAATTCATTATTTGACGCATTATAAACAACGTCGAGAATACGTGTCTTACGGGTTACAGCTTCACTCCCCCACGAGAAGTTTCCTGTATCCAACCTCAGGGCCCGCCACTTCACATTACCTCCACGAACTCTCACCCTTCGCACAGTCTTGTTGCTCGACAGCTTCGTGTTTGCTGGCTGTCTTCCGAGCTCATACCTAGTAAGTAATACACGATTAAATTAGCTAATCGATCATCAAAAACTTAACTTTGCAGATTCAGTCAACAAATTACTAATTCAGTGTTGATTACTTAACTTTCTAATCACAAATACGCGCGAATAATTAGAAAATCGTGCTTAAAAGGCTTGGATTAAACGATACATATAGAAGCAGCGATTGACCTAGAATCAAACGTAAACAAATACAGGCAATTCATGAATGGGTATAGAAAAAACAGAAATATAAATCATAATTGAAAAATCAAATATATATTATTCAAAAAGAAATGATTGAATTGAAGAACGAGAATTACTTTCGCTTCTTCCTCCACGCCTTCATTTTTCCTCCGGTGGCGCGTCTCTTGTGCATCGAATCTCGTGAGATACCTGAGAAACAGACGCCATTTTCATCACATTTTTCTCCAGAAGACAAAACGGAAAGAGCAATTCTGAATTCATGTTAAAAAATTGATATTTTTACCCATGATTTCGGGCTCTTGATCGAAGAGTTCCGATTAATCGGCGACGGAATGCAGCACGACTGAAACGGCGGTGGAATTGCAACCCGGCAAGAGAGAGAAGATAAAACAATGAAGGTCTCTAGGGATTTAAATTAAACCCGGCCAAAAACCCTATAAGTGAAATTACATGTATACCCCCCACCCCCGCCGCCGTATTTCTTTTTCACACAGTAAATTTAAATTACTCATCTCCGCATCCTATCTTTGCTTTAATTCACCTGAGACACCGCTACTTTATAGAATTACTAAACGACCCCAAAATGGAAAAGTGAAATTACTCTAGAAAGACCACTTTACCCTGGAGTAACTTTGATATTTTCCTTTTCACCCTTCTTCCTTGGAAGAATCGAAGAAAAAAAGAACCTATTCCGATTCCCCTCTGCGGAATATTTCAACTCTGTTTCGTTAAAGGAAATGCCGATTGCAAGAATTTGATACAAACTGCAAAATTTTATTGGTGCTTTTGAGCTTCTGAAGATGGGGTTTTCACTTGCTGGTTCGACTTCATTACGGCAATGCTACCTAAACAGAAGTAATTCACGAAAGATTCCGTCTATTGACGGAAACCGGAAGCTCGCCGTGAAGTTCAATTTTTCTGGGCGGCTTCACGGAATGGCAAAATCGAGAAGGTATATTTGCTGCAAGTCGGACGGCGTCGTTTTTGAGGAGAGAACAAGCCCTGCAGAGGTATATTTGATGCAATTGAACTTTTTTCTTTTTTTTTTTTATGGTGAAAGATTGCGCCTTTTTTTCTTTCTGTTTTAGTTTTTGATTTTAGTATAATGCAATTAAAATTTATATGATTTCTTTCTTCAAGCATGTAGAATGTTGTTGTTCAGTGATTGATTGATTGATTGATCGACACCTATGAATAAATGTTTGAGCTACAATGAGTTGTTCTTAAGCATAATGATGTATGTTCACCCCGTTGTTTCGTTCGATTCTGAAACGGTTTCTTTTCGAGAAGTAGGTGAAGAAAGAAATCGAGCAATGCTACGAGCTTATAAACCAACTCGGCAGAGGGGTTGTGTACTTGGGTTCAGCAAGGTTGGGGCCTAACCATCCACATTATTCACAAGCATTTGAATTGGGGAAGGAAGTACGTTTATCGATCTTACTCTAGCTTTTACTTCTATATCCGATTTCCTATTTATAAGGCATAAGAAGTTTCTTGATGTTAGGCTCTCAAATTGCTATTTTCGGTTTTTTTTTTTTTTTTTTTTTTTGGCAGATTGCGATGCTTTTAAATTGTACTTCATGGTCAGGGGCGGGTCCCGGCCTAATGGATGCCGTGACTAAAGGCGCCCTCCAAGCAGGGAAACCCGTTGGTGGATTTAAGATAGCTAAAGAAGCTGGAGAATGGACTGCTACGAATTTCCACCCGTACCTACCGTTAGACACCTATTTAACTTGCAGGTGAACATTAAAAAAGAAAAAAAAAGTCATTCTTGATTTAAGAATCTTCACTTGTGAAATGCTTTATACTTTGTGTAGATTCTTTTCTGCAAGAAAGCACGGGTTAGTGGATGCTGCTGCTAGAGCATCTAATTCGGATAAAACGGCTGTTGTTGTTCTGCCAGGTGGAATCGGTACACTGGACGAGGCGTTCGAAATCTTGGCATTGATTCAACTTGAAAGGATCGGATCGGTTTTTCCCGTTCCGTTTATTCTGATGAACTATGATTCGTTTTACTCGAAGCTGTTGGAATTCATCGGCGATTGTGAGGGCTGGGGTACTGTGTCGAACGGTGAGGTGGCGTCCTTGTGGAAGGTTTGCAATACTAACTCGGAAGCTTTGGCTTATCTGGCAGAATATTATGTACTGTCTCCTACCGATGAAGGTAAGAGCATCTCCTTGTTGGGAAATGACCAAGAATCTTTACTTTTGTAGACTTCGATTGTTGTACCTTCATATTTGTCATCAATCTATTAGAATATTTATCATTTATCGATTAAAATTTGAGAAATGATAAGAATCTTTTTTTTCTGCTGAATCTATGATATCCATGTTCGTATAGTAGTACGTGTTATCGATTTCTTGGAGCGGTTTATGAGTTCATAGAGTAGTTAATTATCGAAATTCTTCGATAAATGAAGAAACTAGACATTGTTTACACAAGACTAAACAATAGTTTATTCAAATGTTCCATGATACAAATAGAGGAAAGAAAAAAAAAATCGGAGACTAACGAGCTTCTAAAAATGTGCTCGTAACCGAAACAAAAACAAGACTACCGAGCTTCTAAAAAAGTGCTCGTAGACAAATAAACTCAACTGAAATAAAAAATATATATATTTCAGTTGTGTGTAGAGTAGTGCAACACAATCTCACATGATTGTGCAACATTCGATATCTTCACCACGATAACCACGCCCGTAGTTCTGATAATCCTGTCTGTAATCGTTATGGTTGCAATCATATCCATAATCATAAGATTTTGGATAATCGTGTCCATAATCATAAGCTTGATTATAATCACTCGGGAGCGGATAATAATCCTGGTTGTTGTGATTGTGGGCGTACTGATCGTAATAATCTTGGTAGTTGTGGTGGCTTTGATTGTGGGCCGTTGATCTGAGACCGTCTTGTGAAGGTAGCTTCGGACGGGTCAGATCGCCATAATGGAGGTATCTCCCGTCTTGCGAGTAGGTGGTGGGCCCACCGTAGTACCCTCCGTTATTCGTGTGCTTCACGGGCATGAATAAATTGCTGGAACACTCGCCGAACTGTAACCAACGCAGCTCCGCTTTGCTTCCGGATTTTCCGAGCATTTTCAGCAGCATGCTTGGATCGACTGCGCCGGCGATTTCAACTACTCCGTGGTCGTCCATTCTGAAACTGTATATGCCTATGGATAGATACATTTGGTTAGACAAAAAATCTTGTTTTTTTCAAGAAAACGAAAAACGGACGAAACGTGCGTACCGTGACATTTGTTCAACACTTTGGTAACAGTTCTTTGCCAAGACGACCGAGTGTTCACCTTCACAAGACAAGTCTGCAGGATTACCAGTAAACTTATCAAATGGGGAAGACGAATTCGAAATATTAAAAATCGAAAATAAATAAATAAATAAATAAATAAAGAAAATGAAGAATGTGTTTGACCATGAATGGATAGTCTTTGGCAACAAGGTTGAAGTTGTAATTGGGCGCCATTGATGAGAAGAGATACTGATTTTTGAAGCTTTTTTTTTTAATTTTTAATGAGGATGGAAATGTGTAGTTTTTGGGGATAAATGGATATACTTTTATAACATAATTAAATTATGGTTTATGGTAATAAAATCTTTGGTCGGTTATCTTGTTTTTTTTAATTTTTGGGAAATTTTCTTAAAATAAATACTAATAAATAGAATTCAACTGGAGTTATTCTGCATTGCTTATTATCCATTTAAAACGAATGATTTATTTCATTTATTTTGTCAATGTATTTATTTGATCTTATCTACTATTTTGATATCCAAGATCAATTTTCTTGAATACCTTCCATATTTTCTTGAATAACTTCTATATTGCGATTCCAAATCGATCGTTAAAAGCCCGTTTCATTGATGTAATAAACCAATGTATTTTCATTTGACGAGTTAAGATGATAGTTGGAGCTTGAAATCGAATAAAATATGTTTAAAAAATTGAATTTATCGAGCTTGATTCATGTTCGATTAAAGCTCGTTTCGACCTTGACTAGATTACTTATCAAACCAACATCAAACCGATAGTTAAGGAAAAGTTCTTTGACATTGGCATCTCTGTATTATTATTATTTTTTTTTATGAAGGAACTCGTAGCCAATCATATAAGTGTATTGGGTTAAACTACACTCTCGTAGAATAACTTGTAAATAATACGAGAGACGTAAATCACGATGGGCTCTCTATGATTGATTATTTGATTTAATGTGAGGCAAGCTTTTAATTATGGCTGAATTAAAATCTACAAAGTTGTAATTAATTATTATAATACAAAAAAAGTTACCAAAATTCAAACAGAAATGTGTCAAAAGACAATACATCAATGATCAATCTAACCAAATTAATTGCACCGTCCTAAAAAAACGAACGTGCAAATTATATTTATATTTTCATCAATCGTAATTACATTATACAGCAACATTCAACGCTTTCGCCGCGCGTGGAGTACACCCGCCGCCGTGTGGCCGGCAGCGGCGGACAGCTGTACTCGTCACCGTAATAGCCGTACCCGTACAAATGCTGCGGATAGTAGTACTGGTGGACGGCGCCGTGGCGAAAGGGGAAAAATCTACCATCTCCGACGGCGAGGGCGGAGCTGCGGTGGTGGTGGTGGTAATTTAGGTTGGAGGAGAGAAACAAGTTGGTGGAGCAATGGCCGAACTGAAACCAACAGAGTTCGGCGGCCCGGCCAGCTTTCCCCAATCTCTTAATCAGAAGATTCGGATCCACCATACCCGACACTTCCACGGTACCGTATTCATCCATTTTGAAGCTTCTCACTCCTTTCATTAATTAATTCACCATTTATTTAACTTAATTAATTAATTAAATTCCCCCAATTTAAATGCATATTAATTATTAATTAAAGTACCTTTGCTGCTGCTTAACACTCCTCTAACTGCCTTCTGCCATTTCGGAGTTTGGTAATTCACTCTCAAAATACAAGTCTAAAAAAAATTAAAATTAAAATTAAAACAATAAAATTGTATTATAAAATGAGAGATGATGATGATTATTATCATTTATACCGTACCATGAATGCTTGGTCGTCATAAAATCGACGTGAAATTTCCATGAGTAGAGAGTTGAGTTCTTTTTTTTTGGATTATTAGGAGTTTTTTTTTTGGATTAGGAGTTTATAATCAAATGTGTTTAAAGAGTAATTAAATGTAGTAGGAATGTAGGATTTGGGTGGAGTTTCTGGTTTTATTTCAAAGTAATTAAATGAAAATCGCGCAAATCTCGTTGATTATATCTTAATCACAGTGGATTTGGAGGATTATAATCCTTGTCTTAAGAATCTCCTGGTTTTGGTAAGAAATCTCTTCCATTAAGATTAAAGAGGATAAAGTTTACAGTTGCCGCCAATTTTAAATCGAAATAAGCTATTAGAAATCGATTCTTAAAAGATCATAGGCTCGAGCTCAATTGGAAAATAATGATAAATATTTATTAAAAAAATAAAAAAAATTATGTTACTCGAGAACAATTCACGTTTGTCTTGATTAAAATTCGTCTGAATTCGACTCTATTGCAGTTATTGAAGATATTAATAGTAAACGATACATTTAACAACTTAAATAAACTTCAAACGCAAAATGGCAATACCAGAAACAAAAGCCGCCAAAAAAAATAAATAAAGAAAAACTCAAGCATCAAGCAAAGAGGCATAATTGGTCAATTTAACATATAACCGTCGCGATAGACTCATTTCCTTAGTATAGATCGGTAAAATGACGAAAACGAGTCCTTGAGTTCGTTTGGCAAGGGTAGTGCCAAAGGATGAAGAGCACTAAAATGCTGCCTCGTATTAACCCCAACGGTAAAAGACTGAGCAAGGGCTGGCTGCTGCTTATTAAGACCTTCGATTATAAACGAAAACGCCCCAAATGTCAGACAGCTTTGTAGCAGAGCTTGAGGTGGACCTTAACAACATACACAAGAAAAGCAACAATCGTTACATATTTAGTTACCTTTGAAGCAATGAGCCCGTTGTATAACGTAAAATCGTTGTGACGAGTAAAATTACAGTACCTGGGATGCTTAGTGCAAGGCCCGTGCAACAACCAGCGACACCTGCATTTATCACTACCGAAAAAATAGACGAGTCAAATGGAAAAAATAAAAATGGCATCTAATCGAGCCAAGTAATGTATTTTCACGAGAAGAGGATTTACCATCGTCTTTGCCTCGTAATCTCTTCAGAAAGCAGATAACTAAACTGTGAACTCCGGATAAAACTGCAAATGTCTACAGAGGAAAGTTAAACCCGATGTCAAATACTGTAATCCATGACAAGAGACGGAAAGACACGAGTAACTATTACGTAACCTTGGCTGAAGATCCAGCCTCTGCGAAGGATCCTTTAAAGCCCTTCCTCTGGATTAATCCAGAACCTAATACACAAAGACGAAGAATCCCAACGGTAAGCTTCGATAAATCTTATTCCGAAACTACGACACGAGAATCATTACACGAGTCATAAGTTCACGTAACTCTAAGCATGACGATCATTACACGAGTCGGCAATACAATCCAATACAAGAAAATCAACCGACGGAGTTCGGTAATTTTCTATTTTACTTGAAAGCGGATGATTGATTTGACCACAATCCCAGCTGCTTCTTTAAACAGATGTTGTTATAATTAACTCTAGTTGAACAAATCCAAACAAGCACCAACTAAATATAAATGCATTCTGAGAAAGAAAAAAAAAACTAATATTTAACACAACATTAAGAAATCACCGACAAATTCAAACAAGATAAAAAATTAGCCTCCAGAATTACTGAAACCTACAATTAGGCGCCTAATTACACAGTGAAATTGCATTATTTCAAACCAAACAAAATACCAAATGAAGGAAGCAATAACTAATTAATTATCAGGAGGGAATCAAAAAAAGCATATGATTACCGTAGCCAAAAACGGAGCCCATGAAAGCGCCGGCGGCGGAATCACCGGCGAACCTGACGAGGCAGACAAGGGGAGGAATCGACGGATTGGTTTTGACCAGAGAGGCAGACGTAAAAGTGGCATTGGGCTCTGGATTTTTCTCAATTTCTGAGTCGGAGTCGGAATTCGAAGGGTTCGCCGGCGTCGGCATTCTATATCGGAAACACGATAAACCCTAAAAAATTCGCCCAATCCAAAGCTCTGGGTTAATTGTTTGCAGAGATTGATAGAAATTCCATTTTTTAATTCCGATAATCAACAAATTGAACGACGACGACGTCGTATCGAATAAAATCATGTTTATATATAATAATTGTGCATTAATCTTAATTAGTAATTGAACAACACTGCATTAAACAAAACTAATAATAGTTGTCCTGTAATTGTAATGGTAGCCATGATTACAGCTTTTGACGGCGTCGTTTGGGACAATGCGAAATGGGATTGCAATCTGCATGTCATCTGCGTGTCAAATTTAGTGGATTTATTTAGATTATACGAAATATTTTTGATATACCTAAATGGGCCGGCTCAATGGGCCGGCCCAATGGGCCTCAAATTTATCTACTAATTAGGCCCACTACACGAAAAGCCCAAACACCTTCAAAGTAAGGCTTGGGCCCAACAAAGTAAGTCCGACCCAATCACCGATATATAAATAGATGTTTTACTCATTTATTGAGGTACGTTCTAATTATTCACAATCAATCTCGAGTTTATTCTCTCTACTATCTCTACGATCCGTACATCTGACTTGAGCGTCGGAGGGGTTTCCGCCGGATCAACCCCGGCTTAGTTCACTTGTGCTTATTTTGTAGGAACCTCAGGATCATCGAGTTGACTAGCTACTGATCAGCTTTGCTCTCCCAGCTCGTTTTCTATATTACTTCGGTGAGCTATATTTTAGCATCATCATTTTTCTAGTTTATACACGTTTTAACTAATTCGAGTTCCACATTTTAAAACAAGATGATTATAAAAGTGTTTTTTGGTTTGTAAATATCATGTTGTGGTGCATCATAAATTGTATTTTTGTACAAAATATGTATAAACTAAAGAACATTTCCTGAAATTTAGAAAATTATGTTGAATTTGAAACAATAAACGTGGAATGGACGTGTACGAAGCTTCATAATTGAGAGGGGTGACTATAATTACTTAAACATGAGGGGTATTTTGTAATTTGACATTATCTCAGGTAGGTGGTTGTAAATTACCTTTTTTTTGTTTTTTTTTTTTTTTTTAATATACATTTATATAGTATCAAATAAATACATAGTATTTGTAACAAAGAACAAATAAAATTATAGAAATTAGGATTATATGACACGTTTATTTTCTAATGTTCCACTAAGATCATCGTAGTGGCAATTCTTGAAAATTTGAAAAGGGCTCGAGTGCTATTTAATTAGTACTATTATTATTAATAATTATTATTATATTTATCGTTTGTGGAATAGGGCATCGTCCCTCTATGCATATCAAGATATAATTAGGCAGTAATTAACTATGGTTGGGGACAAGACAATTATTTCTTTAACTTCAAAAGTCAATTCTTTTATTAGTTTTCTACTTGTTTTTATTTAGTATATTTTATATATGATATATCGAAAACAAAATATTATTTATTTATTTATCAAAGTGATGGAAGAATGAATGTTAGTTCACCGACATTGTTTTTTTATTTTTATTTTCTCTTTTTGAATTTGGGTTTTATTGTTTGAAAATAGAATTAACACTAGGAAAATAGAATTAACACTAGATAAATACAACATAACATAAATTCAGTGGAAATGTATTATATTAGGCATGTTCAAAAGTCTTGTGTAGAGTAAATAACTTCAAAGTTGCAGCAGGTAAGGACAAATGAGTAATTTAAAGTTTCACTTTGTGGAAATTAAGAAAGATAGTTAAAATAATGAATACTGATTAATTGGACACATCGTAATTGGGAATAAATTAAATACACTTTTGCTTTTGAATAAAAATTGAATTTGTAGGGAGAATATGAGCTGAGGAAAAGGCTTATTAGAGCAACTTCAATCGAGAGATATCAAAATGGAGCATTAAATATTTATTTGATGCTTTATATAATACTTTAATACTCTTCAAAAAAAAATTCACTCCAATAACAAGTATCAAATACATTATCAAATTTTAAGTATATGAGTAATTATATTTTTAAATGCCACGTGTCAAATAGTGATAAGTTACTTGGGTGGTTATTATTTTTGATACCTCATTTTCCAGGGAGTATTTTTGCACCTCGGGTTGGTTGTGTATCAAAATGATTCTCACTTTAATTCTCTATTGGAGAAGAATGTTTTAATTTTAAAATATCAAAGTGGTAGTTTTTTAATTTGATACCTCATTTAGTGTCTCTATCTTAGTACTTATTACGGACCAAAAGCAAAAAAGATAACCATCCATCACCCTTTATATTTTTCTTTATTTTAGTGGGAATTTTTTTTTTCTTTTTTTGCATTTTTTATCGAGCACCAAAAACAGGAAATTTATGACATAATCTTCACTTTTTAGGACCATTGATTAGTGCAGATAAGTTGGAAAACATGCGTGCACTTTAGCACGAGGGATAGAGATAGATACATATATATGGCGTTCGATTTTGGGCCTACCTAAATTATTTATTCAGCTCGTTAACTCAAATTCATCAAGGCTGCCTAACTATTCAGAAGCCCAGCATTTGAGACTATTTGAATCTGGTTAAACTGTTGGAAGACTCTAGATTCTTGATATTAACTACTGATTTTTCACTGATTGCTTTAAACTGTTCATTCTAGGTATTTTACATCCGCCTCCCCTACAAACTCTAATTTTTTTATCTTCTTTTCTTTCTCACATCCGATCCTTCTGGATTGAATGCATCTTGATATTTTTCGACAATACAACCGTTTGACTATGAAGATTATTAGAGACAACTCTTCTTTTCCATTTATGTAGTAAGTCTATATGCATACTCCGCCACAGATATTCATTAGTGAAAAGACGACACCTCCGTAAAAAACCCCTCGAGCCAATCAAATCCACACTAGCATTGTCCATTTCTTGTTCTAAACAATTTACTAAATAATTAGTATTAGTAATAGGGTTCACTAATTAAGAAATAAACTATATAGAATACTGTGATTAATTAATTGCAATAATATCAGATTAAATTAATATTCTCCCTGTACTCGATGTCAGATTGTCATCAAACACAATCATTTCTGTAATACTATATTATAAAAATAAAATACAATAAATGGAATGATGATATGATACGATTCCATTAAAATATTAAATTATAATAATAATATTCGATTTTAGCAATTTGCATTGCATTGTTAATAAAAAGAATACAGTAGACTATATTATATATAATAAAAATAATAGCAAATGAGAAGTTTACTATTATTAGAAGGCTGCAGATATTTGCAAGACGAAAATTACTAAGTGCAAGACCTTACTTCATGCAAGACCAAAATATAAATAAATTTACTAAGATCAAGACTGGAAATTACAAATATAACCCCAATAATAATTTAGATATTATTAATTTAAATTAAGCTAATTGCTATTGCAAGACCAAAAAAAAAATACAAAAAAAAAAAGAATAAAAAAAAAAGGAAAAAAGAGAGGGAACTCACTCCCCCAACAAAACACCAACATCTTCTTCTTCACCCTCATTTTACACATTTTTTTCCACAAAAAAATCTTCCATATTCTCCAAAACCCTTATCACACAAAACCCTCAAATCTTACTAAAACTTGAAAAGAAGGACATTATGGATACACAAGACATAAATATGGAGGATTCTAAGGTCGAAGAACACAAAGAGGCAAGAAATATTGTACTTTGTGATCGTTTTTCTCGTTTTTTCGCACCTCATTTCACGTACAAAAAATTCGACATGTACAGGTCGAAATATCCGCTTAATATCGACACAGTAGTGTCGAAAATTTCAACATAATTCGACACTTCTTAACTGTCGAATTATATTGAAATTTTCGACATTCTGGTGTCGATATTAAGCGGATATTTCGACGCTATTGTGTCGATATTAAGCAGATATTTCGACGCTGTTGTTTGATGTCGAAATTTGATGAAAAAATCGACACTTGTATGTCGAAAATTTTCCAAAAAATCGACAAGTACAGGTCGTTTTTCGTAAAACCGCAACTCCTTCAACAATAGTGCTACAATCGAACCCTAGAATCATCAACTATGTTCTAAACTGACTTGAATTCATTATTCTAACAATAAAATCATGTTTATCACATTTATTTCTCAAAAAAAAATTAATTCAAAAAGTAATTTCCTTACTTGCTTTTCGTGACATTGTTGTGGCGGGGTTGGGGCAACAACGGACTTCAACGGCGACGGGGAGGTGGTGGACTTCAACGGCGACGGCGACGGCGACGGGGCGACGGTTGAGTGCTGCAATTCCCTTCTTCCCTCCTCGTTTTTCAATTCTCAATTCAATTTCTTTTTTCTTTCTTTTTTTATTATTTTTTCTTTTTTAAATTGGTCTTGCAAAAGGAAATTAATAAAATAATTTTTATTTTGTTTGTATTTTATTAAGGTTATTATAGTCTTTTTATACTGAATTTAATAAAAAAAATTAATTTGGTCTTGCCCTAAGTAATTTTTGTCTTGCAAATAGTCGCTGCCTTATTAGAACCTTCTGTCAAACTTTGTATGAACCAAATTCAAACTTCACGTGCCGACCAATTGTGTGGGCCTCGGCCCATTATCAGATCTCTCACCTAAATACTTCAACTCATTTCAAATTTCTCATAACTAATATTTTAAATAATGTAAATTTTAGTATTATGGAATTAATTTTGTATTTAGTCCGTTATTAATTTTGAATTTCATTGTATTCAGTTACTAAATTGGGAAAAAAATTTACAATTTTATCTATAAAATACTACAAAGTAGAATAAAATTATTGGAACATTAGAGATTATCAAGAAAAGCACATTAGATATCAATTTAAATTATTTTAATATTAGAAATATAATATGAGCAAACAAATAAATTACTATTTAATTAATTAAGCAGTAATTATAAAGTTAAAGGCAGGCGTAAATATGTACAGGATTAATTAATGAATAATTAATGGCCGGAAGCGCCGACAGGGGAAAAGTGGTTCGGAGTTTTCAAACTTGACCGAACTGCACGTGACTACCACGCTCCGATGTCCTCTTCCCAACTGTGCATCGCACTCAAACCCTTTCCCATTGGCTTCTCTCCTATCGCTATCGCGTGACAATTAAATCCACACAAAAAAAGAAAAAGAAAAAAAAAAAAAGCCCTAAAAAAAACCAGTAGAGAAAAAAAATAAAATCCTGGCCTTTGATTTGTGTATATATAAATATATATATATTCGACACACGATGCACAAAGAAAGAGGTTCTCCGACAGGCTTCAATCCCATAATTCTCTGTACTGTACCAACTCTCGAGCACTCTGCTTTCTTCATTTGCTGAAAAGTGTTATCTTTATTTGTTTGGATTTTAGCCTCACCTTCATCGGTAAAAAAAAAATAAAAAAATCTCCTTTTGATTTTGCAAGAGCCCCAATTATTATTATTATTATTATTATTATTATTTTTCCTTTTTTAATTTTACCAACTTTTCTCTGCTATCTTAGATTTTCTCTGCTGCTTTTTTTTCTGGTTGATATCCCTTTTTTACTTTTCATTTTTGTGATGTGAGGAAAGGGTAAAGGTGGGTGCTTTATTGGTATGTATGTGGTGAAATCTTGATTTTGTACAGTTGGTGGTTGTTTTTTTTTGGGTTTATTTTTAGGAATTTGATGTTACTGTTTTTAGAGTTGAAAATTTCAATGGGGTTTTGAAGATCTGGTGAAGGAATCACATCCATTCATTTCTGCTGGTTTGATTGATGAGTTTTACCTGTTACTCACTAATTTTGTTGCCTTAGTTTCGAATTGTAGTAAGGTTTTCATGTGTGGTGATTTATTACAAGTTTTAATGTTTCTTGTACTTGGGGATTAACACTGGTTTTCAACTGTGTTTTCATCTTTGTTCCACTGTATGAACTTTAGTTAATCCACTACTTCTGTGTCCTATGTGGTACTTAGATCCGTTCCTCGTCAGCTGATTTCGGATCTCCGTTCGGATATTCCGATATTTGTTTTAAGGGTTTTACATTTTGAAAGTGCTAGTATATTTTCGTGGGTACAATTTGCGGAAAGAGTGGGTAACTATGATCTATCTTGTAAATTAGTTGGAGTGATTTACGGAAATCGAATGGTTTTGTAGTGTTCGCTTATGTTTCCGCAAAATGTACGAGATAGCTAATGTGAAGTATCGTAAATTTTCTTAATATCTGTATGTTAACTTCTTTTACAGGTTAATTATATTTCGATCATACTCATGGATTCCCCACAATCAGTCGTGTCGCCGCTTAGAAGCACTTCCATTTTTCCCGAATCCGAAAAGCTCGAAAGCCCCACCTTGACTGAAATCAATTTCCAACGGAAACAAACCAGAACAGGCGCCAACTTGGACGACTTCATCGGTGCTTTGGAGGTGTACATACACCAAGCTAGAGACATCCACAACATATGCATCTACCAGAAACAAGACGTGTACGCCAAACTCTGCCTCACAAGCGACCCCGAAAATACCGTCTCCACCAAAATCATAAACGGTGGCGGCAGAAACCCAATCTTCAACGAGAATCTCAGCCTCAATGTCCGAAAAGCCGACTCGTCCCTCAAATGTGAGATATGGATGCTTAGCAGGGTGAGGAACTATCTCGAAGACCAGCTTCTCGGTTTTGCTTTGGTGCCCATTTCGGAGATCCTCCTCGAGAATGGTAATAAGTTGGAGAAGGAGTTCTCTCTCTCCTCGACCGATCTCTTCCACTCGCCTGCCGGATTTGTCCACCTCTCGGTTTCTTACATCGGAGCGCCGCCTGATATCTTTCACATTCCCGCTCCGTCGAAATGTGTGGAGACCGATTCAGTTGTGCAGGACAGAGAATCTATGAAGTCTCTCTCCAATGACATGGACAAGATCGAGTTCCCCGATCCTAAAGTTGCTAACGAGAATCACCAGATGGTCGAGGAGTACTTTTCGCTGCCGTGTGTTGACGTGGATTCGCAGAACTCAGACAGCTTCGTCAGTTCCGATACTGAGAATCAGCACCCGAAGATCGATTCTCCTCATAGCAGTGCATCGGAAAACGGGACTTCGTCTGCTTCTGCTCCTGTGAGTTTCGAGTCTTCCGACACTCCAAAAGATTCGAAATCTACCAAAGAGGGACATGATTCGCCTCCTAAAGATAATTCCAAGGAAAAAAGTGCTGCTGAGAGTAATGCTTCGTGTGGGCTTTCGAGTGATACGATTATGAAGCCTCTTGTGAGTGTGAACATCGAGCCGGAGCCGAAGATGGTTCAGCAAGACATAGTGGATATGTACATGAAAAGCATGCAACAATTCACAGAGTCGTTGGCCAAAATGAAGCTCCCGATGGACTTTGAAAACGGGCCCACAAGCTCGGAAAATTCGACTAGTTCGGATCCGAAATCGCCAGCTTCCAAGAACTCTGGTTCTCGAGTATTTTACGGGAGTAGAGCTTTCTTCTGAGCACACAGGTGACTTTAGTGATTTAGAAACGAAGACTGATGATTAGTAGTAGTAGCACTGTTATGTACTGTGTAACCTGGTGTTTTGTTGTGTATTGTATCTGGTTGTGTTTTTTTTTTAGATGATGAACAAAAAGATCTTGACTTTGTGGGCCCTCATTTCGTCTGAGGTACCTTGTAATGTAATATCTAAGACCATCTGCTCTTAATCGTTCCCCATTTACTTGTTAGTCTTTTAATTGGTTTGTAATAATTGTGTTTATCGAGACACTAATTATGTAACTTTGAAGTTCTTGAATTCGTACGAGGGAAATATTATTGTCGACTTCCATTTTTACATTGCATCATATTTGCTCGATTATGGATATGATTGTCCTAATATTACATAATTCAAATTGGCACTTCGATTATGTCGTGTGATCTTGTGCACACGTGTCTCCTGCAAATCCACGCAATTCGACCATCATCTCTGTATCTGACTCGCCAAAGTCCGAACTTCTCAGCGATATCTTTTCCGGTCGAACATCTCTGGTCCTTCAAAAAGTCAACCACCCACTGCTGAGCTGGCACGAGATCTTGCTGGATGTCCCTCGTGTTCCTGCTCCTGTTTCCGGCCACAGCTGCTCCTGCCGCCCCCACTGCCGCTGCACCAGCTGCTCCGTAAAGAACCGGAGAATCAACCAGATGTGCAACCTCTCTGCCAAGATCAGGTATCAATTCTCCCATACCTACAGCTAAATGGGCTCCGATTTTTAGAGCGAAGGTTAAAAGTTTCATAAACTTCTTCATGTACGGAGCTAGAAACTTCACTGTGACGTTGTCCACTTGCATCAGCTCGCATCCGATCTGATCTTCCACCACGTGCATTTCTCCTCGAAATTCGCACAGCATGTGCATGCGCATGGCGGCCATGCCTGAAATTACGGTGGTGATTAATCTCCTCGAGTAGTTCTCGGTTCTGACGAAATAGAACATGTTCGGCACTTTTCTTTCCTCGATCTGAGTATTGTGGTTCACGAGGTAGTTCACTTTGCGGTGCAGCTCGATTAGAAGGGCGTTTTCGTAATATCTCAGCCCTCGAATCTCCTGCTTGACATCTCTGATTTCCTGCTCGATGATCTTTAGTCTCTGTAGAACTTCTTCGACGCCCTTTGCTATTCCGGCGAATGTCGGCTCGATCGAGGCGGCAGCGGCGGCGGCTATTTCGCCGCCGCCGCCACCTGGATTGTTTTCTTGCGGGAGTTGAAGTTCGACGGCGAGGTTGTACAGGTCGTGGTAGCGGCAGTGGAGCACTTCTCTGAAGTCGTCGTCCGACAGCAATTCTCGAGCGAAATCGAAACCAGGTCCTATGATAGTGCTTCCAGATTCTGTAACTGAATCCCACGTGTGCTGATAATCGTAAATGCTGTCTGCAGGAACAGAGAGCAGGGCTCGTTTTAGCTGCTGCAGAGGAACAAATTGGCTTCTTCTCCTGTACCTATGAGGCGTCAGATTTTTCACGCATTCAGAACGAAGAACGCACTCTACGAGTGTGAAACCCTGGCAGAGGCTATGTATAGCAGGTATTACGAAATTCTGGAAGAGTCTGAGCATTTCGGTTGGACTCTTTGTGGAGCATGCGAGCACGTCTATGGAATGACCGAATTGCCCTCCGAGCTCCACGCGGATGTGGACCCCGTTTATGTTTATCGAGATCAGGTACTTCTCGAGGCTGTACGATGCTCCATTTTGTTGGTTCCTCAATCCCATAATTTTGTTGTGCAAATGTACCTGTAAACGAGGAAAGAAACCCGGTGTGAGAAACACGTGGCTCGAGTCATCACATCGAAGGTGTCTTCCCACGTAATTGTAACTATTATCGGGCGATAACAAAATCGGCCATCTCTGAGGTTTCCATCTGCCTTCTTCCAAAACGGACGGAATAAGAAGCAGCGAATCGGGATTCGATGGATCTTGTTCGCAGCAGAGCTCCAATTTCAGCATCATTTTTGTAACATCATTCGCTTCCATGTTATCAGTAACATTCGAGCCCAATCCAGGAACAAGAATCTTCTCAAACTCTTGTCTGCATACGAATCCATTATTTGCAGTCGAGTTCTGTTTTCTGACATCCAATCTTATTAGCTGACTAAGCACCTCACCGAAAAACCAACCGCAGTCCAATATCAAGAACCCCAGTTCGTCGAAATAAACCACCTCTCCTATATGGTGAAGACTTGTAGCCACCGCTCTCCTCCTCATCTCCACCTTCTCTCGATTATCGTTTCTCGAGCGAATTCTTAAAAATGGAATCTTGATTTGGCATAGCTCGCCAAATTCTTTCCACTTCATTAATGGCTTGTTGTGGTTTTGTTGTCTCCAATCCGATAATATCTCCACAAGATCGTTGCAAAGCTGATAAACCCGAGGAACCCTTTGAAGAATCGTCCTGCTTGTTTTTCGGATATGATGGCTGAGTTTACTCACCGAAGCAGACGATCTTGCGTCAACTGTGAATACTGTTGGATAGAATTCGACAAAATCTTGAAATTTATCTCTTAGTCCTTGAATCAAAGTTATAGTTTCCCGTAAGCTATTATCGGATTGATGGTGGTTGACTTTGTCGTAGTGAGTCAGCACCATAGCTACAGTGGGCAGCATGCATTGATTAACTGCTCGTTTTGAGTTGGAGACGATGAATCGCAGCCAGTAGTGGAGATCTTCTTCTATTTCGGTGGGGGTTTTCGGCTCTCGATTGCTCGGTTTCCTGAATAAGCTGGATACTATCAGAAAGAAAGAAGCACTGCCGTGACCTGGAAACATGAGATCGTGCAGGGAATATTCCTCGTGCTGGCCCGCAAGATTCCATATCGAGATGTTCGTGTCTTCGTCTTTGAACGGCTTGATCTTCATGCCAGGTGTCCTGATAGCTTGCTCGACTGGGTTCACGAGAATCCTTATTTCATCCAGGTACGGCATTTTCGAAGGTGAAATGTTCTGTGATATTGAATTGCATAGTGTACTTTTACCTGCACATGTTTTTACCAGATATTTCATATGTCTGAATTAATATTCTAGGAAATTCAGAATGTAATGGAAATAATTATCGTACCGGAATATTCTTGACCGCATAGAAAAACCCGACAGCTTTTAGGCATGGCCATAGCCATGTCCTTGAGTAAATCGATCTCCGGTTCCGTTTTTTCGTTCTGACCTAATCTCTGATATATTGCTTCTGATTTCCCAGAAATATGGAGAGGAGTTCTTGCAAGATCAATGTCTTCGATCCAAGGGTTCACATTCAACGTCTCGATTATCGTCTGAAAGACCAATTCGCCCCTCACCCCTTTGCATCCTCGTAGAGAAAAGCGCCTCAAAGTCGTATTTCTCTCCAAGGTCTTGAAGATTCCGACTATGTCGTGCGGTTTAAGGCTCTCGTCTTCGTGTATGCCTATGTGTGTAATAGTTTCATTACTAATCAGCATCTTGAGAAAAGCTGAAATCCCGTCTTTTCCGAATTTAGTTCTTCCGCCACCTAAAGTTATTGACTTTAGAGACGTGTTTGCTTGGTTTTGAAAAGGCGAAAACTTGCTCAAAGGGCAGAGCAAATGCTCTATGCCTATTGCACCGAACGAGTTTCCGTCGAGGTAAAGTTTTTCCAAGCTCCGATTTTTAAATAGCCCAGCTGCAATGTAAACAATGCCCTTGTCTTTCAGACATGTGTTCGATAAATTCACCTCTTTGAGTGTTCGATTTTGTTCAAGAACCGAACGGAGTTCTTTAGCCCATCTCGTTTTCAGCCTCAAACCGGTCATATCAAGAGACCTCACAGTTGTGTTCCGCCCTAACGAACAAATGACCCTACACGCCCCCGAAGGGTCGAGATTGTACACTCGAAGAGTGCCATTTTCAGGGGCAAATTCGACCACTTTGGAATTTTTTCCGTTGTGGGCCCCGCTCCATACATGGACCTCCATTGACCGATTTCTTGCCAAAACGGATGAAATAAGAGGGGTTGCGGTGGACGATTTCGAGTCGAAAATAGTTAGAAGTTTTAGAGTCGAGTTCGTCTCGATCATTCTGGACAGCTCCTCTGCTCCTTTCGAACCGATCGAGTCTTCCCATATTTGCAACTCTTCTAAAGTGTTGTTATCTCTTAGAGACAAAGCTAGGAATGCAGCCCCTTCGGAACCGATTTTCGACTCGGAAAAAACGAGGTCTTTAATGCATGTGTTTCTCCTCAAAGAATCCGATAGCTCGGATAAGCACTCTGCATTGAATTTGTTTCTTTTGAACGTTACCTGTCTGATGCTCCGGTTATTATCGAGCAATGTACGGAGATCGTTTACGAGGTGCAGCTCCCATTCGACGAGGTGGAAATCCAACGAGGAGAGGGATGTGTCGTTTTCGGGGGTGGCTAAAAACTTGAGAAGCTGAGAGAAGTGAGGTAGGTTTTGTGTTGTAATGTTTATGTTAATGGAGTTTTCTGTTTCTTGAAAGCAGTTTGAAGAATGTTGAGAGAGGAAGAAGGAGATGCTGTGGAGATTGTGGGCCCCACTTTTCATCACTTGCAGAGCCCATTCAATGTCTTTTATGTTTTGAATTGCTGCCATTTTTAATCAAGAATTTTGATTTGTGAGCTTGTTCATAAGATGGTTGTATGTATATGTGTATATATATTAGCTTGTAATAAATCAAATTGTTGAGATAATTTTTTTCTTTCTTATATTTGAATGTGGTGGGAATCAATACTTGAATTCTGTTTGAAGGAATTTTTTATTTTTAAGTTATATTATTAATCCTACTTTTTTTTTTCTTGAATTATGTGCAATTTTGTGGAATTTAATAATTAAAAGATGGGAAATTTTTAGACTTTTTAAAGGTGTTGGGAGCAATTACCGGATACTTTTCTTCCTCCTTTTCCCATTGCAACAATTAAAGAATCCTAAAAAGGTGGAGGAGAAAGGAAAAACAGGCATTATGCTTGTCGGGGTAAAAAAGTAATTTCATGTAGCAAGTTTGAAATTGTTGAGAGAGGGAGAGAGAGATTTGTCGTGTTCAAGGCGGTTGAATGACCGCTGCATATGGTGGTGGCAGTGAGCGGCGACGGAGGCAAAGTACGAGAAGAGACGATATGTTGAGATTTGACAGTTTGGAAATTGAAAATTGAAAATTGAGAAATTATATTTAATTTATAATTTTGATTTTCCAGAGTTTTTTTTTTTCCGGATCAACTGAATTTGATTTGGTTCATTTCATTTTTTGTTGGATTTTCAATAGATTTAAAGTGGATCCACGTGGATCTAGGTTTTAAAAGTTGTCAACTTGGTTCGATCTACTAATTAGATTTAATGCAAACACAATCCATATGAATCGAAACGAATCCTTTCGAATCCGTAGAACCGAATCCAAATTACCATCCCTACGTATAAACGTCCATCTTTGAATTTTTTTACACAACCATAAAAACAGAATGAACATGATATTTGATGGTATGAAACAATGACACGTGGCATTTACAATGGGACACCGAATTGTTAAGTTATCTTGCAATGGTTAGAATGGTCCAGATAAGTGGGCCCACAGAGAAGTAATTGGCCCATGATAAATACATTCGTTGTTGAAAGCTATTTTCGGGCCATGTATGATAAAATAGTACCATATTCCATAATATAAATAACCCATCTTTTATGGTAAGATGAAGATTCGTTATCCAAAATATGGGCCCACTTTTCTTTTTTAATTGCTTTCATTATTAATTATTTTATACTCATGCAATATAAAACGCGGTTTTAATTTTACGAATATCGTTTTGACTTCGAAAGTTATTTTGACCCTTTTAGAGTTTAATTCTGAAAAAATTTAAAACACGAAAATGGTAATCTTTCGAGTTAACTTTGTAATCAAACTTGAATTTGCTAAGTTGAACTGCAGGCTACAAAGTTATGCATGAATTAGTTGCATTTAAAATTTTAAATACCTCAAAACATCAAAGTTATGAGCAATATTTATTGATTCATGCATATCTTTCTCACCGAGCGTCCAATCTCGGTGATTCAAGTTGGAGTAGAAAGCTTACTCAAAGAACTATAAATTCCGTGTTTAGAGTTTTACCAAATTCAAATTTGAAAATAGCCAAAATCACGTCCGAAGTCAAAACAATATTTTTTTAAATTGAAACGAACATTTATCACATCTCTTATTCATGTCCTAAAATCGAGTAAAATCAACACTTTTTCACTACATCCAAACCAAAAGTGAGCAAAATAGCATAAGAAGTATCATTTGATATTAAAAAAGAAAATTAATAATAATAATAAAAAAAAAAACCATAAAGTATGAATACATGATTAAAGAATCTGTGTCTATTCCTCGTTCTACAACATCTATTTTCATACACAACAACAAATGTTTGAACCTATCAGATACAGAAAGAAACCTCCAGCAAAATGAGCAAATCATATCACAGTTTGTTTTCAACTGGTTATTTCACACTAGCAAATCAAACATAACCCTCACGTACAACAAGACAAGAACGAACGATTTCGCCAGTCATTAGAGCCGAAAAAAAAACAGGAAAAGAAATAAAGAAAAAAAAAAAAAGAAAAAACGAAGAAGAAAAGAAAATGAATATAAAAAAGAAGAAAGAAAAAAAATACAACTTTCTACCCTTCCAATGCGTCTGTCTACGAGACAGCAGTACCGTCTTTGTGTTGAAGAGTGTCGTAACAAATAAAGCTAGAAAGGATCTTCCGGTAGTAATATCCCGCAATGTGATTTACATCTCAATCAAAATGCCGATAAAATGAAAATTCTAAGTTATATATTAAGGATCGAACCGAACCGAACCTCAAGTGCTGCTCTGTGTGAACATGTATATTTTTTTATGAACCAAGCATGGATACCATTATAAGCTGAGATATATGTATATGTATGTATCTATGAGGGATAGATACGGAAGTCACAGCTCTTTTTTTGTAAGTCTCCTCCCCTACATTTATCGATCTTCAGTATGCTGAAAGTTTCCTAAGTAGCAATTCCTGAAGAAAATTTGCCATGGAGAAGAAAAAAAAGTTCAGCTACTTTATTCAGTCGTGGACGCGACGGTAAATATGACATAATTGAATGTTACAAGAAGAGTTTAATCCAATACTTGAATAAACAAAATTCTCGAGAAATTGCAGTAGTTTAATCCTATGCATGTATATAAAATATAAATCGTGTATGTTATGTACTTGTAACTTATGTACATATAAACTGATTTCCAACAAAATCAAACTGAGTGTACGTATGTGCAGAATGCAGACAGATATTAGTTTAAACCAACATCTGATTTGCCTACGAACACGATATATGGAGTAAGATTCAGTTTCAGTCAAGAACTTTCTTATTTAATATAATATATGACCTTTCTGAGCAAAACAATAGAATCCTGCCTTTAAGTTTCCAACTTCAATCATACGTCGACAAATAACCTAATGAATCAGATCGAGAAAAAACAATCTAATTCCCGGGGGGAAAACAACTTGCAACTACAGTGAAAAAGGACCAAAAGAAACGTTACCTCTACTGGACTGTCTATTTTGAATGTCGTAGCCCACATATTCCTCAGATTCTTTAGCAGCAGCGTCTTCCGTATTCCCAAGCCCATAACCAAACGAGCCAGAATTAACCAGCTCAGGAGATGATGTTTGCCACCTAGGATCGCCGCCGTACGCAGAGCCACCTCGATAGAAGTCCCCATATCCTCCCTCATAGTCACCACCACCGCCCGAGGCAGCAAACGAAGACACTGTGGCCCCCACACCTGTTGCATTATTATTCCTTCCAAATCCATAACTGCTCTCTCCACCTCTATAGCCAAAATTCGACCCACCATAGCCAGAAGAACTCCCTCCTCCAAGTGAAGCCATAATCGGAGAAGCACCCCAATTCGCTCCGTTATTTCCAAACACTCCAAATCCACCGCCGCCACTTCCCGAACCTAAGTACGAAGCAGATCCAACATTATTATTATTGTTGTTATTGGATGAACTATTATTAACTCCACCGTTTCCCCATACGTTTCTTGATGGTGAGTTGAGTAAAGAATCGCCTCTGCTTCCACTTCCATTATACCCAATAGGAGTATTGTACCTGCTCTGACTAGTCCCAAAGTACGGGTTCAAAACTCTGCCATAGCCTAGGTTACTGCTAAAGCTCGACCCCCCTCCAAAGCCACTACTGCTCAAACCTTGCTCCATATTCACTCCCATTCCATAACCAGTAGAACTCAAATGCGAGAAACCACCACGACCGCTAGTTAACGGGCTATATCTACCGTCCATTCTCACTCCAAACCCTCCAACCGAGTTCAGATTATACCCCTGTGGATAGTTACTTAGGAAGTTGTTGTTGGCTCTGCTGAGACCGTAGTTGTAACCGACGAGTGGGCTCCTTGTGGGCCCCGGAGAAGAAAGCTCTTTCGGAACGGCCCGTTTTACCTCGACCATCTTACCGTTGAGTTCGTGGAAAGTTTTGTGCAAAACCCTGTCCACTGCCTCCTCCGAATCGTACGTAATGAAACCGAAGCCTCTTGGCCTTTGAGTGTTGTGGTCGTACATTACTACAACGTCTGTTATTGCACCGAACTGATCGAAGTACGTCTTGAAGTCGTTTTCATTGACCGTAGATGCCAATCCTCCCACGAAAATCTTTTTAGTTCGTGCGGGGGGCGGTGACCCCTGGTTGCTGCCGCCGCTGTTTCGGTTTATCAGATGCTGGTCATCCCTCGGAACAGCTTTCTTTGCTTCCACCTGTCATACGATGGACCATTCAGTTAACCGATGGTAAAACTATATCTCTACATTATAAAGACTAGCAACTTACAGTTCTTCCATCGATAATGTGCTTCTCCTTGACCACTCTTTCTGCAACTGCAGGTTCGGCAAAAACCACGAAGCCAAAGCCGCGTGCACGGCCGGTGGTCCGATCACGCATGATAACTGCCTCCACCACTTGCCCGTACGCTCCGAAATGCTCTCTAAGACGATCCTCATTCGTGTCCCATGAAATCCCACCTATAAACAGCTTACCTTGATCCATCTCCATCTTTTCTGCAATTCACATTCCAATTTTTACTTCAAGGCTCAACAATTCTCCACCAAAAAAACAAAGAGAGCAAATGCAAACAGAGACGATTAACAATTGCATCTCGAATTGATCGTACAATTCAATTCCGATTAGAATACCAATAGAATTTAACATTGATCCCGCACAATCGAATAATTATTCAAAACGACAAATCTAACAGATCCGCCAATAAACATGAAGAAAAAAAATATGCCTTATCCAATCACTGCTCGAAATAATAATTGGAAGCAGAGAAAAAAAAATGCAGGATTCGATTTAAAATCATCGGATCCTTCGATCATCTAACAAACGAGAAAACGTTCGTACCTTATCCAGAAAATCAGGCAGCAGCGGAGCGCAGCAGCAGTAACTGATCAAAAAAATTATAAAGTGGGAAATGCAGGAATTAATATAAAATCATCGGATCCTTGATTCATTCGGTTAAGATTCAACACTCGCAAACCTGGAAAAAAATTCACAATTCGGAGAGATCAGATAGAGATTCAATCGAGAATAAATGTTTTGATTTAAAAAAAAAAAAAATTGTAGAGGGGGACTAACCATTTGGGAAGAAAGGAGAAACAGATTGGAAATCCTGGGGAAAAAAACCAAGATCTAATGAGAGGAATTACACGTAAATGAAAGCACAGAGTATGCTCATCCTCTCACTTTTCCTTTCTCTCTCCTCTTTTCTCTCTTCCCCCAAAGGTCCTTGTTTTTCTTGGTTATTCCACTCCTTTTATACAAAAACCAGAAGAAATGGAATTTCCTTTAGCTTAGATGGAGGATATATTATTTATTTATTTATATATGTATATATACTATATATATATATATATTATAAATAGTTGGGGGAAGAGAGAAAGAGGGGCGTAAATGGCATTGTGAGCCAAAATCTCTGGTGTAAGAATATTTGAAAGCCCAAGGTAGATGACAGGAGATGGTGAGCCTGGAGCAGAGGAGTACTACTGCCTAATTTACCTTAATTCTACTACCCAATTAAATTAAATAATTATAATATATATATTAAAAAAAATTAACTTAATATTATATTTTGGAGGGAAAAAATTCATTTTATTATTTGAGAATGATATTTTGGAGAAAAAAAAAAATTATTGATTAAAATAATTTTTGTTTATATTTTGAGAGAATAATTTATTTTTTACTGTCTGAAAAATAGTGAGGGGAAAGATATTTTGTAAGAAAAAATTGAAGTCAAAGTAAAAGATATTTTTTCAGTGTATATTTATTGAAAATCAATCAAAGTTTTGACTGAAAATGTTGGAAGAATTTGGTGGTTTATTTGATGCTACACCGTTGTAAGATACATTTGGTGATTATTAAACGTTGATCTGCACATAATCACTGTGTATATATGTATTTTGTAGGGAATATTAATTACGACCTAATTTGGTTGTATATATATTCTTATTGATTGAAAAATATTTTTGCTCAAATAGAATTGATTTTCGTCTCTCATTTGATTTACGAACTGTTACACGAAATATGATTTATTCGATGTACGTATGTGGTTGCGAGTTTATTTGTAAAAAAGAAAAAAAATATGAATTAAAAGATACAAATCAAAGTTTGTTTTAATTAATTAGTTGTTAATGACTAACAATGTATCATGATGTAAGTGCCAGCTAAACCACCACTAACAATGAACAGTTCAAACTTCCAACTGTTTCATAATAATTCATCTTTTCCTTTTCTTTTCTTTCTTTGATAAATTACAGCCATCATCTTAGAGTTCGTAATGTTAAATTACGAAAAAAATCTCTTTTGTTTACGTAATTACAACCACCTATCAACTATGAATCTTCTTACATATACACTATTATGTTGTTGAATTCAACAAAATTTTCTAAATTCCGTAGATTGTTCTCAAATTTGTACTCGTTTTGTGCAAAAAATACAATTTCTGATGCACCGCAATCTGATATTTACAAGCCAAGAGGCACATTAATTTTACGATCATTTAATTTCAATATGTGGAGTTCGAATAGAAAAGAAAAACAGGTACAAACTAGAGAATATTCCACTAAATTTGACAGTGAAACAGCAGACGCATAAGAAGATTCATAGTTTAAAGTAGGGGTGTAAACGAGCCGAGTTCGAGCCGAGCTCGCCTCTTTTGGCTGGCTCGAGCTCGAGCTCGAGTTTATTTTGTCGAGCTCGAGCTCGCGAGCTCCTCTTTTTTTGGCTCGAGCTCGAGCTCGTGTCAGTTGTGTCGAGCTCGAGCTCGAGCTCGAGCTCGAGCCCATCGTCTTTTTTTTTTTTTTTTTTTTTTTAAATATTTTTTTAATTATTATTTTATTATTAAAAATTATTTAAAAAAATAAAAAATAAAAACTAAATTGTAATTATATATTTTTAATATTTGTATTTATTTCTATAATATTTTACATTATTATACATTATTTAAATAAAAATAACATATAAAAAATAATAAAAATAATAAAAAAATAATAATAAATCCGGCTCGCGAGCTCATGAACAACTGAAAACCGGCTCGAGCTCGGCTCATCAGAAAGCTCGAGCTCGCGAGCTCGAGCTCGAGTTTGAAAATCTCGAGTTCGAGTTCGAGCTTTTTACAAGCCGGCTCTTCGAGCTCACGAGTCGGCTCGGCTCGTTTACACCCCTAGTTTAAAGGTGATTGTAATTACACAAACATAAATGATTTTTCCGTAATTTAACTTTACCACAGGGCAGCCGGAATTTACCCCCTTTTCCTTTTAAGAAAACAAGTCAAACATAGAAATATAAGTCAAAGAGTTTTTATTGAGAATTGACAATATCTTCAATCTTTTCAAGAACCTCAGCAAAAGTTGGTCTTTCTTTAGGATCAAATGCCACACATTTAACATAAATCACAACTCCAGAGCAGATCAATGATTTGGGCTGGGTACAATTTTGCTACAAGGATCAAATTAAACCATTAATTAAGTTGGATAATATGATAGAAGGTTAATTTGGATAACTTTTGTATTTTTATCTAAAATGATAATGACATGCATTTTATCCATCTTATTTTATAGACGAAATTATCTAAAAGATAATTTATTTATTAATAAATAAATTGTATAGCATGTAATTTCATAATCTACTAGAGGAGAGTCCAAATGAAGTGAACCATAAATCAAGATATTTTAATATGCGGCGGGTTGGTTTATGTGGGACCCACGGGCCGTTATGACAGAAGGCTTGGCCTCGAAAAAGTAAAAGAGCAAATATACAAGTGGAAGCACGACTTTTTTGCCCTTTTCCCAACTGTTCTTCAATATTCAATAATGGCCGGAACTTGGCGGCGGCGGCGTCGGCGGCGGTGAACAACCTTTTTTCCTAACGTTTGTTGGTTGTCTTAAAAAGCCGCTTTGTTGTGACGCGTCATCTGTGCCACCCATTCGTCGCAACTATTTCAATCCACCAAAGGCTTTGTTTCAAATAATAATAATAAATAAACATGAATTATAATTTAGGGTAAATTGCACCTACATCCATGAAGTATGTCAAAATAACTTTAAGGTCCCTATGTTATCGATAATTACAATCATTCCTAAACATCGTTAGTACAAACCTATGCTGCACGGACACATCGATATGCAGATACGGACACTGTGATACGACATTTCCAAAAAAATTAGGATACATACACTTGGGGATACGCATAAATATAAAAAATATAAGGGTATATTAATAAATTATAAAAAATATAGGGGTACATTTATAAATTGCAAAAAATATATTTATAAGTCGCCAAATCGCATAAGAGAACCGCTCGTATAAGTCGCCAAATCGCATAAGAGAACCGCTCGTGTTCTTGGTCGCAGATAATGCAGGGCTTTCTCACAAGAAGAGGATAACGTGATCCCAGTTAGGGGTGACACGGTTCACCCAATATTTCTTTTCGTTATAACTCTATAAGAATAACTTATTCAATACAGTATCCCGTTAGAATTATTAACAATGTTTTAGGGATGATAGTAATACAAACAAACAATAGCTGCTCTATTATGAACAATTAATCCAAAACTGTATTTACAAAACCCCCATTTCTTTACACGTGTGAGGTGGCAAGAAATCAAACAAAATCACAACTCAATGCAAACCCCTTTCAATTAAATACTCTCAGTGGTAAAAAAAACAACACCACCACTATAATCTACCAAGATTTTCGTCATCATCTTCTTCTTCTTCGTCGACATCTCGAATCCCGTGAAAGAACGGATCATTCAGTAATTCTGCTGCGGACGGTCTTGCCCTCGGCTGGGCCAGACACTTTTCGATGAACGCAAGCACCTCCGGGTCCTTAACCTTGCTCATGGCCCGAGGCCTGAGCCCGGATGTCACCTTTCTATAAATTTTGGCCACGTTCTCGCATTCGCTGTAGGGTAGCTCGAGAGTCACCATCTCGAGTAAGCACATTCCGAACGAGTATATATCTATCAGCTCCGTGTAGTCCTCCTCGTATAGCTCCGGTGCCATGAATTCCGGTGTTCCTAGTAATGAATGGGCGGCGTGATTTTTCCCCACCGTTGCCGCCAATCCCAAATCGCCGATTTTCACCTATACATGATGTACATATTAAGATACACGTATCATGGATACGAACAGCCTTTAGGCCTAGTTTGGTTCCTAAGAGAAGATTAATCTTATGAAAAAGTATTTGGATTAACTAGGGGTAAAAATTGGACAGATCAAATCAGAGTTGGCCCGAAAAAAAAAATTCAATTTTTTGGAAAAAAAAATCTGAAATTGGGTTGAAAAAACTTGTTCCAAAATCGGAAATTTGAGAATCGAAATCGGAAATTCTATTCCAATTTTCACCCCTAGGATTAAATAATTGGTGCTAATCTTACCAACCAAACGAACCAAACAAGGTCTTAACCTAAATATTCAAGAAAGAGAAAACACCAGGAGATTTAGTATATATATACATACTTGACCGATGTTGCCGTTGATGAAGATATTGCTACAATTGAGATCCCTATGAATAACGCAGGGCTCATGAGTATGCATATACTCCAATCCCTTGAGTATTTGTCGGGCCCACTTCTTCAACGCGTTGATCGAGACGTGCTTGTGCTTCTGTCGGTACTCCCTAAGATTCCCCGACGTGCAAACCTCGGTGATGAAGTTCAACGTGTTATTGTTCTCGTCCCGCCAGACGGAGTAGAGAGAGATAATGTTCTTATTCTTCAAATCGTGCAACAATCGAACCTCCGAGTAGAGACGGTTGATCATCGCCTCGTCGTCCGAGAAGTTGCGTAGTTTCACTTGGTTCCACGCAACCTCGATTCCTTCTTCCTGGTCAAACGCTCTGTACACTCTCTTCACCGCACCCGCCCCTAGAAGCTCGTTGTAACGGCCGTACCGGCCGGTCGGGTCAACTTCCACAAACAACTCCTTGTCGCTCTCCGCCACTTCATCGAAAGACGTGCTAGGCATCTGAAACCAATTTTTTTTTCAATTAGAGAAATTGCAGATCAGTTCATAAATCGTTAGCAGTTTATAACTTTTCATGAAAAAATAAAAAAATAAATAATAAATAAATGAATTAAATCAGGCTGCCATCAAAGAAGCTACTAAATTTCTTCAATTACTGAATAAAAAAAATCAAACAGTGAATAAAAAACCAATCTTTCATCGAAGAAACTACTAAATTTCTCCAATTACTGAAAAAAAAATTAGAAGCAAAAAAAATCGCAGAATTTCACGATCGGAGCATACGACGAAATCAGAAACACAAAATCAAAAGAGAAGCTTGAAATCTTACCATAGGGTTTGATGCAGAAAGACCGAATTTTTTTCCCTCTCCGATGAAGGAAGAAAAAACGGCGGCGGCGCTAATTCCTTATGTAAAACTGCTGGAACGAAGATGAAGGATGAAAAGTGAGAAGAGGGCGGGGATATGTATTTATAGGTGAATAGGAGGAAGGTGGGGATTTTTACCTGGTCGCGTGAAGATTACATGTAGTTGTTGACTTGCTGTTCAGCCTGGACTCTGCTAGAATTTACGATAAAGCCACTAGGGCAGAAGAAAGAAGCAAGAGGGAACAAGACCTTTCTTTGCCCTAATCAGACTCCCAAGGAGTAGTGTCTCTCTCTCTCTAAAGTGAATTAGAGAGCTATTAGGACTCTTTCCCCCTTTTAATTTATTTATTTATTTATTAATTATTCATTTATTTATTTATTTTCATGTACTGTGTAGCGTCGTCGTTTTTCTTCATCCCCATTTTACAGTTCGTCGTTTTTTTTTAATTTTATTATCGTAAAAAATCAGGATTATGTTGGGTTTATGCTGATTGATTATCGATTTGGGTTTACTCCGTGTTAATTTGATTGAATTCCGTATCAATTACCTCGGAGGAATACGGCTATGGCGACGGTGAAATCAATCGAGAACGCACTCAGCCTCGTCGACGCGAAGAAGGAGAGCTTGAAGAAAGCGTTTGAAGAGCTTCAATCGCACTCCTCTTTGCTCGCATCGTTCAATTTAAATTGGGATGATCTCGATTCGTATTTAACCTCCGTTCAATCCGAATTACTGACCAAATTCGATACCCTAAAAGCCCTCGAATCGTCATCCCTAATACAGAAGTCCAGAATCGGAAAGCAAAAGGAATCGCCGTCGTCGGAATCGGTTCCCGCTCGACCCGAGCTGAAGTCCATGTGCGAGAAAATGGACGGGTCGGGTTTGTGCAAGTACGTGATGGAGCGTCCCAAGGAGAGGACGGCGATTAGGGTTGAGTTGGCCGACGCGTTTAAGCACGCGCCGGACCCAGGGTTGTTGGTTCTGGATGCCATGGAGGGGTTTTGGGATGGACAGGCGGGTTCTTCGAGGACGAAGGCGGCTTGCGTGGTGTTGCTGGAGGAGTTGATGAGGGCTGGGGTGGAGATCCGGCCGGAAGTTAAGGAGCGTGCGGCTGCCGCCGCAAAGGAGTGGAAGGAGAAGATGGAGGCGGTGCAGGGTGGTGGTGATGGTGATGGTGGTGAGGAGGGAAGAGAGGAAGGGGGTTTGGAGAGGCTGGGTTATTTACATCTCTTGGCTACTTACAAACTGTTGGATGACGTCGCGTACGATGTGAACGTGCTGATTGATTACGTTGTTTTGGGCGGCAGATATCGACAAACTGTTGACTTGTGTCGGATCCTCGGCCTCGAGAGTAAAGTTTCTGGTAAAAAAATCCTAACTTTGCCTTCTTTACTTGTATTATTGCTTTTTTTATTCCCGGTATCTATCTTTTTAACCGTCGTGTCTATGTTGCAATTTTATCATGTTTTTACGTGTCGACCTACCTCTGCTGCATGTGAAGATTCGATCGGTAACAAAAATTGGAGGTGTTATAGATGAAATCGGTAGTCGGATGGTGGTACTCGATAAAATCAGAACTGGTTTCCTTTTTTTTCTAGTTGAGATTTCACTGTTCGACGAATCCATGTAGGATAATATTTTGTGGCATAAAGGTGTAAAGGATAATCCATGTAGAATCGAATCCAACTTGTCGGGATCATGACATTAAGAATCTTGGTGTAAAGCATTGTGGTTATAGAGGGGTTTCTTATTATCGGTTTTCGTTCTTGTGAAATAGCTTATGCTTTGTGGCACACAGATGATTTTGAGAAGCATAATTGAAAAACCATCTTTCATTCCAGAAATATAATCTATTTAATGCAAAAATTCCACGTTGTCGGATGCCAGCACACTGGATTCTCTAAAGCCGTCCGCAACATTAATTTCAGCCCAATTTTGCTTAAAAAGTAGAATCCTTATAATCTTTACAGAATCTCGATTCTACCAATTTTGCTCCGCTCCCAATTTTGAACGATTTTACCTGGTTTAAGATTTAACAAGCCATGGGATAGTAAATATGCTAAAATCTTATGTTTTTACGCATTTATTCCCGATTTTAACTACCTATTCATCATCATCGGAGAACTATTAGGATCATGTTGTTGGCATTTCGTTTTGTAAGGGTGAAAGTCTGTGCTGGCGATTACGGTTGTCCAGTAGCGAATGTTCAAAGTTTGTATTTGCATCTTTGATCTATTTATTATCAGCACTTAATTGCTTGCTTTTTCACAATTTCCAACAGATATTGTACAGAAGCTTATCAGTAAGGACAAACAACTTCTAGCTCTCAAGTTCATTTTCGAGTTTGAGCTAACGAATGAGTTCCCTCCAGTCCCCTTGTTGAAAGACTACGTGATGTATTCTAAGAGAATTGCTCAGAAAATTCGTAAGAGTGGGAAGAATTCTCGTCAGTCTGTGGTAATGTTTCCAAATATTTCTTCGTTTTCCTGTTTAATGTCAAACCCACCATTGATAGCTTTTACAGATTGCAAATTTATTGATTAGGTGGTAAAATCGACAGTTTTGGACCTTTGGTTATAGTCGATTAGAAAACTTTTATCGTTGCTCTATCGTTGAGTCTCAATGAGAAAGACTTAATTTTCACTCACTATTACATATTCCTCTGTAGAACGAGGCTGCAATGAAAGAAATTAGTTCACTGAGATCGGTGATTAAGTGCATCGAGGACCACAATCTGGAATCTCAGTACCCAAAAGCCGAACTCGTGGCCCGTGTCGAGAAGTTGGAGAAAGAGAAGGCCGACCGGAAAAGACCAGCCGCCGCCCCTGTGCCAAAACCTCAGCAGCAGCAGCAGCCTCCGAAGCAAAACGCGAACAAGCGAATGAGGGCAGCAGCTTTCAAAAGGAAACTTCCTTCTGCCGCCAATTCAGTTGTTCCCCAATCACAGACATACGGCATGGCAGGGCCGCTTGTCGCTGCCGCCCCACAATACGTGGGCCCGTCTTCGGAGTTGTACGGGTTCTCGGGAGGCCCGATGGGCTTTCACGGGAACATGAACCCATCTGCTGCTTCCAATCCTTATCCGCCGGAAACGCACGCGCAGCCTCTTGTTTATTACGATAATAGGCCGATGGGTGGTTACAGTGGGTATGACGTGGCGTCTCAATATCATCCGGCGTACTATCCACAGTAAGATTTGCTGCATATATGCCTGAATTTTGAAATGTTCTTTTTTTCTTGTTCCGATTACTGAAGTTTTGGCACAATGACCAACTTCGGTTAAACGAACCAACGTTTATGGTTCAGAGATATACTTATGTTGATCTTGTGAAAACCAGCTGGGAACACTTTTACAAAGTGTTCCTAAGAGGAAATTTCATTTTCCCTATGCGCTTATGTGTTTGATTTTTATTTTTTTTTATTTTTTTTTATTTGGCTGGATTACACATGCTATGTCTGCACGAGATGCAAACAGTGACACGTGTGCTGTAATCAGCACTCGTTTTTTACCGAATCCATTGCAACACTCTATAGTCTATACCAGCTGATAGGACAATCAGTTTGTCCCTCCAGCCAATATGGTGTTACGGACAATCACCCCCTAGTTTTATCTTGTCTCCACCACTTTCTGAAACTAATAGCCCGTTAGAACTCTATCGTAATAACTTATGCAATGGGTTATACCGTTCGAGTTTCTAACAATGTTTAAGGGTTAATTGTAATTACCGATACCACATAAAGGAACCTTAAAGTTATTTAAGAATACCTCGAGGGTGTAGGTGTAATAATTTACCCATTGTTATTTCTTGAATAATCAGTTAGTGTTGAGATAGAATGCTGTTTTGTTTTCTGCAATTTGCAATGTGAAATGCATGCAAAAACAATTGAAACAAAATAGCAATATTAATTGTGTGAGAAGTGGGGGCAGGATGGACATTTTACTTGGGACTAAACTGTCAAATGTTGCATTATTTAGGCAGTGGTCCCCTCCTAAGAGTTGCAGAATTTATCATGACCAATTGAGTGCTGTTTGGACTTTGGACTATGCTCTAATTTCTGTTATGATAAATTCTGAAAAGAAAAAAAAAACAGAACTTTTGATTCTCTTTAGATTCGGCTTTGATGGGAATTAAGCTTTTTCTTCAACTGTCAAGGTTTATATGTTCCTGCTTATTAATTGTTGTCATAAACTTATTGGGCAAATTACGAGAAGCCCCTTGAGGTAAATGCCTAATTATGAAAAAAACTTCAATGTTTGCATAATTACGAGCACCCCCTTGAGGTATTCTCCGTATAACGAGTTGGCCTGCATAGAATTCATAATAATGGAATTGGATAGATTCCATTGAATATTCATTTTTGTATTGATCAGAATACCCTTAGGGCTTCAATTGTAAAGTTTGTAAAACAATTGTATTTTTTCTTTATAATTTTATTTAAATACCTTTTTTTTTTTTTTACTTCTTTTGTTTACGGTTAACTAGCTGTTTTTGTGTTATAAGGGGTTATGTGTAAGGTTTTATATTGCACTGAGGTGCCAAATGTAAGAAAATCAAAAAAATTGAATTTTATGACATTTTATATTGCAGGAGGTGACAATTTTTCTCTTTCATTAAATTATTTTAACACACGTTATACAATTACTACGTTCTCTTAGAGTTATTTGCAACCCGTTAGTTTCGGATGCTTGTAATTATGCAAACATAGAGGGTTTTTCTATAATTAGGCCATACTTCAGGGGCTCTTTGTAATTTGCCCCTAAACTTATATGCAAGTACCACATAATAATCCCTTGACTGGGTCCTAATCCAGCAAATTTATTACTACAAACTTATTAATTTCATTTAATTAGGGATTAATTCAAAAAACAAAAAAAAAAAAAAAAAAAACAGGATAAGGATTAAGGAGCAACTAACTAGCCAATCACAATCCAGATCCAAACCCGTAAAAAGTCAACACCGTAGAGCTTTTGTAGCCCCGTTAGAAATGACCATCCTACCCCTCCCATTTTCGGAGATGTTAAAAATAGTTATTACAGGCAGATTCAATTTCATCAAAATTTCTCTTTCTCCATCAATGGAAGACGCACACTCTTCTTACTCCCACTACCAGCACCACTCTCCCCCCTCCTCAAATAATGCCGACGCCGTCGGATCGATCAACGGAGCTAAGTACCGTCTCATGTCTCCGGCCAAGCTCCCGATCTCTAGGTCAACTTCTATTACTATTCCTCCTGGCCTCAGTCCGACCTCGTTTCTCGATTCCCCCGTTCTTCTCTCTAACATCAAGGTCACTCTCTCTCTCTCTCTCTCTCTCTCTCTCTCTCTCTCTCTCTCTCTATTTTTCGTTTTTCCCCCTTCTGCGTCTACTGATTTTTTTTCACTAGTGATATTCGCTTCAGTAGCTGGAGATATTCGGATTCGGTTTCGGATTCGAATTCGGATTCGGAATCGGATTCGGATCCGGCACCGTGTATGTTTGTTTAGGGCACTGTTTGGGTTTATGTACCAAACTTTCAAAAATTAAACAAGAGCTAAATCCAACCTTTTGATTTCAAAATTGATTTATTAATCTCTTCACTTCTCGATTTTGTGAAATGTGAGTGGATTTCATTTGTTGATTTGATGTTTGGTTCTTTTTTCATTATAGCCCTGCTGCTGAGTGATTTCTCCTTTTTTCCATTGAGTGCTCATTTGGATATTAATAAATGTTAGGTGAATAGTTATGTGTGTTTGTTTTGGGACCGTTGGATTCCGATGCTCTAATTAGTAGTGTTACTAATATATTAATTTCCCGATGGAATTGTTTTCGGGCACCTTTAAACCTTTTGTGGCGACGTGGCCATGAGAATCTTTTTGAAGTGGAGTCGAAAAATCGGAAAGACATGTGAATGGAGAGGAATAGCCCATCATTAGAAGAATAAGAAACCATTCTGTTCCATTAGAATCGTAAATATGCTCATTCACTATTATCAAATGACGATCTGAGTTGGGGGTGGAAGCAGCATTTTGATGTATAAAAAATGCTTTCTCGATAGGGATTTCTAGAATAAGGATATATTTCAGTGTTGTTTCTTCACAAAATTGAATCTTGCTTTACTACTAGTTGGTGTTTGGCGTTTTTCTTGTGTGGAGAAAAGTGGTTGCACTTAAATACTCGAGCTTTTGCCGTTATAATTGTCAGCATCATGTATGACATATGGACATTTTTTAAGTGCATATAAAAGTTTTTTTACTTTGTAGGCAGAGCCATCTCCGACCACTGGCTCCTTCTTCAAGCCTCATTTGATGCAAGGCTCTGGTGAAAACGCAGCTCTTTCACTAGAGAAATTTTTCTCCGGTCGTAAAGCGGTAGATGAAAAAACGTCGAGCAGTTTTGAGTTTAGGTTTCAGACTGGAGCTAGTTCTACATCAGGATTATCGTCTGCAGGGCTCTCGGTGATGACCTACTCTTTGGTTTTGTAGTGGTAAATATGTATATATATTTTATCCGCTAATATCTTATTTCTTTGTTGAAAAGTTTCACGTGGGGATGAATCGACAGGGGCCAGTCGTTTATCAAGACCAACACAATTCACAACCGCCTGTACCTTCACAATCTGTGGTAGTCGGTGCACACAATTCACCTATTCGTAATAGTATTGACGAATTAAATCAAGGAGGACAGTCTAACACAGGCAATCGGACTTCATCTTCTGAGCATAAAGACAGCATTTCCACAGTCTCGAATGAGAGAACATCAGAGGATGGGTATAACTGGAGAAAATACGGCCAGAAACTGGTTAAAGGAAGTGAATTCCCACGAAGTTATTACAAATGTACGTATCCTAACTGTGAGGTGAAGAAAATATTCGAACGTTCTCCGAGTGGACAGATTACAGAAATCGTCTACAAGGGTTCCCACGATCATCCGAAACCACAACCTGCACGTCGGCAGAATTCTGGTGCTCTTTTGTCAATTCAAGAGGATAAGCCCGACAAGGATTTGTTATTCACTGGTCAAGAAGGTAGTTTCTTAACTTCCTGATGTATTTTATTGCTCAACTTGTTAGCTAGTCGATTCAACAGCCCTTACATTTATTTTTCGTAATATGACTTATCGTGAACTATATATGTCAAGCGCACTCACATCTTATCTATTGTCATGTTGAAGACAAGTTGAACAACAACAAAATGGAGCAAAACGCCTCTCCCATGTTGTCTCCTCTGCAAACAAACGAGGACAACGTAGATGTTTCAGTTTCACAATATCCGGGCCTCAACGATGATGTTGAAGAAGACGACCCTTTTCTAAAACGGAGGTATATATAGTTTTCCGGAACATTGATTATATACATGTTTATTAATTATTAATAATCTCGTAATGGTGAATAATCCTAGCAGGAAAATGGAGGAAGGTATTGATGCTACACCAGTAGTTAAGCCAATCCGCGAACCACGAGTTGTTGTCCAAACCTTGAGCGAGGTCGATATCCTGGACGATGGATATCGGTGGCGTAAGTATGGCCAGAAAGTAGTCCGAGGCAATCCAAATCCTAGGTATGTACTGCGAACGAGAGTAAAAAGAACAGCACAAATGCCTTTGTACTACGATGTTTTATGTTGTTTTTTTCATTTCGAAATCCTAGGAGTTACTACAAGTGCACTAACGTCGGTTGCCCTGTGAGGAAGCATGTGGAGAGAGCATCACACGATCCGAAAGCAGTTATAACTACTTACGAGGGCAAGCACAACCATGATGTTCCAACTGCAAAGAACAACAACAACAACAACAACAACAACAACAACAACAACATCAGCAGCCATGATTTTTCTGCTCAATATGCTGGAGCTAATTCAAAGCTGAGGCCGCCACAAGATAGTAGTAGTGGTAATGGCTCGATCAGCCTCGATCTTGGTGTTGGAATTGGCAGAGAAGCAATGGATGCTGAAGAGGGTCGAGGGCAAATCGGTAATCCCGCTTCTGCAGCGGCTCAAATCCCCGCGTACTATGGTATTGTGAATATGTACGGAAATCGAGACAATCTCGTCGAAGGTCGCAGTAGCTTTCAGGCACCACCGATGCATCCTTCTAACCAGTGCCCGCCAAGCCTCGGAAGGATACTTATGGGGCCTTGATACTATGAAAATTTCGAGACAAAAAATTAAATAAAAATTGAATCTTTATTATTATATTGGCTGTTTCTCTATTAGTAAAATCAAAGGGGTTTTGTTCATTCTCATGCTAAAATTAGGATTCTTATTTGCACCCCACCCCCCAACTACCATTTTGTTACTAAACTGTTTACTGTAAATTATTGTTTGTTCCTCTAACCCCTAACCGGACACACTCAAACAAGAAAGTTCTTGTTTTCTTGATTGTTTTTTGGTTTACATGTTTTTAACAGTTATAATAATATTTCTGAAACAGATGCTTCTGTACGCCGTCGTTTTGTGGGCAAGAATTGATATTTCCATTATTTTTTTGTTTCGCAAGCATTAATAAGCATTGAATGTTTGGCCCCCAAAAAATGGTCACGGTAGTAAATTCCCTTTTTTACCCTCGATAACATAAATATTTGGGTGTCGTTGCAATTAGTTCACCACTAGTGTATGTATAATGTATCGAGAAGGATCCTTCCGTTGGGTTATTTAATGAATAGATACAAACTTTATAAATTTCTCTTGTTTGTCTCTTCTTTAAAGAATTCTGTCACCCCATCTAAGGTAAGTCTTGTGTGTCAGTGTGTGTCTGTGTGTATATATATATATATACATACACATATTTTCAGAAATAAAAATCTGTAAAATTCTTGGAAAATGATGAATGCCATATGGTTATCTTTAAAAGAGAAGGGGAGTTGTGCTGGCAAGATGACGGAGTTAGCTTGGCTGCCGGAGAAAATGGTGAGGCGAAAAAGCACCGCCACTTCACCACCACCACCACCACCACAAATGGAGGAGCTTCATGAGAATAACGAGCTTACCGACGGGCATTATTACAATACCACAAACACATTCCAAGGTAAGTTTCGAAATCTTGTCTCTATTTCCTACATGTGCATGCACCATCACATTAATTTACTCGAGAGAAAAAAAAATCTTCTTTTTCGAAAGCAGAGCTTGGAATAGGGGACCCGTCGAGGAATATAGTGGAGATGATATTTCGAGCGAGTTCAACAAACCCGAAAAAGTGCACGAGGAAGATAAAGAGAGTCCTCAAGGTGAACAACTCAGTCGACACGTTAGCCGAGTTCGAAAATTACAGAGAAAACGTGATGAAATCGTCGTACAAGATGCATCATCGTCATCATCCAAGGAACATAGTGGACGGAAACGAATTATTGCAATTTTACGGCACGACAATGATTTGCTGCAGTAATTCTAAGACGGAACAAATATATCGGCTGTGCAGAGATCCGAGCTGCCGTGTGTGTAGAGTCGTTCAATCTGGTTTCAAAACGTGCTACAACACGAAAAACGGCGTTCGGGTTAGTGTGAACAGCGAGCAAATGAGCGAGGACAAAACCGTCGTCATTTCCAAGGGTAAGAAGAAAGTAAAGAGAGCAGTAATTGTTTGTCGGACAATAGCCGGTAGAGTTGTAGAGGACGAACAAGAAGAGTGTGATTCTGTTGGAATCAAATCCATGATTCTGCGAAATCCAGCTGCCGTACTCCCATGTTTTGTTATAGTTTTCGAATGAATATAACAGTTTGTCTTGAATAGCCATGAAATCGATAAATTAATACGTAATAATATTTTAGCGTCTACATTTCAACTATTTGCCTATAAATAAAACGTAAAACTGCATATACTTTACAAATCGTACTCGAGAACAATAGCTACATTAAATACGAACGAAACACGATGTCTGGATTCCCGTTGCAAATAGAAACAACAAGCTCCGATATATTCTTGTTCGAATATATAGATAGAGCTTCGTATGATGTATCTAACCAGTAAAGAATCTTCTCCATGACTGCCATGGCAAAAACCCACCTGCACATGTGATTAAAAACTAAAATAACATGATGAATATAAACCAATTTACTTACTACACCATATATATAGTATATGCTAATAATAATACTAGTGTAGATGGATGGCAAATTGGCAATATACCACAACGAGGGCAGCGAAAAAAGTATTTTTTGTCCCTCAAAACAAGCCCGGAGCCTTTGCACACCTTACAGTTCTTCTGTTCCACCTGCAATTAAAAAAAAAAAAAAAATAATTAAATACTAATGACGATATTAGTAGGAATAATAATAATAAATTTAATTACAATTACAATTACAATGGCAGCAAGCAATACGTACAATTCTCTTGGTGAACTCAATCCCAGCAACCACAAATGGAGTAACCCCAGCTGCAAAAGATGCCAAATTTCAATATTTAATTATCAGAGAACCTAACTTACTCGATTAAACCAAGGTGTTTAAAAGTTTTACCTAGAGCGCCGAGCACAATCTGCCAAGTGATTTCGGCCTGAGCAGGGTCTGACGTAATAATGGCGGAAATTTCATCGTTCACGGCGGCCGTTGAAACTGATGCCGTGTTTACGGCGGATTTGTGTACGGTGGTTCGATTCGCGGCGATGAATCCACGTGTCGAAGGATAATTTGGACAAGGCACCATTACATGAAGAGATGACATGATCGGGGGAGCAGAAGCCATTTTCTTTTTTTTTTTTTTTTTTTTTTTCTCTGGCCCGAAGCTTAACTAATTCAGCTGCAACAATTTGGAGCCATAAAAAGTGGATTAGTCCACGTCGATTGGGCCTTCTTGTAATTATTGTAAGGTTTTGGGCCGAAATGATATATTCATTTTAGAGTAATTTTGACCATCCATCCAACATGTAGTACATATTAGTCTTTTCTTCTCATTTGACATAAACCCAGTCTTTTGAATTTTTTCGCTTCCATTGTCTTCGTCCGGTGGCATTTGAGTCAAAAGAAGTCATCAACCATGGACCGTGACCCTGAGACGATTTATCCGTTGATGACCGTTGCATTTCAGACTGCAATGTATGTGAGGAAAAAACCCGAGAGTGTGTTCAACTGAGTGAGGGGATTTTGGGCATTTGGTGAGCTAAGTGTCTTTATGTGTGTTTTGATTTGTTACTATTTTTTGTACTCTCTCTGTTATGTAATCCTTATAATAATTTATTCCGTTTATCAAATGCAATCGTATAGTTTATTAGTTAGTCTAGTTGTGATTGTCGACTACGAATCCCTACTGTTTTCACTTTTGTGTATTAATTTTGATAACTACATGACCTCCAATGGATGCTTGCTGCGTAGATGACCGCAAGATTCAGCAACGTTAGGTTTACGATCCCTTGATCATAAGTCATAATAATCATAAGTTCCAGCTTACCTTCCTAACTTGGTGATTACTAAAGCAAAACAGTTCTATCAACTGAATGCCAGAATCTTGCACCAATAAACGCTGTAAAACTCGTCGGCTATACGTTCAACCTACACCAAATGTAGATAGCAAAGAGATAACCACACACCCAAACACATCACTATCTCACCATTTAAAAGCCGCAAGCTATCCGAAGAAGCAATTTTATTACCATAATATAACCGTGTAGAGACAGACGGACGGAAGTGCACAAAACAACACTTTGGTTCAATCATTTTTGATAACATGAAAGCGATCGAAGATAAACACGTTCATAATTTTTTATTTTTTTATTTTTTTATCGTGACTAGTATATTCCACCTAAAAAGCCTTCACAACAACGAGGCTCTTCACATATGTATCCCTTCGAGCTACTAGCAACAAGCTGATCTCACAACCTATTTAGCTATTCTGAACCGTAAATCAGTTTTCCTACACAACACATTTTCTAGTAGCAGGCTTTTTTTTCAATACCTTACACGAAATCTTCCCAAAAAACGAGCCAAAAGTTCACAAGTCACACCTAATGGTGGTGGCTTCAAGAGGATTCAGGTTCAATCCACCAATCAATGGTACCAAAATCCATTTATCCAAATAACTAGGCACCATGACTTCCTCTATAAAGAAATATGATCGGTAATTCTGAACAACATACGAATATGTCGTAAAGCGTACTCGTAAACAATCCGTTACGTAAATACGAGTAATTGCCATTAAAAGACAAGACTCCAGCAGCAAGACAAATTTGAAAATTAATTCAGAAATAAGTATTCAGACAAGCAGCAATCTTGATACAAGAAAAATTCCTCTCTTCATTATTGGGGGGAAATTGCATATATAAATTGGTCGATTTCTTTCACAAACACAAAAACCAAAACAATCAGCAACCCCTGAATTTTCTCTCTTAGCAGGAATTTTATCACAAACACAGAGGAAAATAGCATCACTAACTGGGAAATGGGGGAAAAAAAAGAGAGAGAGAAACCCTAGAAAGTAAAATTACTTCTTGTACTTGGCAACCTCGGCTTCATTGGGGAAGAAACCCATGAGCCTTCCAGCTGAATTCTGGTAAGCGTACATGAAACCTCCCAGCACTCCGATCAAACCACCCGTCACCATCGACGGTCCCTTAATCCCGGGCTTAATCCCTAATTGTGCAGAATAGGTCAAAAATTAGATCGGCATTTCATTTATAGCAGAAACGACTAATCAATCAATTCAATTAGAAGAGCGAGAGAGAGAATGAGAGGTGGTACCGGAGAGATATCCGACGACGACGGAGACGCCGGTGATGGTGGAGAAACGGAGGTAATCGAGGGTGTTGAAATTGGCCACCGTCTTGGTGAAAGGAGGATTCCGATCTATCACCGGGTACTCCGGCTTCGTCGACGCCGTAATGTCAGTATTCATTGTTGCTCTTCTTCTTCTTCTTCTTCGCTGCTCGGCCTTTTTCTTCTCTAACAATCAGGTAAATCAGATGCCACTGTATTCAGCTTGCTTTTTCTTTGTTTCAGATGGGTTTTCTTTATATCAAATCGGGCCTGACTATAGGGGGCCTTTTATATGTAGATGGGCCCAATTTCAGCCATAAGTTTTTAGATAAATGTTGTTTCGGTTTTACTAGTACTTATTCGTTTCGAATTCACACGTGATTTTGAACATTTTTGTGGCTTCTTTTGGCGGAACTCGAAACATGAAATTTGCATTTCTTCAAGTTAGCTTTGCAGAAGTCCAACTTAAATCACTAATATTGAATATCAGGTGATAAAGATGTGCATGAATCGATCAATTAACATTGCCGACAATTTTATTAGTTTGATTTATCTAAAACTTAAAATGTAGTTAATTCATGCACAATTTTGTTAACTCAGATCTAATTTAGCTGATTTTAGTTGGATTAAAAAGTTATCTCAACAGGTTACAGTTTTTATGTTTTGAACTTGGTAAAATCAGACTAGAAAATAGTCAAAATCATGTACGAAGTCAAAATACGAATAGTAAAAAATAGAATACGTATTATGATGGCTATTTACAGAGAGTTTTTTCTGTTGGACGTCACAAAATTAGATTCATTACATTATTATTCAATATATTTGTGGTTAATTGAGGTTATGATTCAGGTCCCAGCTAATAAAGAGAGAGAGATCCGAGAGTGAGTGAGTGATGGAGAAAAAAAAACAGGACCATGGAACAAGACAACAATGGGATAAGGTTGCCACTGTACATTCTTCTTAGATATTCCGATATTGTATGTATGTATCTATCTACCCTTAAAACTCCCTCTAGGGTTTTAGAGCATACTGGCGGCATATTCTTATTCTCGTTATTATAATCCGACATTAAAATGGCGGTTTTCTCTCTCTCCACACTCCCCTCTCACTCTCTCGCTTCCTCTCTTCTCAAGTTTGTCGCCTCTCTGCAGCCGTCGGAACCTCCATCCATCCCCAGAAGAAGAATCAACGGCAGAACGCGTGTCGCCTCCTCGCACTCCAATCCCAAGATTTTGAAGTCCAACCGCCGCTCCAGGTACGGCCAACCCCTCTCTCCCTACGACTCCGACGACGAAGACGCCGGCGGTGGAATTTCCGATGAAGCCGAAGACGATTGGTCTTCCGAAGTATGTCTTTGCTTATTCTCTGAATCATTGATATCTCTTGTTTTTGTTTTTGTGATTCTATAATTTCGATAAATTTATCACCCAATAGATAGGGTTTTTTGATACCTTACAATGTTGTTGACAAATTCAATTTGATGTTTGATTGCATTAGTATTTTGATACAATAGTTCAATTTTGATATTTAATTAGTTCATTCTTCATGATATAAAACATTTGTCATGTGGGTATTTTCCAGGTTGATTTCGGAGGTGTTAGAATCTCTAAAGCCGACCGACAACGGCTGAAGTTGAAGAGCGCCGCCAAAAAGGGACAAGGCGGCGGCGGTGGCACCACCAAAGGCGCAGGAAAATCTTGGGATACGCAATCATCAAGAACCGCACATAATCTCGAAACAAAGCCGAGCATTTCTGCTTCCAAGAATGGCAGACATACACTCGATAAAACCGAGAGAAATAGTTCTTACAGTGCTTCCTCGAAGTCAAGCAGTTTCGGTTCTTCAACTGTGAAGTCCAAGGACAAGGTATATATATACATACATACATATATATGTGCCGTTACGTATAGCACTCAATTAGATATGACTTCCTATATGTAACGTCTGCAGGAAGAAGGAAGCTCGTCTAAGGACAGGTTTATTCAGTTGTCAGAAGAATTAGATTTAGACGAAAGGGCTTTTCCACTTCTCGATTATCTAAGCACTTTCGGAATGAAGGAATCCCACTTCGTCCAAATGTACGAGCGACACATGCCGTCGCTTCAGATTAACGTCGAATCGGCCGAGGAAAGATTGGAATACCTTTTGAGCGTCGGTGTTAAACACAGAGACATCAGAAAGATAATTTTAAGACAACCTCAGATTCTAGAGTACACGGTGGAAAACAATCTCAAGTCCCATGTTTCCTTCTTGAGCGGCTTGGGCATTCCCGATTCGAGAATAGGGCAGATAATTACCGCCACGCCCTCGTTGTTCTCTTACAGTGTGGAAAATTCGTTGAAGCCCACGGTTAAGTATTTGCTGGACGAGATAGGAATACAAGAGAAGGATTTAAGTAAGGTTGTCCAATTAAGTCCTCAAATCCTGGTTCAACGGATAGATAATTCGTGGAATACTCGTCTCAGTTTCTTAATGAAAGAGCTCGACGCACCGAGGCAGAGTATAGTAAAAATGGTCACGAAACATCCACAAATACTTCACTACAGCATCGAAGCTGGTTTACTTTCTCGAATCAATTTCTTACGAAGTATTGGCATGCAAAAATCAGACATACTGAAAGTTCTAACTAGCCTTACACAGGTATATTCTTGATTCCCTTGTCGCTTAGTCTTATCTTTTTAAAATATTAATTATGATTTCAAAAATATCTGCAGGTGTTCTCGTTATCATTGGAGGGAAATCTGAAGCCGAAATATATGTACTTGATTAACGAACTCGGAAACGAGGTCCACTCTCTGAGCAAATATCCAACGTATCTAAGTTTGTCATTAGACCAACGGATTAGGCCACGTCATCGATTCTTAGTTTCGTTGAACAAAGCTCCAAAAGGGCCGTTTCCTTTGAGTTCGTTTGTTCCGACCGATGAATCGTTTTGCCAGCAGTGGGGAACTAGCGTAGATAAATATTTAGATTTTCGCCAGAGATTGCTTCTGAAAGATTTTGCAAAGAAATATGAAAAACTGTGAAGAGCCCAGTCATCTCTCTTACAATTAACACGAGATGTGATAGTTTTGTGCAAAGAATTGAGAATCGTATACCGGATCTTTATTACATGTTCATGGTAACACTGCTCTTTGAGTTCTTTGTACTATTTTTTTTCCTCGGGACTTTTGCGATGTTTTGTTTGGACCGAGTACTAATATTTGAAAAATGTGACAGGCATTGGTCCGATTACAAAGCTGACTAAACAATTTGATGAAGTCCTAAAAGGGTTTCTACTAACTTCTGGTGGTTATAGTAATCCAATGGGCATGCATGCATATTCAGTCTCCGTAATATCAAGGTAACATTTCGTCGTTTTTGGTATAACAAAAGATCTGCTTTTGAGTTATTTTTGTTTAAAAATAAAGATCGATTTTCTGAGAGATTATCAAGATGGTTGGCGGTTATTTGGTTGTGTGATTGAATTGTCGTCATCCCTAATGTGCTTAACTACTAAACAGTTGGGTTTCATACCAGAAAAAAGTACTGGTTGTTGAGTCTGTTTGACTATAATCGAACATTCAAACCTAAATCCTAGATTTTTATCTCACTCACCTGTCTTTTTTATTTGTCAATAGTCGATTTCAAATTAATTTATTTTTTGCTTTCCCAGCAGATCCGTAATGCACTGGTAATATCGTCAACAAACACAAATTCAGATTGACTGGCTTTCCTGTTGATACAATTACATGAGACGATATTCTTTTGCTTGTTTAGTACCTAGGACACCATTTTTGTTGCAGAACTAGAACTACATTATCGGCTATAAAAGGTACGAGTTTGTCGCGTCACTTTGCTTGTCTGTAAAGATATATCTCGGACCTTGTTACTGTAAGATATCTCTGTCTTGTTAATTATAGGTACGTGCATTTTACATAGTATCTGCTAAAGGGTTCTTGATTTAATCGATTATGCTGTCACTGCATGTTATATTATATATATATATATATATATATATATATATATATATATATATATATATATATGGAACTTCTATTTAAATTGTGGGATGGCAACATTTTTGCTTGTAACTATCAATTTCTTCTACAAATTGTTTTTCATCTCTATTTTATTTTATATATTATTATATAAATCAGAAGTATCTTTCACATAAGATATCGAATATTTGGTGACACGACATCTACTAATTAGTTATTACAAACCAGGTCAATGTATAAGAGAGAGGTATCAAGTCTCATACACTATGAATATACCAAGTAATTTTCAACCTCTAATTTACAAAATTATATAAAAAAAAAACATATACATGTTAAATATTTAAGGTAAACTACGGTCACCATGTGGTAAGGTAAGATTACAGAAATTCCCTCATATTTGAGCAATTACAACATCTCTCAACTATGAATCTTCACCTTTGCGGTATCAAGATTTAGTGTAATCTTTTAGATTATTTGAAATATTCTCCAATTTATATCCGTTTTACCCAAGTCGGGCTCTACTTTTTAAAACAAGATGATCATAAGATGTACCTCTTAACTTGTCAATATCAGATTGTTTGTGGTGCTCTAAAATTGCATTTTGACATAAAACGGATATAAATCAGAGAACATTCCACAGAATTCAGAAGATCATATTAAACTTGACACCATAAGGGCGGAAGTGTCTAGAAGATTCATAGTTGAGGGGTGGTTGTAATTACTCAAATAAGAGGGGGTTGTTAGTAATTCACCCAAATATTTATGAACAAACTCTTTTTTTAGAAAAAAAAAAGAAAAAAAAAACCCTGAATGCAGAGAAGGAAAGAAAAATGCTAGAAATGAATGGTAACATTTACTAATGTCATGAGATTTGGCCGAGAAAGACACAACTACTATCCAACATTCAATAAATGTTCATAATAAAGAAAAAAACCATGCAAGAATTATTACATTTCATGCACACCGCCACTGTGTGCTAATCCATGTGTGGGTTTTATTATATACTTTTAAAGATCAAGATCCCATCTTTAACTATAAGCCACAAAAACAGAGAAGATAAGCAAAATTGCATGAACCAATCAAATCCTATCATGTAATGCAACCATATACAGAAAAAATATAGAAATACCAGAAAAAAAGAAAATCCAGCAGGCTCGTTAAATATCGAAAAGACGAATATACTAAGAGATAATAATATAAGAATAACTGACGACCCCGATTTCCAGAGATTTTCAAACTTATTTTCACATCTCTGCTATAGCCATATGTACCGATGGGTACTTCATTTTCTATTTCCAGATGCCCTAACACCTACACTACGATTCTTTCCCACGAGACTAAAAAGAAAAATTCCTATTTGTCTTTATTTCTGTGACACGGAAAATTCGAAAAGATAAAACGAAAACACAGGAACCTGCTCTCTGTATCGTAAATCGTAATTCATATTCCTATTTCCTATCATGTATGTTTCTTCTAATGATGTTTGTCTTGTAAAATTAAAACGACCGCCTCTATAAATTCTCTTACGTCGTTGGATTTTGTACTTATATAACTGCCGAAATGCTGCTGCCTGCCGCAGAAGCAAAGTGGTTTTCCGGGAGACTTATTCCTTGAGCACTGCACGAAATTTAAAAAAACAAATAAGAGAGCGACCGTGGCAAAATATATGTATATATAAGAGAAGATTAAATTAAAAAATATAGCCGACCTTTCTTGATCGCCACAGTTGGTAACTGTATACTTGGGGATAGTATCGTTACTAGTAGACCCAATCTTCAGATAGTCGAACAGATAACTGAAACGATCTATCGATGGAACTTTGCTGTGATCTGCATAAGTTTATTTTGACAAATTTTAATGTAATTTTATTTATTTATTTATTAAAGAAGCTTGAAAAAGAAGAAAGAAAAAAAAAAGGCGAAAGGACCTTCGGGTAATCTTGGCTGATTAATGGAATAACCGAAGCAGGAGGGGTTTGGAACAAGTCTGCCAGCTAATCGGAGTTGTGAGAGATGCAATGCCTCACGATCGAGAGCGTATTCTTGTGCTTCCCTTAGTTGTCTACGGAACATTCTAGATTGATCCCAGCCTATCGGTCAAAAAGATTAAATTCCCATGAGATATTTATTTTTTTATTGTACTGGACGAATTAATCTTGCAAACGAGTAAATTATTCGCAAAACAAAACAGTAGTTTCTTACTGGTTTGAGCCTCCGAGTCGATATCGGTAGGTTGAGAGTGGTGGTAATATACGGGATGATCGAAATTCTCCAGGTATTTCCTGCATTGAATATATATTAGTGTGATTTTGATATACGAAAAAAAATATGTACATTTTGACGAAAGAATCAAGAAAGTATATACCTACCTTTCAACAGACTTGGACTTTTCTCGATATTGTTTCACGAGTACACGAGCGCCACATACGTAATGTGGATTTCCCTTCGACAAAACCAGATTCGCTGTCTCCACACTATCGAAAGATACGAAACCGAACATTCGTTTTTCCTGTGGAGGAATCCTCACATCCTGCACCGGTCCAAACGTGCTGCAAAAACAAAAAAAGAACCATAAAACAATTAGCCTTCATTTTTATTTATGGGAATCTATTTTTCGAAATATCGAATTCGACAAAAGGCTAATGTTACCTGAAGTAATTCGCAACGTCATCCTCACTAAAAGTGCTCTCGGGTGGAAAAGTCAAATAAATCTGACGAGAGTCGCTAACAATCGGACCAGGGTCGTTTCTCTCTCCTCGCATTTCCATATACTTCGACGCATCTTCCGCCAGTATCACTGCATGCTGCCCGTGAGGCCTATAAACACACACACACACACACAAAGATAAAAAATCACAAGGGCTTGATTGTCATTTCACACACATTACACACACTCAGGGAAAACGCAATAGACAGACACCTGTCAATGAGGCGAATGCTGTTTTTAAGGCGAGCAAGAAGCTTGGTCAAGCTATAACCAGGTTTACCGTGGCGTTGACTCTCGGTCAAATACCCTTCCGCCTGTAGGGTTTTACCGTACATTTCGTAGTATATCATAGGCAGAGAGGCAATCGAGACGGGCTGCCGTCTTCTTGATTTCAACAGTTCGGCAATCTCCAGCTCCAATTTCTCGAGCGAACCCGGTGGGAAAACATGGTCATCTTCGTACGAGCCATGACCACCAAATACGAGAGGTTGCGGCGGCGGCGGTTCCCCGTGCAGGTACCTGCAGTTACTACCGTGCTTACAGAAACCCTTAAGGAAATAGTGACACGTCTTAACGGGGTAATGATCCGTTAAGCACGGAGTATTTCTACCACCCCTTATACTAATACTGTCGAACGCAGCTTTGTACCGGTAGTACTCGTTCTGAAAAGTCGACGGCCCGGATTCAATGGGTACCCTTATCAGAGGCAGGTTGTTATGCGGGTCCAAGTAAGGATCCAATACCGGAAACTGAGCGGTTGGGCCGGAAAACGGGCGCGGCGAAACGGGCAGAAACGGAGCGAGCTGAAAAGAAGGGTCCGATAAAGGGGTGGGATTGATTGGAGGGGATATTGGCGGTGAAGCTAATAGAAGAGCATTTTTCGCGTTTTGGATGAACTTATGGATTCCGGCGTCGGGGGCTATGGCTAACCGAATCATTTCTTCATCGGAAAGTTCTTGAAAGTACATATGTTCAATGATCTTATTTGCTATGTGTTCCGGTTCCATTTCCTTGATCCGCTTCATGACAACTTTTGCAGTCTCCGAAGAATCCATTTCACATTTAATCTACACCATTGAACATGTAACAAAAACAAAAACAAACAATCAGCAAATTAATTAGGCCAATTTATTCAATTTAGGATCCAGTTTAAGAAAATCAAGAACACAACTCATGAGTTTTCTTGGGGATGGTCATCATTATTATTAAAAAAAAATTAATTTTTTTTATGGGATTGAATTAATTACTAGAAAACCATAAAAGGAAAAGTTTAGGTGAAGGGGGAGTGTGTGGAAAAAGGTGTGAAACAATAGTCAAAATAACTACTACACATGCCAGATAAATTACAGCACAGCTTTATCCAAAACCAGGAGAGAAAATTTAATGTTCAATTCTCCAACAACAAATCACACACACACACACACACACTAAAATCTCTAATAGCAAGATCCCAAAATTCAGTCATAAAACACTTTGATTTCTTGTTGATTTTAATTAATCATGTAAGAGAAACTTGGAGAAATCCTTCAAAATAGGAAAAAAAATTCCAAAAAAAAACATAATGTTTACGAATAAAACTACTTCATTCGACAGAACCCATGAATGAATGAAACATGAACACAAGTAATCAAAAAACAAGAGAACCAACCTGCACGCAGAAACTTGAAGCTTGAAACTTGAAATAAATAAAATAAAAACTGAAACTTTAAATAAAATAAAAAAAGAAAAATCAATGAGAGAGAGAGAAAACTGCTACTCTATTTCAACAAAAAAAAAAACAAACTTTCTCGCTCTAACCTCTGATCTCTTTCTCTCTCTACTCTAATGTTTTTTTTTTCTTCTGAAATATTTGTAACTCTGAAACTTCTGAGTCTCCCAAACAAAATGACAAAAAAGAAATGCTTTAAAGAAGGGGAACGGTTTGGACTCACTACAAATATTTATATTGCTACTTTTTTTTTTTTTTTTTTTTATCTATTAAAAATATATTTTTTATTTTACTTAATAGTTATCTAATAGTAAATGATTTTTTTGCTAAACAGTTTTGTAGATATTACATCCGATTAACGAGGCACGTGTATATATTGGATACGCATAAAAAAATGGGGGTAGTTATTTATACGCGTCTCCGTGAAAATAATTATTATTATTATTTTTTTTTTTATCATTTTATCACACCAATAAACAAAATATTTCCTGGATTTACGATATAGTTGATGACAGCTTGAAACACGAGTTACGAATTTGCCCTTCTTATATACACAAATTACAACATTTTTTCTTTTGGAATTTCCAATGTGTTGTGCCACGTCAGAATATTATTATTATTATTCTTTTATTTTTTATTATATAATACTAATCTGCACCAAGTGGATGAAATCATTAATGTGAGTTGGACGCAAGAACAATGATTAATTAAAGATTGAATTAAGAATGATTAGGGAGGTTACTTGGTTAGTTGTATTTGATTGGGTCATTGACTAATGACTAATTTATTTCATGTTCAAGAATAAATATATCATAGTACCTTACTACAAATTAATAATTATTATTAAGTAGGGCCCACAAAATTTTGGGGAGAAATAATTTTGTCTCATTGGACATGTTCATTGTTCAAATTAAATTGAAGTAATTTTATATTTATGGGGTATATTAAAGTTGGTCTTATCTATACTACATATGTTGTGTCAATTACACTTAAATGGTTTTTTCTTTCACTTATAGATCTTAAATACAACCACCTATACATACATATATTGAGTGTATGTAAAATAAATAGTTATAAGTATTTATTGTACACGTGTATAAGTAAAATTCACATAATGCAGCATAGAACTAACCGTCAAATGATATATCTCATCTGTTAGACAAAATTCTAATTTTCGATTTTTTCAAAAAAACTAACCTTGCCTTGTGTAGGAAAAAAATGTTATTATTTATTAAATAAAAAACTAATAGACTAATAATAATTAATAAGGTGATGAAAAAAACAAATTGTACACATTTGGTTCTACTAATGGTGATCATGCCACGTCAGTTAAAATGGGACACGTCAGTTTATAAATTAATAGCACCATAATTAAAATATATTAAATAAAATAAAGAAAAATGAAAGGGCATTTATGGAAATCCCATGGTGCTACTTTTTCTTTAGAGGGGAGTTTCAATCGGCAAGCAGGTAGGGAGTATAAAAGGTCAGCCAAAAAGAAAAACAGTTTTTTCTTTTTCTTTTTCTTTTTATTTTTATTTTTAATTTCTCCATTTTATAATTAGTGTATTTATTTTTTTAATTTATATAATAATAAAATAATAATGAAAAGAGATAGGAAAATATTTAGGAAAAAAGCGGGAAAAGCGCGATTTGATATTTGATGTGGTGGTTTTTGATCCACGCTGGAATAGGGCCCATTAGTTATCATAAATCTCCACTTCTCTTGTTTAGATTTTCTTTATTTACATTCTGACCCATCTTATTTTTTCTGCTCTCTTTTTTACCATCAATACTTTTTAACCATTTAAATTTACTCACGAATACAATATTCTAGTGCAATTGTATAGAATAATATATTTCTTACTACAATTGTATTGTCATGTATTTAAATAATTATTTTTTTCAAATTTGAAATGTATGCACAGGTGAAATTACTAGTAAAAATAAAATGAAGTACTTTTTAGTAATTGAGGCAAACACATAGATGACCAATGCAATAAATTAAACTATTTCATTTTCTAATGATTGATTAGAAAATATAATATGAGCTATTAGTACTTTTCTTAGGATAACATATAGTGGCAGATTCTCATGAATAATGATTGACACATCTATTAAATAAATTGATGTTGACAAATTGTTTAATATTGTTTATGTGGAGTATAAGTGTATAACAATTAACATAACCAGTTTGACTATTTTTCTTCTTCTTCTGATTTCTTCTTTATTTTAATTTTTACATGCTATCCACATACTTCATCTGAGCAGAATATGTTTACACACACACGCAATGATTTTTAGTAATACTAATTATTTAAGTGCAAATTAGAATTATGGTCAAATAATAAAAACTCTCTTCTTGCTTGGGTAATTACAGCCACCCATCAACTATCTATTATCTTAGAAAAAAAACCCTCAAGAAGTAAATTTAGGGAAGATAAATCGGTAAAATCGAATCGCTATGTATAATCTTACGAAAAAAACCCTCAAGAGGTAAATTTAGGGATGATAAGTCAGTTAAACCGAACCGAAATTTCGGTACGCCAACATTTCATACCGTTTGCTGAACTGAATATACGATTTGGTTCAAGAAATAACAAAAATACATGAATTTTATGTAAAAATATTTAAAAAGAAGGGTGATTGTAACTACCCAAAGAAGAGGGACAGTAATTTGCACATTATTTAAAAAAGAAAAATAGATAAAAAAAAAAAAAAAAAGTTAAGTGGAGATGTAAAATTTATACAATTTAGCCTATTTAACTGAAAATTTTAAAAATATTTGAAAATTCTGATTAGTAAGTAATTAATAGTTTTATTTATGTGGTTTCCGAAGAGGAATCACATGCAGCTAGGATATATATATTGTGTGTGGGGCGAAAGGTTATCCAGAATGCATGGCTGCATGGTATAAGGGCCCTTTTGGTTGGGCTGATCCAATGTGATTGATCTCACAATCCATCTGGATCTTAGATTTGGTTCAGCCCAACCCATTTCCGGATTGATCCTGGGCCCGGGCTCCCATCCCTTAATTACTGGATCTCCGATCCAGCCTATGGAGGTAAGATTGGGTAATCCAATCCCTCTCCAGCCCAACTCTCTAAATATTTTACTTAAATGCCCTGACCATTTATTCATATTTACAAATATACACCATATATATATCGATTTATTCAGCCCCAAAAAATCATCGGAGTTTTCACACACATACTACACTTCCCACTGCGTGTGTTCTTCCAATCGATGTCGTTCGTCCTTAACCTATCTAATCCATCGAAAAACCAGACCTCTACCTCTTCGATTCAGAGAATTCTCATCTAATTGGCAGAAATTAATCAACCCAACAAGTGCGAGAATTGTGAAGATAGCGATCGCGAATAGAGGCAAAATTGCGTGCAGGATCGAACTGCCAAGAGGTTGGGGATTCGAACCGTAGTTGTTTACAGTGTTGCAGATGAGAGCAGCTTGCATGTCTAGTCGTCTGATGAATCTGTTTCGCATTGGAACCCCCGCCGGCTCGGCTCGGCTACTTGAGCGCTCCCTCCATTATCGAAGCCGCTTCCAGGACCCGCGCTCAGGTTTTACTTTAAACATATAACTGATTAACTTTACATTCTATTGTTTGGAAGAGTATTTATGTCTTAGTGAAGAAAATATGTGCTGTTAATTTTCATATAAAGGTGAATATATATGGGCCTCATTTGTGTTCAAGTTGTATGTTGGAAAAATGATTTTACAGTTTTCTCAACTTATGCTGATTTGAAAATTAATGTTAAGAGTTAGAGAAACCATGTTTGAACACATTGTATGTGTCTATATCCGAAGTTGTCTGTATCGGGTAACTTAATCGGAACAGAATGAACTTAACTGGAAAATAACCATTTTTTGGAAGAAAAAAAAAAAAACCTTTGGGTTTGTCCAGACTTCAATTGAAATTTAGTTGCCCCCTTTTGTATTGTTTTTTGTTAGAATGCAAGGTTTGGAAAAGGTGCAGTTTTTGGAATAAATATGAAATTTTTATTTCGGGAAAGTAGTAGATCATACATTTGTTGAATCCAATGTTAATAAAAGCTGACGTTTTTGGAGTAATGATCAAATTTTATGCTTGAGGAAATGTTGTAGGATTTACAATTGTTGAATTCGAACAGGAAATGACTGAAAATAGATCCAATCAATTGATAATTTTGCAGGTCTATTGGTCATTGTTCTATTATATATTGTTTTTTACAGTAAATATTGTTATATATTGTTATATACTGTTATATGTAAGAAGGTTTTGAGCACGATGTGGCCCACCGTATCGGTTTTGAGCACGATGCGTCCACTACACGTAAGAAGGTGTTGGATGCCCTATCGCCGTTATTCTTAGGTGTCGATGATGATAAGATCACCGTCGCTAAAGCCGTTTGCAATAGCCCAACCGACCTCGACATATTTTTCGAATTAAATGAGTCCGAAAAGGGGGTTATGGTTCGAATGATCCTCGAAGGTCTTTACTTCGGATAGGTAGACTACCATCCACTCACAAGGCGACGAAGAAATTTTCCGTATTCGGACTCCATCTTGCGGCGTTATTTGCATTGAAGACATTTTATTTCTTCTTTAATTTAATTTTGTGGTGGACATTATAGTTGTCCATTTGTGTGTCACAAATATAAATTTTCTGTAATATGGCAGATTATATTTCGTAAATTTTCTACAAGTATTTAGTGAAGTTTCTGTTAGTGTGGAGCTAAAATGTCTAATATGGATTCCAAAAAAATCTGTTATTTTGGAGCTACTGCTCCATTTTATTAGCTTCATATTTTGTAGAAACTAGAAGATATGATAATGACATCTAACTGTTATATTAATGTCATTTTTCCAAACGTTTATTTTGGAAGTAAAGCAAATTCATCATAGCTCGGGTGTATTATATAATAATAAAAAGGGCTTGCAGGGGGTGGAAATATAATTATCCAAAAATATCAGGGCTGATTTTATAATTATAGGAAAATGGGAGGAAAGAATGGGTGGTGCAACCAATATTTCGGAAATTGGGAGGTGTATAATATAATAATAAAAAGGGCTTGCAAGGGGTGGTAATGTAATTATCCGAAAATGTTAGGGCTGATTTTATAATTACAGGAAAATGAGAGGAAAGAATGTGTGGTGCAAGCAATATTTTAAATATTGTCAGGTGTATAATATAATAATAAAAAGGGCTTGCAAACGGTGGTAATGTAATTATCCGAAAATGTTAGGGCTGATTTTATAATTAAAGGAAAATGGGAGGAAAGAAGAGGTGCAAGCAATATTTTAAAAACTGAATGGTGTATAATATAATAATAAAAAGGGTTTGCAGGGGGTGGTAATGTAATTATCCGGAAACGTTAGGGTTGATTTAATAATTAATGGAAAATGGGAGGAAAGAATGGGTGCAACAAGCAATATTTTAAAAATTGACAGGTGTATAAAAAGGGTTTGCAAGGGGTGGAAATGTAATTATCCAAAAATATATGGGCTGATTTTATAATTAAAGGAAAATGGAAGGAAAGATTGGGTGCAACAAGCAATATTTTAAAAATTGACATGTGTATAATATAATAATAAAAATGGCTTATCAGAGGTGGAAATGTAATTATCCAAAAATATTAGGGCTGATTTTATAATTACAGAAAAATGGGAGGAAAGAATGGGTGCATCAAGCAATTTAAAAATTGACAGGTGTATATTATAATAATAAAAGGGCATCAAGGGGTGGTAATGTAATTAGCCAAATTATCCCACCGAATCCTCCCAACCATTCCTGAGTTTGGCTCTTTCGGATTCAATCCCACATATCCGTATCCAACCAACCAAACCCGAGATACCATCCATATTTTACTAATCCATACAGTGTAATTTCAATATGAATCCCCAATCCCATCCCAACCCATCCCTCCAACCAAAAGGGGCCTAATTGGATTACTGGGGACAAATAATCAAGAAACCTAGTCACTGTTACATTACACCCAACAACAACTCATTGTCTCCTCCAATCCCATTACATCAAATACTTACACACATACATACATATATATGGACCATGCGTATTTTTCATTTTATTTTATTTTATTTTAATGAAGATATATAATAAGAATAGACAAGAAGCAAAACTAGGCCCAGAAACATGTGCTCTAGCTGTCACATCCCTCTCTCTATTTCCTTGTCAACCAAATTATCATTTTGGATCTTCCCTTTTTTATTTATTATTATAAAGTTATTTATTATTTTCGGTTAAAATTATAATTAAGTACGTGTTTATAGTGCATTAAGCAATGAAATTGTATTACTATAAGCGCAAAATTCCTAGAAGCCCAATGCAACAATCCAAGAACATATAAATTACATTAAATTTGAGTTGCGAGTTATTACATGAGAATTATATTATTAAAAATAAAAATATCAAAATCTTGTCGGGAAACAAACAGAAACAGCAATTGGTGATTAGCAGCGGAAGTCACAAGTATCTAAATAGGCCCGATTAGAGGTATAAATTGGGCCACTACTGGATGCAACACAGGCCCATCTTATCCACGAACCGGCCCGAACCCGTTTCTAATTCAAAATATGTTCGCATTAAAGTTTTGTACCATTTGCTAATAATAAAATATTGTAATTTTTTAATTAATTCCCTAGCAATTTTAAATTATTAACAATTAGTTATCAAAAAAATTACTACTAAATTGTCCGAGTTATTTATAAATTTATATTCACAATTAGTTATTTCAATTATCCATCATTCTACAATAAATATTTCGAAAATTAGAATCTCAGATATTTGATTTGTGCTTTCAATTTTTTATTTATATCATTTTTTTAAAATATTTTTTTGAAGAAAATTGTGATAAATATTTTTAAAAAATTCAGTCTTTTCTACTTCGTCATCCGTGAACGAACTGCAACCGGAGCCGGGGCCAATTATCCGGCGGCGACAGATAAAGAAAGAGGAATCGTCCGATCCCAACAAATTCCAAATAAAATAAAAGAAAAAGCTGCCCAAATTGAAGGAGTTGAGTATCAGAATTGAGAAACAAAACGTGGAATTAACAAATTAAAAAAGAAATCCCTAAATTGAAAGAAAAAAAGAAATGGAAAGGGAGAAGAATGGGATCAGACTGACGTGCAAAATGATCAGAATAGCAGCAGCAGGTATTAATCAACTGAGCCTCTGAAAAAATCGATATATAATCATCATTTCCCAAACTCCTTCCCTTAATCAGATCGAAATTCCCAGAAAAAAAATTTAAGAATAAATACTGACTAATTACTACGCTTAATATACATCTGAGAAGAAAATGAAGCGTACGAGTTTTCTCGCATTTGATTTCGCAGCCAGTGGTTTGGGATGTGAGAACTGAGAAGCAGATGTAAATGTGTATGTATATATACACGTTCTGAACCCTAGATTCTGCGGGTCTTGGCGGCTGGGTGAATGAGTATGTTGCCCACCTCTAACCCTAGTTCCCCTAATTTATTTCGAATTCTTTTCGTCCAATTTAATCCTATTATTAAATACTAGTAATTTATCCCGTGCGTTGCACGGAGCAGCATTCCAAATAAGAATAAAATAATTATTTATATACATAAAAAAAAAATCGCAATAAAGAATATATATTACACAATGTTAAAATTTTATTTGTCAAATTGAAATTACAGTAATAATATAGATATTCCTAAAATTATAGTTGATCCGGTTGGACTCGTGGTGGGCTGGTTTAGAAAGTTGAGTAGGCCTGAACTTGGACCGGAGCCTACGATAAACATACAAGAAAGAAAAGAACCGGACTTAGGCCGGAGTTAGCACTCCGACGGCCAAGTCAGTAACTTCCTGAAGAAGATATTATGCTTCTGTATGTAATTGATGTATATGATTTCGTTGTGGTTTTCCTGTATTTACTGCCCCTATTTATACTAAAGAAAGGGACGGACGTCAAATATTCTTCAATTTAATTTACCTGTCCCATCGCGGTAATTATGCATCCGGACCCCAAATTACCTTCAATTCAGTTTAATCTGTCATTTCATTGGCGGCTGCAGGTGCAAAAAGTAGGGGGGCGAAACGACATTCCCCTGCTCTTGTCAGTGGATTGGACGTGCATTAAATACCCCATGTGCAGCAATGATCATCTCCGGCAGGTCTGGCGAGAAGCTTGGCGGAAGGGTGAGTTAGCGAGAGGCTTCTCGCTCTCGCGGGCTACCCGCGACCTGGTCTCTCTCGCCTATCGAGTACCAATTTAATGGGTCTTCTTCTCTTAGTGGGCTTAATGGTGCCTTTTGACCTTACTTGGGCCTTTGGTCTTTACTGGGTCTATCAAACGGTAATGGGCTGGAGCACCTTGACGAGCCTTTGCTCCTTATTGGGCCATCTGGCTGGCCATGGCCGGATCAATAGTTACAATGTTTGGTCCTAAAATCTTCCCATCATTTTTGCCAAATAAATTCTTGGTTGTTAATGTTTTGAAAACAAAATTCCCAATACGATTCACAAAGTTACTCTATCCTCCGAACATAATTTAATTGCTATAGTCTAAAATGTCTCACTAAAAAATAAATAAAAATCACTTTAATCACAATTAATCATGAACAAATATATATAATATATAAATGTAAAACGTGGTTAAAAAAATCAAATATATTAATTATAATGTAAAACGTGAGAATAAAATATAACTTAACAAAATAAAATAGATTAATTATTTTAACTTTGAAATTAATTTATCTTAAATTGTTCGTCCAAAATAGTCAAATTTGAACACAACACTCATTTTTATGTCTAAACTATCCTATTAAAATCGTTTTCCAAAATAATAGGACAATTTAAAATTATAAATAAACTGGTAAAAAAATCGAACAACATATTGATGTGGAAAACTAATTTCTCGTAACTTGTTCATAAAAAAATTGCGAAATTTTAACCCAACTCTCATTTATATTCCTAAGTATTCAGCTAATAAAAAGATAATCGTTGTCAACATATTTAAACTACCTGCATAAACGATGACCTAAATTAGAGAAGTTTATGTAGATGGAGTAACCGACGAAAAATGAAGTGTAGAAATCATAATACATTTTCATAAATCAAGAACTGTTTTTTTTGCAAAATCTGCCTCTAGTAGAATGTGATTGAAGGTGTCTGATGAAATCTCTCCTCCCTCTCTGTTTATCATCTTTCCAAGTCATTACTAATGCTCGGCATAAAAAGCAAATACTGCAATTATATTCCAATTCCTCAAACTAACCAAAAAGTTAGCTTCTATCTGCATAAACAATCAAGGAGTATATACACATTTATCATTCTTCAGTTAATTATTGAGAATGACAACAAACTCTTTAGAAACTGGAATTATATTTCGATTAAAGATAAGAGTATTGCAAAAAATGAAACAATAAAAAATAGTCAGTTCCTCAAAATAGAGGGAAAATGTTATGTGATATATAAAAGATATCAGAAAGCACACATTTACATCATCATAACAATAGAAAAGGGGCATCTAAATATGAAGAAATAGTTTTGAGATAAAAAATAAAAAAATACTACACAACACACATTTGACGACAATATATAGGATTATCACAATATGTAGGGGTGAGCAAGTCGGACCCATCAACCCGTCATACCCATCAAAACTGTGAAAAACCGGCCTGTTAGGACCGGACGGATAGATCCATCCATAGGATTGGGTCCTAAAATGGTGAAGAACCGTGGGTTTAGGTCTAAAACGGGTTCAATTTTTTTAATACCCGTGAAACCCGTCCCGACCCGCCATACAAAACGACGTCGTTTTGTTTTACATTATATAGTGTAATAAATTAATAATATTAATTAATAAATAAAATATCTCTAGTGTATCAAATACATAAATAAACTAAACTATAATTGTGGAAGTAATTCTTATAAAGATTACAAAAATCTCTAAGAAAAGGCAGGGGAAAAAATATATATATACAAGAGTCAATACACGGTAGAAACAAAAGGAAGAAAATAATAGAAGAAAAAAGGAAAGAATTTTGTCTTTTGAAGAATATATATATATATATATATATATATATATATATATATATATATATATATATATATATATATATATATAAAGGAGAAGAAAGACGGGGAATCATACGATCAAGCTTGGAAGAATTAGGTTTGTTTCATACTTTTCTTTTTTCTTATAATCTGCTGTATGTTTTTTTCTTTTGAAGTTAATAACCTATATTATAAACTTATGATTTTATGGAGCTAAAATGTCGAATGGCTTGGTTATACTTGAAAATGTTATTTTTATTTTATTTAAATTTTGTCTTTTAAGTTTTGAATTAGTTACTTTTAGTCTTATAATGGATTTTATGGTTAAAACTTGTATTAGTTTTTATTTACTCTTGACATTTACATTATTTATGTCTGGTTTTAATTTAAGATTTTAGATTATTCATTTTAATTTCTAATTATTCTCGCGTAAAACTTGAATATTATCAAAAAAAAAAATGGTTTAGACGATAACGGGTTTCTACCCGTAAAGGTTGGGTCCTACTACAAACCCGTCATGGACCCGCCTATCGTAAACCCGTTGAAAACCCACAAGTTTGGTTCTTCAAAATCAAGAACCGTTGTTAGACGGGACGAGGGCGGGTTTTGATAGAACCCGCGGGTTTATGACCCGCGCACACCCCTAGCAATATGTGTTCATTCAAAGAAGTACAAAAGAAAAAAATATAGTAAACTAAAATTTTTCAATCTATTCAAAAAGAAAGCAGGAAAATCCATAACCCAATGTGTACTCTACCCATACCAAACACAGTCACAATTCACAAACACAGAGATGAGCAACCCAACACACATTAGCGCACACTACTAACACACACACATAAATTGCACTGCATGAACCGGTTAACACACTTTAGAGTAGACACATTTTCTCCTGTTATATGAGGAAAAAATATCGGAAAAAAAAATCCACATGATAAGTGAATTTCAAGAAAATATAATATACGGACATACTATTAAATTTTACAGCAATGTTTGAGAAGGCGGATCTTTAACTGACTGCAACAACATCAATCAACATAGAGAGAAAATCAAACACACGATAAGATGAAACATAACACAGAATAGAGAGAAATAAAAAAAATAACCATAACCGAACATATTTCTTGTCAAGGTCTTCAAACTCCTAAATTATGTTTCGCCTAGACATAATGTTTTCGTAAAAACTCATCCAATCGTCAAATCTCAGCCTAGAATACATATAACGAATATATTAAAAAGAAAAAAAGAACGCCACTTAGAGCAGAGCAACAACCAAATGAAACCGACTATAATTGCATATTTGATATTGTACATAAATTAGTATTTTGCTTAATAATCACCCAAACGACCAAAAATGACTGCAATTATTAGATGAGTAGAAACGAACCATGAGAGACTTGGTGAAGGATAGACAAAACATCCAACCGAGCGGTATCATTGCCGGAAGGGATTGAAGGGCTTGCATGTCAATTGTTGTCCTATAAAAGACGCCAATCAATATTGAGAAGTATTCTCCATAAACCGACATGTTACAGACTTTCCTTCTGCGAAATAATGCAAAGACAATAAATTGGGAAACCATAGCTACTAAATAGATCGACACATTTAAAATTAATAAATAAAAAGAAATCATTTGAATAAAATTAAAACTGGAAAAGAACCACATCCTAAAAAAATTATGAATATCAAGTTAAACCAATTAATGTAGAAACCCATGGAATTTTTCCAATAGCCAACAAACAATGTCGAGTCTCTAATCACAAACATCATCTTCCCTGTCTCAGTGTAGTAAGCAATACACGATGAAAATAGAATCTAAAATACCTGCGCTCTTTGTTGGGATTAATTCACACGCCATCTACTACATGAATAATAAGCATTAAAAAGTCCGATTTAACAAATTCGAATAAAAGATTCACAATGATTCAAAAAAATTCAGTTCAATAATATCAGAAAGAAACAAATAAAAACTAAGAAAATGAGTGAATACCGTTTTATATTGATTATGGCACTGGTTTGAGGAGGCAATTTGAATTCTTCAGCAGCAAAATCTCAGATTTCACTGGGCAGCATACAAAGTCCTAATAACTGGTGCAATGTCGAAGAATGCAAAAAAAAAAAATGAAAAATCTCATAAGCCATGACAAATTGCAGGACACGATCGATGATATGGGAGAAGAATAATAATGAGAAGACAAAACGTTTACATGAGTGAAAACGTGGGAGTTATTAGAACGTGAGAAGTTGTTGAATAAACTAAACTACAAACACAACTACTTAGGTTGAACACGTCTGCAAAAAATCAGGAGAAAAAGAAGGAAAAACTTACTGGCTAAAGAAACAGAATAAATGATGGAAATAAGGACTCTAATCTACGTTTTAAATATGATTTGAATAATGGTTTTTTCCAAAACTGACCTTTGGATTACAAATATATCACCAAAATGGGATTAGGGTTTCGGGGCAAAACCTTTCTTTTATATATAAAGATTAGTGACAAATTAATGAAATTAGAAACAAAATATGATAACCTACAATTGGTAAATTTTGTAAAAATATTTTTATTTTTTTCTTCTAAAATTCAAATGTAATAAATAATTTTCTTATTTCATTTTTGACTCGAAAGGATACAAAATAACTGATTTGAAACTAAATTCACAACCCAAACAACTGCTCGAAATCAGTAGGATTTCGGGTTTCAATCGACATTTTTGTTGTTTTTTTCGTTTAACCAATTTACCGTTTCTCATCTAATTGCAAGTGATAAATGGTAACAAAATTGAAAAAAATGCACCTGACAAAAATTTAATGGTTCAATTATTATTTCAACAAACCATAAAACAATTTAACTCGATTTCATCTTCAAGAGCCAAAAAAACCACAATGGTGTTCGTATTTCAACACTTCTTCAGCTCTAAAAGTTCATTTGCAACTACACCAATACAGAAATTGCAGTTTTTTTTATAATTCAAAACTACTCTTTTTTGTTTGGTCTAAAAAAAAAAAAAAAGAATGAAACAACACTACTGTTTAATTACTTGATCATTAGAGTCTTCCTGTACAGTCATTACATAATCGTTTGCTATTTTGCCAAACGGGACCTCATCCTCATCACTCTCTATACTATCTAATTCATCTTCGCCTTCCTCGCTAGATCTCCTTTTCATGATTTTGGGCATAAAACGAGTTACCTCTTTCGCCTCTACCGATGCCTCTTCATTGTTTATTCTTTCAAATCGAACTGCACTCACCTTTCTCGCGTTCCCTGCTAATATCTACACCAATCACACGAACTTCCATTAATTACGCAAAAACCGTATAATAATGTCAATTAAAGAAAGTTGGAAGTGACTAATTGATTCTTAAGATAGCACCCATTGCAAAATAATAGTTGCTTAGTGAACTGGAACTCAATATGTACAGAAAAATCTTTGAGAAAATGAACAAGGTAAGTACGACATAAACAGCGAGCGCACCTCAAGCTTATATATTTGCGTCTTCTCCTTTTCTTTTCTACGATCAGATTCTGTGCCATCGTAATCACCATGATCTTCTCGAATTTCTCTTTCAAGGACCACTTTTATAGTCTCGCCTGTCCTTGGTATATATCCAAATGCCTCACAGACAAACCCTGAAACTGTTTCGTACTGATGACCCTGCATTGAGTGGCCAACAATGTTAACAACAAGAATTAAACGGACATGATAACAACTGTCTTCAATACTAAATGTTGTAAATACTAATGCATTGTCTTCTGTTTTAAAATTGCGATGGAATGCTAAAAAAAATAGTGCGCCCCAAATTTTTAATTAAATGCTTTGACGTACCAGAATGACCAGAAAACTGTAGTTGAAGAAATGGAAATACCTCTGGCATTTTAATGGTAAGATCTTCCGAGAGCTGATCGATAGACGTGTTAGCATCCACGTCATATATGCCCTCATCACGCATGACAATATAGCCAGTTTTTTTCTGTATTTCCTCCTGACAGAGCAATTGATAGGAATTCTCATTATTCACTAACTATGCAAAGCACCACATAAAACCACAGAAGGAAGTGTTTTACATTTCATGTATGAAAGCTCACTGAAATTACTCAAATGAAATTGTGGATGATATGAAAAATAGAGTTTTGGGTGAGCAATGATAATACATTTGAATGCCTTCATTGGAATTCTCCGCTTCTTGAAAGGCATTTTAGGGGACTAACGAATATCTCATATCACATTTACCAAGCATATACGTTTCAATTAGCATTTAGCAGTAAACACGAGATTTATAGGCTGCAGTTCAGTATCAATGTCCTCAATTATACTTAAAAAGAAAAAAAAGGACTGCCAATGGCAATGCAGATTACAGCAGGAAAGACATGAAAGCATCGGAAATGGGCAAGGTAGTAAAAAGTATCTCTACCAAACCAAATAGTATATTATTACCTTCGAATCATTTTCATCAAAAATTTCACCAACAATTTCTTCAACTACGTCTTCAAGGGTCACTATCTGTTACATCATTAAAAAGTACAGTTCATTGCACAAGCCTGAAACTTGGTAAGAGCAGAAAAATCAACTGTATGTGTAAGTAAATCATTATGCTTTCAATGTATAAAAGAAGAAGACGAATTGCTTACACCAACAGTTCCTCCATATTCGTTTAGAACAACAGCCATGTGTACCTTCCTGATGCGAAACTCTCTAAGAAGATTCCATACAGACATTGAATCTGCAATATTGCAAGGGTTTGTAGAAGCTATCATCAATAATGGCATTATTCTGGAATTGTAAATGTAGTTCTTCAAAGAACCAGTATTTTGATTCTAGATCACGCATTCTGTAAGATAATGGCAGAACATTTTCAAAATTCTCACACCAGATACATAACCGGAGATAGGCTGTAGAAAAAAACTATGCAATAACAGGATTACCGAGAGGAATAGAATGCTTAGGGTCAGCGTCCATTTCTCTACCAACCATTTTCTAAAATCCGCTCATTGACTTTATAATTTCTATTATGTATGGAATCCAAAGTTCCAGGCAAGTTTTTGAGGAAATAATATAAAAAATCTAAGTACTGTAATTTACCAGGAACAAAGTATGCAGGTTTGTGCGCCATATCTCCCACCATAGAACTTTCTAGAAGTTCCCCCTTCAAAACAAAACAGAATATAACTCTGCATGCTATGAGATTTTTTATACTATTAGAACATATGAAGGAAAAACATACTGGATGAAATAAACTGGAAAGTGGCTGACCTTTTGTACGAAATCCAGAAGATCCATCGCATATGCAATACCAACTATGTTGTCAATTCGCTCCTCAAAGACAGGGACCCTATAGTCAAGTGTACCCACTTCTTAGACTAATCACAAAAAGATAAACTAATAGAACAGCAAGCCTTACCTGGAATACTGATGATCCACCCATGAATTATGGAAATCAACAAGAGTTGCACCAGCATCTATGGCAACAACATCAACAAGCGGTGTCATCACCTCTCTGACATGTGTGTCTTTTATCTCCAACACATTTTCAATCATATCCTGCCAAAGTACAATCCCATAACAGACATTTACAAATACAAACTGTGAATAAAATCTAAATCCATAGAACATTTTGCATATTATAAATTGCTACAGTATAGATTAATAAGTTTATAATGGCACAAATTATATAAAGATTGATGCAACTAAGACAATGAGAAAAAAGCTCTGGTATTCAGCAGTGTTAATACATTGTATCTTCCATGCGCTTACAGAATTGGACGGTGGAAAATGTTCCAAACACAACACAACTTCAGCAAGAATGTGCATCGTCACAATAAAACCCATTAATTACCTGTTCTTCCTCCTCGATTGCCCCGCTTGACTCTGCTCCGCGTACCATCAGTTTTAGTTCATCTTCAGTTACATATGGTTCACTAACATCACAACAGAAAAGGTAAAACTATAGTAAAGAATAACTAGAAAAATATGTAAAGCAAGGGTCAGTTAATAATATCCCCTGGAAGTGGGTTCGTATAACTCCCAAAGATATTTTAATTATAATACATTAAACATCACAAATAAAAGATATGAAAGACAGTAGAAAAAAAATGAAAACATCATTTGGTGATAATTCGCACCTTCTCCCTTTCAGACCTAATAATTTCAGCATTCCCATTGACAGATATGTTACCACTTTGCCAACAGGATACAGTACCAGCGAAAGCCATGCCACTGGCCTGACCTACAGGCAGAAGAGATATCAGTCATAAAATTGTAAAATTTCTTTACGCAAGGGGCATATGGTCACTGTGGAATTGCATAAGAGTTACACATTTGATTCTAAAGAAAATACCAACTAAAAACTTACCACAAACCTAGCAACCTCAGTGGCATTGTGAACAGCTATACTTTTCGGAGTAATTTCAGTCAGGAGTAGAATAGCAACCTGGTATTTTTGGCAGTTTCAGGCAAATCAAGCACTTGAAGAAAATAATAAAGAATTCTACTTCAATCCATGAAGCAGAGTAAATATTCATTTCATAACACCGGGAGAATGAAATGAGCATACAAGTTCCAGAACATTGGCACACCAGCATAAGAAAAATAGAGCCAATAGATGCTTCTCTTCTGAGACAAGACTCCTTATAAAACCATATTATAAAGAAAGAGATATAAATTCATGAGTATCATAAATCCAAATATTTTTAAAATAAACTATTTCCTAGTTATATTTAACGTGTACACAAAAATATTCGAATATTCTAATCATCTCAATAATTAACTGTATATTATTGAGAAAAAGAATAAAATTTGTGTGCACTTGACTATTCTTGAGTCCTTGATTTCTAAGCTATTGGAGAAGAAACCCCATGATGTAGTGTAGGTGTTGTAAATTGTTTAGACTTGTTTGTTCAGTTAGTTGATTGCATTAGGTTCGATATAAGGTCCTTCGTAGATTTGGTGTTTGAAGTTTAACTATTGATTGCAATGCTTGCTATGCTAATGCCTAGTGAAGAAAAAGTAAATAAGAAGGCTAGTCGTTTCATGTGCATATGCCTAGTGAAGAAAAAGTAAATAAGAAGTTCCAATCTCAATTTGAACATGGATTATCAAGAAGTTAAAAAGAGACTCGAGACATACTGTCATAACTCCAGTTGCGGCACTGATACCAGCTTCGCCAAATATTGTTGTTGCGGCTTCCGTGACTAATGCTGTAGCACCAATATTCACCACTCTGAGCACATAAAATATCTACAATAAGAAAACATTGTGACATTCAAAAGAAGAAGACAATGGCTAGTTAATTCAAGAAGAGAAGCAGTACGTGGTGCCAATCAGAATTGTTGTCAGGAAACGAGTAACATCGTTGCGTAGCATTTTGAACACCCCGTTCTCAGACTCTTTAGCAGCCAATTCTCGCACCTGCATTTAGTATAATGACACTATCATATTCATATGATAATTTATTTATTTTTCTACAAAATGCAAATGTGTATTTCTACAAGAAAAAAAAAATTGAAGTTATTTATGTCGGTCAATTAGAACTACAAGGCCCTAACACAAAGCAATAAGTATGATTATCATACTTTACAGAGACATATTTGAGGCTCTGAGCATGTGCCAGTTCAATGCCAAGCTACCACATCGTAACAACAAATTCTCTCAAATGCTTCAATTAGTTCACAACAATACTATACCACAGTAATGAGACTCTGGATACGGGATCAGAGCAAATGATTTGTCAATCTACAAAAAGTGTGCTACTAGTTTTTAATAACATACAAATTACTTGAGTTTCCCGTGATATCTTAATAGTAACAATTCACTACACCTTTGTTTCTGATAACAGTAGCAGGGTTCAATCCCCAAAGGTCGAAGTACAACAAAATAACGATGTTCTATGAGGATATAACCCAAAGTAAGCGTGTATAGATGATAAACGTAACATCATGCTCACCATCTTCCAGTAAAGGGTAATTTCATGCTGGGAAAAGCATTGGCAATTACTTGCAGGAATCCAATAAGTACGCATTCAGTTTGGACAAAGAAAATATGTATGTCACTTTCACTAGAGCCTCTTTAAATGCAAATCGAAAGGTTTAACTCAGAATCGGGAAATAAAGATAAAGCCACCTGCTAATTATGCAACATTATGCAACTTCATAAAAATACATACAATTTTAGTCCGAATATCCACAAATACAGATATCCCCAAATTTTTAAGTCCTGGATACCTTCCAAGGCCAAAGTGTGGTAATGGAAGTCTCTGCCATCGAGAAAAAAGCTGAGAGGCCCAACAGAAAGGCAAGAACCAAACCCTGCTCTCTGAAAACCTTCAAAACCTGCAAAACCTTAGGCCATGAGTTCCTCAAAGACAACAAACTCCGCTCCCAAACCCCATATCCCGCACTCATAACATCCTCCATCGCCAATGCTCTCCGGCAACCCAATAACACAACCACCCCAATCGCCGCCGCGGCAATCGCCAGCCTTCTCCTCACCAAAACCTCCTCAAAATCCACGGCCGCAACAGAACTATTAACGGTATCGTTCGTACAACTAGTCCTAACGGAATCCAAACGAATGGGAACTAATTTATTTGAGTTGAAGCAAAATATTGGTGGGCTGTACGGCGGCGGAGTACAACAGGCATTGCAGCGGAGCTTTTTGTACGGAAATTTGGAGGATAACTTCACATTGGGATAGCGAAGAACGAGGAACGAGGGTTTTGAACTGCTAATCAGAATAGACCGATTGAAGAATCGGGTTTCAGATGCGGCGGCGGCGGCGGCCGCTGCTGCAGCATCCATGAAATTAATCGTACAGTAAATAAACTCGAACTAATTACAACAAAAAAAATAAAAAATTACAGATTCAAATTGAGGTGGTTGATTGGGGGAAGGGGGGAAATCTAGGGCTTTTTGCGGAGTCTAATGCAGCAGCGGAGAAGCTCATCGTGGTACTTTGTTGTCCGAGAGCTACGACTGACTGCTAGCGCTTTGGATTTTTTTTCCTTTTACTCCACAAGGGAAGTACCCCAGCTAGTTGCTACTAATGACGAATATACCCCTTTTTAATTTATTAATTATTATTTATTGTCTATATTATCATTGCACAAAATTTGCAGTTTCTAGGCCAAGAAATTTTGAAAATTAAGTCAAGAGATTAATTTATAGTGTTATGATTATTTCTGATTAACTATGCAACAGAAAAATGAATATTACTTTTTATAATTAAGAATAGTATTTGAAATAAAAAATATAACGTCTAAAACTGTCACTTAAAATTTATTATTTATAGAAAATATTGCTTTATATTATTAATATACAAAGAATATTTACATTTTTTACTGCATATGCGCTGAATTTATTAATTATGCTATCGATGTATCTATCATCTACATATATTCTCCATTAGAATTTATTTATATTTTTTAAGATTATTTATTTATAATATAATGTATTATAATAATGAGATGAGAAATAAAGGATAAAAATAAGACAGACTAAAACAAAACTAGGTAGAATCACCACAGTTTTTGTAGCGTCCGATCCTTCAAAAGCTCGTTGAGGTCAGATAGCCCCCTTAATTACCGTTCATTTTAAAGAGATTAGATCTAAACCGTTGAATCAAAAATGGTTTTGGGCTCCCTAGGAATATTCTTTGTCAGGTTTTCATCATCGTCATCATCGTAAGGGACGTTTTGTTTCTTACACACGAGCATTGTTCGAAAGATTTTCGAAACTAGAACTCGATCTCATGCTGTATTCTGCTACCAGCTTCGAAAACGAAGACGACTTGTCTTCTAACAACTTTTCCGGCGAATCGTATTCCTTCACAAGCCCTGAAAAGCAGACAGAACCATTTGTAAAGAGACTAAAAACAAGAATTCTTGGCAATATATATATATATATATATATATATATATATATATATATATATAAACATACCATTATCCAACACTAAAACCATATCACTGTCGATTACAGAAGTAATTCTGTGAGCAATTGTTATCACAGTTGAATCAGTAAAATGCTTCTTCAGTGTTTGTTGGATTAAATTATCAGTCGCAGTGTCAACCGATGCTGTTGCTTCGTCAAGCACGAGTACTCGACTTCTTTTTAACAGCACGCGTCCCAGACAAACGAGCTGCCTTTGTCCGACGCTCCAATTCTCTCCATTTTCAGACACTGCAAGAAAAAAAATTAGTTTAAATTTAATTCAAGAAATAGTATTAATTAATTAACTCTTATGAATGGTTTCAGAATACCTGCAGAATCGAGCTTCCCTGCCTTTCTCCGCACCTCGTCGCCAAGCTGGCATTTATCAAGAACCTTAAGACAAAAAAAAGACGAAAATTAATCGAGACATTAAATTAATCTTTCGGAAAAAATATAAGATCTATATATAACTAACGCACCTCCCATATTTGCTTGTCTGTATGCTCTTCAAGTGGATCAAGGTTACTTCTGACAGTCCCTTCAAACATGGTTGGTTCTTGGGGGATTATGCTTAATCTTGACCGTAGATCGTGGAGCCCAATAGACGAGATTTGAATCCCATCGATCAATATTTGTCCGAAAGTTGGTTCAACAATTCGGAAGAGTGTCTGAATAAGAGTTGACTTACCACTCCCTGTTCTCCCTACTATTCCAGTTCTCTTCCCTCCGAAAAAAGTACACGTAAGCCCTCGTAACACAAACGGCATGTGGGGCCCGTATCGAACCTGAAAAATAGCACGTGAAAAATCCAATACCAAAGATCAAGAAAATAAATAAATGGTGTGAGGAGAAAAATTAAATAAATTAAATCAAATCACCTGAAGATCTTGCATAGTAACTTCTCCATGTATTGGCCAGTTATTGTGTGGCTTACTTGACTCGATCGTAAGAGGGGGTTCGATTGGAATGGAAGTGTATTGAAGTATTCTTTCGACGGATATGATATTGTTTTCCATTGAGCAAAGACACCAAACAACCCATGCTTGTAACATATTTAAATTGAGCCCATACGTCACAGCTAATCCAGCAACACCTACATATATATACATACATACGTCGAAGATAGAAGAAAGATATATATACTTTTAGACGTGTCTGAAGTTTCGACAAATTTTACTGATATAATTGTTGTAAATAAAACTCACTTGGATTAATTGTGCCTTCGGGTATTGAAATCAGGAAAATCAACGAAAAGGCGAAAGTCAAGAGGGACAACATATCCAAACGAAGCCCTAGCCATTCCATTGCAGCGGAATTATGGAATTTCGGTCGAGAATATCCGTCGATTAGCGTCATGCTCATGTCTCGGAATCTTGATTCTTGATCGAAGCTTCTAATAGTGCTCGATCCTGATAGTGTCTCGGAGAATAGCTGTATAACAGGAGCTTTGCACACCCCACATAATCGGGCGAGTTCTCGTGCTGCACCTATGTAATATTGCTGCCAAAACAAAAACGAGTGGTGAAATAAGAACGATGTTACGGAAATTCATTATATCATGTTCGATTATATTAATAGAAGTTACCTGCAACCATATGGAAAGGGCGACGATGGGAATAAAAATAATGAAAACCTGCCATGCAACTTGTGACATGACAGCTATAGCTCCTACAAGCTGTACTATGCCAAAAACGAACTGCCCAATTACAGGAGCCATGCTTAAATCGACTGTACTTTGGTCTCCAGATGCCTGTGAATTAAACGGATAAAAGTTTTGGTTCAGGAAATTATCGAAAAATAAATAATTACCAACTCTTCAAAAAATTACATACTCTACTGAGAATTCGTCCACATGGGGTGGAATCGAAGAAAGACATGGGGGCTCGAAATATGCACGTATGCATTTTGTTGAAGAGTATATTCGCCGTCTCGAAGCCGATTTTCACAGTGAGTAAAGCTCTACCAAAAACGCAGAAAGCACTTCCGAACGACAGGGCGGCGTACACGAGAATAAGGGTGGACCCGACTACAGGTGGCGCAACATCACTCGATACGGGGGTTGCCCAAGCCATCCAATAATTGCTTCCAATTTGAAGTACTTGATACAGAACCTGTGCCAGCAGTACCAAGGGTACTAGAGCTCCTCCGTAAGCTGTTGTGATGTATTTCCAGTAAACCGATAGTCCGACTTTGCCTTTCTCTCTCTCTTCTTCTTGAACGAGCTGCTCCTTTCTTTCCCCATTTTCTCTCTCTTCTTCTTGAACAGAATTGGCCGATTTCGAGGTGCTTTCCTTACTACTTGCTCTCGTTCCCGTATTGATGGAATCGAGAGCTGATAACGCCTCCTCGTGAGCCCCGACAAGTTCCATGAAGTCACTTCCTGATTCGAGGATGTCGTTGTACTTGCCAGCTTGTTTGATTTCCCCGTCTTTCATAACCTGATGATTGACAATTTAGGTTTGTATCCAAGGATTAATGTTAATGAAACAATTAAAAAAATAAATGAATAGCTAACCATAATCAGGTCTGCAGCAGGCAGAAACTCCACTTGGTGTGTGACATAGATAACAGTTTTCGAATCCAAAAGCCCAAGAATGCATTCCTGTTAATCGAAATATAAACATTGTACGTAATTCGATTTACACAAAAAAAAAACGGAATATATAATTCAAGAAACCATGGAATGGAAGGTGATTCTTACGTTAAAAAGATGACTTCCTGTATGAGCATCCACAGCGCTAAACGGATCATCAAACAAATAAATATCGGCATCTTGGTACAAAGCACGTGCAATCTGAATCCTCTGTTTTTGTCCACCACTCAAGTTTATCCCCCTCTCTCCAATAACAGTTTGATCGCCGAACGAGAGAATTTCCAGGTCCTTATTCAACGAACACGCTTCCAATACTCGATTATACCGTTGCCTATCCATTTCCTTACCAAACAGTATATTCTCTTCAATCTTCCCGCTTTGCACCCAAGGCGTTTGAGCAACGTAAGCCTTTGTACCGGAAAGCCTAATAACGCCAGATACTTTTGGCATTTCACCTAAAATACACGATAGCAAGCTCGATTTGCCAGAACCGACGGTGCCACAAATCGCAACCCTCATGCCACGTGTCACTGTAAAGTTAATATCTTTCAATGCAGGACTAGGAGATAACAGATCCCACGAAAAGATTCCATGCACTACCTCGACAGCTGTACCGGAACCACTATCCGGGAGCTTCTCCACTACGTCTGGCTGTAGGTCATCAAGAGAAAGAAACGATGCGATTCGATTGAGAGAGACCTTCGTCTGCACAATCGTGGATATTAAGTCCGGAAGAACATAAATAGGCTCTTTAAGAATTCGGAAGGTTGCAAGTGCAGAGAGTATCTTTCCGGACTCGAGCGGAATTCCTAGTAGCAAACAAGTACCGAAAGTCACCACAGAAACGAATATAGGAGCACCCCAAAAAAAGAACGTGCTAACGGATAAACTGTAAAGATATTTCCTCAACCATCCTGTTTCGACATTTCTGAAATCAAGAATCTTCGACATAAACTTCAACTCCCAAGCCTGAAGTTTGAGGATCCGCATGTTCCTCAAAACTTCAGAGGTCGCCTTCATTCTTTTATCCTTCGATTTCATCAGCTTGTCCTGAAATTTCTCCTGCAATTTGCTCAACGGAACATTTGCAAACATCACCAAAAGAGTAGCAACGAGTGCAGCTACCGAAGCAAGTCCAAGATCTCTATATAATATCGCTAACGCTAATGCAACCTGTAGAACGATCATCCATGGATCATGCATGTACCAGCCAAAGTCGCCTATCCTCTCAGCATCGACCGACATGAAATTTATAATCTCTCCCGTCGTATGCCCTTGCCTAGATTGACCAGAAAGAGTCAAACCCTTGTTGTAGATTTTGGCAACCACTGCCGCCCTGGCCCTATATCCGGCTTGCTGAGCTTTAAAAGCCCAATGTCTCTGCGCCAAACACTCGAACAGTTTAGCAGCGAAAAATGCGGAAACTAAAATGTAGCCCTCGTGTTTGAAAGTTTGATTTCCATTCAAGTATTGAACGAATGTTTCGATGAGGTATGGTCCCACGTAGGAAGCCAATGTGTTTACGAGCACATAGATAGCAGATAGTGCAATCTCTTTCCGTATGGTAAAAATTAATGCCTTGGCAAGCATGAGAGTGGAGACCTTGTTGCTTCCTCCACAATACGAATCGAGTTTATCGTTCAAAAGTGGAAACGCCGTTTTAACGGTATCGGAAATCTCAAGCTGAGGGACATCTTCGAGGTCAAGTGTTTTCTTGTATCCAAGAGAGATCAAAGGGCTCATCCAAGAGAAGGTGAAAAGACTGAAAACACTAGCTTCTGCATAAGGTGTCAAAGTTCCCTCCCCTTTCGGAGAATCGTCAGAGTCGATTCCATTCATAAGCGGTTCATGAAGAAGGTCGTACTCGTCGTTTCCCTTACTCCGACACCCGATACAACATAAGAAGACACCCATTACCAATGATACAGTATCGGAAGACCAAAACAGAGACGACGAATACCGGTACCTTTTGTAATAAAGAAAATCTGTGACAAGGCAATAACATGATATAGAGAAGAAAACTCCCCACCAAAGCCTCAAAACAAGTGGATAATTGCGTTCATTTGAATTTATTAAATGTGTTTGCATGAAAAGATACAGAGCCAACCAGGCTAGTGTCTTCACCCCCAAATCCAATGAAGTTATAATCTTTTCATCAGACCAACCGTTTGTATACCAATAAAACAGGTTTAATAAACATAGAATGAAATTGAACAACGAAACCCCCAAACAGGAAAACAGAGCCGGTTTGTAGTACAACAGACGAGTTCTCCTCACGCTGCGGCGATGATGATAATCACCTCCATTGTTCCTGAATTTTTCGTAAATCCATAAAATTGATACGATAGCCAACAACACGAGGTGCGAGGAGCCGGTGAGGAAACGCAGGAAAATCGGGTTGAGAAGAAGATCGCCACCGCCCATGCCGCCGGAGAAAAAAAGCGTTCCTCGAAGAAGTTGCATTGATCTTCAATGGCGGCGGCGGCCCTATGATTTCCTTTTTTTTGTGTGTGGAGTTGATCGTGTAGTGTGATGAGATGAGATTTTGAAAATTTTGGAGAGCGAGGGTTTTCTCCCCAGGGTACTGGAAACGTGGTGTGCAAGAGTCATTCGACGGCGGCGGGCGGCGGCTGATGAATCCAAGTTGACATGCGAAACGGCATTTTTTTAAATCAAATTATAATTAATTAATATTTTAATTGCAGGTTCAAATTGCAATTATTAAAAAAAATCTATCTTAATTGCAACCATCATGAATCTTCTTACTCGTTCATTTCTATAGTGTCAAATTCAACATAGTAATCTTATAGATTCCGTGTAATATTCTCTAGTTTGTATTCGTTTTGTTCAAAAATGCAATTTCTGAAACACCAAATCTGATATTTATGTAGTTTCAAAATATGGAGTTCGAATGCGGTAAAACGGGTACAAATAAAAGAATATTTCACATAATCTTGAAGATTCCACTAAATTTGACACCGCAAAAATATTCATAGTTGATGGAGTTATTATAATTACCCAAATATAAGGTTTTTTCGTAATTTGATCGTAATTTACCTTTTGTTTAAATAAGATTTATAAGATAGAAAAACAAAGATCCGGATTTAGGCCAAAGTTTTGTTACTTGCTAGTTGCTCGTTAGTCTTCTCGTCAGTCCACTCGTTGCTCGCCTGCTTATCTCTTCTTACGTGCTTCGTTTTAACGGACTTCACCTTACTCCGGGCTAACTTTTATAAGTGAGCCGAAACATTGGAATATTCCAGGATCAATACACAACGGTCTAATATATCGGAGAGGGAGAAAAAAAATGGCATAGACGAAAAGTTACGAATATATCACTACAACATATAACAAGATCCCTAAATTCGTAAATTGTACTAGTTGCTCTAACAATCTTCTACAAGATTCTAGATTATTCTAGATCTTTTGGTAGCAGATTTACATCATTATCATTATCATCATCATCGTAACGCAAATAAGACGCCGATTTTCTCACACTCGAGCATTCGAAAGATTTTCGAAACTGGAACTCGATCTCATGCTGTATTCTGCTACAAGCTTCGAGAACGAAGACGACTTGTCCTCTAACAACTTTTCTGGCGTATCGTATTCCTCCACAAGCCCTGATTGAAATAATCGAGACAAAAAAAAAACATTTGTAAGAATATCCAATTACAGAGATGTTAGCAATGTGTGTAAATATATATATACATACCGTTATCCAATACTAAGACCATGTCACTGTTGAGGACAGATGTTATCCTGTGAGCGATTGTTATTACAGTCGAATCGGTGAAGTGATGATTGAGAGTTTGTTGGATTAGGTTATCAGTCGCAGTGTCGACCGAAGCTGTTGCTTCGTCGAGCACAAGAACTCTGCTTTTCTTTAGTAACACACGACCCAGACAAACGAGTTGCCTTTGTCCAACACTCCAATTCTCTCCATTCTCCGACACTGCAATTATAAAAAAAAAATGGTTTACATTTCAAGAAATAGTATGTTTTTTGAACGAACGAAACTGGCGAACGATGCAAACCTGCAGAATCGAGCTTTCCGGGCTTTTTCCGGACCTCGTCACCAAGTTGGCATTTATCAAGAACCTGAACCAAAACATGAAAATTAATTAATCAAATAATCGATTGTTTTGAATTCTTGTATTAATGCTTACTGATTATAGCTTACCTCCCATATTTGCTCGTCTGTGTGTTCTTCGAGTGGGTCGAGATTAGTTCTAACAGTCCCTTCAAACATGGTTGGATCTTGTGGGATTATGCTTAATCTTGACCGTAAATCATGGAGTCCAATAGACGAAATATTTACACCGTCGATTAATATCTGTCCAATTGTCGGTTCAACAATTCGGAAAAGTGTCTGAATAAGAGTCGATTTTCCACTTCCGGTTCTCCCTACTATTCCAGTCCTCTTCCCTCCAAAGAAAGTACACGTAAGCCCTCGTAGCACAAACGGCATGTGTGGACCATATTGAACCTGAAAAATAGCATAATCATAAATCGGAATCACAAAACCAAATATCCCGAAAAAAAAATATAAAAAAAAAATTAAACTACCTGAAGATCTTGTATACGAACTTCTCCAAGTATAGGCCAGTTACTACGTGGCCTATTCGACTCTACTACAAGAGGGGGTTCGTTTGGAATCGAAGTGTATTGAAGTAATCTCTCGACCGAAATGATTCTATTTTCCATGGTGCAAAGATTCCAAACAACCCATGATTGTAACATATTTAAATTGAGTCCGTACGTCACAGCTAATCCAGCAACACCTACGTATACATACATACATTCATACACATCAAGAATGAAGGAAGCGACTCGCATCGAATTTGAGTTATTATAATATATATATATATACACACACACACACACACACACACACACACACACACTCACTTGGATCGATTGTTCCTTCTGGAATAGAAATAAGGAAGATCAACGAGAAGGCGAAAGTCACGAGAGACAGCACATCCAAACGAATGCACAGCCATTCCATCGCGCCGGAAGTGTGGAACTTGGGTCGAGAATATCCGTCGATTAGCGTCATGCTGATGTCACGGAATCTTGATTCTTGATCGAAGCTTCTAATGGTGCTCGATCCTGACAGCGTCTCGGAGAATAGCTGTATAACGGGTGCTTTGCACACCCCACATAACCGGGCAAGTTCTCGTGCTGCAGCTATGTAATATCGCTGCAAATAAAATAAATAAATAAATATTATCTTATGTTTACGGACCGAATGAGCATTTCTTGAAGATGGAAGGTAATAATAACCTTAATTTCATGCTGATTTTCTTAATAATTTTAATTTGTGTAAATAAACCAACTGTGGTAGATATATTGATGACGAGAACGGAAGTTACCTGCAACCAAATGCAAATGGCGACGACCGGAATAAAAATAATAAAGACCTGCCACGCAATTTGAGACATGACTGCAATAATTCCGAGAAGCTGTATTATGGCGAAAGCAAACAGCCCAACAATCGATGCCATGTTCAGATCCACTGTACTTTGATCTGTAGACGCCTGTCGACAAAAAAAACACATCGATCAAGAAAAGAAAAAAAAATGCTACAACGAGAATAACAAAAATAAAAAATAAAATCGCGTACTCTGCTGAGAATTCGACCACTTGGCGTAGAATCGAAGAAAGACATGGGAGCTCGAAAGATGCACATATGCATTTTGTTGAACAGTATGTTAGCTGTCTTGAAACCGATCGACACAACAAGTAAAGCTCTGCCGAAAATACAAAAAGCACTTCCGACTGACAAGGCAACATAAACGAATATAAGAGTGGACCCCTTGACAGGTGGCGGCATGTCCTTCGACACGGGGGTTGCCCAAGCCATCCAATAATTGCTTCCGATTTGAAGCACTTGAAACAGGACCTGTGCCAGCAAAGCAAACGGCACAAGAGCTCCTCCGTAAGCTGTTGTTATGTATTTCCAGTAAACCGAGAGTCCGACATTTCCTTTCTCTCTCTCCTCTTCTTGAACAAGCTGCTCCTTTCTCTCTCCATTTCCGTCTGCCTTTTCGTTTCCATCGTCACGAGATTCGTTTTTCTGCACAGCAGAGTTGGCGGATTTCGAGGTGCTGCTTTCCTCACCGCTAGCGGTGTTCATGGAGTCGAGGGTCGATAAAGCCTCCTCGTGGGCCCCGACGAGTTCCATGAAGTCACTTCCTGCTTCGAGGATGTCGTTGTACTTTCCTGCTTGTTTGATTTCCCCGTCTTTCATAACCTAATGATCCGAAACATTCGGTCCGTGTTGAAGGATTCAGTTTTGCATGGCAAACGAAACAATTTTCAAGAAAAAAAAATGAAGAGCTCACCAAAATCAGGTCTGCTGCAGGCAGAAACTCCACTTGGTGTGTAACATAGATAACCGTTTTCGAATCCAAAAGCCCAAGAATGCATTCCTGTTAATCGAAACAATAAACATCGTATTAATTCGATTAACAGAAGAAAAAAAAAACAGAAAATATAATTCAAGAAAACAGGTAAACGGATTCTTACGTTAAAAAGATGACTTCCTGTATGAGCATCCACAGCGCTAAACGGATCATCGAACAAATAAATATCGGCATCTTGGTATAAAGCACGTGCAATCTGAATCCTCTGTTTTTGTCCACCACTCAAGTTTATTCCCCTCTCCCCAATAACAGTTTGATCGCCGAACGAGAGAATTTCAAGGTCCTTATTCAACGAACACGCTTCCAGTACTCGATTATACCGTTGCCTATCCATTTCCTTACCAAACAGTATATTCTCTTCAATCTTCCCACTTTGCACCCAAGGCGTTTGAGCAACGTAAGCCTTTGTACCGGAAAGCCTAATAACGCCAGATACTTTCGGCATTTCCCCTAAAATACACGAAAGCAAGCTCGATTTCCCAGAACCAACTGTGCCACAAATCGCAACCCTCATGCCACGTGTAACTCTAAAGTTAATATTTTTAAGTGTAGGACTAGGAGATACAAGATCCCACGAAAAGATTCCATCTACTGCCTCGACAGCTGCACCGGAACCACTCGCCGGAAGCTTCTCCACTACGTCTGGCGGCAGGTCATCGAGAGAGAGAAAAGACGCGATTCGATCGAGAGAGACCTTCGTCTGGACAATCATGGATATAGTGTCGGGTAGATTATAAATCGGCTCTTGAAGAATCCTAAACGTGGCAAGTGCTGACAGGATCTTTCCGGACTCGAGCGGTATTCCCATTATCATACAAGCACCGAAAGTCACCACCGAAACGAAAGTCGGCGCGCCCCAAAACACGAACGTGGTGATTGCCGAAGTGTAAAGATACTTCCTCAACCAACCCGTCTCGACGTTTCTGAATTCAAGAATCTTCGACAGAAACTTCAACTCCCACGCCTGAAGTTTGAGGATTCGCATGTTCCTCAAAACCTCGGAAGTCGCCTTCATCCTTTTATCCTTCGATTTCATCAGCTTGTCCTGAAATCTCTCCTGCAGTTTACCCAACGGAACATTTGCAAGCATCACCAAAATAGTAGCAGCGAACGCAGCTATCGCGGCAAAACCGAGGTCTCTGTACAGTATAGCCAATGCGAGTGCGACTTGCAGAATGACCATCCAGGGATCGTGTATGTACCAACCGAAGTCGCCGATTCTCTCGGCATCGACCGACATGAAATTTATAATCTCTCCCGTTGTTTGACCTTGCCTCGATTGGCCCGAAAGAGTCAAACCCTTGTTGTAGATTTTGGCGACTAACGCCGCCCGTGCTCTATATCCAGCTTGTTGCACCTTAAAAAACCAATGCCTCTGCGCCAAACACTCGAACAACTTCGCAACGAAGAATACGGAAACCAAGACGTAACCCTCGTGGTTGAAGTCTCTATGCCCGTTCAAGTATTGAACGAACGTGTCGATGAGGTAGGGCCCCACGTAAGAGGCGAACGTGTACACAAGCACGTAGAACGCAGACAGCGCAATCTCCCTCCACGTGGTGAAAATCAGCCCCTTTGCCAGCATGAGAGTGGTGACTTTGTTGCTTCCGCCTTTGTACGACTCGAGCTTATCGTCCAAAAGTGGATACGCACCACGAACGGTATCGGAAAACGCGAGCTGAGGAACATCCTCGAGGTTCAGCGTTTTCTTGTGACCAAGAGAAATCAAAGGCCCCATCCAAGAGAATGTAAACAGACTCAAAACACCGGCATTCGCGTAAGGGGTAACCGTTTCTTCCCCTTTCGCCGGAGAATCGTTCGTTCCATTCAAAAGGGGTTCTTGAAGAAGGGTGTCTGCATCTTCTTTCTCAACAAGAAACCCGATACAACAGAAGATGGCACCCATTACCAACGACACAATATCGGATAACCAAAACAGAGTCGACGAATACCGGTGCTTCTTGTAATAGATAAAGTCTACTACAACGCAATAGCAAGAAACCGAAAAGAAAAACCCCCACCAGAGCCTCAAAACAAGTGGGTATTTCGGTTCGTTTGAATTCAAGAAATGGATTTGCAGAAAGAGATATAGAGTAAACCAAGACAGCGTCTTCACCCCCAAATCAGACAGAGTAAGGATTTTTTCATCGGACCAACCATTTCTGTACCAGTAAAAGAGGTTCAACAGGCAGAGGGCGAGATTGAACAAAGATAATCCCAGACAGGAAAAAGCAGATGCTTTCCGGCACAAGACAACACCAGTTCGCCGCCGCACGTTGTGTTTCTGGTAACCACCCCCACCCCCACCACCACCACCACCCCTCGTGAATTTCTTGAAAACCCATGAAATAAATACGATGAACAGCAGAATGAGGTGCAGAGAGGCGGTGAAGAAACGCAGGAAAATCGGGTTGAGGAAGAATTCGCCGCCCATGTTTTGAAAAGAAAAGAAGCGGGACTGAGTGAAAAGAACAGACATTATACCAATTTTAATGGCGGACGAGAATTTCTTTACTTTTTTATTTTCTGTCAGTGGTCAGGGTTTGTAGTGTGAGTGAGTGGGAGTATAAAATCTGTAGGCAGACAGAAGGGTTTATATATATATATATATATATAGTAGCATTGATGATGGGAGAAGAGATCGACAGGATATTCAATTCAAAATATTCAACGAAAAATTAAAAAAAGAAAATAAATGTTTCCGTTAAATGTTGAATGGGGGAGTAGAGAAACGTGGTGGGCAAGACTGGTTTGACGGAGAGGACAACCTCTGTGAAGAAGACAAGTGGTGATGCGCAACCGTGATCGTAGCAGCGGCGTTTCCAATTTCGCCTCCTTTTTCTTTCTTTTGTTGGAACGGAACTCATTTTTTTTATTGGGAAAATTATAGTTTTAGTCCTTCAAGTTTGCACTATTTTTATATTTGGTCCCTCGTGTTTCAAACATTCAGCACGTTTGATCATTTTCGTCAATTTTTTGTCAGTAATAACGGAATTAAGCGCGTGCTCATCACTTACTTAACTGATGGACTAATGTTAAATTGATGAAAATGTCCAAAAGTGTTAAAATATTGAAATGTGAAGGAACAAATGTCTATTTTGTGAACATGGGAGACCAAATGTGAAACCAATGCAAATTTTAAGGATGAAAACTATAATTTTTCTCTACTCAACAAAAAATAGGGTAAAAAGGATAAAAACAAAAACAAAAACAAAATATCATTTTTTTCCACTAAACCACCATGAGAAAATTCGAATTTGCAATTATATATTTGTTATTCATTGAACGAAAAGACCATTAATTAATGAAAATCCATTAACATCCCAAAATCAGGAAAACAAATAACACAATGGTCCCTCACGAAAAGGGGGGAAATGGGGAAAAAAAACATACTGTGGAAGTTTTTTTTATTCAAGTCCATCTTCTAGTGTTTACAAATGGTTTAATTCCACTTTGCACCCTTAAGACATATTAATAGCACTTTACACCCTCAAAATACAATAAATCATGCATTATGCACCTCGAATGAATTTTTAGAACTGTTGAATGTTATTTAATATTTTAGTGGTATTTTTTTTAAGATGCCTAATGTCAAATATAATAAAAAAAAATTATGCATAAACCCATTGGGAACTATAAAGTGCAAAATAAAAATACTATCTTGTTTAAAAAATGTAATTTTTATGGCAACAAATGAAAATGTATTTACAAATACTATAATTTCTAAATTGGTTGTTTAAAATTTAAATTTAAGTTTGTCCGGACAAATGCACCCAAATTCTTAAAAATAAAAAAAGTAAAATAATCTCAAGATTTCTTCAAAATCATCAACTTTCATAAAAAAATCAAACACTACTTTGATTAAAGAGATTCTATTTATTAAAATAATAAATATTTATTTTCGATAAAATTCATAAAAATAATTAATAATACTGCTTTTTTGAAAGAAGGAAAAACAAGTCACGGGGGGCTAATGACCAATAAAGCCAACTTTTCTTTTTTCGATGTAATAAATAAATAAATAAATAAATAAATAAAATAACCCACTAACGATGAAACCCAAGTCCAACCAAAAGTATCCATCCGGCTAAGATTTTTCCAGCTTTTTATCCCCTTCCCAAAGTGGCATGAGCTTTCAAAATTCTTTCTTTTTTTTTTTTTTTTTTTTTTTTTTAATTTTAAATAATAAAGGGTAAATTATCAAGATACCCTATTATCATATGAATAAACTCTTGCATCTGAGTTTCAAAAAATCAATACACACACTAACGGAATCAGGATCTTAAGTTTCGTGCCCGAATGCATTAAAACATTTCAGAGGGAGTTCGTTAATGCAAATTGTACATAATTTTTTTTTATTATTTCTATATAAATTAACAGACATTTGAAAATATAGGGATCCGGCCATATTCTGACTCCACCACTGAACATGCAACAAGTGATCTCGTGGAACTTTACAAATTATTCCCTTCCACCCAACTAAATAATAAGTATCTTGTTTTTCCTTAAGTCAATTTGAATTTCATATTTTATTTAGTTTGGGGTGCAAGTAAAATAATTAGATAGTATTTGACAAGAAATGGGAAGATGCATAGCAATTGCAAGTTGAATGATAGAGACACACACGATTGTAATTTGTATGGAAGTGGTGAGATCTCTGCTCAACAAGCAAAACGAATAAATTAAATAAAAAAACAAAACATTGGAATTGGAAATCAGATTTCCACGCTCGCCCCATTTTTGTTTTTTCTTTGCCTTTATCGAGTGGAGTGGCGGGGCACTATGTTGACAGGGATATTTTATTGGTCCACGTTATTAGGGGTATAAACGAGTCGAGCTCGAACTCATCGAGTTTCTTTTTTTGGCTCGAGTCGAGCTCGAGTTCATTTTGTCGAGCCCAAACTCATTTTGAGTTTTCTTTTAACTATTTTTTTTTATAATTTATTTAGATTATCAGAAAAAAAAATTAGAAAATAAAGAATAAAGGGTAATTATATATATTTTGTAATATTATATGTTTTTTTTATATTATTTCTATAATATTTTTTTATTATTATTAATTTAAATTAAAAAAAAAAAAACTAAGCCTCGTAAGCTCATGAATAATTATAAAAAAACTTGGATTTGAAAAAAACGCGAGTTCGAGCTTTTTTCGAGCCGGCTCATCGAGCTCACAAGTCGGCTAAGCTCGATTACCACCCATACACGTTATACATTTCTAAATAATAATAATAATAATAATATTATTATTATTATTATTATTATTATTATTATTATTTATTTATTTATTTATTTATTTATAATATACGAGTTTAAATCGAACTGGATATTAAACTAAAGAGTAACGATACAGCTAATTGGATTTTTAGAACTGGGCTTGTCTCAGCTGCCAGCCCAGCCCAGCCCATTCAAATGTAATTCCACTGATCAAATTTCTTTTCCCGCTCTCACTAGAATATAGACATTAATATATTTTTATTTATTTTATTTTATTTTTAAATAAAAAAGAGTTGTTGAACAACAATCTCTTGCATGCATCATGTGACATGCGGCAACGCCAACGGTCGTTTAATAACAGGAATAACTAACAAATCGTCGTTCCTCCTCGCCGTGACACCCGATCTTTCCGTCATATCCAATTCTTGGTGTTTCATTCCATCCGGCAAACTCCAATCGAAATGGTACAAAAACATAGCTAGCGGCAGCTCCACATTCGCCATACCAAACGATATTCCCGGGCACATTCTCCTTCCGGCACCAAACGGAATATACTCGAAATGATTCCCTTTATAATCCACCAAACTATCAAGAAATCTCTCCGGTCGAAAACAATCCGCGTCTTCCCAATATTTCGGGTCTCTATTAATAGCCCACGCGTTCACCATGATTTTTGTATCCACCGGTATTTCGTACCCGTCGATCTCGCATTTCCTCATGCATTTTCTTGGGAGTAGTATAGGTACCGGTGGATGAAATCTCAGAGTCTCCTTTATAATTGATTTCAAATACTTTAGTTCGTTAATTTTCGATTCGTCAACGTATCCTTTATCGTCGAAAACTCGTCTCACTTCGTCTTGTGCCTTTTTCAGGATTCTTGGATTTCTCAGCATTTCTGACATTGCCCAATCTATTGTTATGGCTGATGTCTCACTTCCAGCAGTCAAAATATCCTGAATTTTTTTCAACAAATAATTAACTCTCTCATGATTATATAAATGATCATGGTTGTCATAATAAGTTTATCTAACCTCGGGCCGATATGTCCAACTAAAAAAACTCTCTCAAAGCCAAGATAACGGAAGATATTTATCATGATATTTATGGATCGATCTGACAAGTTATTGGAGTACCAAATATCGAACAAAATTCAATTATTTAGTTAATCATGACTAATCACTCTAATCAAACATGGCTAGTGCCAACCCAATGATAGCAATATCAAATATATATATATATATACTTCAACTCTCATCCAAGAAAAATCAAAAATTGAAATTTCGAAATTTGGAATGAACCTTTTTCCCAAATAATCAGAGAAAAAATGGGACCGAATCAGCATAAATCGAATATTCCTCTCAAATCCACCAATAATTAGTTACTATATAGAATAAATGAGACACACACACACCATTATTAGTGAAAAACGCACTCATAATATATATATATTTATATATATAGGCGCTTTTGGAATTAAAATACTCAAAACGACGCCGTTTAAAAATTAAAGGAACCAAAAACAAAAAAGAGAAAAGAAAGAAATAATTACCACGAGTACAGCTTTAACGTTGTCAGTAGTCAACGGAATCTCAAGCCGCCCATCGTCATCCATTCTCAGAAGAACACCCAACAAATCATCTTCTTCTTCTCCTTCTTTCTTCACCGCAGTTGTACCGCCGCCGTCAACTTTACGGTCACGGATGATTTCATCAAGTATACTATCGGCTTCCACATGCAGCTTCACCAGCCGCCGCCTCATCCCACTCACCATCTGAAGCACCTTCACCGACGGGTACACGTCAGCAATATCAAACCCCGCCGCCAATCCAGTCCCTTCTCTCAGTATGGGCAGCAGCCTCTCCTTAACCTCCGTTTTCTTACCCAGCGTCGCCCTGGAAACCAGCCCGTACTCAAAACTGAAGAGCTTCTCGGTCAAGTTCACCGCCGGCCCCCCCACGTGCGAGGCCACCCCACGTGCGAGTTCCAGGCACGCTTCTTCCCTTATTGATCGGAAGGACGAAACGCGCTTGTTGCTAAGGAGCTCCAGCGTGGATATTTTCCGGAGCTGCCTCCAGTAGTCCCCGTAGTCGCTGAAGCTGATGCTGGCGCCGCCGTACGTGAAGATCTCCGTCGCCACCGTGTGGGGCCTGGACGCGGAGTTTATGTCGTGGGTTTTCATCACCTGCTTCGCGGCGGACGGAGTGGAGACCACCACGGCGGAGAGCTCGCCGATCTGGAGGTGCATCACCGCCCCGAATGTGGCGGAGAGCTCCTGGAGCTTCCGGTGCGGCGGCAGAGGGCCGATGAGGTTGTGCATGTTTCCTATCAGGGGTAACTTCCATGGCCCTGGAGGAAGGTTTCCAGGTGTCGACTTTTTTTTCATGAGCAGTAGTTTGGAGAAGATGAAGATGATGAACAAGCAGAGGAGAAGAAGAAGATTCGCCGGAGATGGAAACTGGAAGCCGAGATCCATGATCACAGTATTCTATACGTATAATTATTATATATATATATATTATATTGAAGATGCATGCATTTATTTATTTGATCGATCATATATATAGTAGTTCGAAAAAAAGTGAGATCAATTAAATATCATGTATACTGTAGCGTGGTGATTAAACTATAAAATTTTATGTGCATCGGCAGCCCTTGGAGAACATGATTTTGTTGTTATTCGGATTCGGGACTCAAATTCTACTCGATAATTACATTTTTCGTCCTTATATTATAATATATTTTTTTTAGTCCTTAAATTACTTCTGCGGGGAAATTAGTACTTAAATGACCAATTTCTTTACATTGACCGCCGTTTGAAATTACTGTTGAGTTGAATGGAAAAAAAATCATAACACGTGCCAATGCAATTCAAACCCTTTTTTTTTTTTGACCTATATAATGATTATTTAGTCCAAATATGACAATTACTCTTACACTTTCGTCCAAATAAAATAAAATTCAAATAAATCCACAAAAATAAGCCCATTCTCTGAAAGATCCAAGAAAAGCCCAGGCCCAACAACATATAGTTTAATTTAGGTCCAATTCATATTATATCCTTGCAATAATACAAAGAACAGAAGTAATCAGCCCAAACAAAGAAGGATTAATTAATTAATTAATTAATCATATAACATAATCCGACCACTGGGATATATCAGAAGTGTGATCCATAGTCAAACCAGGTGGCAATCTATCCATCTTCACAGGATTATCCTTCCCTCCAATCAATCTAGCCGGATTACCCACTGCCGTGGTTCTCGCGGGCACCCGTTTCAGCACAACCGAACCCGCCCCGATTTTAGCCCCATCCCCAATTCCCACGCTCCCCAAAACGCATGTCCCCGCCCCAATCAGAACGCCGTCGCCGATCTTCGGGTGGCGGTCGCCGCTCGCCTTCCCGGTCCCACCCAGGGTCACGTTGTGGAGGATCGACACGTTATCGCCGATCACCGCCGTTTCTCCGATCACCACCCCCGTCGCGTGGTCCAGCAGTATCCCCCGCCCGATTCTCGCCCCCGGGTGAATATCCACCGCGAAAACTTCCGACACCCGGTTCTGTATCACTAGGGCTAGGATTTTCCGGCCGCCGCACCATAAATTGTGCGCAATCCGATGAGCCTCGCAGGCTAGGAAACCCTTGAAATTTAAAAAGCAATGGACGTAGCTTATACAGGCAGGGTCCCGCTCCTTGACCGCCCTCAGATCGTCGGCGGCGGCGGCCATGATTTCCCGATCCTCCGCCAGCACCCCAAGGAAAAGGTCGTGGAGTGTCCCACTCGGGAGGCTGGAATTGCTCAATTTCATGGAGAGGTGATTTGCTAGGGCACTCGCCATTGAATCGTGTGAGGAGATTGAATTGAAGTAGTAATTCGAGAGGATTGGTTCCTGATCGGCGTCCGACGTGGCCTCCTCCTTCATCCGCCGCCATAAATCGTCGGCGCCGCCGTGGAGGAGGCTGTTCGGGGCGGCGCGGGAAAGTAGATCGGGGAAATTCGTCCGGCAGTAATTCCCGTAGCCGTCGTCGATTTGTGGGAGACGTATTTGAGGAGGCGCTTCTGTTCTGGAAGAGTGTACGCAGGTGGAGATTGTGGAAGACGATGAGTGCTTGAAAACGGGTCGGGTCAGTGGAGACGGGGCTCCGACAAGGATAGTAGGAGATGTGGAATTGGGTAGACAAATAGCAACACTTTTCATTTTAATTATTTTATTATTATTATTTATTTAAATTATTTTTTCTTTGCTCGAAAAAAAAAAACAGAGCGCCGAAGAGGATAAAATAGAGGGTGTAAGAGGAGGAGGTATGCGGTGGCACGATTTATAGGAACCACGCGCAGCCGTAATAGCAACCATGCCCTTAACATTTTCTAATTATTTATTAATTTTCAAATACAAATTTGGATTTTTATTTGTTTTTTGATATTTTAGAAAAAAATAAACTTATAAATGGGAAAATAAGGTAAAATAATTCAATATTGTGATTAAAATTCCGATAATATCCTTTTATTTATAATTGATCAAATTCAGAAAGTATTCCCACATTTGCAATCAATCTTTATCATAATTTTGACTATCATACTCATAATAATGACACCTAACAATAATATTGCAAAATTTGGAATAGGGTTCACTATATATACTCTTACGTGACGCATCTAATCTTCACTAATTATAGTGTAGTTTAGGTACCTTTGAATTTCATTAGCCAACTTTTTTAGATTCTTAGGACCACTTTTTTCTTCCATTTTCTTTTTTCAAGGTCCTAAAAAATTCAAACAATTAAGGATGGTAATGGGGAGGGTTTTGCAATCCTCGTCTCGCTATAGAATTTTCTATTGCTATCTCGTCAAAATCTCCTCCCAATCCGCCACGTAAAGTCTCCACAGTCACCTGCTGTAAAATTCCCAAATTATTTATTTATTTGATATAAATGCAAACCACATATAATTTAAAAGACGTATTTCAAAAAATAAATAAACAAAGTGCAAATTTAACTTCGAATCTCATAAAAAATCCCATAAGTTAAAAATATGTATCACATTTTAATATAATAATTAAGAAATAAATATAAATAATATATGTAGGGTGTATCTACGAGACAAGTACACACAAATTCGTCCGCATCTCCGTACCCGATCAATTTTTTTTGTGAATTCTCATCCTCGCCCATAATTTTTTTGGTGCAGGTAAAAATTGCCATATCCCAACACACAATTAGTAAAGGCGATTAATTGGCATACTATAGTATAGTAATGATTATTTTCAAATTTTAGTGAGAGGCGCGTGGTGAGAACCCACGAATGGAGCAAGTGATACTATAGTGCAAGAAAGGGTTGACTAGGATTCATATTTGGATCCTTGGAGCAGGGTGATGACGAATGCGATGACGTAATGCAAAATATAGTCCACATTTTTGGATTCTCAATAATATTATCTGCTTTTTGAGGGGTCGGGCAACCTTTTACTTCCTCTAGAGGTTGCTATGCTTTTTTTTGTTTACGAGTGAAGTTTTGTTACTTCGACCTATTTAATATAATATGAAACTATCGACTCCCTATCTTTTTGTTGAAATTGTCATCTATATATTTTTTCTACCATCATAAGTTGTGACTAGGGTTGAGATTCGGACGGGATTTCAAGAATTCGGGATCTTCAGGAGGGATTTTGGTATTCAGGGTAAAAATCCTGAATCCCGATTTCGTCCCAAACTTTTAAATTTCCGTGTATCAAGACTCCTTATTTCCTTATTTTCTTTCCAAAGTAAATTGGGCTTTTTTTAGGTCAACATAGTTGGGAAGAAGCCCGAATACGTTAAATGGGCTCGTAGTATGAGATAGGAGTCAGCCCATATGAAAGTTGGGCCTAGAATCCCAGCCCGAAGAAAACAGTTTCCCTAGATTTTTCAATATTTTAATCGAATACACACGTATCGCTATTTTTTTTTTCTTTGAAAGCAATGTGCAAATAACATTCTTAAAATCTTACCTATGTATCTACGAATAATTGAGATACATCAATTGAGACCCGTTTTATTACTTGGCGAATACATCAAATTAATTTTGGAGATCATTCATTAAATATTTAAAAGCTTACTCACAATAATATATCACAAGATTCACAACCGGTTTTCTACTTGTAGGAAAAGGTTTTGTTTACACCACCTTAACGGTTATTTGATAAACTAGGACTCCACGAATCCTCGTACAAGTTACTTCTAATTAATTTTACTCCCTCTTCTCTATATTGCATTTCAGTTCCCTTCTTCAATTTTTAAATTCTTTGTTGAAACAAATCCCAGCATGTGAGATAAAATAATTAGAAATAAATTTAGCAATGAGTTTGTGTTTTCTGGTTATTTTGGTGTTCTTGTTGGGTAGTGAAGCTAAAGCCGGGTTCACACCGAGTAACGGCAACGGTAGTACAAATTATAATTACATTACCTGGAACGATTTTAAGGTTGATTATCATGATCATGGTAGATTATTGCCTGTGGGAGATTCAGTTAATCTGGATAAAGTAATAATCGTGGTTGACAAAAATGGGAGTGGAGATTCATTCACTGTTCAAGGCGCAGTTGATATGGTGCGTGAACACAACGCGCACAGAGTCAAGATTCACATTCTTCCCGGAGTTTACAGGTTTTTTTTTTCTTTTTTTCTTTTTGTTCTTTTCATGCATGCAGTTATATATATATATGTATTTTCTGGAAGTGGGATAGTGATGAAGAATTAAGAAGTTACTTCTAGTGTTAGTGGGCTCTTTTTTCTCTCTCTCTCTCTACACTTTCTCTCTCTAAATATTTGTTTTGTTTGATGAAAATTATTAATTTAATACAGAGAAAAGGTCCGTATTCCTAGAAATAAACCGTATATTTCATTCATCGGAGAACAAAATCGAGCGTCGGAGACGGTTATTACTTGGCACGACAAAGCTGGTGACAGAGATTCCGACGCCGGAGATTTAGGGACGCAGAGATCTGCCTCCGTCACCGTCGAATCTGACTTTTTTGTAGCATCGTGGATCACTTTTCAGGTATTTATTTATTTAATTAATTAATTAGCCCATTATTAGTTACTTTAAAGTGAATAAATTATAAATTACCAAAATACCCCTTAACTTAGGCTACTTAACGAAAAATGCACCTACCTACCCGTAGTAACAAAAATCCACCTCTAATTAATTGTTGATCGAATTTTTTAAGTGAAAATATGTAAATTTTATTCGTGAGATTTAAAAAAAAAAAATCCGAGGTTGGTGTACGATGGAAACAAACCTCAAGGGGTTTTTATTAATTACGAATAGATGAGGGTGTTTTTTGTTATTTAGTCTAAGTTTAGGGGGTTTTCTGAATTTAAAAAAAAAATCAATTTTCGTGAGGCAAAATCGTGTTATGATGTGCGCGCAGAATACGATAGTTGCGCGACCGGGGATTATAGGGGCACAGGCGGTGGCGTTGAGGATCGCCGGCGAGAAGGCTGTGTTCTACGAAGCGCGGTTTCTGGGGTCGCAGGACACGCTTCTGGACGAAGGTGGGACCCACTATTTCTACCGATGTTTCATACAGGGGTCGACGGACTTCGTCTTCGGCAACGCGAAATCGCTGTACCAGGAGTGCGATATCTCCGTCGTGGGCCGCGGGTTCGCCGTAGCGGCTCACCACCGCAACACCGCCGCCGAAGAAACCGGGTTCTCCTTCGTCAACTGTACGGTCAGAGGTACTGGAGTTGTCTACCTGGGCAGAGCGTGGGGAGAGTACTCGAGAATCGTGTACTCGCAGAGCGATTTCAACATTCGCGTGAAACCACGCGGTTGGGACGATTGGAGAAAACCTTCTAGACGCAAGTATGAAAATAATTTTTTTTATTTTTTATTTTTTTATTTGGAAAAGATTTGTGTATATATATATATAAATGTTGTACGTATTTATTTTCAGGACGGTGATGTTTGGAGAATACAAATGCAGAGGGAGAGGGGCGAATCGGAGAAGAAGGGCGCGTTGGTCCAAATCACTGAGTTACTCGGAAGCAAGACCTTTTCTTGATAAAAACTTCATTAATGGCGATCAGTGGCTAAGATTATGAACCCGGGTCAGTCATATTAAACGGGTTGCCCGGTTGCTGAGAATCGGATATGTTGTGGGCTCTGTAAAATATCTGTTTATAATTTTATTGGGTCGAGACCCGCACCGAAAGTGAAAGTGACCCGAATCTTAAGTCATTTGTTTGATAAGAAATTTAATTATTATGTAAAATATATTAGATAATTAAAATAGAGTAATTTGATCAATAAATTTCATTTCATTCTTCGTGCTCTTTTCGTGGCAAAAATATTTGTCCTTTTAAATTGTCACACACCTATTCAGAAAACCAATTTATATTTTATTGTTAGTTTCCTCCAGAATTTCAACTAATACATTGTTTGTTTGTCAATAGATGATTAATTAAAATAAGATTAAAATATTAGATTAAGCTCAAACATATTTTTTTGGATCGACTTGGAAAGTTATTGAATTTACCAAGCATTAAATAAAGTCTAATTATTTTATTAAAATTATAGACTTATAGTTAATCTTCCCAATCAAACTACGATCGTTTTCTTTTAGAGAAATGTAGAATTGTTATAGATGTCGAATTTACTTGAGGGTAAGAAATGGTTGAATTCAACGTAGTCTAGTTCAATTTCTTGTTACACTACACTATGTACTAATATACTCACCTCAACTAATTTATACATCTCAATTATTCCACTTACACTAATTTTTCTTCACATAATTAATAGCTATAACAATTGAAAATTCACACACACACACACACATATATATATATAAAATAAAAAGATTAAAAAAAATAAAACATTAGTCGGAATTTAATAAAAGGTAGGATTGTAATTATACAAGTAAGTAGAAGTATAATATGACAGCAATTGTATCTCTCTCTCTCTCTCTCTCTCTCCAATGTCAAGGATTCTCTCTCTCTGCCTGTAACTAAGTATATAACAACCACACCACTCAAAACTCAACAATACATCTTTCTTTTCCCACCTACAGAGATCTCTCTCTATCTCTCTCTCTGCAAATATTATATATATATACATATATATTATTAACCCGAGCAAGAACTTTGTACGTGACTCATCTTTTTCGAATCGTTATTCCTCTTTTATTTGTTAATTTAATCACACCCCATCTTTGTATTTTTTCTGAATTCCAGATCAAAACCCTGTATCTATCTATATATACATAACGAACAAAAACTCATCCTTTGCAGAGAAAAATAACATAATAAAAAAGCCACACCCACGCTCCCAGCATTAATTGCCTTCACTTGTTTCTCACTACTCTCTCTCTCTCTCTCTCTCTCTCTCTCTCTCTCTCTCTCTCTCTCTCTCTCTAAACCCAACTGGGCCCATAACTTTCTCTCTCTAGATTTCTGATTTCGGGACATAGAAAAAAGTTCCCGGCGAAGGAAGATGAGTAATTGGTTGGGTAATTTCAGACGGACTTTCTTTCTGGTGGCGCTTTTGCTTTTGTGGGGTGGAGCTACAATCGGGTTTGCGCAGAGTAGTAACGGCGACAAAGGAACAAATAATTATATCACGTGGACTGATTTGAAGATCGATAATCACAGATTGCCATTGACGGATAATTTTATTAATCTGGAAAAAGTAATCGTGGTCGACAAGTACGGTAGGGGCGATTCGTTGACCGTTCAAGGCGCCGTCGATTTGGTGCCGGAGAATAACCGACAGCGCGTGAAGATCCACCTTCTTCCCGGACTTTACAGGTTCCTAAATCTTCTCAATTCTCTCTTTTATTTTTATTTTTATTTTTTGTTTTTCATGCATGCAGTTTATACTGATACTTTTTTCAAGTGTGTCAGTGAGTTAGTTACATGTGTGTATTGGTATTTGGTATTCGGCTCTCTCTCTCTCTCTCTCTCTCTCCTCTCTCTCTCTCTCTCTCTCTCTCTCTCTCTCTCTCTCTCTCTCTCTCTCTCCTCTCTCTAACTTCCCCTCTTTGATCTTCGCTATTTTTTATTCCAGCATGATATATGAATGAATGATTTAATTTTTCTCTCTCTCGTAATTTTTTTTAATTAATTAATGAATTGGTGAAAAATTATTGCAGAGAAAAGGTGCATATCCCTGCAAACAAGCCATACATTTCACTGATCGGAGACGAGAATCAAGCATCTGCAACAGTAATAACCTGGCACGACAAAGCCGCCGACATCCTCCCCGGCGGCGGGTTTATCGGGACTTGGAATTCCGCCACCGTCACAGTCGAATCCGATTTTTTCTGTGCTTCATCCATCACTTTTCAAGTAAATTTCATCATCTACCAAATAAATTCAATTTCTATGTATATTTTATTTTAAATTTAAATTAAAAAAAATATCATTTTTTTTATAATTTAATTTTCATTTCAATGGCAGAACACAGTAAAAGCCCTAACTGGTGGAGTCAACGGCTACCAAGCAGTAGCAATGAGAATCTCCGGCGAGAAAGCCGTGTTCTACAAAGCACGCTTTCTCGGCTCACAGGACACGCTTTTGGATGAAATTGGGTCCCACTATTTCTACCAATGTTTCATTCAGGGCTCAACTGATTTCGTCTTTGGCAATGCCAAATCACTCTATCAGGTACATTTTACAATATATATATATATATCCATTAATTCTTTCGGTTTTTTTTTTTTCGTTTTTCCGTTTCGTTTCTATTACACGAACTGAAAATAAAATTTCAAAAAACAGGAATGCGCAATCTCGCTAGTGGACGAAGGGTTCGCAATAGCAGCTCATCATCGAAACTCAGCAGACGAAGAAACGGGCTTCTCTTTCGTCAACTGTACAGTTAGTGGAACTGGATATATTTACTTGGGCAGAGCATGGGGAAATTACTCGAGAGTTATATACTCGTATACGGAATTCGACGTCAATGTCAGACCACAAGGATGGGAGGATTGGAATATTCCGTCTCGACAAAAGTACGATGACTCTCGTGTTTTCTTTAATTTCGAAATTAGTGAATATATATATACAATTTCTTACAATGTTCGTGTTTTTTGCAGTACTGTATTATTCGGAGAATACGAATGCAGAGGCAGAGGAGCTGATAGAAGCAGAAGGGCACAATGGTCAAAAGCACTAAATTACTCAGAAGCAAGACCTTTTCTTGATACAGCTTTCATAACTGGGGAGCAGTGGCTTAGACTCTAAATTTCTTTTTCTTTTTTCTTTTTTATTTTAATATTTTATATATTTTTTCCAATATACTGAACAATGTACAGAAGGCTCAATTTATGAAAGATTGATTTAAATTTCTTCAAATAGGAAAGGGAAAATACTATTAATAAAACAGACCAATGAGTTTTTCATCATACAGACACATAAAAATAGGGCGAATTACGTGATTGGACCATCTTCGAACCCCGTTTCTGTACATCAGAGAAATTTCACCGAACGAATAGCAAACTTACAATAGACACACCGCCACCTATCTTCCATGTACAAAACTACTCCTTACTACCCCGTCGATATTTTTACTCAAAACTACCATTAATTAAATTAAAAAAAAAAACGCGCCGCTAAAATTTATTCGATCAATATTCCATTAGCATATCCATTTCGTCGACTTCGCAATTCATCTCAGCTATCTCGCATTCGACGAGATCCCCCTCTTCCACACTCGTTACCTTATTACCATCGTCGTTTTTGCTGCCATTGTTGTTAATATTCTCTTCTTGATTAACACAGTTAGCATAGTATTCGTCGTCTTCTGCTTCAAACACTCTTTGCTGCTCGTTATTAGTGCAGTCGTCTTCCAAAGGCACATTAGTCAGTGTCATGCCAGCCAAGTCGTCAATCTCCTCTTCGACGACGGCACTGAGTTTGTGACAGCTGGCAATTTTATGACACGAATTCGGAGAATCACCAGACTTGGATATTGTGGAGATTTTGGTGTCTGCACTAATTGCAGCTATGACTGAAAGAATATTAGGGTTCCGCTCGACATCCACCCATCTATCTCCAATCCAATCCCTCGAAACTCTCAGATTCTTTACCTCAATATTCAAATACAAATTTTCACCTGAAAAGGAGTATAAAAATAAATGAGATATAAAATATAAAAAAAAAAATTTAAAATGTGTAAGCAGTATACAAACCTGGAATATAAATTTGATAAATTCCGTTTTTACATTCGCTATTGCCAGAAACGACCCCTTCCCACCAACCATCACTCCACCACGCATCGGCTGCATCCCCGATCTCAAAGGTTAAAATTGTCTTTTTGCAAGTATAGGCGGGCCTCACAGTTGGGCGGGCCCCGTTTCTCATCCCTAGTTTATCGCCCTTGGCCACTCTATATATAGGAACCCATTCCTACAGCAACAAATACAGAATGTCACATCTGACTATTGCAAAAAAAAAATGAAATCAGAAATGATTTTCTTGATATATATATGTGTGTTTGTGGGTGTGCAAATACCTCAAGGTTAGTGCAACTATCTTCATCCTTTACATCATCGTACAGAATCTTGATCTGTCTCTTCGAAACCTCTAAAACAGTGCATTTGAACCAACAGCCACGAATACCACTGTCTTGACAAAGGAATTCCACTTTCTCATTCGGTGTAAAAACGGAACCATTCTTGAGAAAATTCGGCTCCCTTCTCACAAGCCCGTATTTTTTGTACGATAAATTACGACGCTCTTTGAAGCTCGATTTCCTCTTAGCTCCCACTTTCTGTTCACCCTCAGAGCTGAACTCTTCTTCCTCCTCCTCGAAAAAATCGGGATTAAAGCACGAGAAAATCGGCTGATCGGAATATCCACGCAGCTTGCTTAATTTGAAGGGCTTTATTCTGCTGCTCTTGAATTGTCTAGAACAAAAGTGGACACCGCCTAACAAATCATGCGGAAAAACTGCAAGGCATTTCTCGTAGTGTTCGCGGGTTAATACTACAGCGGGCCCATCAACACATTCTGCACTGATGACCTGGATGTACGGAGTGATGAAGACTTCTTTTGGATGAGGATTGCGTAAAGAAACGACTCCCTTGACTTCTCGATTATGGTGAAACCATCGAACTTTGACTTTTTTCTGGCACTTTCTGTCTTCGTACATGTCCTCTAAGTATGCAATGTACCTGTTCTCCTTTTCAGCCATTACAAATACGAATGATTGTACCTAAAAGAAGCAGGAGAAGATTAAACCATAGGTAAGTTGATAAAAATCGAGGGTTTGCCACAAAAGTCTTATATTCAAGATTAAACCAATTACGATAGGGTTAAAGGAATCTTACTGCTATAGAAATTCCGTTACGGCGAAATGACGGATAATGCTTTAGTTGTTTACCACAAGACCATGGCGAACCTGACCACGAAATCTCCAAATTAACGCCCCTCAGATTCCTCGTTAAGTGGTCCTGATATGAAGAGGAGTATGATACGTCATAAACAAGACTCGGATGAATAGGTCATTAAAAATTACATCATTCGATAATTTGCGACAAAAGATGTACCTTATGAGGTGGCTTCTGTGATAGCAGAGCGTTTACTTCAGAAGTAGGGTCATCTTTAAGTGACACTAAGAAAAGAAAGGAAACAACGAGTCAAGCTTCAAAATCATATAAATATGTGACTCTTACGCATTTCGATAAATCTGAAGTATCATAACATATCAATCTGGCAATTATTTGAAAGTCGTTCAAAACAGTTGCTAGATTAAAAAACAACATACTGTAAACGAGAGGGGAAACGAAAAAAATGCTACACCACTTAGGGAAGTCACTAAGAAGTAAGAATTCAGACTTAGTTACAACAAAATAAGAGGATTTGTATCGGTATATTTTACTTTAACTAGCTAACCGGTGACAGATGGGTTGCATTAGAAGAGAGTACAATCAAGTCAAACATAGTCTACTAAAATTTGACTATTCTCTGCAAAAGAAAAATGCAATATCGAAGTGATACTCAGACGAGGACATTCAACAAACATAAACTTCAAAATCTTTTCACAAACATCGTATGCAAGAAAACACACAGAATCAATATAACAGTGGTAAGAGAATCAACGAAACGAGAAAAAAAAACATACTCGCGTAATCTCCGTGCCTATGTTGTTTAGACAGCATTGAAGTAAGCCAATTCACAACCTCTCTCCTCGATCTCCACCTGAATCCAGCGTGGACTGAATTATCAGCCCCGTGTGCGCTAAAGAACTCATCGGATACAACATAGAACATGTGCCTAACACTCCTCTCGGTACCCACAACAGCAAGAATTGACTCCCCTGAATTATCCTTCAGAAAATAGTGAACAACGCGGTTTCCCCTCTCTTTCGATACATACTGCTCTTTCCACTCCACAAAATAGTGCTCACTTGCAGCCATAGTTGACAGCTAAAGAACCCTTTTTAAGGAGAACTAAGATTTAGCAGCAGCAGTCATCACAATCTTGCTGAAAACCCTAATTTGGAAAAAAATTATCAAAACGAGAAACCCACAAGAAATCGCCCAAAGAAGTACCTCACTGCCTCACCGTAGGAATTATATAAACTAAAAAGGTACAATCTTGGATAAATATCCAACAGAAAACCTAAAAATTAAAATTAAAAAATAAAAAAACTCCAGGCTAAATTTGACAGAGCCGACACCCCTAAAATCCAACTACAGAAAGAAGGAAACTCGCCTAGAGTTGGGGATTCGGAGATCTACTTACAGATTACCAAAACCAAGTCGATGGGCCCAAAAAATTACGAAAGGAAAAACACACACAAGACTTTGTTCGGAGCTTCACTGTAAGAAGATAATTCATCTGAAATCTAAATGGGCATCTGTGTACGAGCAAGAAACAATCAAGAAAGAGGGGAGAAAAACAATAGATGAAGGCCTCGTTCCGCCGCCCACTTTTCACCACAAGAGAAATTAGCCTAGACTAGAGAGAGAAAAAAAAAAGATTTGAGAGGATGGGTATGTGGGCAGTAGAGCTTAATAGTACAGAAATGGCGGAGAAAAAGTTGCAGAAACTGTGAGAGTTACATCCCTGCAGCTGGAGCTGGTGGTGGAAATTGAAAAAATCAAAAAAATGGCCAATTGGAGAGAAGTGGGGGAAGGGGGAGGGGGGGTGCAGTAGGTTGGTGGTAGACGGCAGAGAAGATGAAAAGGGTTAAACCAAACTATCAATAAGGGCAAATTAGTCTTTTACTTTGGCCGTCATCTTATCCCCTCTATACCTTATTCTCTCCTAACCTCATTTCCCTAATTTAATTATTATTAAATTCTTCTAAATTATAATTAATTGAGTAATTAACATTGATCTTTGATAGAATTTTACTTCACGCCAGCTGGATAAATAAAATAGGATTGTATTGATTATTGAAGTCAAAGTACAGGAGATACTCGATTAAATAATATAGTTTTTTTTTTTGTTCCGACTCGAAAAAACGTAATAAATCTTTTATTCAATAATATAATATTTCACTAAACTAATAAAAATTTTAATAGTTCCATCTGTATTAATTTGTGGAGGTTTTAACCGTACGAGAAACCATAGCTTGTTAAGTTCAACTCTATTGTACATTAAATTTGCACCAAAAATGTATTTTATTTTAACTTTTCGTATTTTCAATTATCGTTAATTTAATTATTTTAAATGTATATGATTTTGTTACGCAAATAAACATTATCACTTATATATGCAAATTTCGATATGGCAGATCACATACGAGGAGTTAGATGTTACACCGTTGATTTGAACCGTAGATTTTTGATTAAATAACTACTTACAAACCACAAAAACATATACGTGTGTGTAATTATGTATAGATGTACAGTTCAAATCCACCTAGTGTAAGTAATCAGATGTAGCATGTAATTTCTCGATCACATACTACAATGTTTTGTTTGTTATTTCTCTTCCCATATATAATCAAACATTACATTCATTAATTTTGTTTTTTGTCGAAAAAATCAACCAAACACGGCTCTAATCTAAACTCTAATCCCAGATCATAACAACTGCAATCACCCCAACTCCCAACAACACAGCCAAGAACCTATACAGAGAAGTGTCGTACGAAACAATTTTCCTAGGTTTATACCCTTTGGACAGCAAATGATTAATCGAGACGAAGATAAAAACACCACAAGCTAACCCCATCGAGATCGCGTAAATCCAATCCGCCACGTCACCCTGCGTAGTGGCGTCGATTACAATCCCTATTGCCACACCAATCGGGCTCGATATAGCAAATGCAAATGCATAGGCTGCGGATGAAAGGAGCGGCCGGTCGGGAATTATTCTGAGAAGAGCAATTCCCATAGCTATGGCTGCAAATATCTTGTGCAGAGAGACGGTCCACAGTGTTCGCCATGCGTCTGATTCCGTCTCCGCCACTCCGATTGCGATTCCCTCGAAAACAGAGTGGAAGCAGAGTGCACCAATTAGCAGGATACTGTCGCCGAGTGACGTGGCGGTCGTGAGTGAAGCTTTTGTGCATTGGCCTTGTTCTTGTACAGCGTTTTCCTGACATGATAAAGTGAGTTAACGGAAAATATATAAGATGTGTATGTATTTATAGAAAATATTAAAATAAAATGAATTTTCGCGGCCCCCACCTGTGGTTTCGAGTCTAGAGAGAGTCTGTTGCCATTGCCTGCTGTATTATGAGCATTTTCTGTTACGAAAAAATTTGAACAAGTCAATCAAGGCATAGAACCAAAAAATTATGTACTTTTGAGTGTTGACCATGTCCTATTAATTAGGAGGCACACATCAATTAATTTATTCGACTGCGACCAAATTCTGCTACAAGCTACTAGGAAGAATCAACAAACCCGTTAAAACCAAAGAAACAGATGGACACAAAAATAGTTTTCAGACGAGACACTAAGGAGAAAATCGGGATTATTGCTGGCAGATAACAATCTAGAAGATATACATCATTAAAAAAAGATGCCCTTTTTGTTCGTACTATGGACGCTATCATCTGGTTCTTGGTACAAAACCGTGAAAACATACCTCTCTTGTTCATACATATCCGATTTCTCTTTATACGTCATTATCATGTAATTCCTCATATTACAACCCTGAGTTTCGTACAAGAAATTAGGCCCATGAAAAAAAAATTATAAAAGTGGAGAGCACTATACCAAGTTATCACTAAACTAGCACAATCCAACAATCGAAAAACTCACTAACGTATGTCGTTCTATCCAACAAGAATCCATCAGCATAAAGTTGGAGAATCTTACTTTATATACAAAAAAATGGATTTATTCGGGTTGCCATATGTGTGCTTAGTGGCTAGTTATTTAATCAGATCTACGGTTAAAATTCACCCGGTGTAGTAACTTCCCTAGTCGGGAAATTAAGCCATGAAAAAAGGTAAAATTGACAGACGGCAGAGAAGCTAAACCTAACATGCTTTGCAGTTGAAAATTGAAATACAAGATTGCTTATGCTTATGTTTATATTCTTCTCCTTCAAGCATAAGCTTCGTCCAAATTAATATCAAATCTCACCAGAAAATTAAAACAATCAACATTCAAATCAGCCAACTGGAGAGATTAATTAATTCATAAGATAATTAATTAATTAATTGGCAGGGTGATTTAGTTCTATTAAGTATTTTCTACAAAAATCATACCTTGAAGCTCGAGATCAGGGTTTGCAGAAGTAGCATTGCCATTTTTACCATAAACATAAGAAACGAGGGCATCGGCCAACATAGTCAGCAAATAACCAGCGCCGGCGAGCATGAAAGCGAAGGGGTACTCTTTACTCGTCAATTCCCCAAACGTCTCGTTCGCATCGCTCAGGAAATGCATCAGAGCCGTCCCCAGAAACACACCTCCGGCGAACTGAGTTCCGACCACCAAAAAACCCTCGTTCCACTTCATGAAGTACGGCGACATCCCACCGGCAAAAGTCCCTGCGAAAACAAGTATCAGGCACCAAATTTTGACCAGTATCAGTGATCGGGACCGGAGGTTGGGTTTCTCCGCCGGCGGCGAGTTTCCGTCGTCGTCGGAGTCGCCGCCGTGAGCGGAGATGGAGAGGGAGAGGAGAAGGAGGAGAGAGAGGAACAGAAGGAAACGAGCCATGGATGTGGTGATTTCGCTAACATTGTCATTGTTGATCGTTTATATATATAATATGTATATATGTAAGGAGGTTTTGTTGTTTTAGGGATTGTAATTGTCGTACTAGAGAGAGAAAGAGGAACATTAGTGAAGAGGAGAGAGAAGAAAGAAGAGGAGAGTGTGTATGTACTGCAAAATTATAGACTAAGAAATATGGTAATTTTTCTAATCAAATGGAAAATAAAAATTAAAAGAAAAGTACAACTGAATTTGAACAATGATATTGTGTAGTACAGAAAGAGACAAACAGACAAAAGGGGTGACATCCATTCTGCCATATTATTATTCACGAATTGGATTCTTCTCCATTATCATTGGCCAAGAATTTAGGAAATAACAATTTTTTTTTTAATAACCCCATTCATATATGAGCTCATTTGAGATGCCGTTATACTATACTACAAAAATCTTATATTGTCCCTATATGCAATTTTAATTTTAGCAAAAGTGTATTACTTTCCACATCTGCATTTAATATTTTTGGACCTGCATTTAATATTTTCTTGTAAATTCTAAACTATAATATTGATATTGGGTCCTTAAACTTGACTCCAAAGACTTGCAACCTACGCCCTTAGCTGTTTCCTAATTTTATATTTATACAACTATCATCAAACAACAAATTGAAGTATTCTGATCATCCTACTTTGAACTCCAAGAAATCACAATCTTGTACAAGTAGCTTTCACTTTCAGCATTAAATCTGATTACAACTTATATCAACCAACATCGCTCGCGCTAAACCGTTACTACTACATCGCCATTCACATTTCTGTACCCGTCATTTTCAACATTCACAGCTACTGTAAGATTCGTCTGTTTATCTGTGTAAATCGAAACCTAAATCAAGTCTCGTTGGTCGACGGAAACATAAACTTCATCTCGAGCAAATATCAATCCTTTACATAAATATATCTATGCCCGTCACAAATTCTCAACAGTTTCAAACTGAATATAATCGCTCCAACACAACATTAAGAAATTCGAAAGATCCCTCGAGTCCAATCATACCATTTCGAACTCCTTAAATATCAAGAGAAGGATCGTAAACCTGCAATAGCAAAAACCAAAAGGATAGAAATCGATCTCTTTATGTAATTCAACGATTATTTTGCTCACTTTGAGGTTACAAAATTTGTATATCCACTTTTACCAGAGGAAAAATGTTTGCGGATAATCGAGGGGAAAGAATTACTTTCATTAACAATAAAACCAAATCGACGCAACTAGGGTTAAGAGAAATGACTTTTTGCCAATAAAAAGTTAAGAGGGCAATTTCAAAGACGACTTCATCATTTAAGAGAGCTTGGACACCCGATATTCCTTTAACGTCTCCATGGGCGACCACGCTGCTTTTGCATTTGCTCTTGCTTCTTCCTGCACCATTAGGAAATTGTTCTTAGAGTTATATAAGTTATTCAAAAATGCCTAGAGAGATGAAATAGTGCAAGACATTGTACTTCAAGTTCAAGATCATTCAACTGAAGACATTCCCATTTCCCAGAATTTGCTAACAGTACTATGTTTCGATGGTGGATACAAGTGACAGAAGTACTAGGGAATAAATAATTTCTCTGCTTAAATATGATGTAACTTCATATCCAATGTTTTTACGCATTTCGCTTTTTTCTTTGGTTTGACTTTGCTAAAACCCTAGGTCCAAACATAACCCGAAGGCAGAAATTATAACGAATAATCTTAGCATCATACCACAAGTGAAATAAGAGATGCGACTTGGTCAAATTTTTTTAAGGCCACTCAAATTGACAAGAAATAAAAGCAACATTCATCACTCGTATGCTGAAATCTATTGACACAATAATGCATGCCCTCCACCCCACCACCTTGCCACTATATCTATATATACTCCCAACCCAATAAGAACAAACCAGAAAAGAAAATAAACGAGACAGGATGACCAAAAAAAATATGACTAAACCTTTCGAGCTCTTTCGATCGCTCAATGAACTCTTTTGCAATGTCACGACCTTGATATGAAGCTATCACAGTTCGAATGTCGGATGGTCGATTTTTGGCAACATCTGCACTCAAATAAGAACACACCCATATTTAAACAGGGAAAGTTTGTAAAATAAATCTTCAAAATCATCAAGCAGATCCTATGAACTCCAGCACTGAGATACAAGTTGAATTCTTACATTCCAGGAATGGAATAAGATCTAAAAGTGCAGTATCATCTGCTTCCCCTTGCCATGCTTTTATTTCAACAGAATTTTCCGGCTGAAGACTACTTTCTAGTGCATGGCCACTAATGTATAGAACCTGTGCAGGATTCCTATTCAGCATCGAGAGGTCCTGAAGCAGGAATCAGATAATAAAAATTTGTTCAATATACATACTAGTATGCTGGAAATTCAATGGAAACAAAAATAAATTATTAACAAGCACGGGACATAATCCATATATATCAACGAGAGAAATAAGTATTTCCCCACTAAATTCTCACGATAAGAACGGAACATATATCACAGGAACAAGCCACAGAATAATATGATCGGACTAATGAAACTGTCAGTATAATAGAATGATATGATAAGATTTAAAGGATGATTTGGTTTTTCAGGTCATTGCCATGCTAAATCTCCGACACAAGCTGAACAAAAAATTTCTCCACAACTTTAACAAGATTAGCTGCCCATCTAAAAAGAAACCTTACAGAATTTTCTAGTTTGGGCTGTCAAACAATTCTTAATATGCAGTCATCATTTATCCATTTCATTATTTACTCTTGATAATATCCAAATCTAACATCCAGTTGAATGTGAGTCGTCATTTTCAGACTTCACAGAAAGAACTAGTTCGTAGTGCTCAATGATATAAACTGATGAACTGAACAGACGGAAAATGAAAATATCAGAGAACACTAGAGTAAAACCTTGATATTTTCTAACAATCTCTTCATAAAATCACTTTTGTCAAGGCAGTGTTGGTTTTGTGAAAATATAAAATTATAAAGTAGCTGACACGATCTTGGAAGGAGGTGAATGGATGTACCCTATAGTGCTTGCCGTCTATATATCTTGTCGCCCCTCTAGAGAGCCTATGTCGAATATAGCGCTTTGGATCCAATCTTTCAGCAACAGGATCAACATACTGCAGTTGTAAAGATAGACACAATATAGATCAGAAACGGAATAAAATTAAGAGGAAGTATCAAAAGGCGCCGGTCGCCCTTTTTTTTCCTTTTGGAAGGCGTAAACTCACTATTTGTAGCTGGTCAGAATACACCACAATTTCATAAAATTGAGCTAAATGCTCCAGAAAAGCATCTACACCAGGTCTCTTGAATGTCCTCCATCCTCTGTCACGCTTTAAAAGGAAGAACCAAAACAAAAGATAAAATTAATCTAGGGCAACATGCCTTGAACAATTGCACAATTCAGTAGGATGGAGAACATTAATACAATATAGCAATTTAATTTGAATTAAACCAACCTTCCAATCAGAATATATCAATGTTTCATTTAGATCAAGAACAAGGGTAAATATATTCTGCTCCATCGGATGCACATCTGGCAGGAGCTTATCTGATATTGGTTCAGTAAAACCCTGATATCGAGAAAGAAGATTTTAAAGAATTAATAGATGAATAAGAGATTAAAACAAATTCATGAAACTAAGAACCTCCATATAGTTGTAAAAACCTGTGAAATGCATAAAATCACTTACTCGAACGTGTTCTTCAATTAGCCTCCTTAAATCGAGGTAAACCTCAACTAACATAGCAGGAACTGCAACATGTAAATACCAAGGAAACATTCAGGAAGAAGTGAGGTACAAATACAAGGACGTACTGAAATATATATATATATATATATATATATATATATATACATATATGAATAAGGAACAATGTAATAACTGTAATTCTCCATCCAGTAAAAAATAACAACATAATGAAGAAAAGAACTTCACCTGTCAATGCAGCTCCTTGTAACTGGACTTTGAATTTCTGCATAGAGAGCAAGGGACAACATCATTAGCTCATCTATTTTTCATTCCAAGAGTACTGAATGGCATTTTTGCAATTACTACTGAGAGGCACATTCTCTAAACCTAATCAACATCATATAATATAATGCGGTTTCAGCTTGAAGCATGTGATATAACTCTTCAACTTCAGAGAGGGGGGGGGGGGGGGGGGTGTGGAAGTTATTCCTCAATCTTTCTTGAAAAAATGGCTTGTTTTCTAAACCCCGGAACCTCCTATCCTGGTACCTTGAACAAAAAAGTTATAAAACAAATCCTGGGTTGCTTACCCCCCAAAAAAGATAGCATACAATATCCTCCCCACAAAAACCCCAGTTCAGGGCATTCAGCTGTTCAAGTTAATCAATTTGGATACAGGTAAAGTATATGCCATTTAGAAGAATATCAAATCGAACATTGGGATGCTACCAGGACTGGATGCCTTGTACAGGTTAACAATTAAAAAATTAGTTACAATCAAGAAGAATCAGGCTATGACAAACGACCCTATGAAGTTATCAGTAAAGGATTTATGGATTAAGTTGGGAAATCCATATCTTGTAATGGAGAATGATCGCCAGTATTGAAGTATTGGACAAGTAAAACTGCATTAGATTATCAAATTTTAAACATATGCTTTCACGAGCCCCCAACGCCACCCAAACCTTAATAAGAGTATTGATATCCTTTCTCAAGATGCAGTTGCCAATACGTCACATCCCAAGTATTATCTATCACGTAAAAGATTCACTCTCTTTGTTACCTTCACTCATTATTATGCTACCATCACCCTCCCTGAACCTCACCCCAGGCCAATATGTACAAGCAAAACAGAAAAGAGACAAAAATAAATCATAAAACATAATTAATGCTATTATTTTTTTATAAAGCAGTACTACTACGATGCAATATCAATTTTATGAAAATAATATCCAACAGATACATAAAGAGAAGTACAAGACCGCCATCGTACGCACATCAAACGAAGATGCGTCATCCCCGAGGGTGTAATTTGGAGGTGTTCGAAGGAACTTAGTCTTCTGATCAATTTCATCCAATGAGTATGCTGCAAATAAACATGTAAATCAACTTCCATAAAACCAAAACTTAACGTTAACATACACTGAATGCTATGAACCCTTCCCAAAGCAAAAATATAATTCTTCTAATTTCTGAGACTTAGAATTTCCATAAGTAACCGCTACCAGTCTGTCAGTAATATAACCACACTTCCAATTCATATGCTGCATCTATGAAACACAACAGGCAAAGTAAAAAGAAACGAAAAAAAAATGCCACCATAGTGCAATACAAGAAACATTAGGACCTCAACAATAGGAGCTCTAGATTCTATTAAGGAATTTGGATACAGTGTGTCTGAGTACGAAGCAAACTCGTAAATAGATATATCTCCACCACCACCACCACCATCAAAAATTTCAGTAAATGAGGCTGCTATAACATCTCTTAAGTGGTCACTAATAGTAATAAGCTTACATACATGTTTATACTGAGAACTACATACTTTTACTGCCACACAGTGACATCAATTTGATAAGGGAAATACCATATGTAGCATATCCTGCAGTAGCAACGCCGCCTGTGACGGCTACGATTAGGCCGTACTTAAGAAAGCTCCATGAACTCTTCTCTGCCTCCGATGCAAGCGGGGGAGGCGGCAGACTGTTTGGCGGTGGCGGAAGCTGATCGCCGAAGACCGAGGAAGAGATGATCGTCTCTCTCGATGGTTCTGCGGTGGGGTTGGAGGAAAATCTCCGATTATTCCTCGGGATGATTGAGAAAAGCCGCGAGCGAGCTCGAAGCAATGCGGACATTGCAATTTGTTTTTCTTTTCCTGCTGATCGAAGCTAGGGTTTTTGGATTACACACAGTGAGGGGGTTTGGGGTTTTGGCCAGGGTTTTTTTTGGGAGAGAAATGTCAAATGTAACGTGGCGAATAGGTGAAATGCGGGTCGAAATTTGCCCCGTTTCCTTGACCCGTTTCTCTGGTTTTTGCGCTTTTTGGTGGCGGTGGTAATTATGATTTATTTAGGTATTGAACTACTAGCAACTTTGATTAGCAATCGGTAGCAACTTGTTTGCATGATTAAAAATTTAAGAGTAAATTACGCAACCGCCCCATGAGATAAGGTCAAATTACAAAGAAATCCCTTATTCTTTTGGTAATTACAATTACCTATATGTCTATCCTTGCGGTTTCAAATTTAACATAATCTTCTAGATTTCGTGTAATATTCTCTAGTTTGTAATTTGTACTCGTTTTATGCAAAAATGCAGTTTCAGATGCACCACCATTTGATATTTACAAGACAAGAGACACATCCGACACCTTATGATCATTTTGTTTCAAAATGGTGAGTTGGAAAATGGTGAAACGGGTACAAAATTAGATAATATCCTGCATAACCTAGAAGAGTCTATTAATTTTGACATTATAAAGGTGGATATGTAAGACAATTCATAGTTGACGAGGGTAGTTGTAATTATTCAAAAAAAGAGGAGTTTTCCGTGATTTTACCTAACCTCAAGGGGGTGACGGCAATTTACCTAAATTTAAACTAAATTTGGAGGAAAAAATATTTTTTTTTTCTGAAACTGCGAATTTGAAATGAAAGGAAAAAAATTAAAAAGAATAAATAAACGAAAATGGGCAACAATCGATAATTCTATTTTTAATTAACTTGTAATATAAAAAAATAATATAGATAATAAAATTTGTCTATTACCAATTTACCATTAATCAAATGGGCCATACGGCCACCCAACCCAACCGGCTCAGTGAAGCCATTTGTAAACTAGGCCTATATATATTCGGCCCAAACGATTCGAACTTAGAATTTAGAATATAACTCTTGTAAAAATCATAAAAACAGAGAAATTTAGGGCATAATATATATAGTTGGTGTCTACAAAAATCATTAAGAACAAAATTAAAAAAAATCAGTATTTGCAAAAATTAAATGTATATCTTTTACTTTCAACATAAGTTATTTGAACTCTAATTTCGAAAGTAATTCTATAACATCGTTTTCATTTTTTAGATGCGAACGAGTTCGTAAATAAATTTAAAAGTTGCATTATTCATCCGCGTTTTAATATATATCTCCAAAATCATCACGTAAATAAGATTCCCCCAGACATCTACAATGCTACGCCTATAAAAGGCAACATTCCAATGCACAACTCTCACTATACAACCATTCATTCTCTCTCTCCCTCTCTCTCCGTCGAATTTCTTCGAAAATATACAGACATTTTAACAGAAGTAACCCCGAAAAAAAAAGTGAGAAAAATGGCCGAGAATAATAAATATTCGAGTGAGTTATTATCATCTACATCTCAACAACTGATCAAGAAGATGATTCCTCAGCTATTACTCTCGGTTTCGCTATTTTCATTCTTGTTTTCGTATTCAGCCTACTCGCCGAAGTTTCAATTGTTTTCAGCAAAGTACTATTTCCAATATCTAATGAGCCGTACGCTGAACAAAAACTTCTTGTTCCTTATATGCAACGGGCTACTGGTTTTCCTAGCTAAAACATCGGGCCTTGTGCGGGCCCCGTCGGAGTCTGACGACTTGCTGCACAAGAAGATCGGCTTGGAGCTGTTGAAGAAAACCCTTCTTGATAAATACGTCTCCGGCGAAGTAATTAATGACGATGACCCAAAACAAGAAGAACAAGAACACAAACACGAGCAAGAAGAACAAGAACACGAACACAAACAAGAAGAAGGGAAGAATGATGAAAGTCCGAAAGAAGTCTCGATATTTGTGGCTGAGAGTGAAGAAGAAGATCAAGCGGAAGAAGAAGGAGGTGCGTGTGATTTGGAGGATGTGGAGAAAGATGAAAATGGAGCCGACGAAGATTCTTCTAGAATTTGCTGGCTTTTTGATGATGACGATGATGAAGACGACGACGAAGAAGGTGATGAAAAAGTGGAGTTGAGTACGGAAGAGTTGAACAAGAAATTTGAAGATTTTATTAGGAAGATGAAGGTCGAGATTATTACTGATCAGGAGGCTACTACACACAAGGCCCTCATGCATGCTAATGATCAACAGCTTAGTTAGTTATCAATTAATAAATAAATTAAACCATATATATATTGCTTCAATAGTTTTTATTTAATTTTCCTATTTATTGTTCATTTGTTAAAAAAAATCTTGAAGTATAGCTGAATAGATGCATAGAAATATCAGTCTATGTAACATAATATGAATAATATATATACTTTAATTTTCTGTTTTATACTTTCTTCTTATTAAGTCATTAATTAATGATTCAAATAAAAAGCATTATCACGTACATGAAAATTTTGTTTGCCACCAACTCAACTAATATTCACGAACAAATCATGATTCAAGCACATTAATTTTACTTGCATATGTCAATAATTGTTTTGCTTCGATGGACTTTGATGCATGGAGTTAAATTTCCATTTGAAAGTATGCATGGTACAAGTTAACGATTTATTCTTAATTTGCCACATGCAAGTAGATTAATTGCTTCATAATGCATGGATAACACCAATATTATAACTTGATCTTGTAATACTAAATGATATAATCGTCTATTTGGTAACATCAATTACTATGCAAAAAATAAATTTGCAAAAGAGTAGTCACATTTCAAACTAAATCTATAGATTATCATACAAAGTTAAGATTATAATCTAATGCCGACCCACGAATTGTAAGCGATTATGTATCAAGATATCAACCCCGAAACAAATAATACCATCCCAAAACATCGAAGTTATGAACAATTTGAAATGCAATCGAATACAATGTAAATTCGACCTAGTGGTTAGAGCTAAGTTAGGTCGTGTCAATTGACCCAAATTCGAATTCTCCTGCCAACGGTCTCTAAGTCGAGTTTGTCACACACGCATGGTTAGCCTAATGTGGTTTACGTCTCTCATATGGTTTGTAAGTTATTATATGAAAAGAAGTTAACTCCGCCTAGGAATTGAAGTGTGGACGAATGGAAACAAGTTTGTTCAGTTAAGATATCCCATTTGAGCTTTTCTTTATTCTTTCAGATAAGGGTACTATAAAAAGGAGGGAAAAAGGGTTAAAAAGAAGTCGGACGGCGCGAGAATATGCATTCAGTTTAGTAGTTAGAGAATCATTATTTTACATCCATCAAAAAGAAAGAAGAAAATGGCCCACACTCCGGTTTTCTAGATGCTACATTTATTTAAATACAATTTTGATTTTTATACACACAATTATATACACATACATTTTGAATGTTAATAAGATGAAGTTTATCAAATTTAGTTGGAAAAGAAATCGAATAACTAAGTTGAAAAGAGATGAATGAAAATTTTGTTTTGCGGAATCTTTGGGCGGCAAATAATTTATTTTCTTTCCTTTTCAGCTTTTAAGAGTTCATGCAAACAAATATTGAATTTCAATTTATCTACAAAGTAGTTCTTCTACGAGTACAATAATTCGAGAAACTTACTGACTTTCAAATTCGCTTATTATGTAAGCTATACCATATTCCACCGAATCCCGAAAAGATTGAAACGAATCCCAATAACTCAAATTTACGAAAGTTCCTAGTATAAGAAGACACGTCAATATATTGAAAAAAAAAATCTTGAAAACAATTTTCGAACAGCTTAGGCATGATAAGATAATTGGACGGATATATTGCGTATTAGAAATAAACAAGGAAGTACCTAAAGTTAAATGAAGGCTCCCATTTGGATCTTGGACGGAAGATAATTCTCCGACAAGAATGTAAGTGAGTGTACCGACAATGCTTCAATCTCGAATTTGACTCCTCTATCCAGCATCAACTGGAGTTCATACCTTTAATAAGATTGTCAATTAGACAAAACTTTCATCAATTATTTTTAAGAAAAAGTTAGCGCTGAAAAAAACCATAAACTATAAAGTTTTAACCTCCAACTTGGGGCTTCTCGTTCTACGTAACACCTGTGTAATATGCCTTCGGCTTTCTGCTTATCTGTCGAGTCGTTTAAAAACTTTAGTTTAAACAGATCCCTTTTTGTGCAAAAGGAGGATATATTATTAATCAGGCATGATGAACAAACCTTCAGTTGTCAAAGGTAGGAGACAATGCTGTGGGAGTTGATACTTCTCACAGTCTGATGGAAAAGCTCCAAGCCATTGAATCTCAGGTAGACGTAGAGATTTCGCATCATAAGCCATTTGCTTGAAGATATTGAGAAAAAAAAATGGATTAAAAAAAAATCATCATTAAGACAATGTACAGAACCACTTTTTGTCCTATTTAGATGCTTCTTATTAAGTACATAATCATAAGAGATGCAAATATGGATCACGATTTAAAATCTTACCATAGAACCAAAACGGAAGGTTGCCAAGATATCGATGCCATATGGATCACAATCCACCAAGCAATACACAGGCAGACGCAATTTTTCAATAAGGAGGTGCAAAAATCTAAGTCATAAACAAGAAAGTTTTTTAAATGAGTGTGTCAAAAGATATTAGTCAAATCAGTCTGACTAATGATGGAAAAACAAAGAAAATCTTCACCTTCTTGTGGGAACATCAGGGTACCCTCTTCCCTGTAAATAGATTTTTACAAGAACTGGTCTTAGTAAGAACTTAACGATACATGAAGTTACGAAGTAAACAAACAAAACTACTCGTACCGTGATAACTATGCAGCGGTTTTTTCTACAGAACTGATCATTCGCCAGCCTCTGAAACACTGCTCGGTTGTCAAATGCATAATGATCCTTTTCATTTAAGAATACAAATCATACAGATGAAAGATATGGGGAAGCAGTAAAGAAACAGGTAGTACCTGATTCTTTTTCCACAATTAATATGTATTCAGCCACACTGATTATATCTGGTGAAAGTATTGGGGAAAATGATGCATCTATAAGCAAATTATTCCAAGAGATCATAGAAACAATATATATAAAACTAATATACTCAATACTCGTAGAGGAGCTTATTTTTTCAGTTGAACTTGGATACAAGAGATATTCAACTATATTTTAATAAGAAATTTTGCACATGTGACAATTCGGTACCTTCTACATCTTCTACATAGACAGGGATTTGGTGTGCCTGCAGCAAACACAGCTAGCTAGAATTAAATGGTTGAAAGGATCATCAAGTGTCGTTTTCGATTTCACATCCTTTCCTTACTGTGTTAGGACTGCTGATGCAATCAAATTTTCTCCCAGCTTCTGCAAATCTCACCCAACCCATTACCAAGCTGATTTTTTTTACGGGTTGGGCGGAGGAGAGAGAATCACGAGCGTTATGAAAAATGTTATTTTCAGATAAATCTTTCACAGTAATGATTACAATCCAAAATTCAACGGATAACAGCATGCCATTACACTATTTCCCAGGAATGAAAATACAATTACAAATACAATATGGATGGAAAGCACCAGATTGATCACAAGCAAGTTTTAGAAAAGACAGCAAGGAAATTCTACCATGTATAATACGGATTGCTAAGAGAATGATATTAACAGAGAAGCAATTACTATCCAGTTAGCAAATAGAGTAGTTGCAATTATGTCAAGAAACCTCGACTAATCCGCTTGGTACCTACCCGTTTCCTACAGATACCTGCAAGTGTCAAAGGATAAAGAGAAAACATCACAAGTCCGTAGTCTCCTTTAACAAAGTTAACTGAAGTATCTGAACATTCATATAATTACTTTCAGATATTACTACATGGATTTCCCATATATCCATCAATTTAGGCAAAGGGAGGGAATGGTAATTCAGGGCTAATGTATTTGAATTGATCATATAAAATTCTTGGTTACTTAATCACATTAATACAACATAAAGTACATATAAATAACATACATATATAGATAGATAGATTGCACGAATGGTAAATGTGAAACCGAAATAGCTCCGAGAACATACCACGTTCAAATTGTGGCGACTGCACTGCAGAAGAATGCAAATGTCATTTACCGCCCGGTCAACAACAGATTGTTCTGCTTTGTTTGCAGATGAGGGAGAATTAGATGAAATCACAGGCAAAGAAAAAAAAAGTGTAACCAAATAATCCCGATAAATGAGGCGAAAAATAAATCCGATATTAATTACTTCATGCTCTCTGATAGCTGCAGAGTTGGCAGCATGAACTTGATTTAGTTAGGGTGATATTAGTTCCCACGTTATCAATGTCTATTCATTTCACATAAATACCAAGGTGCATGTAATTGCCAGTATAGATTGACAAAATTCACCTTTAAAAACCGAAGGGTGCATGTAATAAATATCTCTCTTCGAGCCATGCTTGTTTTCTTGGAGGAGTTGCTGAACTATTAGCAATACCCTTAGCAATGCATCTAAAAAATGCTACAAATATCAGTACAGTAGTATAAATAAATAAATAGAACACCATACATAACAAAAACTAATTCTACATAACTATATCTACATTGTCCTCTAATCCACAATCCCTTCGATCACAAGACGTGTTACTCACCGAACCTTCGTGATTGACTTTCCCTACGCAACGTGAGAATTTCCTTCCCTTTTGGCAAATTATAGCTGCAACAGCTGCATAAATGCAAACGGAAACCCCCACGAGTCACTCTCTTAAATTACTCCTCCATAAAAAACAAAACGTTTGTATTCACCAAATTAGAACTAATTGGTTGCTATTTTCTCATCGACCACTTAACACGAAATCAAACAGTAAATAGCATTAATCGTTCGACAAAATCAACACCTTCATAAAAACCTAAAATAGTAAACAAATCGATAGAGCAATAATTTCAATAAATCAAAAAATATTACCATTTTCCAGAATCTTCAGAACAATAGGAAGTGAACTGATCGATTTTTAAGGTCGGCGATCGACCGTTACATAGATCTTCAACAAGTGATCGCGTGAGCTCTGCAGACAAAAATATTCGATAGCTTGAATTTCGATTTCAATCAAATAAACTTGATAATAGGATACTTAGATTGAATAATACCTTTGATTTTCGTCAGCAAGTAGAGGCGATTGGGGATTGAATGCTTTCCCTCCATTTTTCGATTACTTTATTTTTTTCTCGGAGAGAAGCAAAATTCGTGGTTTATGTGGTGCGGCCCGTAAAAGCTGAGCAGTTAATTATTGGGCCTAAGAATCAATATATATATATCATATCAACTTAAATGGGAATATAGCCCAACACTGCGGTAAGGCCTGCAAACTTTATTGGATAATAATATATTAATATTAGTATTTTGTTGTTTTCAAATTCATTTCATATTTAATAGTTTTTTTTTTAATGAAACCTAACATCTAGATAGTTTATATGTAGGTAGACCATAGGGGTATGAATCGAACCGGTCGGATTGAAATTGGCATTTTCGGGAAAATCACAATTTTTTGAAGTGAAATTACAAAAAGTTTAAGAATCGGAATTTCGAAAATTAAAATGACGAAATTATTCAAAATTGAAAAAAACATGACCGGAATCAGTGATATTGAGAAATTCCATTTTTTATTCATCTATAATGCATATGTAATAATATTAATTCTATTACACGATAGTGTAGGTTTACCGAGTGGACCTATATGATTGGCTGCGGGTTCCTTCATTACCAAAAAAAAATCTATAAGTGTGATTTAGGAAAAAAAATAGATTAGAATTTTCATAAAATATTTTTAGAAATAATAAACAGAATAAAATATGTATTCCAATTTTGTCAAAAATAAATTAGAATCAAAATTAAATAATATTATTACTTCATCCGTGCAATGCACGGAGATATTCATCATGGAAATTGGAAACTAATATTTTATTAAAAAAAAATCATTGAAATAGTAAGATCAAAAGTTGATATACAATAAAAAGTAGTATAAAAGTATAAAAATAATTTTATTTGGTGTAAATAGTTAATTAGGCCAAAATAACTAAATAAGTGAAAAATGATAAATGAAATTTCGACAAAATACATCCTTCGTCCCAACATATAAACCAGAATGCCCAATTAATTCAAATTCTTCATTTGCCTAAGTCAATGATTAAAATAGTGTTTGAAAACAACTACAGAACTACTTAATTATGTGTAATTATTTATTATTATTATTGAGAAATATGTATAATTAATTAAGTCCATCTCACATATTTATCAAAAAAAAAAAAAAGTCCATCCCATAATGTATATGGGCCCACAACAGAAAAGAAATTACAGCCCAACCCAACATTTTCGACCCGAAATATACCATGCGAATCGCGACCGTTTTTTGGGCGGGTTGAAGAGGAACATCCGGCGATGGCGCCGCCTGCGAGAACCACCGGCGCCACCGTAACTCTTCTCTCTATACTTGCCGTCCTCTCTTACGTAATGATAAACAACAGTAGGTCTCGCTCAAAATCTTCAAGCAGAAAGGCTGCCGTTAAAAAGCCCAGTACTGGACTCGTCGCCGCCATTGGCAACACTCCTCTCATCAGAATCAATAGCCTCTCCGACGCCACCGGATGCGAAGTAATTATTGTTTTTTTAGTTCCTTTGATTTAATTTTCCCTCGCAACGGCTTTTCAATTTTTTTTTTCTAATCGGGATTTTGTTTGGTTGGGCAGATTCTGGGTAAATCGGAATTCTTAAATCCTGGAGGTAGTGTGAAAGATAGAGTAGCAGTCAAGATCATTGAAGAGGTAAAATTCATCTTTAGCTTGCAACTCCAATTGTGTACCGATTGCAGTGAATGAAGGAATTATTCTTTATTTTGATTTTATTTCATTTTTTAGCATATTCCGTTTGCAGTTATCTAAAAATTAGGGTTAACAGTTGATTATTGAAGAACAAAAAGTTTTGACAGGGAAATTGTCAGTGCTGGATGTTAATGCTAATTAATGTGGTCGTCTCATTTGATTATTTCCATGCTGTTTTTCTCCGAATCGGTTTCTTTCCTTTCAGTTCCTACTCTCATATAGTGTTACAGCAATATGAAATTGTTTGGTTTGCGTGATTGTTTTGCAGGCCCTTGAATGTGGAGCTCTTGCTCGTGGGGGAGTAGTTACAGAAGGAAGTGCTGGAAGCACTGCTATCAGTCTTGCAACAGTTGCTCCAGCTTATGGATGCAGGTGCCATGTAGTTATCCCTGACGATGCTGCTATTGAGAAGGTATAATTAGTTCTATTTACATAAAAAGGGTTTCGGTTTATTATTGTTCATGCGTTCTTTGTTGTGTCGAGACAGGATATATAATGTTCCTAGTTGTAGAACTATTGCAGTGATATTTGAGTTGTTCCTTCTGTCGATTTGCACCGTATGACTTTTGTTTATGTTTCGCAGTCTCAAATTCTGGAAGCTCTTGGTGCCACTGTCGAAAGAGTTAGACCCGTTTCGATCACACACAAAGAACACTTTGTGAATATTGCAAGGAGAAGGGCATTAGAGGCGAATGAAGTAGCATTAAAGCACCATGAAACTAGCAATGATGTAAATCATCATTCAAAGTGCTCAGCCGACTCGAAGGGTGGTTTTTTTGCAGATCAATTTGAGAACCTAGCGAATTATAGAGCTCATTATGAGGGCACAGGACCTGAGATTTGGGAACAAGTTGGTGGGAAATTGGATGCATTTGTTGCAGCTGCTGGTACAGGTGGCACTGTAGCTGGAGTTTCACAGTTTCTAAAGGTTAGTATCTCATCTGCCTAACATGGAGTATGTTATTCAATATTATTGGTGTATAGTTATATAACCTCGTTTTTCACATATTCAACAGGAGAAGAAGTCATCGATCAAGTGCTTTCTAATCGACCCACCTGGTTCTGGTTTGTTTAATAAGGTGACGAGAGGAGTTATGTATACAACAGAGGAGGCAGAGGGAAGGAGATTGAAAAACCCTTTTGATACAGTTACTGAAGGAATTGGAATCAATAGATTGACTGAAAACTTTAAAATGGCTGCACTTGATGGGGCTTTTCGAGGCTCGGATTTGGAGGCTGTTGAAATGTCTAGGTTAGTTGAATTTAAAATTTTTTAACCCCGTGTTGACTAGAATGGCTGTATAATGAATCCCAATGCTCGTTGGTGAAATCTGAGTGCATGTTTATTGGGAAATTCGATTTGAATTAAATGGAATGGTTATATGTCAGGTACTTGTTGAAGAAGGATGGCCTGTTTGTTGGCAGTTCTTCGGCGATGAACTGTGTTGGAGCTGTGAAAGTGGCACAACAAATGGGCCCCGGTCACACTATTGTTACAATTTTATGTGATAGTGGGATGAGACACCTTAGTAAGTTTTATAACGAAAAGTATTTGGCACGGTATGGATTGACACCTACAGCTTCGGGATTGGAGTTTCTTGGTATCGGTGCTGGTGAGAAATTCAAGATTTATATTTCATGAATTGCATATTTTTCATTTTTTTCGATTCTAGACATTGTAAATTTGTTAACGTTGGAGCCTTCTTATGCATGATTTATGAATTTTGTTTCCCCCTCACCCCATATTCTAAAAAATGCAGATGTTAAGAGTGTGAATGGTGGGCATGCACCAAATAGATGAACTGAAGTCCGACTGAATGTTGTTATAAATGAATTTCGCAATTGTCACAAGGTTGGTTCTTGTATGGTGAGTCGTTGAAGGTCTCTATTCCTTTTTTTCTATTTTTTTGGAATTTATATGTGGTTTTACCGTTTTCTTGTATAATAATTTTCAGGACCAAAGATTCAACTCATCACGAATGTATGTTCGAAAAGATCACCAACTGGATACAATGACTGCTTTGGAGTTTGAATCTCGGATTTAATCCATACTGATACAAAAATAGACCTGGCTACGCAAAAGCAATTTTCCAGCTCAATTACGAGATTGCCCTCATAGGAATCTTCACCGGAAAACCTCACCCTTTCGATTCTTTTCTTGTTTGAGGAAATGGTTATTTAACTTATTACTATCATTACACTCATGATAAAACTATACATCTTATTATTATTATATACCTCTTTATTTTCAATTTTCGCATCATCCTTGACCCTTTCTTTTAAGGGACAATTACAGCTGAAAACGACGGGCTTTCGATAAAGAGTGGGAGACAGCCATTATCAGGAATTGGAGCAAGTGACAAACATTATCATGGATATGGCAATAAAACAACAATGGGCCATCATTGCTCATGATTATTATTCTCTAATTATCTGTACATATCTTTTCGAATGGAATGGAATCAACATAAAGGTAAAGTGAAACTTTGGTATAAGTTTTTCTATGTTAATCAGGGGCACACAACTCTATTATAATAAAGTCCCTTCCTTGTGAATAAATAGTGTTATCTTCTCATCTGTTTTCTTTCACTCCCACCAATTTTCTTGAAAAATGGCCACTCGATTTGTGTTGTTATACCCTCCGTTTTCTCCTTTCTCATGTGTAAACCCGAGAAAATGATGCGTCATTCTTCTCTTGCATCAACGATGAGTCTTCATCTCTTCAAAGTCTCGTTACTATTTGTTGCACTTCTTTCGATTATCTACGTCCACATCTCGGTGTTGGTCGTTGTTTCTTCTTTGCTATTTTCGAACATCGTTTTCGCGTACAAGAAAATGAGATTGTTACAGACGACAAAGAAGCTGTCGGAAAATGAGATTCTCAATCATAAAGATCTTCAAACTTGCGATGAAAGAATCGTTGAGGATATGTTTGAGATTGGCGCCACTTTTTGTGATAGCTTGGAATCATCAATATCAGAAGATTTAGAGGAAGACTACCTTATTGAAATAGCCCTACAGCCAGAAAGGAAGAAGCACAAGTTGGAGGAAGAAGGCACTGAGGATTTCATATCAGATCTTAATGAGTTTTGTGGGGAAGATAATTTAATTGAGATTGATATTTCAATGGGATCCATTAGACAACCAGTCCCAGTTTGTTAAACTACATCTGATTACCGTGGTGTTTGCAAATGTTTTTCAAGATAGATTTTCTTTTTATTTTGCATTTGCTTCTCGTAAAATAAAAACAAAATAGACCCATAAGCTAAAACACAAAAAATTATAGACCATTACTCGATCTATGCGTGTCATAAATCGAAAACTTAAAAACACCTATAAGCTAAAACATGAAATCCGGAATTTTTATTTACAAAAAAAATTTGGACCATTTCTCGATTTATGCGTGTCATCCTTGCGCAGGGGCCATGCTAATCTTCTCTGTATCGTTCCAATTTTATCGGATGTCCCCGAAGGGACATACTGTGGTAGTGAGGTTGCGGTATATAAACTGAGAAATAAAACACTATTCTCCGATGTGGGATAAAAAGAAATACGCCAGCTTATGCAATTGGGCCGTTAGATTTTCATCTAACCCATAAATAAATTCAATTAATAGGCCATAGAATATTGATTAGCCTTTTGTTGATGGATTTGGGCTGAGTATAAGAATTTCTCCAAACTTTATACCGAGTATATATTTAATGGAACATTATTTCTGCATATAAAAATAGTATATTATCAAAAAATATACCAGATCAGTGAGTGAGAAGATTGATTGAATGTCACTTCAAACTGAGGAGAAATATTATAAGAGATGGTGAAAAAAGACTTGCAGAAATCAATGGAGTTTTCTTAAAAATTATATGTTATAGATCAAACTGAATTAGAAATATATAGCAGACCTAAAACTCTGAACTCAGTTTCTAACATCTTTGTCAATAATTTTCCTGAGCATGAGTAGTAGCTCCGAGGAAGAATTAATATCGAAAATATTGCCGAGGATTAGATCACCATCTTTTCTACTCGTCGTCTATCAGGTCATTTAGCAAAACACCAAAATTAATAAGCTAATAAATAAATGGTGTATTAAAACACCCATAATGCTTACATAATTAAGACAACAAAGACAGAGTGCAACACTAAATCACAATACTTTTGCTGAAACTTACGCCATTCCGAGTAGCAGAAATAACTTGCTGTCCGTTTACACCAAATGTCCGTATTGGCTCATCTATCTTTCAGTTGCCGCTGAAATATCAAGAGGATCAGACAGTCAAGAAGAAGACATTTAACGACAATAATAACAACAAGCAATCATTATGTGACCCTGTTTATATTCCTACGTATTAGATTAACTAACGAACAACCAAATCAATCAAAATGTTGGATTTAGAAAAAGAAAAAAAATGAGCACATGGAAAATATCCATGCCATTGACCCCACGAGAAAACTCCATACTTGCAGATAGATTTAGCAGGAAATAAAGCAAAAAGCATAATTTTTTTACTTACCCTTGGCCCACGATTCATTGCTTGAGGGGGCTGTCTATTGGTGTCTGATTCTTGTATCATCTCCGAACTGCCAAGTTTATAAAGCGTCTCGAGAGCTCTTGTAACAAATGGACGCACTATATTTGCTTCCATAGCAGATAAATTTTTAAGCTGCACAATTCCAACGGTTGATGGTCACTTCAGGGATCTTGAAAAAGAGAACATCTTACTTATGCAACAATTTTTTTTCTTGCCAAAGTATCGTTATAAGTTAAACATATCTGCATGGCCGGATAATATACAATATGCATCGGTAGGTTTACAATTTAGAGATACCGTACCCTTAGAGCATAAGTACGTTCCTTCGAGATAATCTCCAAGCCCGTCCCAATTTTATGAAACCGCACGTCCTTGATGTCTTCAACGAGGGATCTTACCTGCATGAAAATTCGAATCAAGGTTCGTCAAAATGTTATAGGTCAAAGGAAGATATTGACATAAAATCAGCCGCTAACCATGTAGATATCAGGGATGTCTTCTCGAGCACTACACCACGGAAACAAATGTTCAGATCATTACCAAAATGCAACGGGAAATAACTATAGTATATCACAAAACTTCTTTATTTTTATTTTTTTGTGATTGTGGAATATCAAAATACTTACTGATCAAAAAGAAGCCTTGATATTTCTACATAATGAAACGGCAAGGGCTGAAACTTCTCAGAATCTCGCTCTGATTCCAACACTTGTGATAATTTATCTATGCCGGAAAACGAAAGAGCATATAATAGTAAGTGCACAGCGGGCAGATATGCATTTAACTCGTGGGAAAAAAATATTGTGGAGTAGAACTTAAATCAGAAAAACCGCGCAAATACAATTTTTAGAAATGGTGCTTCTTCATTTTTGCAAACTCGAATTCACTGCCTAACTCACCGATAGACATCCATTCCGGAGCTCGAATTGTGCACTTTCCTCTCTTCTTCAAGGCGACGGCCAACCAAAGTGGCACTTGAGTTGCAATTTGCGGTCTGAAAGGACCAAAATCTCCCTGTACATAGTGCAAATCAACCAGAAAATCCCACGGAAATCATCAATCTATACGCCGGAACTAAATAAATAAATAAAATTAAATGTGCAGTAAAGACAGTTTGGGGAAATATCATACAGAGATGAAATTGAGCGGATCCATTCTCAAATTTGGCACAATCTCAATCAATTCATCCTCCGCGAGAAACTCCAGCTGCGCCGTTGAAAATTCAAAAACAAAATTGAGAAAAATAAAATCGATGCATCAAAACAATTGAAAACTCATGAGGAGACGGGGTTAAACCTCTGCTGCCGAAAATGCGGACGCGTGGGGCTCAGATGCGCTTGACATAGAAATTTTCTAGTGTAGGGTGTATGTGGTCGGGCGGCGGAGGCAAGTTCGCAGCCCTATTCCTCCAGCGGGCGACGGCGGGAATTCAGAGGGAAACTTTTTCAACTTTTTTCAATTTTCGTAGTTATGCTACTACTGTAAAAGAAAAGAAAAAAAAAAGGTATATATATGAGATTTTGATCTGATATTTTTTATTTTTAAAAATAATTTCGAGAATTCTTATTTAAAAAAATAAAAAAAATTAGGGTAAATTACAACCATCCCCCTGAGGTATGGGAATTTACGAAAAAAACCCTTCTTGTTTGGATAATTACATTTATCCCTTCAACTATGCTTTTCTCTTACACTTCCACCCTTATGGTGTCAAATTCGACATAATCATCTAGATTTCGTGGAATGTGCTCTAGTTTGTACTCGCTTTATGTAAAAATACAGTTTCTGATGCACCACAATATGATATATACAAGCCAAAAAACACATATTATGATCATATTGTTTCATACTGTGGAGTTCAAATGTGATAAAACGGGTACAAAAGTGATTCCATATAATCTAGAAGATTTCACTAAATTTGAAACCGTAAGGATAGACGTGTAAGAAGATTTATAGTTGAGGGTGATTGTGATCACCCAAACATGAGGAGGGTTTTTGTGACTTGACCATAATTTACCCTAATATTTATTATCATTTTATGTTATATGTGAAATAAAATATGGAATTTTGACTTCAATCCAAAAAACATATATTTCGAAAGAACAATTTTCATTCACAATTTACTCATTCCGAAAAAAAATTATATTTTCTTTTGAAAGTACTGATTACGATCTAATTCGAGATACGTTTATTACCAAGATTTGACGAACTCGACCTAGATGAGATTCAAACTCGGATTAAAAGACATAGACTTTTTCACTCCACGACTACCACAAATAAAAAAGATTTCATACATGCAACTGTACAAAACTACAAATAGATCAACCTCTGTGTAATATAGGTACATGTTACTTCTATTTACATACAATTGATTTACACATGTACAGTGGCTACTGTAAACATTCTACCTGATATTCGCCAACCAAAAAAAAATGCAGTTAAACATGATATACCCCAATAAGAAAAACAAGAGGGGGTTTAAAAGAATTACAAGAAAATTCAAAACAAAAAATCGGGGCAAAACGACGAAAATCCTGCGAAATCTTTAATCTAATACATCACACATCATACAGCAACAACAACAGACTTTAGCATTTTAACCACAACATTGGTTTGTTAAAACGTAAAACATAAACGAAATGTCTAACAAACTGAAATAAAACGTTTCCACTAGCAGATGCTAAGAGGTGCGCGCCACACTTTCATCCCATCTTCGAATAGTTAGAAGCCTTTTGCAAGAATTCCCAACTTCGGTAGAACCAGCTTCCAGTAAATAATGATAACCTTCAAGCTATCATCAAAATAAATAAATGAGATACGTTTTGCAATATAACATGATTCGGAGTATATTAATGTTCATTAGAATAGTCAACACGATAATCAAAGCCTCCTCAAATATCAAGTTCATAGTACCACAGGAATGTCGGCAAACAGTAATACAATTAAAAACTAACATATATATTACCAACTCAATTTCAGAACCCACACAGCTGCCACAATAGTTAGTTAATTTCTAGTCCAGGACCATGTAGATGTCTAAAATTGTGTAATCATCATACAACCAAATAAAATATCTCTATCGATTGGTACGACTCGACCAACCGCGGTCAAAAAAATTAGCACTACCTTTCTGGCATACCATATTTCTTCAGGTATTTAACACCAACAGGGGATAATTAGCAATTACAGATTCAACAAACAGATTTGTTGCTTTCCATTCACAGAGGGTGAGGTGTCAGTCTCATGAAAGGGAAAGGCCGGAACGAGTACTGGATAAAACCCGTATGGTATAAAAAATGACTACATACTCCCTGATTTATGTGATGAATAAAAATGACGAGGGATAAAAGATATATATGTGGCACTCAGGTATTTATGTTCACGCCATCTTCCCCGTTCTTATTACAGAGTCCAATAAGTACTTACCTGCACGCATTTAAGCTTAATCAAAGTTGCCTAAGAATCTAATAAATGTAATGGAAGCTTCTATGAGTGTCCGACATAAATGAACGAGAACAAATCTTTAAGCTATACATAAATGCAACTATAAAAGATAAAAATTCAATTCAGATCTTCTAAGCAGTAAAAAGATAATTACACGTGCCTATATCTACAGGGGTAGAAATACAAGCATATCTGAATGATAACATGCATGTCAAAACATAAGCATAACAACTAATTAATATGATCATCTGGAGACCAAAATAATTAATTATACACCGACAATCATGTTGCAACAGCAGTAAGTAGTTTAATCCCAACTCTGATGAGTATGCCTAACTCAGAAATCTGAACAATGTAGCATCAGGAAAAAATGATGAACCATGGATTGCCATGCTTAATCCTTATTTAGCCCATGATTCGTGGTTTAGGAAGAACTATCTAATGCATCAGCATAAGTTGAAGCAATGCACTAACATCCTAAAAACTATCTAAAGTTGGCAAAAGCATAAACTAAAAATGGAACCACGTCGAATTCAAGTTGCATAATTTAATTCAATAGACCGGTAATTAATTAAATCAATCTCGCAGACATGCACGGCCAAAACTTCACATGTTATCGACGTGTAATGATTCATCTATAAATAACAGTAAAAGGAAGGCCAGGGTTGATATACTGCTGCCCTATTGCTTGAAAACTCAAATGCAAATGCAATGTGTCAACTACGACTTCCTTCTCATTGCAAGAACATAGAATTATATTTCCTAACAGAAGACAGCGAGTAAAAAAATAACATAGCCACGAAATTCTAAGATTATCATATGCATAAACTCAATGATAATAACAAAGCGGAACAACTTACTTGAATCATGCATCAAAGAAATGCAGTCTCTCGAAGGTTGTCATCAAATCAGAAAGCAAAAGGTTCTGATACGTTGGGAGAAATAGGTTCTGATGGTCAACACGGATCATTTAGCATCTAGCAATTTTCTTTCCGAACTAAATCCTAGAATATTCCGCAGACACGTTTGAGTTACTCAGAAGTTAGGCGTCGCCTTTTCCCATAATCGGCATCCCTTGATCTTGACCTATGCTCACCTTCATGGGATACCCTTGACTTGCCATGAGTCCTTGAAGATCTTCCCCTGTCCCATTCATCATCATATTCTGCGTCACGGTTCTTGTGCCTATGGTGGTCAGCATATCTGTCTCTATCGTCCCTATGGCGTTCCCGGTCTCGTTCACGTTCACGGCCACGCTCATGGTCTACCGAACGCTCACGATCCTTGTCACGGTCCCTTTGCCTGTCTCTACTGACATCTTTTTCATCACGGTGTTGTCTCTTTTCAGACCAATCATTATCGCGGTCCACATCTTTTTCTCTAGGCACAGGCACATCTCTTTCATAACCAGCTCCTCTGTCATCCTTGTACCTTCTCTCGGAAGAGCCAGACCAATCCCTTTCTGATCCTTTTTCTTTCTCCTTTATGGCATTTGGTGGCCATGTCCCTCTCTCTTGGCTCCCTTCTCCATACTGATGGTCTGATGCAGCTTCCTCCCCATAACTAGACTCTCCTGCTCTCCCTCCATGTTCATCACCTCCCCATCCTCCCATATTAGGATCCGGCCACATTCCCATGTTAGGCCCCTCAATTCCGGGATTGGGCATCATTCCCATGCCACCCATGGGCATACCTCTACCAAAGAACGCCGGATTAACATGTGCAGCGACACCAGGCATACCAACATTCCCAACAGGTCCATACGAAGATAACATTCCAGAAAAGGGTGCTGCAGGAGCACCGGGAAATCCCCCATAGCCACCCATTCTCCCCATTGGGCCTCCAAAAGCAGGGTCAAAACCTTGGCCCATCATTGCTTGAGGATGCATCATTGGAGGAGGAGCACCAATCCCTTGCCCGAATCCATTACCTGCTAAGCCACGACCACCCATTCCACCTCCCCTGTTCCTCATGGGGCCCATTGCACCCCTATTTCCCATCCCTCCTTGATTATTACCTCTAGCCCAATTTCCTCTCCCAAAGCCTCTACCATTGTTATCACCACCTCCCGGGAAACCCCCACCGGTGGCTATATTGTTACCAACAGGTTTATTGGCCAAATCCCCAGGGCCTCTCCGTGGTTGATTAACAGGTGCTGGACCCACCTGCTGTTGGTTTCTATTGACCTGGGCCTCACCCATTCTTTTAACAGTATAGGGCGAGGCATATGCAACTAAACACGCGCGCCCATTAAATAAATGCCCATTCATCCCTTCCTTGCAGGCAGTAGCAGCTCCCGGATCATAAAACTCAACTTGACAGTAACCTTTTGACTTACCACTAGCTCTCTCATCAAAGAACTTCACCTCCTTTACCGGACCATACTTGCACAGTTCCGACTCCAGCTCAGCATCTGTTGTCCACCAATGCAGGTCACCAACGAAAAGAATGGTCCCTCCACCCCCACCTCCACCACCAGCTACAGCAACAGCATCACCTGCACCACCAATCCCTACAACCCCACCATCACCTCCATACACATTTCCAGTAGTCCCATTCATATTCCCCACATGTCTAACATTCTCAAGAACTCCTATATTAGCAGCATGTGGTGGTTGATGATGTACCATTTGTTGAATCGGGACACTGTTGTTCACTGCCCGTTCTTCCAAATCAGCTACTTTATTTGATGGCTGCCCCAGCTCAACCCTAAATCCACCACCAGTACCACCACCAACTGGTGCACCCGCTCCTCTACCAACACCAAGATCAATTGTATTACTATTTCCTTTAAACCCCATATTTTGATATCCCTCTACTCTGCCAGGAACCCTAGAAGAAGCCGGCCCCTCATCTGGCAAAGCTACACCTCCACTCTCCACAAGCGGCGGCTGCAGCGGAGGAGGTGGAGGTGGAGGCGCGGTTAGCTTCGCCTTGTTGTCCTGCACTTCCTCATTTATTTGCCCCGAGTTATCCTCGTTCCGACGAAACGACTGAAGAAAGTTCTCACCAACATTAACGTCGTTATAGAGATCCTCGTAGTCGTCATCCTCCTCGCCGAGGAAACCCTCGTCGGCGACGGCGGATATCGCTTCGTTCCTATGGAACTGCTCGCTCGGATCTCCGGCGTAGCCTCCAGCTTCATTTTCGTCCATCACTTGACTCAACACTCAAACCCTAGGGTTCGAATCAGGGCCTCCAAAATTCTGTTGTTTCCAAGTGCTTAAAGGAAATCAGTGAGCATCATAGAGAGGAAAATGGATTGCGTTTCGAAAGATCGAACCAGAAATTGATCCTTTTCTTCGTCCCTGATTTGAAGTGGAGAAACCCTAATCTGGAACCTTGTAGTATTTTGATATCTTCGATAAAAAATGAAAAATCGAAGGACGAAGGGAATATTGGGGGATTGGTTTTAATTTTATCTCCTTTTTCTCTCTTCCTAACGTAATGTTATGTGGCCTGCTGACGTGTCCGTATGGTGCGTACGGTGCACTACTACTTTGAAGTACATTTTTTTTTTCTTCTCTAAAGTGGTTAGTTTTATTTTAGGATAAATTACATTCTTTTTTTTTTTTTTAATTTTTTATGGAAAGGATAAATTACATTCACCCTCTTGAAATAAGGTTAAATTATGAAAATATCATCTCATGTTTGAGTAATTACAATTATCCCTCTCAACAATTAATTTTCTTACACGTCTATTCTTGTTATGTCAAATTTGGAACATTTTTCAATTTGTACCCGTTTTGTCACATTTGAGCTCCACGTTTTCAAACAAGATGATCATAAGATATGTTTTTGGCTTGTAAATATCAGATTGTGGTGCATCAAAAACTACATTTTTGCACAAAACGAGTACAAATTAGAAAACATTTCACGAAAATTTAAAAAATTATTTTGAATTTGACATCATAAAGGTGAACATGTAAGAAAATTCATATTTGAATGGTGGTTGTAATTACCCCACATGAGAGTTTTTTGCACAATTTAACACTACCTATAGGAGTGGTCGTAATTTACCGTTTATTTTAAATTGGAATTATAAATGACATATAATATATCATATAACTTCACGGTGTATTGTACCATACGCATGTATATATCGATATACTATTTTATAATTTTCCATACAAAAAGAAAAAATATTTTTCAAAATTAAATTAAATCAAAATTAAAAACAATGTAATGTTTGTTTGTTGTTTAGTAAAAATATCTTTTTGTCGTAGAAGTCAATTATTTTTTACCGTAGCAGTTAAATTATGTCTGAAGGGGATATAAGCTTTTGAAATTAGTATGAAAATAGAAAACTTAAAAAATACGCATTCGTTTCCGGGAAAAGAACAAAAATCCCATGGTAACGTAACCAATTATGTCTCAAGACTTTTGATATTGTTATTAAAAATTATTTTTAAAAAACTAAACAAATGCGAATTCATTCCCGAAAAAGAATAAAAATGATATGAAAACGATACCAAACATTGCCGATGTAATTATATATTTTTTTAATTGCTATATGTATTTAGATTTAATTCATGTAATTTACCCATATTTGGTAAAGGGATTTAGAAAAAAATGAATGGTCTCTAAGGGGTTAAATATTAATTAAATCAAACCTCAAATATCTATGAGCAAATTTCAAAATTATAGGGACCTAGTTGTAATTTACGCGGAGAGGAGGGTGTACCCTATAAATTATTGACCTGTTAGATTCCTACTCTCCACACCGTGGGGGGCAGAAGCAACGCCGGCAAAACATATACGGCGCTATAGCTAGCTAGCATGCGGAGCAAAAGGAGAACAACCGGCGCAGCCGCCGGAGCCTTATCCAACTCTATTCACCCTCCGCCGCTTCTTCCTCATCAACACCAATTGTATAGTGCATATGCTGTACTCCTTTTTCCTCGCCCTAATAAATATTTGAATGCTTACTCATCTCTGAATCTGACGGTTTCTAATTGAATGTGCTTATGCAGTTGTTTAGAAGGAGAGAGCCTCAGCCGATTCCTCGAATCAACCCTAAGGTACCAAACTCTGACCTTTTCACCGTACTTGTAATTTGCCTCGTCGTAGTTTGTATCTGATTTTTTTTTTTTTTTTTTAATGGTTTGTTTGAGCAGGGTGATTGAATCGGAAAGAGGTTTAGACCAAACCTTGCCGCTTAAATTTTGGACGAAGGTTCTTATTTCTGTTCCTTAATTTTTTTTATTTGATGTTTTTTTTTTTTCGTTTTCCTTTTCCCCAAAATAATGAGGAAACAAACACAATTGGGATTTATCAGCAACAATTTGCAGTCGGGGTGAATGAAGTGACACGTGTGCTTGAGAGGATGACACCCGATCGTGGGGGTGCGATCTCTTCGGATGAGCATTTTCCGATGAATGGTGGTGATAGTAAACCCCCCTGCATCTACCTTCAGGTTTGCTTACTAAGTTACTATTTTTTGCTAGTTAATCTTGATGTATGATTACCCTGATTGTCTGATTCTGAGTGGTTCTTGTTGTTGTTCGGTTAAGATCCTTACGAGACATGCGTAGTTCCATATATTACATGAATGTTCGTGTTCTTTTGTTATTCATTCTAAACAACCCATATGCACTTAGAATTGCGCGTTTCTTAGTATTGTTGAGGGACGTTGTTGAAATATCTGCCTAAGTGTCCCCAAAGACTTCGAGATCTTTTCCACTGGTTTATCGGAAATAATGGATAGGGAGAACGTACGTAATGTGGGGCTCCAGTTTTGTAGCATTTGGTGTAGGTTATGATTGTTGAAAGAGGAGATTGCATTCGCCTCGACTCGATAAATGCTGATCAACCAAAACGAAGAATTCTCATCTGCCTTCATGAATTTCACGTTCTGGTTTTTATTCATTCGAGGGAGTCGAAGTAAGGAACAAATTGGGAAAACCTTGTCTTGATATTTTACAGTCGAAGTAGCTCACGATCCAACTGCATCTATGTCCCTGTCCAATTTGGAACACTAGTGTTAGTCCTCCACCATACAGACTCGTTCCTCTGTGTTTTATGTTTCATTCAACGCATTTTCTGATCCACTTGTTCTATTTTTTTCTTTTGCATTTTTTAAGGTGATAAAAAAAGAATGTGCAAGTTTCGGGAATATCCATCCCAGTTCGTCTTTTTGACAGACTTTACTTGTGTAAACACGTAGGCAATATTGTTGGCATCCGACTGTAATCCTCGCTGGCTGACGAAACATCTGCCAGGATTGGCTGCTTCAAGAAACGTGCCTCTCATCTTTGTAAAAGATAGAAAAGAAGGTTCCTTGAGATTAGGTGAGCTGATCAAACTGAAAACAGCAATTGCCATTGGAATAAAGGTGAGTGATTAGCCATTGAAAAGCTCGGAAAGAAGCACCGATTCCTTGTTTTTTTGCCACTTCATGTTTTGAGCAGACGTTTAATATATCTTGCAACTATTGCAGGCTAAAGGAAATGGTGTCAATCAACTAATTAAGGAGGTTCTTGTTGCCCACGAGATTGAGAGCGTCGAGGCCTAAGAAGTCTATTTTGTCGATAAATTCTCCATCTATAGCTGGGGCACAGTACAATATAATCAGCCTAATCGAACAACTCGAACCATAACAAGGCTCAAATGGTTCAGCGAACCTTAGTACCTAAATTATTGCGAGTTTTCCATTTAGAGCAATTTGTCATATGAGAGAAATGAAATGTAGATTGAGGTAGTTTGATTCACACTAAGGTGGTGTTTGCAAAAGCTTATTTAACAGCAAAAGTTAGGAATTTTGAGTTAAGTAGGTTTTAAGTGCTTATTTTAAGAAGTTGGGGGTGTTTGCAAATTTGCTGGAAAATTAACTTCAATAGGAAAAGCAAGTCCGGGGGTGCTTTATAAATTATATCTTAAAGTTGTTTATTTTAAGAGAAGCAAAAACAAAAGTTTATTTTGTTCATCTGGTTAATTTTAAACAACTGATAAGCTGTTTTAAGTGCTAATAAGTTGTGAAGTCTTATTTTTTGAATTAATTTTTAAAGTGGTTATTTAAGAAACTCATAAGCTATTTTTACTCATTATAAAATTGTAAATAAAAAGTGATTTATTTTGAAAGAGCTTATAAGCTATTAAACATCTTACAAATTCTTTTTAGCTGCTTATAAACTTAGTCAAAAGTTAATAAACCATTGGACTTCAATCTAGTGATCAGTTATGGGCTTACCATAGCACAGAAATATTACAGTCCATAATAAATTGGGCTGATATTTCCAAATCAAAATATATAAAAAGCACAAAATAATCCAAAATCTAAAAGCACTTTTTCCCCCACCCCTGATTCCAGATATTTCTTCTGTTCCTCCATTTTTTCAGCAGGAATGGCTATGAACTATCTTCTATCCTCCCCTTCAACCATACTACACAACCAACCCAATTACCCATTCTCCCCTCTCAATCCAAAGCTCGGCCAATTTACCACTCTACCCTCACGAAAACCCAGAATTACCACCACCACCACCATCGTCCGATCCAAGGGCGGCGACGACTCCGCCGACGCGCCGGACCGCCTGATCTCCGCCATCACCTACTTCTACCCCTTCTTCGACGGCGTCCAGTACGGAAAGTACGTAATCACACAGTTCTCGCCGCTACAGACCTTCATCCAGCCGCTGGTGCCGGCAATCAGAGTCTTCAAGAGCTTCCCCTTCAACGGATTCCTGGTGTTTCTGACGCTATACTTCGTCGTGGTGAGGAACCCTAATTTCAGCAGGTACGTGCGGTTCAACACGATGCAGGCTATTGTTCTGGATGTGCTGTTGATTTTCCCCGACCTGTTGGAGAGGACTTTTAACCCTAGGGATGGTGTTGGGTTGGATTTGATGATGAGTTTGGATAGCACTGTGTTTTTGTTCCTGTTGGTTTCGTTGATCTATGGCTCTTCTTCCTGTTTGCTCGGCCAGCTCCCCCGATTGCCCATTGTTGCCGACGCTGCTGATAGGCAAGTCCCACCGTAAACTCTATTTTTTCGATATTGATTTTTTTTTTATGCGAATTATCCAATCTGTTGTGTTTTAGGGTTAAGAAAATCTGTAACAAATTACTAGTGATTGGTTAAAGAATTTTTCCCGCCGTTTACAAGATATATCGTGATTAATGAATGCCGTTCTACTGCATTTTTTGGATAAGAGAGGTTACGATTTATTTAGGTAAAATGAGTCTATTAATTGAACTTTTACGTGCGATGAATGTAACTTCGCTTGTAATTTCTGAGGTACTTGGAAAGTTTCTGAGGTGTGTGTGACTTCAATTTGTTGCCATTACTTCGTATGGATGCTCAAGTGTGAAATTTCGAACATGGTGGATGAGGTTATCGGAATTTGATGGTGTAAGTCTAAAATCAGCTGCCAAATAGGTTTCTGCAAATGTGTGTGTGTGTGTGTGTGTGTGTGTGTGTGTGTGTGTGTGTGTGTGTGTGTGTGTGTGTGTGTAGAAACTTTTGTGAGGTTCTTAATTTGATGAAATGATTCAATCGGGTTAGTACTCGATTGCCGTAGATTCTAGTAGTCATCACAATTACGTGATACGTGATTCTATGATATGATACGAGTGTTAATTGAGTTTTGATTTGTTTACTGCATGCTAGAGTTGGCAAATATTACGATTATTCAGTTTTGCTAGCAACAGAAGTTTTTTTTTCATTACTAAAAGTAAGTTTAGATCTCGACCCGTTCTCCAATATGTACTTGGAGGCCAGTTTTGCGAGTTATTAATTATCGGTAAACTGTTTAGATTGTTACGAGCCCATTATCGACATATGTATACAGAACCAGGGGTATCGTTCTTGTGTTGAATTATGCATCCACGTGTTGTTCCGTTTTTTTTTTTTCTTAAAAATTAAATTGTATGAAGTTTTGTGTGTTGAGGGTTGACTAGATTTGACTTTATTAAGACTGAAGAATATAATTCTGTAACGTTTGGTTCTGTTTTTAATCTTTTGGAGTGATATGGCATTCAGAATATTGTCTACATGGTTTAGGTTGTGTTTGTGCTGTCTTTATTTTTGGAGTTTTAAAGACAAAATACAAAACAACATCAATAAAAAAAGATATGAAAGTCTAAAAATTTCAACCGTAGACGAAGTAAAGAACCTTGTACAGGTGTAGTGTAGAATTCTGTGTCGGTGATTAGCTGGAGGCATCTAATCTTGGGGCAGACACGTGGCTAAACGCCATTGGTCAGTTCCAGCTGCAATCGGATGTGCGCCTCTCTCTCTCTCCCCCGTGCTTTTCTTGCCAAATATAGCCCTGGCTTTTATCATAAGAGCTAATGAATTAATTAAAGATATTAGTGACTGTATCTATATGTAATATATATTGGTCGATTTTTAATAATGAAAACAGCATACACAAGAACAAGTGGGTGTGGGAATTTCAATTACTGACACGAGTTTACGAACCACATTATTTATCCAGTTTTCTTTAATTTCTTCAGTGTGTGTAGTTAAAACCTCACCCACCAATATCAGTCTGAAATTGCATTCAATATTATGTTTCTACTATATATATTCACAACTCTATTATTTCGTTATATAGTATTTTATACACCAGAATATTTAATTATATAAATTGCTGCTGCCTGCACCGACTGTGAGTAACAGTTTATGGAATAAGTGATCAATCATTTTCCCTATATATGTTCTGTCAAAATAAAACCTAATACGCACGAGTACGACAATGGTATTACCCCAATTGCAATTAATTAATCAACCCCAGTACTAATTACTTCATTAAACATACTTATATAACCCTAATCAATACTCTCTCTCTATATAGTGCCTGCCAACTCCCAATACTAGAAAACCCCTATATTTTTTCCTTACCTTTAAGCTACCACTGTACCACATCCACTTTCCTCCACCACAATGCAGCTCCGCCAGACAGCCGCCGCCGCAGCTGCGGTGGTCCTGTCTCTTTCCTTTCTCCTCCTCCTCCTCACTTCCACCGCCAAAGCACACAACATCACCCACATTCTCGAGAAGAACCCCGAATTCTCCACCTTCAGCCACTACTTAACTGTGACCCAGCTAGCTCCGGAGATTAACCGGCGGGAAACAATCACCGTTTGTGCGGTGGACAACGCCGGAATGTCGGATCTACTCGCCAAGCACCTGTCCATCGGCGGCATCAGGAACGTGCTCTCCCTCCACGTGCTCCTCGACTACTTCGACGCCAAGAAGCTCCACCAGATTACCGACGGCACCGCCCTCGCCGCCACCATGTACCAGGCCACCGGCGAAGCCACCGGATCCGCCGGCTTCGTTAACATCACAGATCTGAAGGGCGGCAAGGTCGGTTTCTCCCCGCAGGACAGCGGCGGCGGCGTTTCGGCCACCTTCGTCAAAACCGTCGAGGCCATTCCTTACAACATCTCCGTAATTCAGATCTCGTCCATCCTGCCTTCCCCCGAAGCCGAGGCGCCGGCTCCGGGGCCGAGCCAGACGAACATCACGGCTCTGATGTCGGCTCACGGCTGCAAAGTGTTCGCCGAGACGCTCCTGGCTAATCCGGCCGAGCAGACGTTCGAGACCAACGTGGAGAGCGGGCTGACGATCTTCTGCCCCGGCGACGACGCTATGAAGGGGTTTTTGCCCAAATTCAAAAACCTAACCGCCGACGGCAAACAGTCTCTGCTCGAATTCCACGGAATGCCGATCTACCAGACGTTGCAGGGGTTGAAATCGAGCAACGGCTTGGCGAACACTTTGGCGACCGACGGCGCCAGGCGGTACGATTTCACCGTGCAGAACGACGGCACTGAAGTGACGATTGTGACGGGAGTCGCGACGGCGAAGATCACCAACACCTTGGTTGAAGAGACGCCGGTGGCTATTTACCAAGTGAACAAGGTTTTGATGCCGAAGGAGCTGTTCAAGGCGGCTCTGACTCCAACGCCGGCTCCGGCTCCGGCTCCGGAGGCGGACGCTCCCAAGTCGTCGAAGAAGAAGAAGCATAAGTCGCCGCCTGCTCCGTCAGATTCACCGGCTGATTCTCCAGACGCCGACGCAGATGTGGCGGACCAAACCGCTAACGGCGCTGTTAGATTTAACGCCGGAGGATTTGGTGCTGTAATTTTGTGTATGTGGTTTGCGTTTCTGCAACTGTAAGTTGTGCATTTTTCTTTTTTACCGTCGGTGCTTTATTTCCTTTTCTGGTTTTTCTTTTTCTTTTTTTTTTTTCCCTTTTCGCCTTTTCTGAAAAATAATTGAGGGCTGTAATGGCTATTTAATTTATTTGTATAATAATTGTAATAGATTGGTAGGGCACTTTTCCATAATTAGTCATCTCCAATTTTTTATATGATGTTTTTTTATTGCATCGTTGTTTGCGGGGCGATTGTTTTTTGTCGGTGGTCATTTTTTGTTCTTGAATGTAAAATGTATTTTATTTTTAATTATTTATCTCAATGTAGTGATGTCACATTTTATTTATTTTTACTAAAAAAATCCACAAACACATACAGTATATATATCATGTACACAGCGTCCTAGTACAAAAACCCGATATGTGTAAACTGCACCGTGCATCTGTGCTTATTAGGTGGTTATTTGATAAGATATACGGTTGAGATTCACCCAATATAAATAATCAGGTGCAACATCTAGCTCCTCACTAGAATACGTAAAACCACACAATATTAGCGTTGAAAAAATAGGAAAATCAAGAAGCTCGTTTTGTGTACACAAAAACGAGAATGTAAGGAAAATCTAGGAAGCAGATAACATTGGTCCCCCTCACCACATGTTAATTGCTATAGATTATCACTTCATGATTCATCTTACAGCGCATGATGACCCGGGATAATTATTTTATGTTACAACTACTATTTGAAAATTAAAATATTATCTCGATAGTTTCTTCAAGGAAATTTTAAATAAATCGAAACCCTAATGATTCTTGATTAGAACGAGATAAGTAAAATTTCTGAACAAATCTTAATAAAATAGCAGTAGAGAGGAATTCTTGGAGATAATATATCAAAGGCTGAGATCCTTGTTGTTGACATAAAGGTAGCTAGTTTCATCGTTGAAAGATGATGCTACTGGCAGAGGAACAAATCCAGTGCAAACACCGTCGACCTTTGCTAGGCAGAGATGGGCTGCATACTTGTAAATATAGTGTTTTTGGGCAAAAGGCTGTGCTTCGTATTCTGCAATTGGCATCCACTAGATGCAATATTTTACACGCAAATAATTTGTCATCGCTTATTTGGCAGGCAAATGTAAGTAAATAAATAAAAGAACAAGGAGCATAGTATGATCTAAATGTACCTTGGCTGCCTCAATCTCCGAATCTTGTTTATGGATGTCGAAGGATAAAGGTCGTAACATGCACAGAAAAAATAAATCCGACTTCCCGAAAAAGGTATTGTGCACTTGCCTATATCAGTATAAAACAGCACGTCAAGTTAATAAAGGACCGTCTGTTTTTAACATAAGAGAACCCTAGATTACTTGTGTTTATATTTTGTTGGAAAAACAATCTTTGGATCAAACGAATACACACACACACACATATATGTTTAGAACGAATTAATCTTTACCTGAATGCCAGCACATCCACGAATTCTGTATCAATCTGTAATTGCAATTACCAATCTCTTAGGAACAGTGGCCAAGACAGAAAAAAAGTGATATATGCTACACGTATCAATATATTCACCATTCAGCAATTGCTTACTCCAGTTTCCTCTTTTACTTCTCTTCTTGCACCTAAAAAGATATCTTCTCCCTGGAAAATTACAGAGCAATGAATTGGATAAAACAGATCATTGGGGACAAATGCGCGAAGATATATCAGTTAAAACACAAACCTCTTCGACAATTCCTGTAGGGATCTTCCAAATACCCGTTCCTCGAAAACTGCCTTGTTTTTCTTGAACGACAACCAACTATGCAAAAGAAGTTGCAATAGTTAAAAAAAAAAAAAATTCAATAACCACCTTTAATGCCAAGCTGTTCAATGTTTTTTAGAAGATAAATGAAGCCTTTCTGAGGATCCGTTTGGTTCGAAATTTTCAAGACAATCAACTTCTCTTCAAAAAGGTATGGACAAAGATGCTCGTCCGTTTGTTACAGGCTGAGTAAAGAAGGGGTTAGCAATTAGAGTGACACCAAAGTACCTCTCTGTTATCATTCAAAACAATAGCACCAATTCGGAGCCGGTGCGATGCATTTGCCGGGATGGTACTAAAAGTTTCGGGAATCCAGTACACAAGCATCAAATAGTGAGGCTCAGCATGGTGATACAGAAATCCTTCCTGCGAAATTAATTTGTCTATAATAAAGTTGAGCTGCCAAGACCCATTCATCTGAACTCGCATGACAAAGCATCTATCTATGGAGGATATAAATATACTCACTCGAAGAGAATTGCTCTTAGGTTAAAATAAAAGTTAAAAAAAGCATCATCATCTTTTCGTATGATCTCTCCATAGCTACCGATTTGCTGAATTATGAAATTTTGACAAACTCACGTATTAATTAACACTACCCATAATGCTTTCTAAAGCCTGATCCCCCATACTTCCTTTAGATAGATAAATGGGTAGGACTGATGCCTTAGCTCCTTCCTCCACATGAAAAGACTAATTTTTAAAAAAATAAGAAAGAAAGAATTCAACCAGTAAATGGTAAAAAAATCGTACTGAGACGCCTAATATTTCATGAAAATAAAACTTTATGCTCTTTATCCCTCCCTCAATATTGGATGATACTCCGAAGATTGCACAGCCTATTCGGCGTGCCCCTAGAATGATAGAATTATGATACAGAAATAGCTGAAATGAAATTGATTGTAGATTCTCGATTTAACAGGGAATTTGAGAAAAATACCGTAAAATTCCACAAGGAAAGGAAAAATTACCTTAACTGCTGCTTCAACAAGATTCACAAGTTCAATTGGTAGCTTGATCCACACTCCCTTCTTTCCCTGCAACATAGATTTTAATCCCCCAAAAACAGAGAAACAGTTAATGCCAGATAATATCACATATCTGCAAAACCAATAAATCCGATAAAAGGTCAAGCTGCATATACAGAAACAATTTCATGTAATCATACGAACGGATTAATTTAGAAGTGAAGGCGTAAATACCTGCAGCTTCCATTTCGAGATCGAACATCTTAGAATCACGCCAAAATCATTAGGGTCCATAGGCACCTCCATTTCCACTATGACACCTCCATGTTCGTCATCGAAAGAAGGAAGCATCCGAACTTCTTCGATTCCATTTTCAAAATGTGTTCGATCCATTTAAGCCTCAGACAACCTAATCTGATCACATAAACAACGATGTATAAATATGTTTTACGATACACAGACAAAAGGAGTCCACTGAAAAATATAGATTGCATATCACAGGATAACACTGAACCAGTTCTGCACAGTAAATTCTCCCAAAAAAAAATCTTAATTAGGGTTTTTTTTCAGTACTTGCACCAAATTATTCCTTAATTAACCAACAATCTAGCAAATGCAAATGCAAAACATAAAAAAAAACCAACTAATTAAACCCGGAACCAGACCAATTAATCCTTGAAAATTCAACGAAACTATACCATTCAGAGAATTGAGCTTCTCTCTGCGACTGCGATTGTTGCAATTGAAGCGCAAAGTAGTTGAAATTTATACACGCGATTGGCCAATAGGGTGCGGGGAGCAACTATCGTGCGCCAGGAGCGTACCGACAAAGTGTTCACCATCGCTGTGACGCAGACGCAACGGTGGTTTTGATGGCGCGAATATGGGCTCCATTTTACATACCCGATTACGTAAGAATTCGTTTACGTGTCGGCTGACAGAGGCGAGTCTAGGGTTTGGGCCGTGGGGCCCGACCCGGATTGCCCGTATGAAGGCGGCGAGTGAGAGTTCGTTCCCGCCACGAATTTTGTACCCTCCCGCGGTCCCACTTCATCGTAATAATTGGAGTTCATTGACTTATTTGAAATGATAATTGCAGCGGGATTTTTACCAGGTGCAGTGTAATTTTGGTGATTATTTCAAAAATCTCCTAACAAATTGAAATTCACTATGCTTTTAATTTGTGAAATTTTGAGACTTTGAAATTTGTTCCCAAAAAGTTTTGACGAACAACAACAAAAATTGCAACGATCGATTTGGATTGCGATTATGAGGTAAAAATAATTTCTATATATTTTTTTTGCGAATTTTTTAGTATTTCGTGTTGCTGAAAATGAAACTTCGTGTTCAACAACCGGGTTCCGCCTCAATCAGATACTACATCCATCATTGTCATCGTCGTCGTCATCGTAGAGGATCCGAGAAGGCCCAACTATATCTCTCGGGCGTCCGAACTACACCGGGTAGTCTCTAATTGCCTCATTTCCCTCATAAAAATGTATGTTTACAAATACTCTTGGAGACCATTGAAATTTAGAGGTCCATTTTCAATTTAAATTTGAATAGTTGGTTGGGCCCATTATTCTTGCTGGTTTGGGCTATAGCTCATTACATGCTTGTTTTTCTCTATATATTATTGTTTTCTGTTTAATTGATTTATATAGAGTTATTTAATCGAATTTGGATCGCCAAGATTGGACGTCGGCTGAAAAAATATGTATGATTTAACGAACGACCGTCCACAACTTTGATGTTTTGAGTCTAAAATTCAAAACATAAGTCGTTCATAATTTTGTCATCTGACATCCAATCTAACTGATTCATGTTACATTAAAAACATAACTCATAGTACTACTATTTCCGTATTTTAAATTTGGCCAAAATAATACTAAAAAATGGTCAAAATCATTCGAAATCAAAACAATATTATTAAAATTGAAATGAGATTTTACAGGCAATGGAATAATCACCTAATGTTGAAGTCTGACCTCTCACATTCCTTTCACCATCTATATTTTCTTAAATGGAATTATTTTGGATTTAATTATATTTTTATTTTTTTTTGATAATTTGGATTTATTTATATTCTTTCACTTTCAACATATTTTTCATATCCATTTTTTTTTCTACATACGGTTAAACATCTATAAAATGATACATAAAATGATACAGTTAACGAATAAAATTCTATTAATTTAGCAAAATATTAAATTATCGAGCTAATAATTTAATATTTTTTTTACTTAGCCGAAACCATAAAAAATATTATTAGTTTATGAAATATTATTTTTTCAAGGTTGTACCGTAATAAATATTTTTAAGTTATCTTTTATAAAACACATAAAACAACATGGGCTGAACAATGACTTTCATATGTGTATATATGTATATTTTTTCATGTGTTTGTGTATATATAATTATATATATATATATATAATTCTTGAATTTGGTGTCTCCTTAAAAGAACCAAGCACTTCACTTTTCATAGTACAACAATGCAATAAAGCGTCCCCTCTATTTCCAGTTTTTCTTCCCATCTCATATGATCACACATTTTCGCGGAACGGGATTGGCGAAAAAACAGGTTTCAATTGGATTAAAAGGGCTTCTTTCTTCCCGCCAGCCATCCTCACGCCACCCCCTGACGCCATGTCCCTTGGTTATGCCGAGAAGCTTTCTGTGATTGAAGATGTGGGTAACGTTGGAATGACGGAGTTTTTCGACCCCCCTCATGTTTTGCAGCAGAAAGTAAACTTCTCTCTCTTTTTTTTTTTTTTTAAATAATTGTTTTATACTATGTTTCTTGATTACATTTGTTAAATTTTTGCTGTAATGATTTATAATTTTTATTTTCTTACCGGTTATGTGGTCTGATGATGATGATTTTTCCCCTGTTTTGATTAATTAAGATAGTTGTGCGCCTTCTTGTTAGTATTCGATCTGCGTTCCGTGTTCTGCTGAACTGCATTTGTATAATTAGTGTTAAAGTTGTCATTTTTAAGCGGCATTTGGCTGAAAAAAATGTATTATGTGAAACCCTAATTTTTCCTTCTGGATTATGAAATAAAATGCAGTTGACTTCATGGGCTGTTAATTGGATACAAGGTTGGTTTAAGGATGGGTAGTCGAGTCGTACTTTATGAACTTGATCGAAATATGGGCAAAAAGGGCAAAAAGACTGGATTTTTTTTACTGTATGACCAGAATCTTGTGAATGTAAAATGAGAATTTTTTTTGGAATTTTACGATTAATGAAACTCTATGAGAACTGACGGAAAATGCGTCCACATTGCTTTATCTGTCGGTTATGTACTTGTTAAATCAAGAAATGGTTTTTCAAAGTGTTAAGGAACAATTGGATGAAAGGATCGTTACAGTGAACTGTTAGAAAAGCTGGAAAATAACCGAAAATAATATATGCCTGGTTAGTGTTTTTTTTCTTTGGAGCTTATTGCTTGCACGAAAACCTGCAATTTTTTTTTTAATTTATTCTCGAGCCAAGTTATCATGACCTTCCTGGTTTATTTGTATTCTTAAATTGCTTTTATTTGGTTATTTTTTAGGCAATACCGCAATACATATATAAATGTTAACCGAAAATAATATATTTGGGTTTTTCGGGCTTCTAGACCGATTATTATTTTGTCTGGTTATGAAAGTGAGCTTCTTGTCTTCATTACAGGTTGAAGAACTTGCCATGTTAATACAAAAGGTCTGGGCCTGACAGATATTTATGTTAATCCGTTTTTTTTTTCTCTCGATCAAACCCTTATTTTTTACTTTTTTATTTTCATGCAGAGCAAGCACTTAGTGGTATTTACTGGAGCGGGAATCTCCACTTCTTGTGGTATACCCGACTTTCGTGGCCCTAAAGGCATCTGGACCCTTCAGGTAATAATTCTAAGTCGTTTTTTTTTTTTTTTCTTTTCCGTTTTTCATCTGAAGGTGGAAATGGTGACAGTTAGTATTAGAATTTCAGTCTTACTTGTAAGTTGATTATATATTCTGAATTTTATTGTCCCACGGTATCGACCCTTTATTATATATAATACCACCATTGAAGGAGAGAAGGGATCACAGATTGATTAACGAAACCAGCTAAACACGGTATTCATGATTTTGAATGGTGTATAACTGTATATAATTTATTTCCTTATCGTCTTATTTTTTACTTTCTTTCATCGATTTGCAGCGAAAAGGGCAAGCCTTGCCAGAAGCATCTTTACCTTTCCATCGCGCAACACCGAGCATAACTCATATGGCATTGGTTGAACTTGAGAAAGCTGGTATCTTGAAGTTCTTGATTAGCCAGGTGGCACATTACTATTGGCCCCTTCTTTCTAGGAAAATGTTCAAATGAGTATTATTCATCTGACTTTCACTTGTCTGAATGTACTAGAATGTTGATGGCCTACACATTCGTTCGGGAATGCCGAGGGAAAGACTCTCTGAGTTACACGGGAACTCTTTTATGGAACAATGCCCATCCTGTGGAGCCGAGTAAGTGTATTTTCTATGTACTTGTTAATTTTACAGGCATTTGCTCGATTCAGTATACTCAAGATTGTTAATAGCTATTTCGTTTTGAAGATATATGAGGGACTTTGAAATCGAGACTATCGGACTGAAGGAGACTGCACGCCGTTGCTCCAAGGCTGGTTGTGGCGCAAAATTACGGGATACTGTTCTTGACTGGGAAGTAAGTTTTGTCCTGGAAAATTCGTTCCAATTTTGAGATCTTACCAAACATAAAAAACATATGTTTCTCGACCGTCCTGTCTGATGTATGGAACCCAATTATCTAAAGAGTTGATCAGAATATCTTTTCTATTTAGCTAAAAATATAGAAACACGTGAAAGAAAAAAAAAAAAGATTGAATTTTTTCCTTTGACTTTTCAAAATATGCACGAGTAAATTGTAGGATATAGTTGTATTCATTAAGCAGCATAGATTATGATTCGAAGTACATAAGCAGTTTAATGCTTAAATTATTTTTGTCGTGAAGGATGCTTTGCCACCTAAGGAGATGAATCCTGCAGAAAAACACTGCAAAATGGCCGATGTTGTACTATGTCTAGGAACAAGGTAATTACGCTGACCTCAGCATAAATGTCTCAATAATTTCTCTTTATTGTTCTTGAAGATGAGCCGAATATGTTATTATTCATGCCGTTTGGTCTATACAAAGAAGTCGGATAACGTATGGGACAATAACTATCCTTACGAGTTTCTAGGCATAGTGGTTCTTGATTTTTCGGTGCAATTGAAGTCGATATTCTGAAAGTACAATGGTCAAGATTCAACATTTTCATTTCCGTTTTGTAATTTCTTTGGTAGATTTCAAATTGTGTCTGTTAACAGTGGTTTGATCGACGTCCTGACAACTAACTAGATACTGTCTGAAGAAGTTATTTTAGTCTGTCTGAAGTTGAACTCTACGAGAAAAGGATGGCAAAAGAAAGAGCCCGTTTTGTTTAATTTTGAATCGTCTTTTCACGTAGTTCGACATTTACGAGCGATGCTACTCTGTGCAGTTTGCAGATTACCCCTGCATGCAATTTGCCCCTGAAATGTCTTAAGGGTGGTGGAAAGATCGTAATTGTGAATCTTCAGGTAATCCTTTTTTTTTTTTAAATCCAAAATATACTTCTAAACTCGTTTACGTAACATGCAAAATAAGATAATATCGTCGTTACCACGGATTAAGACATGTTTTCCAATTTTACAGAAAACTCCCAAGGACAAGAAAGCAAGTTTGGTCATGCACGGACGTGTAGACAAGGTAATTCGCTCCGATGATATATTTTTTTATTTATCGAGTTTCGATTTAAGAAAAAAACCTTAAATTTCTTTTCGGCAAGCTTAGTACTACTAAAGTAATTCGATAATTCGGTAAGGCTAAAAACGAGATTTAACAGGTGATTACAGGAGTGATGAGCTTGCTCAATACGCGTATCCCCCAGTTTATTAGGATCGATTTTCTCCAGGTAGTTCTAACTCAAGCCTTAAGCCTAGGTAATTTTCTCTTCGGACTCTTTGTACATAAATGTTTGAGTTCTTGAATGTTAATATTTTTTTTCGAGTGCTGATTTTTATTTCGTACGGTGCTAGTTGTTATTGAGATGAACGATATTACTGCGTATGCATGGACTTTTATTTTGTCAGATAAAAAATACGTGAACTGGACCCTCAAGTTAGCAAGCGTGCATGGAAAGCAAGCACCGTTGCCTTTTGTAAAATCTGTCGATGTGAGTTATAAATAATTCGTATTTGGGCGAATTGCTAAAAAACTCCCCGTGTTATAAATAATTGCAAAAACCCCCATATGATGCATTTTTTTTAGCACACAACCACCTAAATGGTGAGTTTTTAGGGAGGTAGTGCTAGAAAAAATTGCGTTATGAGGGGTGGTTTTGCTAATATTTATAATACGGAGAGTTTTTTAGCAATTAGACTAAAACATAGGGGTGCTGAATGCAATAAACCCGATTAATTTCCCAGCTATGATCGCATTTCTGATGTCTTACTTTCTTTGATATTCGATTGACAGGTCTCCTTCTCTGAAAGTTTGAGCATGAAGGCAACAGTTTTACACAGCCAACCTTTTCATCTGAAAAGGTATTTCCTTATTCCTCGTTTGGCTTTTGAGAAAATTCGTACTAATCTCGACGCAATAAATTTTCTTTGGGTGAAAAATTCACCATATTTTTTTTTCGGCCGAATAAATTTTTCTTATTCGATTTTGTTGTCAGGAGAACTGCGAGGAGCATAAAACCTTTTGATATTTTCTTCAAACTGAACTTCAGCGTCGGTTGCAAGTGTTCGTGTACTAATCTCAAAATCCCAGTCGATTTTGATGTGAGAAATGCACTTTTTTTCATCTCCCGTACTCGTGAATATATATATATATATATATATTCGTATTTGTGATTCTAAAAACAATATAAGTATTTCATTTCTCCACAGATTTCTACGGAATCTTCCAAGGAAGAAAAAGATTCCATAATTCAGAATCTAAAAGACCGGGCGATCAAGGATCCATGCTGTGGGCAGACAGCATTAGTCGAGAGAAGGGCAGTTTTAGTTCCGCAAAGCGAAATTATTGCATATGCAATTGTGACGAATATTATTGAATACGAAAGTTCTTCGTTCGAACTTGAAGCATCTTCGCCTAGCAACACCGGCTCGTTTAAGAGACGAAACGAAGGTATGTTAGATAGCGGGGTGTCGTGGAAACGAACAAAGGCGCGGAAACACAATAGTAGGTGTAGAAGGTAGACTTTTTTAAAGTTTGTGATTATGTTTTGTGTAAATATGAAGTAGAATTTGATACAGATGAGGGTTTTTTTTTGCTCCCTTTTTAATTAATGAACTAGTTTTTTATTTTCTAATTTTGTGTGTGAGGGTTGTGATGGTAATTTTGGCAGATGCAGAATTATTTTCACCCATTTTTGTTTAGTAGTTAGACTTTTGGTATATGAGTTGTTTATATTAGGTTTTTATTCTAATAGCTATGTTTGGAACCATGTTCAATTTTGTTTTTGTTCTTTCCCGAAAACAAATTCGTGTTTGTTATTTTTTTCAAAAGAAATCCCCAACTCAATTTTAAAAGTTTCTCTCCTTCAAACATAATTTGATGGTATAGTTAAAATTAAAAAAAAAAAAAAAAGGGTTTAAGCTCGTAGCGCTTTTTTTATGACTAGTAGCGCTTTTTAAAGTGAAAATGAAGTGTATTTGTAATTCTGATATAAAGTGAAGGGCATTCCAGTCAAGGTATGTATGAAGCGAATCATAAGAGAAATCTAAAAGGGGTAGTGTAGTGTCCGGTATTGGAGACTGAACCGTATATGAAGCTACTAGCTAAACGAAATTTACGAGGTAAAACCCCTAAAATAAAATCGGTACTCTTTAGGTAATATTTGATTGGTAAATTAATGTAATTAAAAAAAAAAAGGATTTACTCTTCAAATTAAAATTAAAGAGTAGGCCCAAATAAGTTAACGAAAGAGTAGACCCAAATAAGTTGCCATTAGAGCCCGATCCATATTAGCCGGGCACCATTCATTTCATTATCGGATCCAGACCCGACCCGACCGGAGGATCGGCCAGACATTCTGTGTCGTGTGTTCAAAATGAAGCTCGATAGTATGATGACGGAAATCAAGAAGGGCCGTATATTCGGACGTATTAGAGCATGTGAGTATTTAATTAGATATCCATTTATAATTAAACATTTAATACGTTTATATAAATTAGATAATTTAGTCATGTGCGAGTTTAAATACTTTTTGCTTCATTAACTAAATTAATTCATATTTTTTAATACCGTATGTTTACATTTTTTATGCAGATGTATGCACAATAGAATTTCAGAAACGAGGTCTACCGCATGCACATATTTTATTATGGTTGCATAATGACGACAAGCCCAAGAATCCAGAAGAAATTGACAGGATCATATGTGCTGAAATTCCTGACGAAGAAAACAACAGAATGATGTACCAGTTGGTGGAGAAGTATATGATACATGGACCGTGCGGTCAGGCGAGTTTGAAATCTCCATGTATGAAAGATAGAGTTTGCACGAAGTGATTTCCAAAGCCGTTTGTGCAGCGCACTGAATCAGATGAAGATGGGTTTACAGTGTATAGGAGAAGGGAAGATGGCAGAACAGTTACGAAGAAGAAGACTACTCTTGATAATGGGTTTGTGGTCCCCTACAATCGTATATTGTTGAGTAAATACCGAGCTCACATTAATATCGAGCTATGCAACCAAAATAAGTCAATTAAATACCTGTTCAAATACGTAAACAAGGGGCATGACCGAGTCACAGCGGCATTTTATGAGACACGCAATACAGATGGCGGTGCTGAGATTCGTGATGAGATAAATATGTACTACGACTGCAGATATCTTTTGGCGTGTGAGGCAATGTGGAGGTTGTTTAACTTTGATATTCATTACAGAGACCCGTCCGTAATTAGGCTAAGCTTTCATCTCCCCGATCATCAACCAATTGTCTTCAATGAAAACCAGTCGTTACAAAGTGTGTTGGATAGGCCATCTGCCAAGCAAACTATGTTCCTGGCGTGGTTTGAGGCCAACAAGAACTATCCACATGCAAGGGACTTGAGGTACGGAGATTTTCCACAACAATTTGTGTATAAAGAGGATTCTCGAACTTGAGTGCCAAGGAAAAAAAGATTTTCTATCGGTAGGATTGCGAATGTTCCCCCTGGAAAGGGGGAAGACTATTACCTTAGGTTGCTACTTAACATTCAAAGGGGATGCACGTGCTACGAGGACATCAGAAAAGTTTTTGACATCATCTACCCTACGTTCAGGGATGCATGTTATGTGTTGGGTTTGCTAGATGACGACAAAGAATACATAGATGCAATAAAAGAAGTGAATACTTGGGCATCGGGGGATTATATAAGAAGGTTATTTGCGGTTATGCTGCTTTCCAATAGCTTAAGTCGGCCCGAACATGTTTGGCAAAGTTGTTGGTTGGATTTGGCTGATGGTATAGCTTACAAACAACAACGTCTTCATAAAAATCCAGGTATGACAATTTGTATGGCATTGTATTCAATTAAATTTTACGTATTAATCATTCTTTTAATATTGTCTCTGTACGATTTCAACTAGATGCACATAATTTATCCATTTTTTTATTTTTGAAGATTTACATATATCGGATGAAAGCTTGAAGAACTATACTCTCACCGAAATAGAAAAAATATTGCAAAGAAATGGTAAAAGCCTGCAAAATTACGCGCCTATGCCAGTTCCAATCGAATACTCATATGAGGACACAGAAAACATATGGTGTTAGATGAACAGGATTACGACCGGTTTGAAATGGGTAGAGAACTTCAACAGTGTCTTGCTTCCATTACAGATGAGCAAAGAAAGGTTTATGATGTAGTCATGGATGCAGTAACCAATGACAGTGGTGGAATGTTCTTTATATATGGCCATGGTGGAATGGGAAAGACGTTTCTATGGAAAACTCTTTCGGCTGCAGTTCGTTCGAATGGAGAGATTGTAATTAACGTTGCATCGAGTGGTATAGCATCGTTATTGCTCCCCGGTGGAAGAACATCTCATTCTCGATTCGGACTACCCATATACATGAGAGTTCCACCTGCAGCATATCGCAACAAAGTCCACAGGCAGAGTTGCTCATAAGGGCAAAGCTTATTATATGGGACGAGGCTCCTATGATGCATAGATACTGTTTTGAAGCCCTTGACAAGACAATGAAGTCAATATTACAGGCTGACAAACCCTTTGGTGGTAAGGTGGTTGTTCTTGGAGGTGATTTTAGGCAGACTTTACCAGTTGTGCTCAAAGCATCAAGGCAGGACATAGTACATGCTACGATAAACTCCTCTCCGTTGTGGAATTTCTGTCGTGTCATGAAGTTGACTAAGAACATGAGATTGCAGTCATGTTCTTCTCCATCTAATGTGGATGAGATAAAAGAATTTGGAGACTGGATACTGAATGTTGGTAATGGGGACGTTGGGGAAGACAATGATGGTGAAGCTTCGATAGAGATTCCAGATGACATGTTGATTGGTGATTCAGAAGATCCATTCAGAGACCTACTCGAATTCGTTTACCTGGATTTGTTGAGTAACATGTACGATCGAGATTATTTTCAAGGGAGGGCAATTCTTGCACCAACTAATGAATGCGTCGAGTCTGTGAACGATCACTTAATGTCTCTCCTTCCAGGATAGGAGAAGGTATACCTGAGCTCAGATAGTATGTGTAGGGACGAGCACACAACGAAGGATAATGCAGAAATTTATTCGACTGAATTCCTCAATACAATAAGATGCTCCGGAGTTCCTTCTCATGCGTTGAGGATCAAGGTTGGTGCACCCGTTATGCTAATAAGAAACATCGATCAAGCTAGAGGATTGTGCAACGGTACCAGACTTCAAATTATTAGAACTGGCATTCACGTTCTGAGTTGCAAAATTCATTCCGGAAAAAATATCGGTGACATGGTGTTCATTCCTCGGATGACTTTAATACCATCTAACTCCGGACTGCCATTTAAATTTCATAGAAGACAATTTCCGTTGATTGTTTCTTTTGCAATGATGATAAATAAAAGCCAATGCCAAACTCTTTCGCATGTTGGTTTGTATCTTCCTAGGCCTGTCTTCAGCCATGATCAACTGTATGTTGCAGTGTCCAGAGTTAAGAGCAGAGGTGGCATTAAGATATTCATCAAGTCGGATTCGGGTGAACTCACCAATGTTACTAGAAATGTCGTGTACAATGAAGTATTTCATCGAATTTGAAGGTAGAAAATATTTTCATATTTATCATTTATTCATGTAACATGTTTTTTATTTTATTTTTAAAGAACTTATTCTTTTGCAGGTGTTTCTTATCTATATATTTTCCCCGGTGCGATGTTATTTTCAGTCATTTCCCTATGGTGCTCGGTGCAATTCTTATTATCTTTAAGATTTATTTTTGACGATATATTAATATTTAATAGTATTTTTATATCATAACTATGAAGAACATGACACTTATAACATATTTTTATTATCGTTGGTCGATTGCGTTATGTACTTAGATTCAGTGACCGTAATAATTGTTATATGCTTAAATTTGTTTTTGAGACATGTATTTTCAGTCAAAAATATGTCGCCCCGTGCATCGCACGGGTGAATACTAGTTAAAAAAAAAAGGATTTACTCTTCAAATTAAAATTAAAGAGTAGGCCAACGAAAGAGTAGACCCAAATAAGTTGCCATTAGAGCCTGATCCATATTAGCCGGGCACCATTCATTTCATTATCGGATCCAGACCCGACCCGACCCGACCCGCATCAGGTGACCGGTTCAGTCGGTCGTTCATCAATTCTGAACGTTACCACCAAAGTTTTTGGTAAAAAAATTTGAAATCCCCATCCGCGCTCGTCGCTATACGATCTCCACCGTACATTCAACGGCCACACACACATCGCACACTCGCACTCACTCACTCTCTCTCTCTCTAAAAAAATCCCCCCCCTTCTGAAACGCTTTGCTGAAACAGCCATTACACCCAGGGTTGTACTATCGGGTTCGGTCGATGGATTGCTTGTGACTCGTACGGCGTCGTGGTGAAGATGACGACGGTGGAGAAGCTGTTGGTGCAGATCTTCGACCGGAAGAATTCGTTTATCGAGCAGGTGAAGCAACAGACGGAATTGTACAGCCAGCACCACGCTTCTAAACTCCTTATTGACGGAATTACCCCTCCCTCGTGGCTTTGGAACCCTAACACCTCCCCGGACTCGAAAGGTATGATCGGTATATTTTAAATTTTGTCAACATTATCGATCCAAGGGTTTTGCCCAATTTGTAATCTAGAATTAAGTTGAATTTTGCTCATTCTAGTCGTCCGATGCTTAGAAAAGAACCAGCATGTATTTGATCGATGTTATGGAGACTTCATTAAATTTCTAGTGTGTTTCTGGATTAACATTATTAAAGCAAAAGATCTGGATGATGAATTTTCGGTCTGCATTGTTGTATCAGTTTATTTTTGTCTAATCATGTTTTTTTTTTTTTTTCCGTATTACCTACGCTTAGAAACTTGATTTTTTGTAGTTATTTTTCGTTAACCAATCTGCATTGTGGTATAGCCATAAATTAGTTGGTGAAATAAGTATGAAGATCGACTTGTTTGTGACATGAGAACTTGTTATTATGTCATTGCAGAGCTAAACAAAGAAGAGCTGATCTCTAAACTTCTACGTCCATATCCACATCCTCCAGTCCATTGCTCTGTTGGGCACTACCCTGTGTACAACAACCTAGCCGTTACAAGATACAATGAAGAATTTTCCGATGGAGTTTTCATGGGAAGTATGGCTTTCGATAATGTTCTCAATAGAAAAGATGATCCAGCAGTACCAACATTGAACAGAGAGGATCATAGTCCACGCTTCTTTACTTCTGTTCATGAGCTAGACACTAGATTTACCTCGCCTGAGAATCAGGCAGATGAAAGGATCTTAAATATTCCAACAGTACCAGCATTGAACAGAGAGGATCATAGCCCACGCGTCTTTAACTCAGTTCCTGAGGTAGACACTAGCCTTACCTCGCCTGAGGAGCAGGCAGATGAAAGGATCTTAAATTTTCCAACAGTACCAGCATTGACCAGAGAGGATCATAGTCCGAAAGAACTCAACTCTTTTCCTGAGCTAGAGATCAGTGTTACATCGCCTGAGGATCAACAAGATGAAAGGATCTTAAATCTTTATACTGCACCAGATCAGTCAGTAGCCGGAATCCAGAGATCCAAGTCCAGACAAAAAGCACTTGAGCTTCGCAATAGTGCAAAAGTGCTAACTAAGAGTAACTTAAGGCATGAGAATACCAGCAATGTTTTTTCTAGCCAGATAAAATTTTCTCTCTCTGCTACCAACCAGTCGGGCAAGAAAGACGAGCCGCCAAAATTGGCAGAACCTTGTGTAATTGGTAGTCAAATTTGCGAGGACAAGGAGTTGGATGAAGCAGACTACCTTAGCAAAGGAAATGGAATGGCATACTCTGGTAGAACTACTAGGTCTCGAAGTCTTTCCAAGGTTCCAATTAATGTTGGAGGTTCTTCAGCATCAGGTTGCTCAATGTCAGACTCTGGTAAAATTACTATGTCTAGAAGTCGTGAAATAATTCCAGTTTATGTCAGAGGTTCTTCGACGTTAGGTTGCTCGTCACATGATTGCAACGACAATTCCCCATCTCATGTTTCTAAAGAAATGGGAACGGAATGTGTGCCTGTTTCTGATTTTGAGCAGTTTCCAAAGTCAGCTGGATCATCTATTGTCTGTAGCCAAAGCTGTGGAGGCAGAAAAGTAGATGGTGCAGATTGTCTCAGCGACGATAAGGACCCCAATGTTTTTAGTGGTAGAACTACAAGGTCTAACAGTTCTGGCAAATATCAAATTGGTCGTGATTCTTCAAAAGCTGAAAGTCCTTCTGATGATTTCGAGAAAATTGGTCTTTCCATGACAACTTCTGGGGATGATTTACCTCCAGAAAATGTTAATGGATCACTGGTTAAGGTTAATCCTTCTAGTGTCCTTAATGAAAGTTGTGATGCCCGAGAATCAATCTCAGAAGATGGCAAGAATCATAGAGGAAGGGGTACCGTTTCATCTCGGAGTTCTAGCCAACAGAATGCCGATGCAGAGGAGACTTCTGATCTGGAAGTAGCTTCTCACTCTTCCATGGACAATGAGGGCATTCTTGCCCCATCAAGTGACACGTCAGCAGAACAGGTTAATGATACAAATGAGGGTCAGGGGTTTGTTAAATCTGAAGTGCGCAACTTGAAAGATTTCACTTCTACTTCTGGAAAGAGAAGGTTTGATAACTCGCTGGAATCAATGAGCTGTTCTCTGTTTATTTCTGCTGCATCGATAGATAAAGGAATTTCTGGTGGTGTTGATAAGCTATTATCGGGCAATCAGTCACCTGGAGTGTCAGATGGCTCAAGTAAAGGAGAGGAAGCCCCCTGGGAATATGCTGAAACTGGTTTTCCAGAGAATCCCGACAATGAACCTGAAATTTTTGAACCTGTTATAAGCAATACAATGTTACAGGTTTTTGAGGATAATGAAGAACCTAGGCTAGATTGTGAAATTCCTGAAGTTTACCAAGAGGTAGATAGTACACTCGCTAAAGTGGTTGACATACCTGACATACAGATTCCTTCAGTGAAACTTCATATGGAACATGGGCTTGAGTCCTTTGCAGAGCAGCACGTGGAAGAGGTTTGACCCTCTTATGCATATATGTTGTCCTATATAATGCATGTACCTAATTTGTGTATCCTCTTTTTACTTTTCTGTGATTATGAATGCAAATATTTAGTTTCTCAGAAACTATTCAATATGCTTTTCTGCGTTCATCATAAAGTTAATTTGACTATACAGCTGGTACCATGTTAATCAATATATGTGTATTATGAACTTCTAGAAGAACTTATAGTGCTCAGAATATGACATGCGGCTTATATGTTTGAGATATAATCTTTCCTCGTATGTTTCTTACTTGACATGTGTCCATCAGGATCCAACAAAACTGTAAGGTTTAGCAAAAGTTGCTTATTAGGCATTTATCTTGAGCCTTGGACTTACTCAAGTGATAATGAAAACTGATGTTTTAGGTGCACAAATTGCGGGAATGGTCTACTGAAGTTCATTATTTTAGAGCACACTTTACTGAGTAGTTAAAGGAAAATGTTTAGTTGGATTATATATAGAGAGTACCTTTCAATATTTCTTTGTTAATCGAGAAACTCTTTCCAGCTGTAGATTCATATTCATGTTCTATTATCTGTCTTGTTCGACAGGAGGAAATGGATTATGAAGGAGAGGATAAGGGTCAATTGGTGTCAAATGCTGCAGAAAGTGAAAACTCGAGGCCTTCAAACTGTCACAATTCAGCCACACAGCCAAGAGCAGAATCTTGTGGTTGCTCTAATGAGAACAGTGTCAGACAGACTAACATGGGATCATGGCCACAGCCGAAGAGAAGAAAGATTGAACATCAACAAACACACAGTTTTACTACTTCCCCGAGCTTTAGGGTGAGAAAACCTCGCAGCAACCAAAGAGATCCTGCCAGTGCATATTTGGAGAACATTGAAATCAACACAGAGAATGCCTTGATGGACACATTTCATGTATATAAGAATGTCAATACAGAAATCCATCAAGAGATGAACTCTAATTTGAGGGAAGGAATTGAATCTGCTATTTTATCTCAAAACGGAGAGGTATATTCTGGTTTCCTTCATGGTTTTGGTAAAAAGAATCTTAAATTAGGTAGCTTCTGAATCATGAAAAAAGGACGTTTTTGAGACGGAAATAGATGAAAACAAGTGAAACTACCTAGTATACAGAATATTACTTGATCTTAAAAAATGCTTTCTAAGATGAATATGATGGCACTAAATTCAATTGTTCTTATTTATCTTGAATAACATATAAATGTGGGGTATCTTGGGTAATTGGCTGTCCAATTACAGAAGAGTACATGAGAATGTACAAAGAATATAACTAGTGATTACCCCGGTGTTAAATTGTCTGGATGCAAATCCTGCTCGTTTACATAGTCCAAATTATAGGTTTATTTGCAATTTAATGAGGTTGGTTTAAATTTAACTAAACATAAATGGATTAGCAACCATGATCTCGTGAAGATCATCAACTCTGAATTCTCATGTAGGGTATCTCACCAACCCTTTGTTAGCTATGTTCAACGAGAAGATCCTTATCAGCTTTAGTATCATCCTCAAATACATTGTTTTACTTAATGTGGCCTTCTTCAATTTTCTCATGGAGCTGTGTTATGCCAAAATTGATGCAGGTTGAATTTTGTAATAAGGAGAAGAATGGTTTTGAAAATCCGTCATCTGTAATTGGCGAGGAGCAGTTAGAGACAGTCCTTATCTCAAGCGTGATCAAGGAATCTAGAAATTCACAAGGACATCCAAGTGGCAGCCGTTCTGATACAAGAGGGCTTGGTGATGGACAGTGTAGCCCGCAGTTTAATGTAGAGAAGAATAGTGAAAACCTAAATTCTGAAAATTTGACTCTCACCAATACAATGCTTGAAGGATTACAATCTCCCCAGTGTAGCGGTGCTCTACTGACAGAATATTCTCTTCTTTCTCCAACAACTGAAGTCATGGAACTTATTGATGTTGATCAATCTATGCCTGTACTTGAGGGGTTCGTTGTAGATGAACAATCAGACAATGACCAACTGGATTATGCAGCAGATGGAATTGACTTTGACAAGTTGCACCTTCCAAGAACTACTATAGAACGAGCAAGCATTCTGGCAGAAATATGCAGATCTGCTAGCATGGATAAACCCTTGTCTCATTTCTCCTCTACTTACGAATTTCAGGGAACTGAAAATTTATTTCAGTCGGTACCTAATGGTCATCTTGAACATTTGGACCTTGGGGGTACTTTTTCGATGAATTCTGATGTTGGCAAACAACTTCAATCTGGTAGCAGTTCTGGAGATGATTACAGAGACTCATTCGAAGGGATGCCTTATTCTGATTCTATAGCTTATTCTGCTGCACGATATTGTTGGAATCCAAGAAACCAATATACATCTCCAGTTGGCAAGCTGTGGGAGAGACTATCATCTCACACAGGAAGTTCAGAGAAGCGTTTAAGTTCGAATCCAGAACTTACATGCTTCCCAATTGAGGAAGATCCCTGTGTTAGTGAAGAGAACGGAACCGTCGAAGATAATGCAGATGGCGGTCAAGAGGAAATTGATTCATCATTGGCTAACCACCGTGACAATAGGCAACCGCTTAATGATTTGACAAATTTGGGTTTAAATCCTCCTACGTCTGTTCCTGCACCGGATGAAACTTTTGGAACAGATTGTGTGGATTTTGTGAGCGCAAGATCAAGTGTCACTGGGACACAGGATAAGGTCCTATGGAGTCCAAAAAATCAGTACAGGAATGTGAGGCAGATCAAGGAAAAACAGACTTCATTTATTGGCGTCACTGATGGCAAGAAAAAGCACACTTCATCAATTTGTACTAAGGGAATCAGGAAGGCCAAAGAATCAGTTAACAACAGCATCAGCAGACCACTTTTGTCGAATAAAACCAGTTTACAAAAGCAGGATCAAAACCTTTCTTTGAGACCATCTAGGAGGAATAACATTGTTTCGAACGTTAGTTCTTTCATACCATTGATACAGCAAAAACAAGAAGCACCAATATGTGCAGGTAGCTTATCATCACTCTCTTGCTTACTACATTATATTCAGATGAAATGTGTTTTATTGAAAATCTTGCGCATGTTTTGGATCGACCAATGATCTTTAGTGCAATCTTATATTTATTCAGTTTACATTTGCTTGGTGAAGAGGCTACTTCTATGTTACTTGTGTATGTGGTTAATTAACTGGTCTTTTTCAGAATCAATAGCTTTTTTTTGTTGAAATTTTTTGAGTATACACTTCGCCCTGTGTTTTTGGGTTTCTGTTGTGCTTAACTTTATTAGTTGTAAGATTCTGAAAAAAGATTAGCATCTCCATTAATTTTGAATCTCTTTTGTTTCAATTGGAATTTGTTTGAACTTCCAGTCGACTAGACAGGAATCTATTGTTACATTTGTGATGTTACTGTATTCTCTGAGATTGTTTGCTTATGTAAAGAAGGTTAACACAGAAATACTTCGTATGTGATGATTAGGAACTAACTATAACAGAAATTGTAGCTCTCCTTGAACCTTTTTCTTTTGTCATCATGGTGGGTAAGCTCAATTTTCTACATTTTAGAACTGAACAGTGTGCTGCATGGTTGTTGAGAAGTGGCAGAGGGATGAATTTTAGTTTTAATTTTGGGCAATTAATCTTTACATAAACGTGTAGATCTCCTCATTTTTTTTAGGAAAAAGAGATGTCAAGGTGAAAGCCCTAGAGGCTGCTGAGGCAGCAAAACGTTTAGAAGAGAAAAGAGACAATGAACGTAAGATGAAGAAAGAAGCATTGAAAGTTGAACGAGCAAAGATGGAGGAAGAAAACCTGAGGCTCATGGAATTAGAGAAGAAAAAGAAAGATGCGGATCGCAAGAAAAAAGAAGCTGATATTAAGTCAAAGAAGAGGCTGAGAGAGGAAGAAGAGAGAAAGGAGAAGGAGAAGAAAAGAATGCGAGTCGAAGCGAGGCAGCGGCAAAGAGAACAACCAGAAAAAATGCGTGGAGAGAAAGCAGAAAAAGAAAATCAAAGAACCAAGGTTGCATTTCTTCACTGTATTTTCATTTTTCTGGCTGTTATTGCAGTCTCACTTATATTTTTGCAATATTATAGGATGAGCAAGCTAAAAGCAAGAAGGAATTTCACAATCAATCCACGAAGCAACAGAACAAGGAAACCACTAGAGGAGATAATAATATAGCTTTGAAGAAGACAGAGACCAAGTTGGCTCCAACTGAGGTTGTGATGAATTATGAAGAATGTGGTACTTCTGGTCAATCTTGTGAAGCCGGGGAGGTAGGAGATTTTGGAATGGATGTTGTCATATTTATTTATTTATTTATTTTAATTAATGAAATAGGTAAGTTTGAAAAAAAATAATCAACCAATCTGATATTATTACACTGATATGAATTTGTACATCACCAGCAACTTTAACACGGGAATTTCTTTTTCATACTTAATTTATTGCGTTGTGTTCTCCCAGGCAATTCACACAGTGGATAAATCACCCAAAAATGAGGACTTGATAGTTCGAATTAGTCATGGAAATTCATATGAGATCTCTCCGTACCAGTGCTCAGATGATGAAGATGAAGAAGACGACGAGTTACCCACCAAGAAATCTATTCCATCATGGGCCAGGTGCTAAATAAATTTCTTAGAAAATAGTTCTGTATTATTTCATTACCTGACGTTGCATATTAGAACTCATTGAATAAGATGAAAACATGTTGAAATTAGGTTTAGGATTTGGATAGTTAAGACTTAGTATTAAAATAATCGGAGAAGTTGAATGTATTTAATCCATCAACAAAATGTGAGCGGACAAGTATTAGTGTAGATACAAATTATGCTTATCGAGCGACATATTTAGTTACTTGTTTATCCTTCTAGCACAAGAGAATATTCTTAGATGCCAAATATATTTTAACAGTGATATGTTATTTATTCTTTTTGTGCAGTAAAAGCTCTGTGGCTGTGCTTCTACCATCGCAGCAAGAAATGGACCCTGACATGATATTTCCACGGGAAAGTTTTTGCAGTATGGATGAAGGTATAGTGTTTGTATAAACAATTTATTTGCAAAACAAATAAAAATGGAACTTACTGCTGTTTTTAACGGAAAAATAATTTGTATTGTTTAGTGTTGCTTCCCCGCAAGCTACAGCAAAAACAGATGGCTGCTTGAACCGAAAGGCTAGTTCTTACTTCTTGCAAATGTTAATCTCTGGATTTTTGTTGATTGATTGTGGCTGGGACTTTCTTTCCTTAAAAGGTACTCTTCTTAACTTTCGTCAAACGATATTAACCATACAATGATTTTTCTTATGAACCTATTCTATGTACTCTTAACTTTCGCCCAACGATATTAATCATTTTGTAAATGGCTTTTCTGGTGAATCACAATCCAACCAAAAGTTTCTATATTTTCGAAAATTTGATTTCCTGTACATGTGAACTTTTAACATGCCTGTCTCAATGCAGCTTATTTTTTTTGTATGAATTGAAGATGGTAGGATGGAAGAATAACGGAAGTTTCTAACCCTAAACAGTTGATCTTTTTTTCTTTTCTTGCAGAGGGGTGATACTACTCGTGTCTGTCTCAGATTTGTCGATTGTCTGAATGCTATATAGGCTTTTTATAAACCTCGTATGAAGCTGGCAAGTGCATTTTTTTTTAGCCGATAGAGTACTGTCAAAACGTCTGTCATAATATTTTATCTATCGTAATTCTTAATTCTTATTCGAAGGGAAATTTGAAGTTTCCCGAGTTGTCTGATTATTGTTGTTCTGACCAAATTTCCCTGGCATAATCATCAGTAAAAAAATAGTTGCTTGTCTTAAATTCGATTTTCAAACTTTTTAATCATCAACAATATTATTACACTCTACTGAAGAAATTGAAATAAAAACATTAGAACTAGATTATATCAAATATCATATCTAATATTCTCACTAGATTGTGATAAACTTCGTTTATCTAGTTTACAATGGCTGTACTGCTACCTTCAATCGTACACATCGGAAACGAGAATCCATTTGGAACTCTGAGTCTTCGTTCTGCTCTTGCCAATTCAGAATCATCTTCACAGCGTTGTCGTTTCTATTACGCTTCATACTTCCAGATAAATTAAATACACAGTATATATGATAAGTTAAACCTTCACAACATGCAACATCTTTTGTTCTGTGATAGATGCAGAGTTTAATATAAACTTCAGAATCAGATAAACACAGCATAAATAATTTTTTCAGTTCAATTATTTTCTATTATATATTATAGAGATGCAGAATTTTATATGAACTTAAAGAAACATATATTATTGCATGCCACACCCTATAAAATATATATAGTTCCCTATAGATACGAAGCTCGGCAAGAAAACACAGAGAAGAAGAGGGCCCTCAAGTCGTTGACAGAAGACGAAGAGCACAATCCCACAAAAGGCAAAGAACCTTTGACCATAGCGGCCTGTGCTCTCTCTCTTCTGTCAACAAATTTCCCTTAACGAAAAACCCCGAGTTCTTAACTTCTTCTGCAGCTTTCGAAAAAAAAAATAAAGAATTTCAACAAAAACTAGTCAATGTGCATCATGTAAAAATTGCAACATGCAGATTAATGAAGGCCGACACTAAAGATGAAGAGTCGAACGAAAAATCGCAGGCTATCGTTATACATGAAGAGTGAGTTTCACATAAACTATATGTTTGCTTCTATGCAGTGCATGTGTGTGTGTGTGTGTGTGTGTATACATGCTTATATATTTTTATAGAGAGAGAGAGAGAGAGAGAGAGATTGAAAATGCCACAGCAGTGGAACAGTGGAGTAGAGGAAGAGCCATATATATAGAGGGAGGGCCCCACTTACATTTGGCAACACATGGCAATTATAATATACTCTCTATATACTATACTTTGGACTAAACATATTACTTTATACTATTGGATACATCTTTTCAACTTTCCTAAAATACACTAAATATTATAAGTAATAAAAAAAATAACAATAAAATTACCAAATATTCTGAAAATTTTAATAATACTACATTTAAATTCTCAATTAATCATAAAATAAAATTCGATAACACAATATATATATATTATACATATGTGGGCATAAATAAATGCATTGCTTGGCTAAAACGAGGCAGATATCGACTTGATGCTACAAAGTATTCGATTAGCTCTCTCAAAGTGAACGCCTCGTGATTTGTTTTTTTTTTCTGCATGTGAACGGGTTTTCCATTTCCGGCATTACCAAAAACACGTTTTTTGCTATTTTTTTTTTTCGAGTGTCGTTCTTTTCATTTCTCTTCCACATTTATTATACGCTTTTGCTTAACAATAATGCATGTATACTTATTAATTAATTGCTGTCAACACTTGTATATATGCTGCTATTAAGTTTTGTAGAATCTACATCCGGTGAAATTTTCGAAAAAAAAATTTAAGAATACGTTTCGATTATACAAAAAAAAAAATAAAAAAATTGTGTTGGTTCCTTAATTATTTGTTGTGACTTGATAACCAAGAGCAAATTGATATATATATATATGGTATTATTTGTGTGAAAATATAAAAGAAATAAAGAGAAATATACATATATATTATATCATTTATAAAATTAGTATTTATGTATTGAAATTAAAGAAGGTGAAAATAATTAGAAAAAGGATCTTGAGAAATCTTTAGTGAGAGGGGCTTGTGCTCAAAAAAGGGAAGATTACTTTTGGCGAAAGTTGTAATTATGGATACTTATTTGGGTGAATTGTAGCATTAATGTGATTTGGTCCGTAGGTCTTCGTCTTCCTCAAGCTAGCTTCGTCCGTACCCCGGTGGACTGACCTGCAACGCCGGGGGGGTTCCCGGCGGAAAAGCTCCGACGATCAAGTCAGTGATCGAAATAAAGGGAGAGATGTGTATATAATGTAATAGTAAAAGGAGTGCATATTCTTGTGTGTGTGTGTTGATTCTCTTATTTATAGATGAGGAAAGCTTGGTCTCCAAGGCTTTCCTTTTTTAGGGTTTCTCTTTTCCCCCAAGTCATATATCTTGGGCCTGTATTACCCTGGGCTCGCCCTACCCCGTTTTGGTATTGGGCTGGCGAGTTAAGGTACTCCCACGTGGTTCCGAGGTTCGCGCCATACGGCGACCTCGCTCATAATACCGAGCTAAGTCGTCATGAGTTCTTCGTTGTGGGCCTATCATGTTGGGCTTGCCTTAATGGGCTTATGTTTATTTGTTAATTGTCAAACAAGCCCGTATCAACTACTCCCCCCTACTCCTTACTTATAAAACAAGTCGGCTTTTCTTTACCTCGTTTTATAAGTACGGAGTATGAGGCATCAGTTCGCACTTCGATTTAGACTTACGTCGGCATACGCAGCCCCTCTTCCTTTCCCTTTCATTAATTGCTCTGACACCCCGCGTGGTCGGTTCAAGTTCCCTAGGTCATCATGAGAAGATTTCCATCAGCGCTTTTCGCGCTAGGTTCGAGGTAATTTGCATTAAATCCTGTCCGTTCGGATGGGCGGTTATGATTGGTTTTTTCTCTTTCCCAGGTCATTACTAGGGGAGTCCAATCGACGCCTCTTGCATCGGATTCGGGGAGACCTACTTTGAATCTTGTCCATCCGAATAGACGGTCACGATCGAGCTTTCTCCTTTTCCTTCTTCTATAAATACCTGGCCCTTGCCATTTTTTAAGTTTTTTTCCTTTTTTCACCCTTGTGCTTTCTCTTCTCTTATTACTTCTTCTCCGGCGAACCTGCTTTTCCGAGACAGAGATCTTATCCTTCGTGCCCATTTTCTACCCCGACAAAGGTACTACTTCTTTCCCCCATCTCTTATTACCCCCGCCTTTACTCTTCGAATTGATAATGTCTGCCCGTTCTCCCGATCCTTTCGGCCAAAAAATGCCCTCCGGGGACGAGGGTGAAAACCCCGCTTTTTCTATCTCTTCCTCGTCGGAGGAGGGACCCTACTTCTCCCCCTCGGGCAAACTCTTAGAACGGCCCAAGAAGAGGGGCAGAAAAGAGATTTCGTCTTCTGCGAGGAGTGGTTCTCCTTCCTTATCTGAAGGACGAGATCTGGATGACCAATGGGGACCTAGTACTTTAAGCGAGACAGATCTAACTAACTTAGTTCGCGACATAGGCCTCCCTACCGATGTCGAATTGATTCTACCTTCGCGAGATGATCGCCCTCTAAACCCTCCTTTAGGTTTTAGTACTTGGTTTTCAGAGCAATTCTATTTCGGTCTGTCCTTTCCCATCTCGCCCTGGTTTTCCGAGATTGCCCAATTATGTAACGTGTCCCTTAACCAATTCCACCCCCACGCCATAATAATCATGACCGGATTTCGCATGCTGTGCGCCTGGTCGGGAGTGATTCCCACACCAGCTCGCTTTCGGAGTGTAATGGTATTAAAGAATTCGAGTCCTTTCCATGTCTCCATCTCGGCTCGTCCGGGTTTTAAGATTCTGATGCCTCCTAATAAAACCGATGGGTGGCAAGGTCACTATTTCTTTGCCCGAAATCCTGTTGACACGCCCTATTTGTGTCCCTGGCTCGCCACCCTGCCTGAAAAGAAAAGGGGGAAACCTTTGGCGGTTGACGAATGTTTGTTAAAAATGATATCCCACTTTCAACCGAGCCACGGCGTCCCGGATAGCCTCACCAGCTTTCCGCCGATGCTTCGCCACTTCCGTTTTCACGACAACGGCACGTATTCTCTAACTCGGGAAGATTTAGGTGGGTTTGGCTATAACATTAATTCTTACTTCGACTCATTGTCTTACCTCGGTCGGTTTGTTTTTTTGTTGCTTCGCTGGTTATGTACTTGTATGTCTTGTTTCTCACCCACGTATCTCCCCTTGCCCGTTTGCTTTGGTGCGTAGATCTAAGGATGAAGAGGATGTTCCGAGGTGACAAGCCGGCTACTCGTCCCTCCGAGCCGGAACCTGGGTTCGAGGCGTCCGAGTTTCAGCGTCCTCTAATCGCTGAATCCGAGAAAAGGTCTTCGGAGGAAGGGGCTCTAAGGTCCAGGCCGTCGAAGAAAAACGCCGCTCCTCCTCGCGCCCGTGGTGGACCTCCCTCGCGAACTGAGGATTCTGAACCTCCTAAACAATCCTCCGCAATAGTTCTCGCCTCGTCACCGCCTCCTTCTTCAACCGAAGAGGTGGTAGAGAGAGAACCCGCTCCGAAGAAACGGAGGTCTGAGTTGGCCCTTGGGGCGGCTGGGTCATCATTACCGGCCGACTTTGGACTGTACCTCTGCCGGAATGCTGAAAACGCTATCGCTGCGTGCCGATCCTTGGCATTCCCCACCGATGTCGCCCACTTCGGGCAAATGAGTAAGGGCGACCGACTTGAGTTGCTTCTTCATAACATTACACAGGTTTGTTCTACTCTGTTCCTATGAATCGGTCTTCGCCATTGCATCTTGTATTGAAGATTAACTCTATTTAACTTTTTCGTGAGTGCAGCAATTCGCCATCGCCTTTTCGGGTCCCCTGGGGTGGGATGATGTTTCGCGCGAGGCGTATGATAACCAGAGGAAGGAGGTGATGCAGCTCCGGAAGGAAGTCCGGGGCTTGAAGGAGAGCCTGGGGATGTCGGAGTCCTCGAAGGAGGGGCTGTTTGCCGAAGTGAAGAGGCTGAAAGAGAGAGAGAAAATCCTTGAGGCTGAAAAAGACTCCCTTGTATCTCACAATGCCAGCTTGGAGGAGAAAGCTAAGGGGCTGTCCAACGAGCTGTTTGCAGCCGGAGTGCAGGCTTCTACTAATTTCACCGAAGGGGTGAAAGAGGGGCAAAGGCTGTTCCCAGGGTCGCCTGAGGGTCTTCGCTTCATCGAAGAGTTTGTTCGCCGCTTCTTTCACCGATTATGGCGTTCCACCACTTTTACTCGAGAAGCTTCAGGTTTAGCTCGTTTCTTCTTTTCGTCGGCGGTTGCGGCTGTTCGGAAGAGGTTGGGCGGTGCCGGCATCGAGTTCCCGTTGGTGGAAAATGAACTAGCGGAGGACCTCCCCGACGACGTGATTCCGGGTTTTGAGGGGGATGTAAATGAGGATCCCAACTTAGAGTGGTGGAGGCCGGTTTATCAAGGCCTCGTTGAAGAGTTCTCCCGTCAAGGGGCTATTACCGACTTCGCCGGAGACATCGGGGCCCTTGGAACGGTAGTTAGTTCCGATGAGGCACAGCCAAGCCTCGTTTCGCCGCCCCCTCCGGATGCTGAGAATCGAAGTGAAGCAGGTGCAGCAGTTCCGAAGTGAAGGCCATAAAAGACTTAACCATTTTTTTTTTATGTTTTGTATTCTGAATATGTATTCCTTAAACATTACTCTCTTTATTTTCTTTTGCCATGTATCCTTAACAATTTTTCCGTTCTTCCGTATGCTTGAAATGTCTTTATTTACTTTTATATCTGTGTTGTTTTGGACTTCAGTCTTAGTCTGTAAATATCCCCACTGATCTTCAGTGGTGTTTATTCCTTAAGCTTATCCATCAGTTCAATCTTGTACCACTCCTATATTTTGACTTAGTACCCAATCTTAATATTTTGCTTACGAAAACGCGAGTTAACGCCACAATGAAACACGCGAGTTAACGCCACAGTAAAACACGCGAGTTAACGCCACAGTAAAACATGCGAGTTAACGCCACAATGAAACACGCGAGTTAACGCCACAATGAAACACGCGAGTTAACGCCACAGTAAAACACGCGAGTTAACGCCACAGTAAAACACGCGAGTTAACGCCACAATGAAACACGCGAGTTAACGCCACAATGAAACACGCGAGTTAACGCCACAGTAAAACACGCGAGTTAACGCCACAATGAAACACGCGAGTTAACGCCACAGTAAAACACGCGAGTTAACGCCACAGTGAAACACGCGAGTTAACGCCACAATGAGACACGCGAGTTAACGCCACAGTGAAACACGCGAGTTAACGCCACAGTGAAACACGCGAGTTAACGCCACAGAAGAACACGCGATTTAACGCCACAATGAAACACGCGATTTAACGCCACAATGAAACACGCGAGTTAACGCCACAATGAAACACGCGAGTTAACGCCACAGTTATAACTTAAGTAAATAACACAAGTACTTTTTTAACGTGGAAACCCTCCAAATAAGGAGAGAAAAAACCACGGGGCCTAGCCCAGATCGGAAAATGGATGTTTATTAATGGTTGTTTTGCCTGTACAAGGTGTGTCTCGATTTCGCTGGCGTAATTGCCTCGATTTCCTTTATCTCTCTCTCTCTCTCTCTTTTTTTTTTTTTTTTTTTTTTTTTTTTTTTTTTTTTTTTTTTTTTTTTTTTTTTTTTAGATGTATTATGTTCCAAGCCCGAGGTAACGGCTTCCCGTCGATGTCTGCCAACTCATATCCTCCGCCGGCCAAACACCTGGTGACTGTGTATGGTCCTTCCCAATTAGCCTCCAACTTTCCCGTGTGTTTTAGCGCGTCCGCTCGTCGCAAGACGAGGTCTCCGATCTGGAATGAGCGGGACCGCACCCCCTGATCATACCGAGCTTTAATCAAGTTTTTACTTCTTTCCATGTGCAAATACGCCGTTTCCCGAAGATCGAAAACTTCGTCCAGCTGTGATCTTAAAGCATCATCGTTTGTTACTTCGTCAAATGCGGCGATGCGGAGCGTGTCCATTGCCACTTCGACCGGTATAACCGCTTCAGTTCCGTAGGTTAACCGGAACGGTGTTTCGCCAGTAGCTGCTTTGGATGTGGTCCGGTAAGACCATAGGACGGAGGGCAACTCGTCTACCCAACTTCCACCCAGCTCGTCTAACCTTTTTTTCAACCCATTGACAATGGTCCGGTTTACGGACTCCACTTGTCCATTGGCCTGGGGGTGCGCTACTGCTACGAATTTTTGTGCAATCTTCATCTCTTCGCACCACGCTCGAATTTTCTTGCCGTTGAACTGAGTGCCGTTGTCCGATACAAGGCTTCTAGGTAGGCCAAACCGACAGCAGATATTTTTCCAAATGAAGTGCATGACCTCGTCTTCTGAGATTTTCGATAAGGCTTCAGCTTCAACCCACTTGGTAAAGTAGTCTACCGCGACAATGATGAACTTTTTTCGACCCGTGGTTTGAGGGAATGGCCCCACCAGGTCGATTCCCCATTGGGCGAAAGGGCATGGAGCACTCATGATGGTCATTTCCTCCCCCGGCTTGTGGATGAGCGAGGCATATTTTTGGCATTGTATGCAGTGTTGAACATATCGGTACGTGTCCTTCTTCATGCCAGGCCAGTAATATCCGGCCCGGTGTAGTTTCTGCATGAGGGCCCGAGCTCCTCCATGCTCGCCACAACCACCTCGATGCACTTCATCCAGAACATGCTTTACCTCCTGCTTTCCCAAACACCTTGCATCTACTGTGGTGAAGTTTCTTTTATATAATGTCCCATGCCGTACGTAAAAGTGCCTTGCCTTATATGCCAAACGGTGCTGTTCTCTCTTGGTGCCAGCTCGCTCTCCTCTGAAGTATTTGAACAAGGGTGTTCTCCAATCTGGCTCTTCGTCTATTGTCATTATCCCCGGTGTTGGGGTGGGGGCAATAAGGATAGTGATCTTTCTTTCAATGCAGTCAACGACTGACGACCCAACTTTAGCGAGGAAGTCAGCTCGCTGGTTGTCGTTTCTCGGAATTTGATGCATGGTACAGACTTCAAAAGTTTCTTGCACAGCTCGGGCTTTATTTACATAACTCTTCATTCTATCGTTTTTTATTTCGTAGTCCCCTTCGAGTTGATGTATTACCAATTGAGAGTCGGAGTATATTCGCACCACGCGCGCTCCGAGCTCTTGGGCGATCTCCATACCTCGGATAAAGGCTTCATACTCTGCTTCATTATTGGAAACTCGAGGTAACCTAACGGCAAACTCGACTTCCGTTCCAGTGGGATCAATAACTATTATCCCTGCCCCCGCTCCCGAGGTTGTAGATGAGCCATCCACGTAAATTTTCCACTCTTTTTCGATGGGTATCCTGGTGGTTTCTCGGATGAAATCCGCTAACGCTTGTCCTTTGACCGAGGTACGGGGTTGATATTGGATCTCGTATTGTCCCAGCTCGATGGCCCATTTAACAATTCGCCCTGACGCGGTAGGTTGACCTAGGGTCTGCCGAAGGGGTAAGCTTGTGCGAATCACCATGGTATGCGACAGGAAATAAGGCCGGAGTCGTCGCGTAGTGAGGACCAGTGCGTACGCTATTTTCTCGACTTCAGAATATCGGCTTTCCGACGTAGTAAGGATCTTACTAGTATAGTAGATCGGCCTTTGTTGATTATTAACTTCCTTAAACAACACCGAACTGATGGACTCATCGCCCACTGACAAGTATACAAACAGGGTTTCGCCCTTTTCAGGGGTGCTAAGAATCGGCAAGCAAGTGAGAGATCGTTTTAATGCTTCGAATGCGAGCTGGCATTCGGTGGTCCATTCGAACTGAGCTGTTTTCCTTAGTACTTTGAAGAAAGGCAGGCTCTTATCAGCCATTCGCGATATAAACCGAGCTAGGGCTACAACTTTTCCTGCCAAGGATTGGACTTCCTTGATGGAGCGAGGAGGTGTCATCTGAAGTACGGCCTCCACTTTATCTTGGTTTACCTTGATGCCTTCCCGATTAACAATGTATCCCAGGAACTTTCCAGCTTGTACTGCGAATGCACACTTAGCAGGGTTCAACTTCATTCCATATAAACGAAGAGTTGCAAAGGTCTCAGCTAGGTCTGCGAGATGCGTAGAGCGCCTCTTGCTTTTAACTAACATGTCATCAACATAAACTTCAATGTTGCGTCCGAGTTGGGCCCGAAACATCCTATCCATTAATCGCTGATACGTGGCTCCCGCATTTTTCAGGCCGAAAGGCATCACCACGTAACAGTAAGTCCCCGTGGCGGTGACAAAACTTACTGCCGGCTGGTCCTTTTCGTCTAGCGGAATTTGGTGGTATCCTTGCGAGGCATCCATCATACTAAGTAGCTCGCATCCAGCAGTGGCATCTACAAGCTGATCTATGCGAGGTAAAGGATAATCGTCTTTCGGGCAAGCCTTATTTAAGTCCCTGAAATCGATACACATTCGCCATTGGCCATTAGCTTTCTGTACTAACACCGCATTGGACAGCCATGTAGGGAACTGAATTTCCCGGATGTGTCCGATTTCCAGAAGTCGTTGAACTTCCTTCTGTATGATTTCGTCTTTTTCGGTACCGAAGTGTCGCCGTTTTTGCTTGACGGGCCTGCACTCGGGTCGTAAATTAAGCCTGTGTACAGCAGTTCGCGGTGATATACCGGTCAAATCACTTGGTTGCCAAGCAAAAATATCTTCATTAGACCGCAATAACGCTATCAACTCATCCCGAAGAGGTGGTTCTAAATCCTTACTTATCCGGGTTTGTTTCATCATCCCAGGGACGAGGTCGATTGTCATCAATTCGTCCATGGGTTGTACATGATTAACTTTATCCTCTGGATCAACTCGGGGGCGCTTCTCGTCTCCCAAGTCTTCTTTGGTGAGGGTATCGCGTCGGCCCTTCTCTGCTATCTTAACCATTTCGACATAACACGATCTCGATTGGGCTTGGTCGCCTCTGACCTCTCCTACCATCCCATCAACCGGGAACTTAAGCTTTTGATGAATGGTCGAAGGGACCGCCCGAAAGGTATGTAACATTGGTCGTCCTATCACGATGTTATACGAGGTCGGCGACCCCTCAACGATGACAAAATTGACAGTTTGAGTGCGTGTTCGAGGTGGAGTTCCTATAGTGACAGGGATTTTAACTTGTCCAATCGGCGTCAGGGACCCTCCTGTGAACCCAAATATCGCTGTGGTGACGGGAAAAACCGGGAGGTCAAGCTCCATTTGTAGGAAACACTCGTAAGATATGACGTCCACCGAACTTCCGGGGTCAACGAAGGCGCGAGCGACATCGTATCCTCCCACGTTAATCGTGATGAGGAGAGGGTCACAGTGAAAATCATCTAGGTCTGTTTCATCTTCAGGACTGAACGAGATAGTGGGATAGTGACGATACTTCGGTGTAGAAATTTGGCAAACTTCATGATTATTTTTTAGGCTACCGAGATGACGTCTCCTAGCCCGGTGAGTATCTCCTCCTGTAGGACCTCCTGAAATCATCTGAATGTACCCTCTTTTCGGCGCTGGCGGTGGGGGCGGTGCTCGTGGCGGGTTCCCGAACTGAGCTTCACGTTTTTGCCCCCGAGGTGAATCTATCTTCACAAAATCCCCAATCTTGTTATCCCTGATGAGACGTTCCACTTCGTCTTTCAGATATGCGCAGTCGTCGGTCGTATGTCCGTATTCGTTATGAAAACGGCAGAAAGTACCCAATGTCGGATCTCGACGGGGGGCTCCGCGAGCAGTTCGAGGCCACCGCAGATCGGCTCTCTTCTCGATCGCGTATAGCACCTGGGATAGAGGAGCTGTAAGGGGCTGGTATGATTGGAACCGAGATCCCTTAGCATCCGGGACAATACTCCGACTAGGAATATTGGCATCCCTGCGAGGTAACATGGGCTCCTTGCCTCTCTTTACTTCGCTGACCCGTACGTTTGTGGCTTGGTGAGATTCCTCCACTTTCTGTTGGCGGGCTTCTTCTAAGTTAATGAACCTAGATGCCCTTTCTAATAAGTTATCGAAATCAGGTGATGGCTCCAGTGCTAGAGCTCGGAAAAATTCATCATCTCTCAACCCTTGTGAAAGGGCCGCCATGAGCACCTCGTCACTGGTAGTCGGGACTTCCAGGGTGGCCGAGGTAAACCGTTTGATGTAACTCCTGAGGCTTTCCTTCTCCTTCTGGCGGATGCTGAACAACGATAGGGAGGTTTTCTTGCACTTTTTCGAGCTGGCGAACTGGTTCATGAAGGCCTTAGCGAATTGTTCGAAAGATTGCATGCTCCCGGAAGGCAACAAACCGAACCAGGCCTGCGCAGGCCCGGCTAGGGTGGTGGCGAAGGCACGACATCTCACCCCTTCCGTGAGCTGATGAAGTGATGCCGTATTGTTGAAACGGCTTAGGTGTTCGGCAGGATCCGATGTGCCATTGTACTCGAACGAAATGGGTCGGTAGCTAGCGGGTATGGGGTCGTCATCGAGGTGTTTTGCGAAAGGGCTAGATCCCACGAGATCTCGCATTGACCTGTTCCGTAAGGCCTTTAATTCGTTCATATCACGTCTCAGGCTGTCTACTTCGGTCCTGACTCCATGACTGTCGCCTCCTCGATTTTCCGAATAACTGTCGCCTTCATCATCAGTTCGCCCCTCGTTCGGAGAGCGTCTTAGGTCCCTTTTGGGTCGGTTATCCTGAGGTAAGGATTGGGCGTAATTGCGGATGGCCGTGGTGATCATGACTTCTACTTCATCTCGGGTGTACGTGCGCTCATCAGGGGGAGTAGCCGGTGCTGTAGCCGGTCTTTTCGAAGCAGCTCCAGCGCTCTGAAATTCAAAAGAAGGGCTTCCTGAAAAGAGAGGGACTCGTCTCTCTTTCTCGGGCGTGAGCAGGCTGCACCCGGACTTCTCCCTCGAGGCAGGCGGCGGATCAACGCCAGGTGTATCGTGAGCTGCTGCCTCCAGCTCCTTCTGTAGGTTTCGGGTAACCGTGTCTTCTCCTTCCATTTTTTCTCCACGTTCTTAACTCAGATCTGGACTTCCGGGGGTAGATCTGATTTTTCCCGGAAGCTGTTTTCCCAAAACTTCAAGCGTTTCCCACAGACGGCGCCACTTGATTTGGTCCGTAGGTCTTCGTCTTCCTCAAGCTAGCTTCGTCCGTACTCCGGTGGACTGACCTGCAACGCCGGGGGGGGTTCCCGGCGGAAAAGCTCCGACGATCAAGTCAGTGATCGAAATAAAGGGAGAGATGTGTATATAATGTAATAGTAAAAGGAGTGCATATTCTTGTGTGTGTGTGTTGATTCTCTTATTTATAGATGAGGAAAGCTTGGTCTCCAAGGCTTTCCTTTTTTAGGGTTTCTCTTTTCCCCCAAGTCATATATCTTGGGCCTGTATTACCCTGGGCTCGCCCTACCCCGTTTTGGTATTGGGCTGGCGAGTTAAGGTACTCCCACGTGGTTCCGAGGTTCGCGCCATACGGCGACCTCGCTCATAATACCGAGCTAAGTCGTCATGAGTTCTTCGTTGTGGGCCTATCATGTTGGGCTTGCCTTAATGGGCTTATGTTTATTTGTTAATTGTCAAACAAGCCCGTATCATAATGGAAAATGAGGATAGGAAAATATCAAAGTGAAAAGAATGGAAAGATTCTTTGCTAACAATGCAATATTTATGCAACTTTGGGCAACAAATCAAATATCCCGATTCTTCTGACTTCCCACGTCAATAACAATTTCTTATATTAGAGTATATGCTCTTTATTTTTCTTTTGCCACCTTTCAATTTTTTTATAATATATATAGACATTGACAAGACAAGTTAGTCCACTTCAATTTTATTTATATTCATTTTTACGAAAAATGATAAATGTAGATGGCAAAAATACTGAATGCAGTTCGACGAATATTAAATATGAGGATAGTATAATACTTTTGATTTTCTAGGGGGTTATATCAAAGTATAATTCCTGCTTGGGTTTTTCGCTCGATTAGTAGCGCTCGTAGGGAGTATCTCAAATGAGCCCTTGTATATTCGGTTGGGGGTCGATGTCAGTACTCAACAGTCCGAAATCGCGAAACTATTTTTGTGATCTTATTTTTATTAGTTTCATTCGTAAAAATAAAATACGCGAGACTTAGAGAACAAACGATATGAATTGTTATTTAAGGGGAATAAGCATAAGATTTGTGGTGGAAATTGGAACCGAATTTCTGATTATTTTTTTTTTTTAATTTATTTTGTTATTCGTTGATCTTTGACAAAGTGGGGTGAGGGCCTTATGAGATAGTAGTACTACAGATGAAAAAGGGAGAAATCTAAATGGGCCTTGTGATTACGAGTTTTGGGCCATAATTACTATCTAATTAATCATTTCATAAACTAAAGGATAAATTACAACAACCTCCCTTAGGTGAAATCAATTTAGAAAACAACCCCTAATGTTTGAGAAATCACATTCAGCTCCCTGTACTTATAATTTGTTTACATCCACCCCTACAAAAGGTTGTTAATGTAATAAATCTTCAAATTACAGGGGTGGATGTAACTATGAAAAACTAGGGGTTCTTTTCGTAAATAGAGCTTACCTCAGGGGCCGATTGTAATTTACCCTTAATGAAAACTGGACCCATTTTCCGGGTCATTTGCTAAACCGCCAACCCGAAGTTTTGACCGTTTCAAACATTACAAAGAACTCAACTGACAACACTTCTCCAATTCCCACCACTCTCCCTCTCCACTTCTCCTCAAATTATAACTGCCACATTTATATTTATATATATATATATATATATATATATATATATATATATATATATATATATATATAGAAACTCTCTTCCATTTCCATTTAAAGACAAAAGCAGAAAGATCAATATCGACCCATTTCAATATACAGCAATCATATAGCTTCATTTCTCCAATGCCTTCTGCCTTCAAGAATTTGCAGTTCACCGCCCTCTTTGCCGCCGCTTTGGCGGCAGTTCTGGTGGCGGGTTTCCAGTATGAAGTTGGAGAAAAGACAGGGTGGCAAAAACCCACCGGAAAGGAGCCTGAAACCTACAATCAATGGGCCTCCAAAAACAGGTTCCATATTGGAGATACAGTTTGTAAGTTGCAACAAACTCGAATTTTTTATACATGAAAAATTATTTCGTATTTCAAGACTGGACTTTTAATTCTACGAGTACTCGTCTTTTTCGGTTTTTTTTTTTTTTTTTTGGTTACACAGATTTCAAGTACCAGAAGGATTCGGTTCTGGTTGTGAGCTCTGCAGATTACTTAAACTGCAACACTTCGAATCCAATCGCCAAATACGAAGACGGAAAAACGGTTTTCACATTCGACAGGCCTGGTTTTTTCTACTTCATTAGTGGCCAATCTGATCACTGCCAATCGGGGCAGAGGCTTATTGTTCGAGTCATGCATCCTTCGGAAGTGGAGGCGCCGGAAGTTGCACCATCTCCGGCAGCTGCTGGCGGCAGGGATTTTGGGCCGCCGCCAGTTAGCTCCACCTCAAAGCTCGCTGCAGTTTCTTTCTTTCTGGCTGGCGCTCCGGTCGGGCTTTTCTTAATTCCCTACTTGTTCGTTTAGGAACTAGTCAACTATGATCATTTTTTTAGGTTTTTATTTGATGTTTTTTTGTTGGATGATTTGATTATCGACTCTTCATATTGTTGTTATTTGATGTTTTTTATTTTATTTTATCAATTTCATTACTTTTATGAAAAACGAAAAGAAAAGAGAGCAAACCGAAACTGCATTCGTAAAAAGCATGTGTAAAATGATAATTATTCATCTTAGGACAAAGTCTACTTACTTGTAAAAAGTCAACTAGATCGTAAAAGACGAGCGGCAAAGGCTCCATCAAGTGAGTGTTTTACGGGATTAGAGCTATAGAATCCACCTACAGTAACAAAGCTCGAAGATACGTATTTGTCTACAGAATCTACACGGTATTCCTGCAAATAGAAGACACGGTTTTTTAAATATATTTATAATATTTTGTGCAAGTGTGAAGTATTTTATTTTTAATGGTAGTTTACTTGATGTCTTAGAAGAAAAGCAGCTATTCTTTCTTCATTTTCTTGAGGATCAATTGAGCACGTGCTATATACCAGAACTCCACCTGGCTTTACCAATCTGTAGATTAAAAAATAAAACAAATATTAATTCTTCGATTTTTCGATATTTCATTGATTATCGAAAATAGTCACACTTAGAACAAATTTTATTCGTTTTGAAAAAAAAATGCAGAACTCACGTTGAAGCTGAATCGAGAAGGGCATCTTGCAAATTCGTAAGTTGTTCCATGTCTTCCGATCTTCTATTCCAACGTAAATATGCTCTCTGTATCAAGAAAATCAAAATACGAAACATATTTTAAATATATTTATATATATATATATATATATATATATATATATATATATATATATATATATATATATATATATACCTTAGACAGAACACCCAATCCGGAACAAGGAGCATCCAGCAAAACTTTATCAGCCTTCATGTCATCATCGTTCACCTGACGAAATTATTTAAAAAAAATAAATGACAACGGAATTTAATTTAATTTAATTATATTTTCTTGAAAAATAAATCGTACTAAAGAAGTGAGAAATTTCCTTACCAATGCACACAGATCAGCGTTAAGAGTAGTGACAATGTGATCGACTTCGTGTTTCTTGGCTGTCTCTTCGAGGATTCTCAGTCGACCTTTGTTTATGTCAATTGCACATATGCTACCTGATAACAATAATAATTTTTTTTAATTATTTATTTTTTTTATTTTTGTAATATTGTAAAAGCTGATTAAAAAGGAAAAAAAGACAGTACCTTGACCATTAAGACATGAAGCCATAAAAAGAGTCTTTCCACCTGGTGCAGCACAACAGTCGATAATGCTTTCCCCAGGCTTTGGATCCACTATCTTAAACGAATGAGTTGCACAAAAAGTTCTCGTTTCAGCTTCCATAATAATGAATACCATGTACAATAGCATGTGAGAAAAGGTTGCGATAGTTCAACCACTAAGATTAAGAAAAATATTAAGTTGTAATATTTCATTCGTAGTGCAAAGAAATGTTTTTTACCTGCATCCCCGTTCTTATTCGAACAAAATCATCCAAGTGCTCAGAGAGTTCGTACGGAACCTGTCCCAATGATAATGACACAATGTAATAATTTTAGGAATTTACGAGTGAATTATGTGTGTGTGTGTGTGTGAGAGAGAGAGAGAGAGAGAGAGAGAGAGAGAGAGAGAGAGAGAGAGAGAGAGAGAGAGAGAGAGAGAGAGAGAGAGAGAGAGAGAGAGAGAGAGAGATATGAAAAGCGTCTGGTGACAACCTTTAACGTTTCGAGTTCTGTAACTAGATCTGCCCGTGTGAATCCTTTACCTATGTTAGCTCTGAAAATGTTATTACAAGATGGTGAGAAACAACGGAAAACTGCTTTTGAAAATAACAAAGATATATGGTTCAAAAGAAAGAGAAGAAAAACCTGATGCTGAAACAAGGATCGGTGTTATTCCATGTCATTAACTTGATAGCTTCTTCATAACCAATGTAACTAATCCACCGTCTCACCATCCACTGCAAAACCCAAGTATAAATCGCAAAAATACGTACAAGTCAGGTTGCAAGACATGGGAACAAAAATATTAAAAAAAAAATCGAACTTTTAAAAAGCGAAAAAGGTGGATATAAACTTACAACAGGATGAGAATGGATAATGGCTAGAGCACGTGCTTGCTGCCTGTTATCACCCCCGACTTTTGGTACAGGGAGCGAATTGCTTTCCTGTAGAAATTCAGCCAAAAAAAAAAGCGGGAAATCAGTAAATTTTGTATAGCTAAAACTTAAAAGTTAACCGCAACGCATAGTCGAAACAGCAAATAATTGACCTTAAGCACCACTAGCTTCCTCAAAAGCGCATTAACCATATTACCAGCACCAAGTCTTAGCGCAGCTTTTGCAAGCTTTACGTTCTGTCGTAATAACCATACAAAAGAAAACGTAAATAAACAAAAAAGAAACGAACTTTAGTCCAAGACTTTTACTGCATCCACTGACCTCATCAACAACTGCATATGCAGGCATTTCAAGCTTGACAATCTCGTAAAAACCAATTCGAAGAATCTGTCATCAATATAATAAGTAAAGCTTAAACGACCGCGAAAATACTACAATAGTCTTTGTCGAGGGTCAATTATACTATTATTAAATCCCAAACAAACAAACTAACAGTTTGTCTACCTACCTGCAATAGAAGAGGCTCCATATTTCTGAACGTGCTCTCGTCGTGACAAAGTGAGAGGATCAAATGATCAAGATATCTTCTCCAACGAGTGGTACCCCCCACAATTTCTGTTACCTACGAGACAATTTTTAATAAAGAAAACAATTTTTTTTAGGGTATAAAGAAAACATTTTTAAAATATCAATATGTTTTTTTTTCTTTCTGATTATAAGTGTGAGAGGAAAAACCAGTCGAAGATCCCTATCATCCAATTTACGCGTACGGAAACCGATAGTTCTCTCGACATATCCCATCTCATTATCACCCGAACCCTTGCCTTGCTCGTTCAACAGGTCGGCAAATGCGCCACCGAGCTCAATTCGCATCAATCTCACAGCAGAGACTGTTCGTATTACGAATCAAAAACATTGTTGCGTTAAACAAACTAATCTAGGATTACAATGCCTAAAAGCCGTCTAATTTGAAAAACAATAACGAAGTACCGTACCGGCTCTATGAGGCGATATTTCCGAATTCAGCTTCGGTCTATTGCTTGCGGCGTTAAGATGCCCTGTGGCACGGCATTATCAGCACGAGGGGACAAAGAGATTAGATAAAACTGCGACTCAGCATATTCGAAAACTCGTTGTGATTCCCGAAAAATTCAGACAAGACGAAAGACAGTATACGGTATACCTGTTCTAGTTACGGTAGTGGATGTCTGTACATGACCTGCAATACAAATGCTATATCACAATTCATCATCCAATAAAAATACAATCTTTATCCCATAAAGAGTCAAACATTCTTCACCTCGAATCAAGCTAACAGGTCAATATAATTAACAGTTCCCATATGTTTACATTATTATTTCATATAATATAACTAAAAATAGGGTAAATTACGGTCACCCCCTAGGTAAGGTCAAATTACGAAAAAACCCCTTATGGTGTCAAATTTAACATAATCTTCTAGATTCCGTGGAATGTTCACTAGTTTGTACTCGTTTTGTGCAAAAATGCAGTTTCTGATGCACCACAATCTGATATTTATAAGCTAAGAGACACATTTGACGATCATCTTTTTTCAAAATGTGGAGCTGGAATGGGATAAAACGAGTACAAATTGAAGAATATTCCATACAATCTATAAGATTCCACTAAATTTGACACCACGCATAAGTAGATTCAAAGTTGAGGAGTCGTTATAATTACCCAAACATAAATGATTTTTTCGTAGTTTGACCTTACCTCCGGGGTGGCCGTAATTTACCCTTAAGAATACAATAAAACAATATATATAAAAAAAAGAAAAAAAAAAAACTTCAACTCAATAATTCAATGAAATTGTGATTCATCTCAGGTTTCAAACAAACCCTAAAAGTTAGTATGTATACCTGTTTTAGTTCTAGTAGTTGAAGTTTTGGCGGGGTTGTTTCTTGAGTTTCTTTCATTGTTGTGCTCCACCGCCGCTCTTGCTGAGAGTGGGCAATGTGTTGAAAGCGAAATTGTGTTTCTGTAATGCGAAATTGAGAGCGGAGAGCACGCGCGGGAAAGATGTGCTCCGGCCTCCATTTTTCCTTTTTAACCAGAAAAAACAGTAGGCACTGTGTGTGTAACTGGGTAGAGAGAGAAACAAGAGAAAATCTGAAAGGCAATAAAGATATAATACTAATTATAATAATTATTATTTTATTAGGGTAAATTTCACCTACACCCCTGAGTTATGCTAAAATTAATTTAAGGTCCCTAAGGTATTGGTAATTACAGTTTCACCCCTGTAACAATTACCCGAGTCAAGATTTCATGTCCTGGGACCGATATGCACTATGTCAGTTCGATTTTTCACTGTCTATGCATTTGATTTCGATGTTACGAACACAAAAGCCATAAAAACTTGGATATGAATATTTTTGGTGAAACTAAAGTCGTGTTGCTACTACTATTGAAGTTGACGGCCTTAACCTTACCAACGATGTTGTTGCGGATTCAAGATGTCCGTTTCTTGAAACGAAAGAAGTAAAAAAAATAAAAAATCAAGAATGTGACGAGAAAGAGCAGAACTAGTAAATTGTAGTAGGAAGTGGAAGCTAGAGCAATATAAGCCACTATAAGGATTTTTAGCGAAACATTTTTCGGAGTCGCTATCGATAAGTACTTATCGGATCGGATTATAAGCCACTATTTAAATTAGGGGTGGAAATTGGAACGGAATTTCCGAATTCCGCCAATTCCGATCCGAAAATATCCGAATTTGGAACACTTTTTTTCTTTCCAATTTCCGATATTCCGATATCCGATTTTTCCGATTATTTTTGGAACGGAATTGGAATTACATATAAAATTATTGGAAATTCCGATTTCCGATCCGATTGTATTTCCGAAATATATATATATATATATATATATATATATATATATATATATATATATATATGTATTATTTTTGAATTTTTTTCTATTCATGTTTTGCAAGAACTATGTTTACTTTTTCTTTTTTTGAAAACTTACAAGAATTATGGTTGCTTTGATAAACCGATTATGTTGTTTTTACAAGTGTTTACATTTCTTCTTATTGACATTTGCTTTGGATTCTTGTCTTTTGCCGGAAAATTACAAAAATATTAAAAAAAATACTAAAAATTACCATTATTTCCGATTTTGGAACAAAAAAATAAGAATTAATGCAATTTCCGAAAATTCCGAAATTCCGCCGATTCCGAGGTATTCCGAAATTGGAATAGATTTTGAAATTCCGATTTTTTTGGAACGGAAATTGGAACCTATTTTTAAGTTCCGAAAAAAATTGGAAAATTTTCGATCCATTCCGTCCGATTTCCACCCCTAATTTAAATGAAGCAACTTTGTATTATTTTTTTTTTTTTTGGTATTATCATTACACAACTTGTGCATTAAGAAAAGCATAATCTGCTTTTTTCATGCTGAGAATGAATACTGCTGAAGTAACTAGGATTTGTATTTGGAGAAAGTCTCTTTATAAACTCTTGACTTTAGTGTATTTTCCAAAGACTTTAATCAAAATAAAATAAGTAAATAATAATAAAAATGTTGTCCTTTGGCAATATAATTTCTTCAAGGAAAAAGAAAAATAAAAAAAATATAATATAAAATGCTTACCTATTTATGAATCAATATAAATCCATAAAGCAATGTCTAAAGTTGCATGTTTAAATTCTATTTTATTTTTTGTTATATTTTTCAAGGTAACAAGTATAGCTAATCTAGAAACTAAATCCAAAAATAATTTACTTTTGCACAAATTTTTGTTTAGGCAATTTGTTGATTGTTAATGATCATTAAGTGTGATGATTAAATTCATAACTATTTTTTTTTATTATATTAATAAATATATCTACCATATTAATATACTCAAGTGCTAACCCATGAAAGACGAAAAAAAAGTTGAAAATAAATTATTAATTGATATTAATAGTACTAGGCTACTAGCATTGTTATATAATAATAATAATAATAATAATAATAATAATAATAATAATATATTGTGGCATAAATATGGGTTTGACAATTTTGTTTATTTATAATTGAAAAATCTCTCCTTAATAATAATAATAATATTTTTATTTATTTATAATTGAAATATCTCTCCTTAATTTTTATTTCCCTTTCATACCACACCTCTTAGTTTTTGCTCCCCCTTGTGCCTTGTTATAGTTCTCTATATAAAGGGCAGAACTCCATCCCCACCGTAATTCTTTTCCCCTTCCTCTTCTTCTTCTTCTTCACGAAAACCCTAGAAAATTACGATCTTCTGTGTGCTGTAGACACGCACAAATATACGCTGTTCTTGTTCAAGTTTTCAATTTCATAGAATTCTCACCGTCCGATTCTACCCTCGCGCAATTATTCACTCGAGTTTCTCTCAAACCCTGTTTTTCTCGATTTTGTTGATCGATTATTGGATTTATTGAATTGGATTTATTAGTCGTCTGTGGATTACTACTTGAATCGGGCAATGATCACATTTGGTTGATCTTCAAGAGATGAAGATGAAGCGAAGGAGGGCACTTGAAGTGGTCAGTAGAATTTAATTTTGTGTTCGATCATTATTATTATTATTAATTTGTTTTTTCTGAAACTGGATACTTCTTAGGGTTAGTTTTATTATCTGTTCTTTATTTTGGTAGCGTAGGCTTGGTTTGTTTTTTAGGGTGATGTTTGTGCGTGAATGAAGTTTGTTGAATTGGATAATTTGGATTACTGGAGCCCCTACCTTGTTGTGAATTTGATTGTTTTCTTTTGTTCGAATTTATTTGAGGCAACTTTATCTTTTGTTTACCTCGGCGGTAAAACTCATCTTTGTTTGCTGAATTATTTATGCGTAGTTTTGTAGTATCAGTGGTGCTCTTTCCCCATAAATCTCCAGATGTTTAGTTATAATTTTTTTCTTTCTGGTTTCATTGGGTCAACTGCTTAAATTTTGATGTTCATAGTTTGTTATGCCCATAAAATTATTAGGGGATTTTATGTTTAGATATTATCTTCTCTTGGTAAGAGGACCAAAGATTTGTTTGTAACCATGACTTTTTTAATTCAATGGATTAAGCTAGTATGTTTCGTAAGTTGTACCACAATTTTTTTCATATGTGTGTTATCGACTTATTGGTATAGTTTTGGTTACAAGAATAGTCTCAGTCACAAAATTGGTTTCACCTAATCAGAAGGGCCAGAACATCTTGCCTTCTTCTTTGATTTCTCAAAATATATTTTTTTATATATCAGTTGTTTGACGGAAAATTTTAGGCATTCTGTGTGTTTCATGTCTTCATCTAATCTTGTTGACAAATGGTCTTTTAACTACACTAACAAGCTTGGCTGTGGGTGTTAATACGGTTTTCAATTATTGTGGTACAATCTGTGCGTTAGAGTTCACACTATCCACTGTAATTGATCCAGTTTGTTACGACAACAACTGCTCAAGAAGTAGAGCAAGTACTGTCAAGTGTCAAGCTGAATATTTTTTCTGATTTCCTGTTTTGGGATCGTAAAATTTTTCTGAATAAATATTATTAATTTCCTAATAAGTTCACAGTGCATTGCTCTTGATTCCTACAATGCTCTCATTTTGTTTTTATCATTTTTTTGTGTTATTTTACTTGCATTTTGTTATGAATACCAAGATATTTGGATTTAACGGATCTTTATTCTTCCTTTGTAGCCTTTGAAGATTAAAACCTTCATCAACAATGTTACTGCTACACCACTAGAGAATATAGAAGAACCACTGAAAAGTTTTTCTTGGGAGTTCGATAAGGTGCATTGATGAATTTCTGCCAGTGATATCATTTTATTCCACTTCATTTGTTGATACTGATTTGTGTAAATGCAGGGAGATTTCCATCATTGGGTTGACTTGTTCAACCATTTTGATACCTTCTTCGAGAAATACATTAAACCAAGGAAAGATTTGCAGCTTGAGGATAACTTTTTGGAATCAGATATACCGTTCCCTAGGGATGCTATTCTGCAGATTCTCCGTGTCATAAGAGTGATATTGGAGAATTGCACAAATAAGCATTTCTACAGCTCTTATGAGGTAAAATCCATTATATGAGTTGTTCTAAAGCATATTTAGTTTAATATATGGAATTTTTACTTTTCTCTCAGAACATTTTGATACTTGATCATGTTCTGGGGGGGGGGGGGGGGGTGGGGAGAGAGGAATTTTTTTCCTAGTCCAAACTTGGGTTATAAGCTCGTGTTTTCTCTTGAATCCTAACATTATGAGATTAATGAGTTAGCAAATGTACAAGTATATATTCTTACAAGTTACTAGACTGGTAATATATTTTGTGATATGTGTTTGCAATGTTTGATGGGCGTGTCTAGGCAGAGAAAGGGTTCACATTTTGTGAGTTATGGAAATGGTCGAAAATCATTTGTTATGAAGAGTGTGTGTGTGTGTGTGAGAGAGAGAGAGAGAAGAGAGAGGGATGGAGGTAGGAAGGGGCCTGGAATAATATTTTTTGCTCACTGACAATTTTCCTGAAGAATGGACTACAGAATTGTATATGAGATTTCCTTCTATTATCTTCCCTTTCTTATATAAGTTCCTTGATCTTTTACTTCAATAGATAGTCCTTTTTTATTCGATTTAGTACTGCTGTCTTATTTATCCAACTTATATTGCTGGTGCAGCACCACTTGTCATCCCTGCTTGCTTCCACTGATGCTGATGTTGTGGAGGCTTGCCTACAGACTTTGGCTGCTTTTTTGAAGAAATCCATTGGAAAATACATTATAAGAGATGTTTCTCTAAATTCAAGATTATTCTCTTTTGCCCAGGGTTGGGGTGGAAAAGAAGAAGGTCTAGGATTGATTTCATGTGCTATACAAAATGAGTCCGACCCAATTGCTCTTGAGCTGGGAAGCACTCTACATTTTGAATTTTATGCTGTGAATGAATCTTCAAACGAACCAACTATTACAGAGCAGCAAAATAGGGGTTTACAAATTATTCATATGCCTGATGTGAATGCACGAAAAGATTCTGATCTTGAACTTCTCAATCAGTTAGTTCTGGAATATAAAGTTCCCCATGATATGAGGTTCTCCCTTTTAACAAGATTGCGTTTTGCAAGGGCCTTTAGCTCCCTAGATGCACGGCAGCAGTATACCTGCATCCGCCTGTATGCTTTTATAGTTCTTGTGCAAGCATGTGGTGATACTGATGACCTGGTTTCTTTCTTCAATGCTGAGCCAGAGTTCATCAACGAATTAGTTACTATGTTAAGTTACGAAGATGCAGTTCCTGAAAAAATCCGAATATTAAGTCTTCTCTCCTTGGTTGCTCTGTGTCAAGATAGGTCCCGTCAGCCTACTGTATTGACTGCTGTAACATCTGGCGGGCATCGTGGTATTCTATCTAGCCTCATGCAGAAAGCAATTGGCTCTGTTGTTAATAATTCATCCAAGTGGGCTGTTGTTTTTGCGGAGGCTTTATTATCTCTTGTTACAGTTTTGGTGTCATCATCATCAGGTTGCTCGGCTATGCGTGAAGCGGGATTTATCCCCACTCTTCTACCTCTATTGAAAGACACAGACCCTCAGCACTTACATTTGGTGAGTACCGCTGTACATGTTCTGGAAGCCTTTATGGATTACAGCAATCCAGCTGCTGCTCTTTTTCGAGATTTGGGTGGTCTAGATGATACCATATCACGCCTAATGGTAGAGGTGTCTCATGTTGAAAATGGTCCAAAGCATCCGAGTACTTTAGTTGACGTTGGCAGTTCAGACGTTGGTGGTTCTCAAGTAGTTATGGATACTTCTACCGAACCTGATAGTCTGCATCCTCTTTATTCTGAAGCATTGGTTTCATATCACCGCCGGTTATTGATGAAAGCCTTGCTTCGTGCTATATCACTGGGTACTTATGCTCCTGGTACAACAGCTCGTATGTATGGTACAGAAGAGAGCTTGTTGCCCCATTGTTTGTGTATAATATTTAAGAGGGCAAAAGATTTTGGTGGGGGAGTCTTTTCACTTGCAGCTACTGTGATGAGTGATCTAATCCACAAAGATCCGACATGTTTTTCTGTCCTAGAAGCAGCAGGTTTGCCTTCTGCCTTCATGGACGCTATAATGGATGGCGTTCTTTGCTCGGCGGAGGCCATTTCTTGCATACCTCAGTGTCTTGATGCCTTGTGTTTAAACAACAACGGTCTTCAGGCTGTGAAAGATCGCAATGCTTTAAGGTGCTTTGTAAAAGTGTTCACTTCTAAAATGTACATGCGGGCCCTTGCTGCTGATACCTCGGGTTCATTGTCTAGTGGCTTGGATGAACTAATGCGGCATGCTTCGTCGTTACGCGGACCTGGAGTTGACATGCTGATTGAAATACTGACCAAAATCGCTAAAATTGGATCTGGACTTGAATCAGCTTCTCTGTCTACAGATTCTCCAAGCTGTTCTATACCAGTACCCATGGAAACTGAATCTGAGAATAGGGATGTGATCTCGATGGATGATGGAGATTCATGTGATCCTGAAAGTTCTGAGCAAGCAACTGACGTAGTTCCCGATGCATCATCAGTGAACGTGGAATCATGTTTGCCTGATTTTATAAGCAATGCCGCTCGACTTCTCGAAACAATTCTGCAAAACTCCGATACTTGCCGAATTTTTGTTGAGAAGAAAGGAATCGAGTGTGTGCTGCAATTGTTCTCTTTGCCACTCTTGCCTCTTTCAGTTTCTCTTGGGCAAAGCATAGCTGTTGCATTTAAGAACTTCTCTCCGCAGCATTCTCCTTCACTTGCTCGTGCAGTATGTTCTTTCCTCAGAGAACATCTGAAGTCAACAGAGGAACTTTTGAGTTCTATTAATGGATCCCAACTTGCTCAAGTGGAATTTTCAAAGAGAGTAAAGATCTTGAGGTGCCTCTCTACTTTGGAAGGAATCCTGTCTCTTTCTAATTCTTTGTTGAAAGGGACCACTACTATCGTCTCTGAGTTGGGTTCTGCAGATGCAGATGTGTTGAAGGATCTTGGGAAAGCTTACAGGGAAATTCTGTGGCAAGTATCTTTGTGCTGTGAGTCAAAGGCAGAGGAGAAGCGAAATGTTGAAATGGAGCCTGAAAGTGCTGATGCAGGTCCATCTAATGTGGCTGGAAGGGAGAGTGATGATGATGCTAATATTCCATCTATTAGATACATGAATCCTGTCTCAATCAGAAATAGTTCTCACTCGCAGTGGGGAGTCGAACGTGATTTCATATCTGTGGTTCGTTCAACTGAAGGTTTAAGTCGGCGCAGTCGACATAGTTTGGCACGTCTTCGTGGTGGCAGGACTGGGAGGCATTTGGAAGCTTTCCAAATTGAGCCTGAAGGTGGAGCAAACAGTGCAGAAACTCCTCCCCAAGGAATGAAGAAGAGAAGTCCCGAAGTTCTGGTTACAGATAACCTAAATAAGCTTGCTTCAACCATGCGCGCTTTCTTCACAGCACTAGTAAAAGGCTTTACTTCACCAAATCGTCGGAGGGCTGAAACTGGATCCTTAACCGCAGCTTCAAAGAGTATCGGAACTGCTCTAGCGAAAGTTTTTCTCGAAGCTCTTAGTTTTCCAGGCCATTCCAGCTCTTCTGGAGTTGATATACCCCTGTCCGTCAAGTGTCGCTATCTCGGAAAGGTTGTGGATGACATGGTGGCCCTTACATTTGATAGTAGACGACGCACATGTTACACTGCAATGATCAACAAATTTTATGTCCATGGGACCTTCAAGGAGCTGCTTACAACGTTTGAAGCTACAAGTCAGTTGTTGTGGAATGTTCCCTACTCTATTTGTACATCAAGTTCTGATCATGAAAAGAGCGGCGAGGGGAGCAAAATGTCTCACAGTCCGTGGTTGCTCGATACATTGCAGAGTCATTGTCGTGAGCTTGAGTATTTTGTGAATTCAGGATTACTATTATCATCAACATCAGCATCTCAGGCTCAGCTACTTGTCCAGCCTGTTGCAGTTGGTTTGTCCATAGGGCTATTTCCTGTTCCTAGAGATCCAGAAGCCTTTGTCCGCATGCTGCAGTCTCAAGTTTTGGATGTGATACTTCCCGTCTGGAATCATCAAATGTTTCCCAACTGTAATCCTGGTTTTATTACTTCTATAATTTCACTAGTTACTCATGTATACAGTGGCGTAAGTGATGTGAAACAAAATCGCAATGGATTACCTGGAGCACCTAACCAACGCCTTATGCCACCCCCTCCTGATGAAGCTACCATTGCTACCATTGTTGAGATGGGTTTCTCAAGAGCGAGAGCTGAGGAGGCACTGAGACGAGTAGAAACAAATAGTGTCGAGATGGCAATGGAATGGTTGTTTAGTCATGCTGAAGATCCTGTACAGGAAGATGATGAGCTGGCTCGTGCATTGGCTTTATCTCTGGGAAATTCAACAGAAACACCCAAAGTTGATGGTGCTGATAAGTCTGCTGATGTACCAACAGAAGAGGGACATGCAAAACCACCTCCTATTGATGACATCCTTGCTGTGGCAATGAAACTTTTTCAGTGTAGTGATTCAATGGCTTTTCCGCTTACAGATTTGCTTGGGACTCTTTGCAGCAGGAATAAAGGGGAAGATCGTTCAAAAGTAATGTCTTATCTTGTTCAGCAGCTGAAGCTTTGCCCATTTGACTTTTCAAAAGATAGCTGTGCATTGGGTATGATATCGCATATTATAGCATTGATCCTTTCAGAAGATGGGAGTACCCGGAAAATTGCTGCGCAAAATGGGGTAGTCTTGGTCGCAATTGATGTCTTGATGAATTTTATGGCTAGAACTGAGACTGAGGCTTCAAAAGAATTCCCTGTCCCTAAATGTGTCAGTGCGTTACTTCTGATCTTGGATGATTTGGTGCAGTCCAGGCCCAAGATATCCGGTGATGCTGATGAGAGAAAATTACCCGAATCTTTTTCTGGCTTGTCGGGAAATCAATCGTCATCTGAAGCAGTTGAACAAAAATCAGTTGCGGCTGATGTAGAGAATGATGAATCATTTAAGGATGGTTCTGCTTTTGAAAAAATTCTTGGAAAACCAACAGGTTATTTGACGATAGAGGAGAGTCATAAAGTACTCGTAATTGCTTGTGACTTGATTAAAAGACATGTACCCCCAATAATTATGCAGGCAGTTCTTCAGTTATGTGCTCGATTGACAAAATCACATTCTCTGGCAGTACAATTTCTTGAAAGTGGTGGCATGGTTGCCCTTTTTGGTCTTCCAAGAAGTTGTTTCTTTCCTGGGTATGACACATTAGCATCTGCTATTGTTCGACATCTTCTTGAAGATCCTCAGACGCTGCAAACAGCTATGGAATTGGAGATACGTCAAACACTTAGCGGAAGCAGGCATGCTGGACGAACATCAGCAAAAACATTTTTGACATTAATGGCACCTCTTATATCCAGAGATCCAGGGGTCTTCATGAGGGCTGTAGCTACTGTCTGCCAAGTGGAGTCATCAGGAGGGAGGTGCATTGTCGTGCTATCGAAAGATAAGGACAAAGATAAAGAAAAGTTAAAAGCATCTGGGTCTGACGCTGGAGTATCAACTAATGAAGGTATACGAATAACTGAAAACAAGGCACATGATGGGTCTAACAAGTACTCCAAAGGCCACAAAAAGGTTTCAGCAAATCTTACTCAAGTGATTGATTTCCTTCTTGAAATTGTATCAACTTATCCTTCGTACGGAGAAGATGAATGCAGAGGCCATACAAGTGCTATGGAGGTAGATGAACCTACCATTAAAATGAAGGGTAAATCAAAGGTTGGTGAAACAGTTAAGTTAGGACCAGATAGTCTGTCAGAGAAATCAGCCACCCTGGCTAAGGTGACATTTGTTCTCAAGTTATTGAGTGATATTCTGCTTATGTATGTTCATGTTGCTGGAGTAATCTTGAGACGAGATCTGGAAATGTGTCAACAACGTGGGTCTAGTCATTTTGAAAGCCCTGGACAGGGAGGCATAGTTCATCATGTGCTACATCGTCTTCTTCCCCTCTCAATGGATAAATCTGCTGGTCCTGATGAATGGAGAGACAAGCTCTCTGAAAAAGCTTCTTGGTTTTTGGTTGTATTAGCTGGGCGCTCTAGCGAAGGAAGAAGACGGGTGGTGAATGAACTTGTGAAAGCCTTATCTCTATTTATGAATGTTGAGAGCAATTCTTCTATGAGCAGCTTACTACCTGATAAGAAAGTCCTTGCCTTTGTCGATTTAGTATACTCCATTTTATCAAAGAATTCTTCGTCCGGAAACTTACCCGGTTCTGGATGCTCACCCGACATTGCCAAAAGCATGATGGATGGAGGAATTGTGCATTGTATGTCAGGCATTCTTCAGGTAATTGATTTTATATAAAATACAATTTCCTTTTTAATTTTAATAATAATTTTTTTAATCAAAAATACACATTTAAATCATTCTTCAGGTAATTGATTTGGACCACCCTGATGCACCGAAAGTTGTGAATCTTATATTGAAGTCTCTGGAGAGCCTGACAAGGGCAGCCAGTACTAGTGAACAAGTTTTGAGAGCTGATACACTGAATAAGAAAAAAGTAAATGGTTCAAGTGAAAGGACTGATGCACAGGTTGTTGGTACTGCAGCTTCCCAAGAATTACAATCTACTGAAAACAGAAGCTTCCAGCATGGACTTAATGGTGATGGTGGTCTAGAAGCACAGCCCCTAGATATATCTCAGAATGATGTTGATCAGAATGCAAATTCAAACCTGTCTGTGGAGCAAGAGATGAGGATTGAGGAGGACCAGACTAACGATACGCCTATGGATCTTGGAGTGCATTATATGCGTGAACATATGGAAGAAAGTGATGCCTTACCTGATACAGATCAAATTGAGATGGATTTTCATGTAGAGAACAGAGTAGATGATGATATGAACGAAGAGGAGGATGACATGAGTGAGGATGGTGAGGACGATGATGATGGAGAGGATGAAGATGAAGATATAGCTGAAGATGGCACTGGTTTGATGTCCTTGGCTGATACAGATGTGGAGGACCATGACGACACAGGCTTGGGAGATGAATATAATGATGATATGGTTGATGAAGAGGATGACGATTTCCATGAAAATCGTGTCATTGAAGTAAGGTGGAGGGAAGCCCTTGATGGTTTAGATCATTTGCAGGTACTCGGGCAACCTGGGACAGGGGGAGGCCTAATTGATGTATCTGCTGAAGCTTTTGAAGGGGTAAATGTAGATGACTTCTTTGGAATCCGTAGATCTCTTGGCTTTGAGCGCCGTCGTCAGGCTAACAGAACTTCCTATGATCGGTCAGTAACAGAGGGGACTGGTCTTCAACATCCCCTCCTATTGAGGCCGTCAAATCCTGGTGATTTAGTTTCAATATGGTCATCTGCTGGGAATTCATCCCGGGATTCGGAAGGCCTTTCCGCTGGTAACCTTGATCTAGCCCATTTCTATATGTTTGATGCTCCTGTTCTTCCTCATGACAATGTACCAACTAATCTATTTGGTGATCGGCTGGGTGGTTCTGCACCAGCCCAACTAGCTGATTTTTCTGTTGGTTTAGAGTCCTTGCGTGGATCAGGTCGCAGAGGGCCTGGGGATGGCCGGTGGACTGATGATGGCCAACCCCAAGGTGGTGGTCAAGCTGCGGCAATTGCCCAGGCAGTTGAAGAGCAGTTCATTTCTCAATTAAGCAATACTGATCCTGCTGAAAGGCAGGAGGGAGATCCCCTTGTTGCCACTGATAATCAACCAGCATTAGGGGTTGACAATACTGATGTTCAAGGTCAACAAAATGATCAACTTGCTGAGCTTCAACTGTCTCAGGAAATCAACCCAGAGATTGTTGCTGAACAAGCAGGTGAAGGAGAACAAGCTATGCCAAGTGAGACTGGTTATGATAGCATGGAAACTGGGGATGAAAATGTAATTGGCAGAGAGCCTGTGGAGACATCTTCTGGTTCCGTTGCTCAGGATAGGGTGCCCTTAGATTCTTGTACTATTCCATCTGCAGGGGAGGGAAGTGACAGATCCTCTGGACAAGATAGTCAGTCCAGTTGCCATGCTCTTATTGTCTCTGGATCAGATATGCCAGACCCTGGTAATCACCATCCTTCTTCAGTTGCAGAAAGTAGTGATGTTGACATGAATGTTACTGAAGTGGAAAGAGATCAGAGTGGCCCGCGTTTACCTCTGACAGAGATCAATTTAGAGGAGCCATCACCACAGCAAAATAATTTGGCTGTCCAAGATTCAGGGCAGATAGATGAAAGTAGTTTGAATAATGATTCTTCTAATGCTAATGCTATAGATCCAACATTTTTGGAGGCACTTCCGGAAGATCTTCGTGCAGAGGTTCTTGCTTCACAGCAAGCTCGGCCTGCTCCAGCTCCTACTTATGCAGCTCCTAGAAGTGAAGACATTGATCCAGAGTTTCTGGCTGCTCTTCCTCCTGATATTCAAGCTGAAGTTCTTGCTCAACAACGAGCACAAAGGATTGCACAGCAGTCAGAAGGACAACCAGTTGACATGGATAATGCTTCTATTATTGCCACTTTTCCTGCTGATCTGCGTGAAGAGGTTTTTGTCTTAAACTCTATGGCTCTTGACTTAGCTTAATTTACTTACTCTGTTTGTGTTTGCCAGGTGCTTTTGACCTCTTCAGAGGCACTATTATCGGCCCTGCCATCGCCTTTACTTGCTGAAGCACAAATGCTTAGAGATAGAGCAATGAGCTATTATCATGCTCGCAGCTTGTTTGGAGGTAACCAGAGACTCAACAATCGGGCAAATAGATTTGGTTTTGATAGGCAGTCAGTTATGGACAGGGGTGTTGGTGTCACTATTGGGCGGAGGACTTCTTCTATTGCTGAAAACTTGAAGTTGAATGAAATTGGAGGAGAACCACTTTTGGATGCTAATGGCTTGAAAGCGTTAATCCGTCTATTACGACTAGCACAGGTACTTTATACATTATGCTCAGTGATTTGGATAAAAGCCTGTGTGCTACGTGATTGAGCTAATTCATTTTGCCTATTGATCCCTTAAATATTTTGAAGGTTTAAACATTTTAATCTTTGACACCAGAAACAACGGTTTATTCCATAGTTCCTGGGTGCATGGGGAATTGTTCTTATGCATTTTATTTGTAGAAGTCAATTTCTAAATCATTAGTAATACAATATGGGAACTGAAATACTTGGTAAAATTCAAATATCTGATTTACTAGTATACAGCATGGGACTAATAGTGTTCTACTTTTCCTTTTAGCCTCTTGGGAAAGGTCTATTGCAGAGACTTTTGTTGAATTTGTGCTCACACAACGAGACTAGAGCTATTCTTGTTCGGCTTCTGCTTGGTATGATTAAGCCTGGGACTGTGGGCAGTGGTGGAGTGACTTCAATGAATACACAGAGGCTTTACGGATGCCAGTCTGATGTTGTTTATGGCCGATCTCAATTGTGTGATGGTTAGTTTTTTTCCTGGTCTATGGTTTCTTTGATAACTGTTACTTTTAGATTTGAATCTTACAAGTTTATTTCAATCATGTGATGGTAGGTTGTTTTCCCGTCCTGATAATCGGAAAATTTAATTTTATGACTGAACTTCATTATTACATGGATGGTTGTTTTATTTAGGTGTCCCACCACTAGTTTTGCGACGAGTACTTGAGATATTGACCTATCTGGCCACAAATCATTCTGGTGTTTCCAGTCTTCTGTTCCACTTTGAGGGCTCAAATATTCCTGAATTTTCACATATAAACCATTTAGAAGGCAAGAATGAAAAAGGTAAGGATAAAATCATTGGAGGACAAAGTCATCCTAGTGTTTCTGGAAGCTCACAGGAAGGGAATATTCCTTTGATATTGCTGCTTAGACTTTTAAGTGAACCACTTTTCTTACGGAGTATTGCACATCTTGAGCAGGTATGCATTCTTATGTCTAAAATATTCATGTTAAAGAGCTGCTTTTCAAATCCTGTTTTGCTTATTTGTTGTATCTGTCATTGCTTTCTGGAAGGTCATGGGTCTGCTCCAAGTGGTTGTGTACGCTGCTGCATCCAAGGTAGATATTGAGTCTAATACTGAAGACACAACAGCTCCCACTGAAACCCCTTCTGGGAATGAAACTGCTACCGAGGTTCAGAAAGATCCCCATGTAATGGGAGTAGAATCCAGTCAGCTTGACCAAAGTACAAGTGCTTCAAGTTCCAAATCAGATGTTCAGAAAAGCACTAGTACTTACGATATCTTCTTACTGATGCCACAATCAGATTTGCGAAATCTCTGTGGTCTTCTTGGGCATGAAGGGTACTGTTTTTATAATTTGATCATTTACTGTTGGGTCTCATGAAACCTATAGTTTCCCTTAGAACTATATATATATATATATATTTATCTATATTATTTATTTTTTGTTAATTCCATTTTCATTATCCTTTTCTTTGTCATAAAGTGAAGTCCAATAGATAAATAATCCTTGAATGTTGTATCTTTGTTCTCCATTAATCAGGCTTTCCGACAAAGTTTACACATTGTCTGGTGATGTGCTGAGGAAATTGGCCTCTGTTGCTGCTGCTCATCGCAAGTTTTTTATCTTGGAGCTTTCCGAGTTAGCCCAAAGGTTGAGCAGCTCTGCTGTCCATGAACTTATAACACTTAGGGATACACGCATGCTGGGATTGAGTGCTGGATCCATGGCTGGGGCTGCTGTTCTTCGTGTTCTGCAGATACTTAGCTCACTTACTTCCATTGGCAGTGACAGTGACAAGGACAGAGTGGATGATGAGGAACAGGAAGAGCACACTAACATGTTGAAGTTAAATGTTGAACTGGAGCCACTATGGAAAGAACTAAGTGAATGCATTAATACAATGGAATCAGAGTTGAGTCAAAGTTCCAGTTCTTCAGTTGTCCCAAACGTTATTGTTGGGGAGCAAACACAGGGTTCTTCTTCGGCATCCCCCTCTCTCCCTCCTGGAACTCAGAGACTTCTGCCTTTCATCGAGGGCTTTTTTGTTCTATGTGAAAAACTGCAGGCTAACAATTCCATATTGCAGCAAGATCAGTCCAATGTGACGGCAAGAGAAGTGAAGGAATCTGCTGAAAGTTCAGTTACGTTGTCTATTAAGCGTATGGATTCCTACAGAAGATTTGATGGGTCCGTAAACTTTGTAAGGTTTGCCGAAAAGCACCGTCGCCTTCTTAATGCTTTTGTAAGGCAGAATCCTGGTTTATTGGAAAAGTCACTCTCGATAATGCTGAAAGCCCCTAAGCTGATTGATTTTGACAACAAAAGGGCTTATTTCCGATCCAGGATTCGCCAGCAGCATGATCAACACCTCTCAGGTCCACTGCGTATTAGTGTCAGGCGGGCATATATTTTGGAGGATTCTTATAACCAACTTCGCATGCGACCAAGTCAAGACCTTAAAGGACGGTTGAATGTGCATTTTCAAGGCGAAGAGGGTATTGATGCTGGTGGTTTGACTAGGGAGTGGTATCAATTATTGTCAAGGGTCGTATTTGACAAAGGAGCCTTGCTTTTTACCACTGTTGGAAACAATGCAACTTTTCAGCCAAATCCGAATTCTGTGTATCAGACTGAACATCTCTCTTATTTCAGATTCGTAGGCCGTGTGGTAATTGTCTAGGACCCTATCTTCAGCTTCAAATCATTTGCCATCTTCTGTTGATTGTCTTTTCATTTTCTAACATGGTTTACCATCTTACGTATAGGTTGCTAAGGCACTGTTTGATGGACAGTTGCTTGATGTACATTTCACTCGCTCCTTCTACAAGCATATCCTTGGTGTTAAAGTGACTTATCATGATATAGAGGCTGTTGATCCCGATTACTATAAGAATTTGAAATGGATGTTGGAGGTAAGAATGGTTCATATGATTTAGATCAAGAACTCATCAGTTAGCTCCTAATATTATTTTTTCCTTGTGCAGAATGATGTGAGTGACATCCCCGATCTGACATTCAGCATGGATGCAGATGAAGAAAAACACATCCTTTATGAGAAAACAGAGGTACTGAGATGAATCTTTTCCTTGTAGTTACTTGTTTGAGGGCTTCTCATCCCAAAAAAATGTAAATATATATCTTTTCTCTGATGTGCTTATAATTGACAAGGTTACTGATTATGAGCTCAAACCGGGAGGAAGAAATATAAGAGTGACGGAGGAAACAAAGCATGAATATGTTGACCTTGTTGCTGATCACATTTTGACGAACGCTATTCGGCCTCAAATAAATTCATTCCTTGAAGGATTTAGTGAATTAGTTCCACGGGAACTTGTATCTATTTTTAATGATAAAGAGCTCGAATTATTGATTAGTGGTCTTCCAGAAATTGATTGTAAGTTGGCAGGCATGCCTTCTCTCAATTTTCATATTCTCGATTTCTTTTATGCTGATTTTTTTTTAATTACGACTTTTATGCCTTTGTAGTGGCTGATCTGAAGGCCAACGCCGAGTACACTGGCTATACCACAGCATCTAATGTTGTGCAGTGGTTTTGGGAGGTTGTTGAAGGATTCAACAAGGAAGATATGGCTAGATTGCTCCAATTTGTAACAGGAACATCGAAGGTGATTCATTTGAAACTGGATATTCTTAATGTTCTTATATTGCTGATGTTTTTTTTTTTTTTGCTGCCTTAATGAACTTCTGCCAATATACTGTGGTATGTGATATTTGTACTAAAGTAGTATGACGGGCCTGATTTAACTTGCTGCTTTTCAACCAACAGTTGTTTCCCGAATGTTGTTGGTGATAGGATAAAACTGTTATACTACATATGATAGGGGGAGGGGCTTCATTGAATTTCGGAGGTTATTTTTCTCTGATATGAAGGTTGTAATGTGTTTACGTGCATGTCCATGCTTGCTGTACATGGCTTTTAGATTTGGGGTAGATGGAACTTTACTAATAGAGGCGATTCGGAGGGAGATTAGACCCCGTGTTATTGAACGATATCTTGGAGCACTAACTTAAATTGTGGACTTTTCAGGTTCCGTTGGAAGGTTTTAAGGCACTCCAAGGAATTTCTGGTCCACAGAAGTTTCAGATTCACAAAGCATATGGAGCTCCTGAGAGACTTCCATCAGCTCATACCTGGTAATAATATATTTTTATTTTAATATCAGGAATATGTACTATCGAGCTTATAAGAATTTCCCCAAGTGTTTATGCTGCAATTTTAACCTGTAAAACTCATTTGTCTTGGCAACGTTTGCAGCTTTAATCAGCTGGACCTTCCCGAGTATTCTTCCAAGGAACAGCTTCAAGGACGTTTGTTACTGGCAATCCATGAAGCTAGTGAAGGATTTGGATTCGGTTAAATGATGATGATTCAATGTGGTTCTGCAAAGTGCTGCTTGGATTCTTGGTCGCAATATACATGGTAATACTTTGACATATACTCGGCAGTGAAACGAAATTCAGCAAATGTGCTTAGCATGTTTTATTGACGATACTTAAGAATTTTCATCTTATTTTGCAGGTGAAATGCCGATATGGACCCCATCCCATTCATCCTTGGAGTATATGTATATGTTAATAAGAACTGCAGTTTACAGGAAGGTTTATTCTATGTGTAGCTGGTGGCAACAATCTATTGGTAGAGCTGATTTGTTTGGCTTCTGCCATGAAAGCATCTTTCTTTCTTTTTTGTTTTGATTTTCTCTCTCTAGTATATGCTGCTGCTGCTGCTGCTTCTGCTTGAACAGACAGACATCAGAAAAAAGGGAACTTTACTACCCTTTTGTAAATTCTTACTTTTTTTTTTTTAATTTCTACATTTTGGTTGCATGCGTATGGGGTTCTTAGTTTGTCACATTTTTCTTATTTTTGCATCTTATTTACTGCCTTTTAAAACAGTTAATTCTTTAAAGAGCTTATAAATTAGGAGATTATGTAATTTAGCTAAAATTCATATGAAAAGAATCTTTTATTTTACTGTGTCCCTTTTTTATTATCTTGTTTTTACCTTGAAAAGCAAATTGGCTGTTAATATATGTGAACTCGGAATAAAGTGATATTATCAAAGACGAATTAAAAGAAAATAAAAATAACAAAAAATTCAAAGGCAAACTTACAAACTAAAAGGTTTAAAATTGGTATATTCCGTCTTAATAATATCTTTACACCTGGCTTTGGTTGATAGTTGTCATAATTAAGCTGTTTAATTGTTTTATTTTTGGGACTATTAGTGAGAACCCCCTCCACCTTTATTTTAATAAGGATGGATCCAGCTCATTTTTCTTTATTAGTGGGAGACCCATCCTTTTTTTATTCTCAAATTTACCCTTCCTCTATTCACTACCTATTATAAACTACTTTGATACACTTTTATTTTTTTATTATTTTGTATTTTAATTTTCATTTTCATTTTTTTATTTATTTCTTATTAAAAAAAATATTTAAAAAAAAATATTTTTTTAACTTTTTTATTATATTTTTAAAAAATATTTTTTTACTATATTTTTTTGTCTTCACTTAAAACAACTATATTTCAATAAAACAACTATTATTAAAACAACTGTTATTAAAACAATATGATTAAAACAACTATATATATATCTCCAACAACTCTCATTTATCAAAATCAACTATTACATTCAACTAAAAAGTAATAAAAACAACTATATTGCTGACGAAAACAACTATATTGTTGTACGAAAACAACTATATTGCTGTACGAAAACAACTATATTGCTGTACGAAAACAACTATATTGCTGTACGAAAACAACTATATTGCTGTACGAAAATATCTATAAATCTGTGAATAACACCACATAATTTCAACAAAAACAAAACCTACATTATACTATTGATTGAACACAAAATTAGCCTTCTATATAAGAATTCAACCAAAAACTCCAATTAAGAAAATTCAGATTCGAGAATTGGATTCAAAAAAAAATCAGAGAAGAAGAAGAACAACAACAATGAAACAATGGGGCGGTGGTCTGTATTGAAATCTCAGACGCAATATCAACCCTAGCGCCGCTGCATAATCTCGTCTTTCTCCCTAGCGAAAACCCTAACGCCGTCCTTGACGAGAGAAGCCCAGGGGTGAAGACCATCTTCTTTTCGCGTCGGTGGAGGGAGGAACGCCGTTGGGAGAAGAGAATAACGATGGCGGCGCAGAGATTGAGGAGGGTTGGAGGCGGTGGCAGAACACAAATGGAGGAGAGTTGGAGGCGGCCGATATGTAGAGAGAAAAGAGAGAGAAGAATAAGAGAAATAGAGAACGTGAAATAGGTTTAATTATTTTAGATATAATAGGGCAAATTAAGTATATTAGTAATGTCTAAAATAATATTAATTAAAAAAATATTATTTAATATAAGGTGGGGGGTTTTCACTAATAATGAAAAGGAGGTTATATCCACCTTAATATAAGTAAATGAATTGGGGGGTTTTCACTAATTATCCCTTTATTTTTTAAATAAAAAAATAAAAAATATATATCATTATATTGAGAACCCCTTTTCATTCCGACAAAAGCAATTCATTCCAGTTTCGTATTCCCGTTCCTATATTTGCTTTATTTCTATTTTTTTATTGACGATTAATAAACCCATTTCTCTCCAACTTTTCTCTCTCTCTCTCTCTCTCTCTCCTCATTCTTCTGCTGAGAAATATCGATTACTGAGGATTCATGACGGTATGCAATCGAATTCCTTTTGTTTTTCTCTTCTGATTATCGAATAGATTGTAGTCGATCGTTCTTCTTTTCCTTGTACCTGTGCGATTACTTTTCATTTTATTTCGAATTTGATGTGTTTTAGTTGTTTTAATTAATTGGTTATGTTTGTTTTAGGGCTATGCTCTTTGAAATTTTGCTGAAATCGACTGTATGTATTGATTTGTTTAATTTGGGATTGGATGCTAGCTGTTCTGTGATTGAGGTTTTGTTATTTTGATGTGCTGTATAATATTCTTCCTTGATGGCGATGTTCGGTGTTCGAAACAAATTAAAGCAACTTTTCTATCCTAGTTGATGAATTTTCTACCTTATCCCCATCAGAAAGAGAAGGAGCAATAGCTAGAAGCAAATTATGAGAAAAATGCCTTGGCATTTTCCCTTTTATCTTGAACAATATTGCTCTATGAATCTGTTTTCTGACGAACTAAGAATATAAAAAAATAAAAATCACTTTGATTAATTCATTGCTGATAGATAATTCCATTTTTTAGCCATCTTTGATTCTGTTTTCCTAGTTATGTGACGATTGCACCAAAGGATTGAACTCTCTGTGTTGTTTGATGTTATGTAAACCTTCCACACACCGACTAAGTTTGCCCTGTTATATTATGTTAGACACTCTTAGTAGCTAGACTATGTGTGACAAGGAAGTGCGGTGGATCAGAAGTAAAAACTCATGTACTGCAACTTTTTTGTCACCAATTCCTGGACGAAGATATCTATTTAGTTTCTCGAATGTTGCTTTTGATCGTTAACAGTGTCGTTTGCCTTTCTTGTGTCTGTGTATTTGTTTCTTTTTCTAAAATATTTGTTTTATTCACATATATGTTGCCTAACATATTACGGGAACTTTTTCCATTGAACATCTTCCTTATATTTACTGAGGTAAAAGTTAGGAAGTTAGTCATTTGATGATAGTTATTTGTAATGGCTACGAGACTGTTATTTGTTTAGGTCATGTGCAAGCGCAGAGTTACTTTTCTTGGTTTTATTTGGTCGAGATTGTATTGTAGTTTGATGCTTTTCTCCCATGCCCTCTTATAACTGCACTTACTTTCTTATAACTTTGCATTTTTATACATTTTTCCTGTAGTTACAAAGAATTTTAAACCTATTGTATTGTAGTCTGTAGACTTGTAGTAAATGTTTTATCGTCTTTTTATCTGTTTCATTTTGCAGGAGAAGGGTCGTCCACTGCCTAAGTTTGGTGAATGGGATGTAAATGATCCTGCTTCGGCAGAGGGATTTACTGTAATATTCAACAAGGCCAGGAATGAAAAGAAGACGGGTGGCAAACCAGATTCTCCTACAAAGGTGGAGATGAGTTCACATAATGGAGTCGAACCTATAAAACCTCACGGTGTAAGTTGTTCTCCATTTACCTTTTGTTTTATAGTGGTTTCCTTAACCCAAGTTCGTCTGGCTTTAATTATATTTCTCTGGTGAATTGATGCATTACTCATGTTGCAAAAACCCGGCTTATTATTTGCTGAAAAACTGATAACGATTCCGTTGATTTGCAGAAAAAATGGTTTTGCTGCATGAAGAACCCAAGCACAGAATCTTGACCGGGTTTCCATGTGCAAAAGATAAAATATAGAAGTGCATATTATATAAAGAGCCCAGAAAGTGTCTCTAAAATTGGAGCTAAGGTGGCATTAGGCACCATGCTTTCAATTTTTGTGTGTTGTAAAATTATCTTTTTTTTTTTTTTTTTTTTTTTCGTGTGTCGTGGGCCGATGACTTTTTGGAAAACTCGATAAACAATTCTGTAAGTTGCCTGCCTGGTGGATCATATGATTAAGCCAGCTTTATTATGTTTGTTGCTTTCCCTATCTTTTGACCCTGTAAAAGCATTTGTTTGTGCCCTATTTTGATTATTTATTTGCTCCACTGGTATACAGTTTAATTTTGTTATCTTCCCTATGTAACCATCCATCGTTTTGTCATTTGTTACGCAATTACACGAGTGGCGTCCATTAAAGTTAGCACTGAAGATGAGCCATTTTTTTGTGCTCTGGTATTTTTTTTTTAAATCGGTAGGTATACATACGACTACTAAATCACGAGTCGTGTACTGGGAACAAAATTGTGGATACCCAATATTTTGTTTGACAAAGAAAAAACCCAAAATCGACTTTATCTCAATTTCGAGAACCTTCATTTCAGCATACGTGCATTAGCAAGAAATCTTACATTTTTTTTAGCAAGAAATCATACATTTTTTTTGCAAGAAAGTTCTTGCGACGACATTGTTGTCACTGAGCAGCAAAACATAGATTACTTTTTCTTTGAGTATCAAATGTTTGGAACAGGCTTTCATAAGATTAAATTAAAGAGTATCAAATTTACCTACTTATCTGTGTTTTGACTTTTTGATAAAAAGTAACGAGAACTGTTGCAACTCGAAAAATTTCAGAATTCTACAACTGATTCTTTTCCAGTACAAACAAACATATTAAACTCTCGAAACTCCAAGCTTTCTCTCAAATAACCGGCGCAACACATAGACTTGCAGACCGCTGGCTAGAACCAGAGCAGCCGATTCAAGTAACGCTTTGTGAATTGCTCCTCTGCTCATTTTCTCGTTCACTGAAAAATTCAATCAACCAACATTTACTTACCAACCAAGACACTAAAACAAGAGATACGATCATACTGTGGGCCCCACTAATTGAAACACGTATTTGAATAAAAACAAACAGATGGAATTACCTATTGCCTGACGATCTGTCTGAGCCTCTAACCAGTGCTGCTCGAACTGAATATTGTACAGAGCTTCCTCTAGCTTTCCAATGTGCTCAAATAGTGGTTTGAAATGCTCTGCATATTTCAAACTGAATTACAGATTCGGACTAAAACTAATATTATAAATTGTTTCATCGGAAACAAAACTAAAGGGGATTTTTTTTTAAATAATCAGAAAGATAATTACCATCTTTAGCATGTTCATCGTGGTATAAGAAATGGCCAGCATGCACGTCAAAGTCTATAGTTTCATGGTAGGGTGATTTGTTAGTGAAACAAAAACGGTATACTCCTTGATGATATGCCACAAACTCGTGCTTTTCGCTTGTCTTGTCACGAATATCGTGGATCTGTTCACCATTTGGTCCTTTCACCTGATATTTTTGCCATGTCCTAATCATTTTCGAGGAACATACTCTAACGATATAGAAATAGAATATTTAAAACCACATCATATTCATGCAAAATTTGTATTCAAAATAACTCCATAAAAGAATTGTCAAAACCATATAACAACAAAGTCCATACGGAAATATGTGAAAAAATGGTTTTACACCCCACATTGCTTTTAACTTAACAAACGACCATGTTGAAAACACTAAGATGTAGTCAGATATTCGACTTGCACACAACAGTCCACATTCAAAAGTTTGTTCTGCACAGAGATTTGTTCAGATTTTCCGTTTCTAACAAACACTTAAAGAAACTAGTTATGGCATGCAGAATTAGACAGTAAAAACTTACCACAAGGTCTACACCATCTTCACTGTAATGCCATGACCCCTCAGACTTAATCACCACAAATGAGAAATGTACAGTGTTCCCATACTCGACCTTGTGAGAGAAGCACTCCTCTCTATCTATAACAAATCTAATCCCAAAAGCCCCTCCAAAACTGCATAAAATTACCACCACTGCCACTGCTGCTATTGAAAGCTTCATCTGCGTTCAAATCAAAAACTTCATCAATATTTTGGAAAAAGATGAGGGAGGAAAGAGATATGTGAAACAGAATCGTTTTGGCGTGTTCATTAAATTTAAAAAAAAAAATCAGAAATGCACAAAAAGAATATAATAAAAGTAGCTGCTGGTTTTGTATGGATTCCACAAACTCGATTATATTACTACGGAAACACTCAAAACATGAAAATATTTCTATTTTTCTTCACTAGCTCTCTATCTTTCAGTTATATGGTGTATGACGAAACTAATGAGTATAGAATTGCTTGAGAAATAACAATCATGTCATTGCATGCAAAAGAAAGCAGTCAAAACACCAAATTTGACATTCCAAACACAAATTACAAGAATTCAGAAAATAGCAGCTTTTGAATCCGCGATAGCACGAAATTTAATCCGTCCCTATCGAATCGTGCAAATTTTCACAATTTTACAGTTGTCTTATGAAATTTCCAACTTCACATCTTAAAACTCTAACGTAACCGATCGACCCACATTAATCTAAACTAAACAATACTCATGGACTAAATCCAAATCCTTCAATTCAAACAATTGGCCTAGCCCCACGCCACCTCGATATGAATCCAGGCACAGAAAAACTTCTTAGACCGATCAATACAGAGGAACAGAAAAGTGACAATTACAAAAATAAAAGTCAAAATCATCAATTTCCCAACTTCAAAACAAAATTAACAGCTAAATCAGCCCAACTCAACGATATTTAGCAAAGGGGTAAACCTAAAATCCTCAATCCCAATATACTTTAACGAAAAAATAACGATTAAATTGATTGCCGCGTATGGATTTATTGAATCGGAAAGACAAAAGGATAACCAAATATCCGCACATAAACAAGGGGGAAAAAATAGAAGCGAAATCGCAGAGGCAATTGGTGCAAAAGAGTAAATTAAAATTAAGGCGATTAAAAATGAAAGAGGAAGCGTACCTTGTTATTGCTTTGATCGGAGATCGGAGTAGCAGACGAGGTTTTCGACCAAAGACTGTCGGAAGAGGGCGACGGTGCGTCAATGTATATATCTTACACCGTTGAAACGGGGTACTGCCCGTGACATGGCTTGCCAACCTTCAGCCACTCATAGTTTGCCACGTGTATTACTAATTCCTTTAATTTCTTTTCCATTATTAGAATTTAAATAAATTCTCATTTTAACTTTCTAAATGAAAGTATTAATTTTAGGGGTTTATTATGAATTTAGAGATGAAAATAATCCAAGATTGTGGCTATTGGACTTAAATAATTAGGCAAAACTAAGGGTGGAAATACGACGAAATCAATCGGAAATGATTTTTTTTCAATTTTTATATTTCTTTTAATTATTATTTTCATATTGGGCCAACAATTAAGGACCCAAAACTTACAAAAATAATATAACGACCTAGGCCCATTAAGATAAGGATATGGGGCCCATTTATCCAGACACATGACTTGAACGTCGGATGGGTTTCCGCCGGACAACTCCCGACTTAGTTTATATGTCCTAATTTTGCAAAACTCGAGTGTTCATTTCTACGTGATCGGATCATCTACTCGCATACAGTGACCTGCCCTATATTCTCGTTTAATCCACCCGATGTAAATGATACAATATCATACATCAATTTCTACATTTCCACATAAAATTTATTTGTCCGGAGAAAAAAACAAAGTATAAGTAATTCTAATGGAAAACATATATCAATTTCTAAATTTTTGAAGAAACTCTAACTGTAGTAACAATTTAACCGGGTGTAATTATGTGCAGATCAACGGTTAATAGATACGAAGCAAGCATAGTATTGATGCCACAACGAAGGCCTTGACTGCAACCGATGAAGGTATCTTCCCCCTATCGCTCCTCAAGAAAATAGCTTCATATATCGGCAAATTCAACATCACCAAAACCGCACAAATGGCCAATTGAGCCACAAACTTTCCGAACTCGTCTCCAAAAGCTAGCTTCGTTAATAATCCACACACCAAGCTTACGAAATTGAGCAATGCAATTGTCGCTATAATTATAGTCGTCACTGACGAGCTTCCGAATTCAATAAGTCCCTTTTCGTACCGATCTCGTGCTTCGTGATCGTCCACACTTTTTGAAGTCACGACAAACGATGTTTGAGATAGGCCGAATTGTCGTATCATCGTGTCCACAAAGGCGAAAAAGAACGATGTTGTCCTTCTTATCAGAACCATCCTCTGCAAGTTCCACCATCCCTTTAATGTATCGCCGATTATTAGGGCTTCCACTAATGTATACGCAGTTTTCGCACCGAAAACGTAAGCAAAAGGCAAGAACCACGGGCTAGAAATCTGGAACATAGACGAGGAAATTTTGATGTTATATCACATGATTCAGAGTGAAAGATGGAAATAAATTTTCTATTTTCGCCGATTTTGGATTCGATTGTGCATTTTATATTTTAGGTTACTAAAAATTGGAACTTTCCGAACTTCGCCGATTCTAATTCGAATTTTTTTTTCAATTTTGGAATAAGTTTTTTTGTTCCAATTTGCAAATTTTTTTGGAACGGAATTTTTACACTTCCAAAAAAAAAAAATTATAAAGTATTAATTTCGATCTAATCTGTCAGATTTCCACACCTAGTACGATCTAATTTACTTTACAATCTATATTACCTGAGGGAACAAAGGAACACCGTGGAGCAACGAAAGGGCAGGAACGACCACATAACAAAGAGTAGGCAACGAAATCGGGGCCCACAGAAGGTAGATGCAGTACCCCATTTGAGCGCCAAATTCGATTTTCCGGTGGCCGTAAACGAAGGGGCAGTACTTGGAAAAGAATATCTGAAACATTCCTTCCGACCATCTCTTGAACTGAATAAGAGACACGTCTAAGGTTGTCGGAGCAACTCCTTCAAAGGCGTACTTGGCCGGATTGTAGTAAACGGGCTTCCATCCCCTGCATTGAATCGTTAAGCCCGTGACTATATCCTCCACCGGACATCCGTACACCAATCCCATCTGCACGCGTTCAGATATACACGATCATTTATATACATACATATTATGCGTCCTAATTAATAATGTAGTTTGTTATATATGATCAAACATTAAGGCCTCGTTTGGTTCGTAGGATAAGATTAAATATAATCTTAAGGAAATCCAATTATTTTATCGGGTCATTAAATAATCTCCCAATTAGTCATGATTGACGCCATTTTTTCCATAATTGCGGGCCGATCAGAAAACTTATTAAGATTAACCAAACATCCAGTAAGGTCCAATTATTCAGTTAATAATGGTTAATTTTACCAACCAAACAAGGCCTAAGAACATAAAAATAGACTCGAGTGGCGGAGTCAGCATAGTGCCATGAGAAAAAAAAAAACCAACTGCCTAAACGTAATCTTGAAATCAAACGAGCAAAATGCTTGCCTTTTAATTTTATTCTAGTGATTTTAAGACATACGATACGATGATATAACAATGTGTATGAATGATTATCGATGTAAGAAAGACGAACCTCTTGTCCCCATAGAGTGCCATTCTCATAGCTACAATTAGCTAAAACCTTCGATGCTTCCTCCAATTCTTCAACACTTCTCTTCTTCGTATTAACTTCGTCGTCATTTAAGCATTCAATCGTATGAATTCCCGAGTATTTTTCACCCGACAAGCTTACTCTCCTATGGAAGCATCCGGTGCCTACGTACAAAGTTCCTCCAAAACCATCTAATCCCGAAAGCTCAATCTTCATAATACGCAAGTGCAGCGAAGATTCAGTATTCCGACTAAATCAATTAAATTGTTTTTTTTTTTTTTTGAAAATTCATATATATATAGAAGTACCTGATTAATTGCTAAATTTATATTAGCGTAGATATCGTTCTCGATAATGTTATTATATTGCTGAGGGTATTGAACATATGAGATCTGCTTCCCCTGTTTCTCATCCAAGAAGAAGCACAACGCGTCCCGTATCGAGTCGGGATCGTTCGAGTACATGTCACAGTCGACGTTCAGAATTATCGGCGCATTGCTTATTTCTGCCGACACTCTCAGCTGCATGCAAATTTAATTTAATGTGATTAAAATTAATTATCTCTTCAATGACTCGATAAATTAAGAACCTCGCTTAAATAATAGTTTATTCTGGTCCCGACTCGGTAAAAACCTACTAAATTATTAGTTCGATAATTTAATATTTTGCTAAATTAATAGAATTTTGCTAGTCCTGACTCTATTAATTTGTAGAGGTTTAACTGTAATTAATAATACCAATGCATTCATCGATCCAGCCTTGAAGTTATGAGCGCACCCCGTTTTCTTCTCTCGTGACAAGTATACGAGTGTTGGCAATTTATTTCCTTCGATATCAATCGCCTCTTGATCACATCCATCTATCAGAATCTGAAAATGTTCAACATTTTAATTTATTAGCCGAAAATTAAAAAAAAAAAAAATCAAATTATGTATTATGTATTATGATCAAGATTTATAATAACCTGAACAATTGATTGATGATCCTGCTTAGTGACATTAGACTCCCATTCCGAAAAACCTTTGTGTCGATCCTTAATTTCTTGCGGTACGCAACCCTTTCGCGCTACTGATTCGATTCGACTTTCCATATCTTCGTAAAGTTGCTAAAAGTCGAATAAATTCAGTTATTAGTAACACTATTCCTTAAACTTAATCTTGATCAATAATTTTCATATATATATAAATAGATCATGATTTAACTTTGCACCTTAACATTAATCCATTCTTGATCGAATTCATTAACATCGACGCAACGAGAAAAGTAGACACGTGGCGACCTCGGCTCGACATTGTACTTCTTGCAAAAGGGTACCCAATGCTTGGAGAATCTAGAAGCTTCTAGAAGTGCAAAGAATGTAAGTTCCGAACCTCCGTCATCGGATAAGTAAACGGCGAGTTTCTCCGGCGGGTAATTGTACGACACGGCGGATAAAACCGTGCCGACCACCAGAGACGGCGGCTCCAGTACGGGATCCGCCGTGCACACAAATATATCCACCTTCGGCAACTCTTCCTCCCCATACCTGCAAATAAATAAATAAATTATTACATGCGGCCGCCATAAAAACAAATTAAGGGGCAAATCTGTAATTTCAACTTGCCTGAGAGAAAGCCTATCCTTGAAGGGATGGCGGGAAACGACGTGCCACCTGGCGGACTGAGTGATAATCCAGTACAAGCCGAAAAAAACCTCGGAGAAAAACATGGAGAACCAGACATGGATTCTTGATTCTGGGATGTGGGTTAATCTGTAAACCCATGTGAGAATTATGCCGGCGAATATTGTCGAGCAGAAGAGTTTGTGGGCGGCGCCGCCGCGAGCTGCCTTTGTCTCAAACAATGGAAGATCATCGTTTTCTCGTTTCTTGTTAGGATTCATTTTTTTGGTTTTTGGATAAGTTACAGTAGTGTATGCTCAGTGCTCACTGGTGTATTATAGCTTCATAAAAAATCAGCTGGGGATATTATATTATATTATATTATATTATATTGGACGTTCGAAAAAAAATTAATAGCATCTTGCTCCATTGTCGGAAAACGCTGTATGATCGTTCATAATGGACGGGACCAATCGCATTTAGCCCAATATAAGGATACTAATAAATATGGCAAATAAGCCCAAT